TTGCTTGTTATTGTTATAGCCATCCGCGGTACGACTATCACGTACATCCGAACGGGTATTCCGCCAGCAGCTCCAGCGGAGCAGGTACTTATACAATACGATAGGTTATGTCTGACTACTATGATCACTATTGTAATATGTGATTCATCTGCTATCACACCCATTTATTCATCTACTACCCCACGCAAGTCCCGGAGAACACACAGGATGCTGGCAACCTAACAGTTATCCAACAAGGGTAGCTAGTCCTTGTTGATGTTGAAAAGTGCAAAGCTGGAAAGGGAAGGGGTGAAAGGGATGAAGGGAAAGGTAAAGGTGATGGGAACGAACCTAGGGATGAGAAGTCTGAATCCCCTTTGAAGAAGAGAAAGGGATGTCTTTCCTCCTTCTCGGAACTCCTGTATTTGCATGATTTGTCTGTTGGTATGGATAGAAGAGTTGTGACTACTGAAATAACAGATGTGTGATTGGGTTGCAAAGGTGTAATTCTAGACACAAAATATGACTTGTATTTTGTTATGGCGGAGGTCGCTAATCAAGATAGGTCCTAAGTCGTAAGGCGTAGGGTGCTTAAGGTAGTTTGCAGGTAGTTGGGAGAATGTTGCAAGTTTGCTTAGATGAAGCGGGTTCGGGTAAGGGATACAAATCCAAAGATATATGGATAAGGAAGATGAACGTGAATGGCAAGTCCATCCTTGTTAGGGTTTATATTCATCAACTTACTGTTTGACTTATCAATCAACTTATTCAACATCAGGGCAAATCATTCTACCAATACATCAATGACTTATTCCAGAGGACTTGTCAGGAATCCAAGATGAATTTACTGGTCCTGGATTGACATATAAACCTCTCGCAACACCACAAAATCAACCAACCGACTTTTGAACTTCACTTGAATCACATATACCTACATATAACAACCCTATTTGGCATCTCAATTAGTCTTTACCGCTGCCAGTTACCATACTGTGCACCTCCATTTGGTCTTATGCCATGTATCCTCCATCTGTTGCATATCTCTCCCCATCCCTTTACAACAATCAGCAGCAGTTCAAGCTTGACAAGGCAATCTTGACTGGCATGCACATTGCATCACACCTTCCCCGTCTTTATTGTGAAGTAACAGCTAGATCCACTAAGGTTGGTTACTTGATGTACCTAGGCAATAGTAATGGTGTGTTACTAGAGCTTATCTTGTCTTGTTGGATGCATCAATGTGTTATAGGTATCACGTGACGCACCGGACGTGCTGTACGCGATTCCCGTAGGCAACTCCCGCCAGGGGTACTTTTCGGTATAATTGTGTTGATGTAGAACTAGTACCTCTGTAATAGCTCTACATCCGTTATCACATTTAGATGTCTACCCATACTTTGCCTCATTCCTGCGTCCCGTCAGCCTGTCCAGGGGATTCCCCATTGGGGGTGGCTCCTGGCCTTTACACAATGTATAAGGCTTGCCAGCAAGCCTGAATAGTAACACACGGGACTAGAAGGTACGGGTAGGGTAATGACTGTAATAACGGATGTCTAACTAATACAAGGTGCTAGTTAGACATCTTTGAACACACGTTCTAATAGGTCTCCAAGAGGGTCTCCGAGAGAGTCTCCAAACGGACCTCTGTACGAGGTGAAAATCTACATCCCGCGTATGTACGACGTGCGTACCACTGATGCCTATAATACAATGTCAAGTAGTACATGAAAGAAAGAGGGGATTGAAATCAGACCCAAATGGTCTGCTATACATATTTTTCTGGGACGGGGCAAATGGTGGCAAAGTTGAACAATCTCATTGTTTGGTAGTTGAACAAGCTTGGATGTTTGGTGGTTGAATAAGTTTGGTAATTTATTTCACATTCTATCCTTCTTGTTCACTGCCTTTTGCTTCCTTTTTGCTTCCTGTTGTTTACTTTGTGGTTGAGACTGCCTTCATGTGCTGATGACAAATACTCACATGCCTTTTTCCAAAACAAGTGACAGAGTGCCATTGGGATTCAAGATTAGCATTCCTGGTGAAGATGTGTTGGCTTTTCAGCAATAGAGACAATGTTCCTTGGACTTGAGTAGAAGATCAGTATACCTGCTGATGTAGGTTTGTATATTGCTTGACTGAGTTGGTAATGAAGGATCTTGACATAAAGGCCACCAAAGTCGGGGCGAAGACGGTTGTGATGCTAGACATTCCATCAATGGGATTGCGAAGAAGAAATTTCACTTGGCAAGCCAAACTGAAGAAGGCTCAAGACAGGTTGGCTGGATTGCAGAAGAAGGAAGCAAAGCTGACACCAAGCAAGGCGAAGAAAGAGGAAGTGACGTTGGCGTCAGATTAAGCAGGTCAATCCGTCCTCAGTCTTCTCAAGCCTCTGATCTCTGTTGTACCTTCAAGCGATATGATCAGATGCTATGCCATCTGGCAAAGGAGACGGGAGGTGTGGAAGGCGTCATGACCGCCTCTACATCGACGGAGAGCAAGTCCTGATCATCACTTTGAATAACCATGTCGTCCTTGCAACTCTCGGATGTCACCTCTTGATGCTGTTCCCGCTGGATCATCCCTGCCAAGGTCTTACTCGTTGATATGGATACTTGATGCTGGCTCTGAAATAGTGGGATTGTGCGGTTCAAAGCGGGATTCCATAGATTTGCACAATCACGCGCATCTAGCAAATGCAGCGCGCAGCAGGCGGACTTATGATGCGCGACTAGTAGTTGAGTATACTGCGCCAGTTGTTGCAACTCGTGAAAAACAGATATTTACGTGTGGCCGCACAGCCAAACCAGTCTCAAGGACACTGGGGAACAATCTTAGTTCAGATTGATATTTAATATGGTTCGAATTATTGCTAGACTACATGGAGCTGTAAGACATGGTCATGGAGGTCTATATCTGTTCAGTTTCAGCAGATTGCACCAGCACTGATGGAGCATTGAGGATTGGAAGTTGGAAGACTCATCTTCAAATGAATGTGTCTCCGTGCGGCTACGTGATGTATGTTTACGCGTGCAAGGAAGGTGATATTCAGTCAAATTTGACCTTACCTTTCATGCCATAGAGGTCAAACAACCTAGCTGCTGATAGTCTAAACTACACAGAGATGGTGGTAGCAGAGCAGAGACACAGTATCAGTTGATATGAAGGCCTTCTTAACAATACTGATGGATCTGTGTAAGCTCAAAGATGAGGTCTTCTTTGTGATGTAAGTGTTTTTTGCGTGAAGCTGTGTATTATGTGTTCAAAATCAAGTTGCTACAAACGGCCCGGTATAGTTGAGACACGGGGAACAAAGAGGTGGAGAGAGGGTTATGTTTCTTTGTTCTGCCGTGACCCACATTCAAGAACAATACGAGTCACCATATCTATCTGTACTGGGTCACCATCTGTACTTGGTCGGTAACCCAGTACCAATGCATTATCATCGGAACGACCTACAATAAGCAACCTGTGCGTGCTGCATACATGACGAGCTGAACTGGCCGTTGCCAAGATAGTCCTACCGCCATTTGATCCCCGGTAATCACAATCGACTTCAGCTTTTCTACTTCTCACCGCCAGCCTCGTCACCGATTCGATTAGAGCTTCCCTTGCTCTCCTTCTTTCTCCCACCGTATCCGTCCTAGTCATTCCTTTGACTGCAACTCTCTCATCTTCCTTACCATTGCCCTCCAACTTCTCACCAACGGCTCTTCTGTAGGATGGGCTATGGAAAGTTACGAGCCCTCTTCAGGGGCGACTCGAAAGCCTCCAACACTGCTTTCTACTGGGACACCGGGCTCCCTCGCCAGCCAAGAACCTGACGATGACAGGTTTGCCCTGGGGGCGGCTGCCCATGGGCGGACAGGAAGATGTTGAGTGTGACAACATGCTTATATCGGCACAGCTGGCACAGACGACTCATGCAAAGAACCTCCCTGTAGAAAGCCCTGATCCAGCTTTACCAACCTTTGACTGCAATGACCCTGAAGCGGTTCTCCCCGCGGCCAAAAAACATTACATCATCGGCCCGCCTTCCTAAGAATTCATCTGGTGGCGGCAACTATTACTACCCTGGCGGTAAAAATATAGCGTTTTTGAGAAAACGCGTCGGAAGCAGGACAGATATAGCGGAAGTATCGCCTTGATTAGCAGTTGTGAGCTGAACTAGGCGCATCGGCACAAGGAAGCAAATTTGCTTCCTTGCATAACGCTCCTCAAAAATAGCACTTTTCCAGTTGAGGCAGATTAGATACCACAGGTGACTATAGAACACTCAAGAATGGTAGGCAGCAAGCAGGAACATAAGATGCGTAATAACCTTTGTCGAGAAGCGATTTTGAAGGGGGGTCTTTACAGGAATTATGGGTGAGTCTAAAACAAGCTGATATACGCGAATTTGCGGCTGATATACGCGAATTTGCGGATATTTTGCTTCCACCACAAGCAACATTTGCTTCCGGCGGACCTTGTGCTTCATAAATTGAGAATCGCGTGTCCAAAACCTAGAATCGCGTTTTTCAGGCAATTGCCGCCAGGGTAGTAAAAGTTGCCGCCACCAGATGAATTCTTCGCCTTCCTTTCTCGCACTTCTGGGATATCGAAGAAAAAGGAAGCAGAGGGAGATACCTCTATTATGGCAGTGAATGCACCCAAAAGCAAGCAAGCTCTTGCCAGGGAAGCTCTTGCTACCGCCCTCATTGCGTACAGGTTTTCACGCATAGAGGCCCTTGATATCCTGCACAATGATACTCCGAGCACTCGAGATATGTTTCAGCCTTGGGCTCACGCAGTTCTGTCCATGTCGACCGAGCTGGTTTCAAGTCCAAAAGAGATCCGCCAAGTTCTAGAACAGTCTCTTTCGGTCCCAGGCCAGATACCGCACAGATCAAGGAGCTTGAGAAGGCAAGAGTGACCCGTGTCCTCCAGAACCAGCGTACTGCAAATGCCTGCCTTGAACTTGACCGCCACCGTACCGGATCTGTTCGCAACGACATTCAGAACTATAGTCGCAGATGTATGTACCGAGAATATCTGAGGGACATTTCAAGCTTGTACTATTCCAAACGAAACTGCATCAAAGTAGCTGCTACATTGAAGCCGTCTCGGCATTCATTACACAAGCATCACGCCTAGCTAAATCGCATAACTGCAATCTGACTTTGGCGATCAAGCTGTTGACCCTGAGCCAGCGGCCTTGGCTTTCTCAACCTTTCTTCGTGCTTGCGATCGCCGCTTGCGACGGTGGAGCATGATTAATGAGACCGTTCGAGCATAACGATGATTCAATCGAGCAAGCAGCACTAGCGGGGTCGCTTTCTGCATCGTTCCGTCCGCATCTGATTGCCTCTGCGGTTCGATCTCTTCCTCTTCTCCAGAAAGCAAAGCCATGACCGGAATGTTATTCTCCAGCTTGGCATATGCCCGTTCCAGCACAGCAACCGTCAAGAATGATGCTTGCCACGATAGATCGCTTGGCCTCCATTTCGTAACGATATTTGAGACCGTCTCCTTGATCGGGGTCTGTTCCTCCTTATCTTCCGTGTGCGATCGATATTGGTGCCGCCGATTTGGCGGCCTCATGACCGCTTCATCCTCAAACTCGCCCGGCAGGGGAAGGCTCGATACTGATTGTCGCGACAAAGACTTAGTAGCGTCTCCTATGGGCAGCGCCGGATCTCTGTAGGCGGGAGATCGCCTCTTGGCCACTTCTTCAGCTCGCGTCAAGAGTACGTTCTCAACGACTTCGAAGGCCTCCTCGGGCCGTCCCGACCTCACGAAAGCTACGGCAAGGTGGTTCCAATTTTGGGCATCAAAGCCAAATCCTTCGGCAGCAAGAGACTGCCACACGTCGAACACTTCTTGGTGACGACATGCAGTAGTCAGGCCGTCGAGGTAGATTGAGAGGGGTATGCACAGAAGATTGCTCGGACTGGAAGAATCCTCCGACTGACGAGCCTGACGCGCAAGTTGATGAATATGGTTCCAGACCATTTGCATCTTTTCTATCTGACCGGCTTTGCGATACGTATCCATGAGTATGGTAGACATCGTCAAGGATGGCAGCTCCCCTCGATGTGCCAATTTGCGGGTGTATTCCTCTACTCGATGCGTGTTGCCCGCCGCGGACGCTTCGAGGATGACCGGCGTAAGGATATTTTCAGTATCCCGACCACGACCGTGATTATCGACATGGCGCCAAGGCCGGGACACCAGCAAATCTTCCGCAAAGCGATGGATTGAGTCCTTGTTGATAGATCCGTCTTTCAGCAGCATTCTCAGCATGAGAGAATAGCCAACCGAAGTCAAGGGTATCCTCAGATCGTCCATTCGACTGAAGATATGCCTTGCACTCTCCAAATCTCCGTTTCGGAGATGAGCCGCTACCAGTATTGTGAATGCGTATGGGTTGGGCCGGCTGTTATCCTCGGCCTTTGTGAGCATATCGTTTAACACAAGCTGAGCTTTTGCCACCTGGCCAGCATCGCAAGCCGACTGGATCAGAATCGACCAAGCTCGGCTAGAGGCATACTTGGCATCTGGGAACGTCTCCTGGAAGAGCTGTTTCACCGAGTCGAAAGGTGCGCCTAGAAGTAGCATAGCTTTCAACATGGTACCGGCAATCGCTGGATCTGATTGCGTATCCGGCTCAAGGGTTTCGTATATCTCCTTGACCCCTGTCCATTTCCCAGCTTCGATAGCGACATTGAGCACACTGCCGATAGCGATAGTGTCCATCACCACGTCTTCATCTCGCATTCGATTGAGCATTGCAGCAGCAGAACGATAGTCCTTTTTCGAAGTATATGCTCCCATCATGGTTGTGTAGGTGATCGCGTTGGGCTTCACCTTGCAACGAGCCATATCTTCAAGCAATTGCTGGCACTTCCAGAGGTCACCTCGACGGGAATGAAGGTGCAGCATTACGTTGTAGTCCTCACACAAGGGCGAGTCGCACTTTGCACGCAGCCGCTCCCACCAAAGCTCAGCCTCGGTCACATGGCCGGCAGCGGCATGCGCACGGACCAAGGTCTCCAGGGCATTAAGCTCTTGACGCCGCTGCGAAAGCGAGCTGGAACCGGCATTCCTGTCCGACTTTCTCTGTGCGGCCAGCCGAGATACGGTAGCGCCAAAGTGACGCCGCAAAGTATGGTCGACATCTTTTGTCCTGCCTGCGTTCGCCTGGGCTCGAAGGATGGCCGTGACATCCCTCGTCGACGGAGTGGCGGTGCCGCTGGCGATCAGTCCGAAGGTCGCTTGAGCGAGCGTGACATCGCCTCGCACCTGCGCGAGGTCTAGTATCCGGCTGAGCACTTTTCGATTTGGCAGGGCGTGCTGGTTGTTCAGGATTTTGGATCCTCCTGAGATGTCGAATATTTCCCATGCTTGAGCGACCGACCCTTGTTGAGCCAGAGCCTCCCACAATCGCGAGCTCGCTTCGAGGGGAACCTCGATCTGGCAATCGACAAAAGCACGGTAGAATTGGTAGGCCATGTTGACCGAGGAGACGGACAGACACGCCAATATAGCAGCGACGGAGAGTCGCAGCATTCTATGGTCGAAAAGAGGACCGGCGCCTAGTTCTCTCATGTCCTTTTCGTGCTGCCCTCTGACCCAGTCGTCAACTCCTTTGATCGATGTAAACGCAATACTCATTGATTCCCGTAACGAGCGATATGCCAACCCTACCGCTTTTGATTCCCTCAATTGGTTGGAAGAAAAGCAAGGCGCAAAGCCATCATATCTGGCAGCGACCAGTCTCGTTACGTATTCACTTTGCCCAGCTTCCACGCAGTGCCGAGCGAGTGTCGCGGAAAAAGGTATGACCTCGGCTGTATCCTTCTTGTGAGATTTGTTGCGAAGCAACTCCGAGGCAAGATTGATTGCCTTGTCCAGCCTGTCGAGCTTCAAGTAGACCAATATGTGGCATATTTGCGGATCGACTGTCAATCTGTTCTTCGGGCGTGGGCGTCTTTGCCAGCGGGTAAAGGAGAACCTGAGATGAGTCGCGAGATGCTGCCAGACTGCCATGCTGGGTTCCGCAGCTTCTATCACCTCGTAGAGGTCCCGGAACGCACGCCCGGAGTCCCCAGGAAGGCGAGAAGCGTAGAACAAGTCGCGTAGATGAGCTTGCATAGGAGATACCACTGTGGGCGGGATCGCCAACATGTCCATAAGCCGCTTTTGCTCGGCGTAATCGATTTCGCGAGTCATCGAGGACTTGGCGTGCGGGACTCTTCTTGCCTCGAGCTTCGGCAAGACGGGTTCTACAGCGTCATAATTCGCGATAGACTGACGGGAAAAGACAGCCGAGCTCGCTTGGTGTCTATTCTTGAGGCTACCGTCCCAGCTAGAGGTGCTTGGAATGACGGCATCCGGAACAAGGGGTTTGTCCAAAAACCAGTTGGCTTGCTCGACCAGACCTCCCTCCCCATAGACTTCATCGGAATAGAGATCTTGCGGCAGTTCCACGCCGAATGGTAAAGACGCCGCTCGGGGAACGCGTGCCTTGCGATCCTGCTCCTCGATGCGCCTGCCTGTGCCGCTCCTGTTTGGAGTCTCTCGCGGAGAGACTGGAACCCATTCATCTTCTGGTGGGGCGACGGCATAGGCGAGGGATGTTCGATGCCTGCGTATCATCGTCTCACGAGAAGGGTCCGCATGTACCGATGAGTAGCGAGGCCGAGATTTTGCAAGTAGAGCGGGGACCTGCGCAGTAGGTGTTTTCACGGTAGAAGAAGCCCCAGCCTGTAGCAGAGACAAGATAGTTTGAATACCAAGCTCGACTTGTCGTTATTAGAGGCCTCAAGGCGACGATTGCTTACAGCTGGAGTGCAGGTAGAGAGGCAATATTGACATTTGCACGAGACATCGACCCGCAGCCGATGCCGGGGAAGCGGAGCTATTGGCGGATCAAGATTTTTCGCTAGAGTCCCAACTTCTGAAGCAGCCAAGGTCCTCGATGTGCCTATGAGTTCGACCAAGACCAGGCTTTTATGCAGCATGGACGCATGATGAGTGGACGCGCCAGCCATAGATTTCGATCGTCGCAAGAGAAAGATGTGGCGGAACCTCTATGCAGGAAAAAAAGACAGGGAGAGCCTGGATGGCGGCGAAAGAACACCCAGGACCTGTTCTCGTGGATACGATATCAAAGCGACCAGGGCAGCTATAGGTTAAATCGAGCGAGAGAGTGACCAGGGTGGCTAATTCCTTGAACGGTTGGGGTGGTGACGAGTGTAGCTTCCGTAGTTCTGGCCTTTCGACGAGGCTCACGAGCCATCCCGATCACGTGACTTATAAAGGGCGAAGTGCGATCGATCGATGGGATGGCCCTTGTCTCCCCTCGAGTCTCAGCTCTATGCGGGGGGATGATTGTCAACAAAAGGGAGGTCGAGGTCAGGTGGGCATCCCTCTCCCTCTCCCTCTCTCGGTCCACAAAAGAACAACATGATCGGTCACATTCAGTTGTGATCAGTCGATCGCGATAGTAGCTAGCAGATCTAGCAGACCAGTAGCACTCGCAAGATCGAGAGAGACCAGTCTCGTCAAAGCATCCATCACTCAGCCCTAGCTCACTGACCACACGAGCGTCGGTGCTCTGCGTCGTGATCACGCGCTCCCTCCTTCATCACGGACGGTACAACCACAAATACAACCACGATTGCAAAGTCGATACTATCATTGTATAGGCCTGTCAAACCTCTCCGAACCGCTTTGCGTTCGTCCAAGGCAAAGACAGGAGCTATAGGTGTACATCAGAATTCGAGCAAGATCAACGCGATACACGGCGGCAGGATCGTGACCTAGTAGTACACCTTTAAAGGCCTCGTTGGCGTATCCATCAACTCGCCTTGTCGCCTTGAGGCAAACCTTGAACCACACGCCCTACGAGATTTCAGTATACGGTCACGATGGCAGGTAAGTAGACGATGCGTTGTCGACACATCCGTCGCTCAAGCTTCGACGCGGATATTGACAGAGTTCTCGTTCTTCGTCGCTCGTCGCTCACAGCCATTTATTCGGTGTAAGCGTTTCGACTGATGCCGCCAGACTCGATCGGAGCGAGGCAGTCTCACTCATCTCATTGCTACCTCCGTTCGTCACATTCAGCTTCACCTCGCCTCATCATGCACCGATGCCAAACCATTTGCCCACCCTGATCGTCACCCCTCACGGTAAATAGGTCACAAAACGATCATTCCGTAAATTCGGTCGGATTCGCTGACGGGGTTCGTCCCGCACATTCCTTTCCTGCGTATTCTCTTCTTGATCCCATAGGTCAACCCCACAATATCCTATATTCGTATCTGTAAGTGAACGTTTGTGCAGGTCAAGAACCGCTCGACCAGCAGGCTCATAACCTTGCCCACGAAACAGGCATACCGATCACGTCAGTCGCAGATCTAGTCGGATCATGTAAAGAGCCACCACTAAGCCAATCTTCTCGATGGTGACCGCAGAATTCGGTCAATTACCTCTTGACACCATCGCCAGAGGGCGACTTGTGCGTGGCCAAACTCTTTCCACCGGCTCGACACGGACCGTCCTCTGGGGCTTCCACTAGCTCGCATTCATCCAAGTCGACGCCCAGTCGATCCAATGTCGTCAGATGCGAAGCATCGCGGGAATTGCGTTGGACCATCGAGAACGCGGGAGTCAGGAGCCCGATCTATAAGATCGTAAACTCGGACGATACCCCTCTGTATCAAATTTCGAAACCAAATCCAAACGCCGAATTTTGGACAATGTTTTACTTTGCTTACGCTGGTCATCAGATTCCGCCGCGAAGAGTCGAAGTGAGTGATGGCGCAGAGTGATCTCGTAATCCATCGCAGTACTTAGCAGTCGGTGGCAGTTTGGCAAGATTTCGAAAAATGCTCCAGAGAAGGGAGGCGGGACTCGGATCACGGTGACGGGCCGGACAGAGGACGAGAAGAAGGTTTGGCAAACTTTGGGAGAGGGAAACGAGGATTGTGTAGAATGGGTAATAGCGTGCGCTTGCCTCAACCTCTTGGAGTGAGTTTCGACACGATGCAAGACTTCTATCGATCCCCGCCTGACATGATGCCCGGGTACATATATCGATAGTGACGAAATTCTCAAGGCGGCCGAGCGCAAGGCGGGCGCACCGGGTCCAGCGTCATCTCCAGCGCTGTCTGCTGCAAACGTACGACCCCCTCCTACCCGGCCGATGAACTCCGGGCCACAAGCCACGTCGCGCTCGCTTCCCAACGCCTCCCACTCCAGCCCAATCTTACCTTCAGCCCAAGCATCCCGCCCCGGCAATCATCCTTATGGTCAGCAGGCCTATGATCCAATCAGGTCTAGATCCACTGAGCCGCCTCGAATACAAGGCGTCCGACAAGGAACGCAGCCGGGCGCCGGCGACCCGCGCTACCAGCAACCATATCATCCAGCAAACGTTGCAACCCATCACCAGCTTCCTCCCCAGGGCAATAGGGGTAATGCGCCATCGGGTCCGGCACGCTATGGACCGGGTGGCCAACCCGCACCGCAGGCCTATGGTTCGCCATCAAGGGGATCACCCGCACCGCGTCAGGGACGCATATGAACAATTCGCTAATGCACCAAATTGGCTGCATCGTTCCGTGTTTGATCGGTTCATCTCGCTACATACCATACCACCTGTGATTCGATTTCATTCTATACTCACTCGCCTTCCCGCTGTTGCTGGCGGGCAGCATTGCTTCGCAGACATTTTGATCATCGAAAATGTGATACATACAACTTTGCTACAGCGCGAAGCGTTACGAGCGATGAATCGTTAAGAGCGATAAGCACCAGTCAGACCGTACATCTCCCCAGCTTTCCTCGCCATGATCTCTCTAACAGGTCCCAACAAACGAGTAAAGGCTTTTTCACCGAGCGCAGCGACCCTCAGCTTGTCTCCAGCTTGACCACCAGCTTTGACCGTTGCCGCTCGCGGGGCTCGGTTCAGAAGGGCAAGTTCTTTTCAAGGGGATAGACGTATCAGCACGGTGTCCGTCAGGTTGGTACAAAGTGACTGACCTCCAAAGTAGTCTCCGCGTTTCAGCTCTCCGATGACTCCCGTGTCGGACTTCTCCACGAGGGCGGTCCCGCTCTCAATGATGTAGAACTCGTCACCAGATTCGCCTTCCTGTATGACCTGTTCTCCCGACTGGAACGTGCGGGACTCCAGGGCGTCCGCTATCTTGGCCCGCTCGTAGCCCTCGAGAGATGCCAAGATCGGCACGCTCAACAGAAACGTTTCGTACATGCGCCTCTTGCGAGAGGTATGCTGTGATTGGACGATCGCACACAGAGAAGACGTATCAGAGGCAATGTGCTGACATGTCGACAATGGAACAAGCATACTCACATCCAATAGAATGGTCCTGAAAGAGATTCGGTCCAATGCCCACAACGTCGCCTCTCCCTTGGCGACAACACTGGCTGCTCGAGGAGCGCTAACAGATACCGTAAAATTTGTGGTTAGGGGTTGTACGTTCCTTAGGTCGCTCGATCAGGTCACAATCAACCTACTTGTACATCAAAGCGAGTTCACCGAACGAACCGCCAGGTCCCGCCGTGTGAACCTTTTTGCCTCGATTGTCCGGGTCTTCTGCCTGATTCTCGGTCGAAGCATCGAGTTCCCGTTTAAAGATGTCAAACTCTCCAGACTCGATCACGTAGAAAAAGTCACCGGCAGCACCTTGTTGAATGACAACTTCGCCAGGTTGAACCTGGACTTCCCGCATCGCCGCGAGGACGTCCCGCTCCTGATCTTCATCGAGGTTGCGGAAGAGGAAATTCTGCCCGATAGCCTGCCTGATCCTCTGAAGCTGAGTGTCCGTCTTGACCGGTTGCGAAGAAGGCTCGGCGGCACTGTCTAGCGGTTGCTCAGCAAGCTGGCCAGCAAAGGCGCTCCCGCCAAACGCAGGGTCGTTGGGAACCAGCGATTCCGCCGAGACGGAGGTCCGTCGGCCCAGGGCGTATGAGGGGGGTCGGAGCTCATCGGACGACGCATGGGCGGTGCCAGAAGAGCTGGCCTGAGGTGGAAACTTGGCGTTCTGAAAGGGGGAAGACTCGTCGTGAGGTGGATCCGAGACTCCTTCGCTAAAGCTAAAGTTTGCAAACGAGCTGGGTGCATCGGAGCCGCCAGAGGCCGGATTGCTCATGATGGCATCCTCGTCTGCAGAGCCTTCTTCAGCGAGTTGAGGCAAGTGTTTGACTGTAGAGGGCGCGACTCCCATTGTATAGTTGGCCGAAGCACCAGTGTTTGCAAGTGTCGCTCTTCGTTGAGACAGCAAGCCGCCTCCACCGAAGGGAGAGTCCGTAGGAGCGTGTTCAGAGAACGGCGATGGTTGCGACAGGTGGGCTTGGAAAACGTTCAGAGGTGCTTGCGGAAGACTCATGGTCGGGAAATTGGGAAACTTGCGAGGCGAAGCCATGGTCGTCGTCGGTCCGACCTTGGCCAGGGTGGCTGGCTGGGCGGCCGCTCGCTATGCAAAGCAAGGGTAAAGGGCAAGGGTAGAGTTTAGCCAAGGGTTCACAGGATTGACATTGGCAAGTGACTCGCCTCGGACCGCAGCTTGGCTTGAAACCAGTCTGCACAGTACTGGAGGACATCGACCGACTGGCCATGTTGCTCGCCGTGAAAGTCCCTGGTGAGGTCTGCTAGCAGACCCTGAAGGGCGAGGCTCGGCATCTCGAAAGTTGAATCCGATTGTCAAACGAAGGGGGGGGGGGGGGTAGGGGAGGGTCGAGGGCAATGAACGGCAATCTCTCTTGACCCGGGATGATGGCGTGTGGGAGTGAGTGAGCTGGTTGTCTACGACGACGACGACGATGAGGGGATCGTTCGAATCGTAGCAGCGAAGGGGGCTAAGCTAGCTAGCGAGCTAGTGCCCCAGACACCCAGCCAGCCCCATGTCCCACTCGGGAGCAAAAACGGGGAGAGGGAGAGAGAGAGCAGCGCATTCCCCTCAGGAACCGACAAGCAGCCACGATAGTACGGATCATCGGATGCTAATGATGATGGATGATGAGTGAATGAATGACAAGATGTTCAAGAGGGTTGTGGGGAGATGGGCATTCGCGATCATTCGTCAAGAGCGATACACTATCGCATAACGAATAAAGCACACGTTCAAGACCTCAAGACAAACTAGCCCCGACGAGGTTGGCGACCTTGCATACACCGTGCTGGGTGCGGATCTTGTGAACGCTCTTGGTCTCGGGATCGATCCAGCATGCCTCCAGGCTATCCAACGTGGTAAAGTTCTGCGGAGAACATCCGAGTCGAGTCATGGGAGTCAGTCGGCGACGTTGGGTCAAAGGAACAACGAGATGCAACTCGGTCTGATCCGGGAATCGGTACGCACAGGCTGGATGGTCTCAAAGATCTTCTTCTTCGGGTTCAACTGAGTTTCCGGGGTTTGGTCTGACGAGCGAGAGATCGATCGAGCCAGCGTCAAACGAGGAAACAAGCGGGCCATGGGTGTGATGATACCAGGACTCACTCTCGTATTTCTCGCCTTCAAAGTAGATCCTCTCGCCAGGCTGGCTCTCCGCGGGCGGCTTGACGAATTCTAGTCCACCGTCCTTGCCATCCGCAGATGACGCCTTATAAGGATTACTGTCAGCGCACAGTATGAGGCAGGATACAGCGACATCGACATACACATAATAGCATGGCGTATGATTTGACTCCTCGCATGGTCGCAGGTTTCAAGTTGCACTGAATAACGAAAAGGGGCATGTTTATACATGAGCATCGTCCGTTGGAGGGGTCAGACTCGGACACGACGAAAAGCATCAACTGACCACAATGACGAGGCTTTGACCGAGAATTTCCTCCTCCTTCATGTACTTGACTAATCCCGAACATACAGTCCGGGGGCCAGTCTCCTCTCCTATGTCAATTTTCTAAAGGGGTACGAGTTGGTATGATGAGCTGATCTAGCTTGTGAAGACCGACAAGATGAAAATCCCACCTCTACGTAAAGACTGTCGGCATCTGGATGTCGAGATACTGTTAGGCAGTCGAATGGCAGTAGCACTGTATCAGCGCCCTGGTATTTCCGCAACGAGTCCAGTCCCTTTCTCACCTTCCAGAACCTTCCCGACTCGCAGATCGATCATGCTGGGCATAGGAGGGCCGGCTGGCTCAGCGGCAGGCTTGCCTTTCTTGCTTTCAGTTGGCTGAGGCGCTTTCTCCTTCTTCTCTTTCTTCTGCTTTTTGAGTTGGTCCGCCGAGGCAGGCTCCTCCGAAGCGGCAGGCTTGTCTTCGGTCTTGGTGACGGGACTAGCCGCCTTGTCTGCCGACTTGGCCTTCTTGCTCTCATTCTCAGCTGCCTTGGCGCCCTCCTTCTTGGGTTTCTTTTCCTTGACCTCCACCTTTCGCTCGATAGGAGGCATGTTGTCAAGATCAAACTCGACCAATAAGAAGGGAGTATCTCGGAGCAAGGTTCTGGCTTCGTTGACAGGTTGAAGGTGTTGGATGTGGTTGTAGTAGCGGGTAACTGCAGGCAAGGTGTAGTACCTCTCACGTTTCATACGCGACTGGACGGATCCATGGCCATGTCAGCTTGCAGTCTTGCCGAGTTGAGATGTTTGCATTCACCATTTCACCATGCAACTCGGTATATAACGCGACATCAGCTAGTGTGGGTTGTAACGAATGCAAGTAGGTAAGGGAGGTGAGCTTGGCGTCGAGAGCCTATTAACAAAGCAAGGTTCAGCACCACACAGCATTGTACTAATGTCTTCATCAGCGGCCGACTGACTTGGATATCGCTACTCAGTTTGGATGCTTCTGACATCAAGGAGGAGATAGTAGCCTTCTCCTTCTCATCTGCACCGGCCATGTCCGGTCGCAGAGCGAGGACTTTATCCATGAACGATTTGTTGCTGGTCATCCTGTACTGCTGATTGACTATTATTCGGTGCGGAACAATTCTGCCAGGCCGTAAGAGGTTCGAGAGCATCAAGCGGGCGATCTCTCTTTGACGTCTACGTATCAGTGTAAAGGACGAGGAAAGGATCCATCGATATCAGATCAGGACCGGGTGCGGGGTGGTCACCTCACGGCCTGGGGTGCATGAAAAGCGCGACGTGATAAGCGCGCCACCGTCCATATTTCATGCATATGTGGATTGAATAGATCATAAAGGTATAATGCAGATCGACCAGCATGTCAGCATACGATGGCACAACTTGTAGATCTGTAGACTGCGAATTCGAAAACTTGTCGGTGCACTAGGCTGTCGTAAATCAGAATCTGCCTTTGTCCCCTGCGGTCTCGTTCACTCCGAGACGTCTAGGTCTGTCAAGTCTGAAGTGTCACTTGTGGGCGATGTGGGGCTCGCTGCTTTTCGCCTTTTGCTGCGCATCGCAGTATCCTATTTTCGGGATCGACAGATGTCAGGATAGCACTTTACCGAGGCAAGAATCGTGATAGTCCCTCACCCTGGGATTTGAACGGCCAGCGCGCTTGGCCTTAGGCTTGATCCTGACCATCTCGTCACCAGACTGTTCTTCATAGTCGTCGGTATCAGGCGTCTCCTCCCCTGCCGTATCATCACCGCTGTCAGGTGTCCTTCGACGCTTCCTTTTACTGTCGGCCGGGACATCACGGACCGGCGATCAGGATCATTGCCGATCGAGCTGGACAAACCTCCCTCGGAGAACTTACGGTGTAGGTTTGACTGGCGTAATTCGTTCTTTGGGCGGTTTGGCGACTTTGGGGGGTTTCTGGGTAAAGTGAAAATCGGAGACAGACGGTTGGATACATGTACGGGGCGTAGTAGCGTAAGGAAAACTTGCCTCGATAGGCAGCGGTTTGGCCGGCTTCCTTGCCGTTGAGGCTTGCAGCTCACGCGCCATGTCGGCGGTCAAGTATTGCTTTCTTGCGATCTAGCGAGAGTATGAAGTCAGTGGCTTGAGCCAATGCCTCGTATCAGAGAGGGATACAGACCTCTTTGCTGACGTCGCTGTTCGGTAATCTAGCGAATATGTCTGACGGCATGTTGTGCTTGCCGCTGTATTGGTCGATAGACCATTGCTGGGCTTGCGCTCTTTGTTGCAGTAGGAGCTGTGCCAGTTCGCTGAGCAGATAGAGCCGCTATGATCACGGCGACAGCACAAATGGGGTAAGTAACGAGTCTCGGCGGAAGATCTCAATCACAGAGGAAACGTCGCACATCACCGCTCTCCTTGATATCTTGAACGGTCTTGATCCGGTTGGCCAAATAGTAAAGCAGAGTGACATTCCGCTGATTGGCTACTTCATCCAAATAAAGGTTGATGTACCTTACCGAAGGCAGGTGAGCCGGGTCCTGGTTCAACGGCCGAGGGCGTACTTACTGGCTCATAGCTATCAGGTCGTCCGCGCCGGTTGTCTCGAAATCCGGATGATGAGCAAGGAGGGATAACAGCCGAACGAAAGGTTTCTCAATCATAGTCACGCGTTGTTCTAAGGAACCAGATGAGATGGAGGTCAGCATCGTCATCGATTCGTGAAGGGGAGGATACGAGGTCTAAAGACCCACTGTCTGGTAGGCGGTGCTGTACATCCTGAGTGATCTTGATACCCTGTGACCCACACGTACACGCACATACACAAGGAGAGCGAGAGAGAGAGAGACGAGCAAACTTAGTCCCAGTAAAGATCTGATGTAATAAACGCTTCTTTGCTTACCATATCTTTGACATCTTGCTCCACATCGTGGGCGACCAGAAAAGGCAGAATATACCATCTCGGTGCATGTCTCCGTCGCAAGAGGTACTTGTGCAGTTTTTGAAGGTAACCATACCGAACGGGATAGTATTCATCCTAAACCGAAGTCACCCAGACACAATAACGTCGATCAATTCCATTGTTGAGATAGCGCAAACACCTGCTGAGCATGAATTCACCTGAATTTGATAGGCGATCTCTTCGAAGCAGGCGCTACTGATCATTTCTTCGTATTCTCGATAGTGTGCCATTTTGGTCAGGCCCGTGGCAGCCACTAAGCGTAAGTGACCAGCCAAAGCCCCGCTGTGAATTCGGGTGAGCATTTTAGCTATCGTGATATGCAAGGAAATATCGCATGAGATTCCAATTCTTACCTTTCTTGCGGCTCCTCGTCTATCTGCCCCGCGCTAGCAATAACTCGGTGTAAAGCTTTGACCCCTTCCCGATGACGGGCCTGTACCTCGATCACACCGGGAAGGCCCATCAGGCACACCTCGATTTGTACTTTCAAGGCTAGAACTTTCGTTTGCGACCGTTCATCCAGCTCTTCCCATTTCCGCCACCTCTCGTCTGTTGCCTACTTCGTCGGAACAAACTTGAGCTGAAACATCGGGCAGCTTTGCTTCGTTCACTCGACTTACCGCCGGCTCTACAACCTCTGACAAAACGCGTGCGTTGAGTCGGTCCACTATGCTGTCAACTTTTGGCTTGATTGCATCGACGTTCCTCTTGATGAATTCCCTCAAAGCACAAAGAGGCGCCAATAGAGGCGTCGGACTGGCTTCACCGTCCAGAGCTTGGATCGACGCCATCACAGCTTGCTCCACATCATTTGCATTCGAACTCCGGGCTAGCATTCGAGCAGCATACTTTCCTTGCAAAGCGGTCCCTTGCGCACAGAAGCTGTTCAGACGCTCTATTATCCGACTAATGGATCGCGTGTTAGATCAACCGCCCTCAACGCAGGTCCCCCCATCTCGGAAGACATACTTTGGCAGGTTTGTGTCCTTAGGCGAGACCATCGCTGTCTGAGCAAGACATTGGAGAGCCAAGTCGACCGGTGCATTCGGCCGTTTATCAGTAAGCAGACTTTGCAGTTCCGCGACGTGGGTCGAGAATAACTGAGCACGCTGTTTACTGATATGCAACAGTATCTTGTGCGCTACTACCGAATTGTCGTCAGAGTCTTGTTTCGTGGCCCTGTTGATCAGCAAGGAGATCGAGGATCGATTGATGATCCAAAAGCTAGCCTTGTTGAAAAGGATCTTGAAGACAGGAACAGCATCCGGAAGGGAACTGTCAAGCCGCTTTAGAGCATCCGACTGTCAGGCGCAGGCGATCCTTCTCAGTAGGAATTCCCGAATATCCCTGCCTCGGTCACCGGACTTGCCCTGGCTTTGATGACCCCTTCGATATCCGTGGAGAGATTCACCATCGCGTTGATATGCTTGTAAAGCCGTGTATCGTTTAGGCTGGCAAAGGATTGCAAAGCTTTCTCCGTGCGATGTGGTTCTACGAACCGACCCGCTAGACGGACAAGACCAATGAATAATTGATGTTGGTACTGGGCTGACGAGTCTGTCTTACCGAGATATTTGATGATCTGTTCCAGACGCTTTTTGACTTCTTCCTCGTCTCGATCGATGACTCCGCCCTATACTGGTCTCAGCTTTCATCGAATTGCCAGGGGAAGAATTGGCAAGCTTACATTGTTGGCCTCACACGCCTTGACGTAGACTTCCCACGGCTGCAGAGCTCTACAAATATCTTCAATCAGCAGCAAGAGCCAGAACTGATAACTCGGTCCGGTCCGATACATACGGGTCGGATAGATTGGTCAAGGACATCAAGCTCTCAAAGGCCGACGCTGATAAGCCACAACAGACCACTAGTAATCTGTCAACCCAATGCGTCTCGGCGTCTGGATCCGCTTTCAACGATGGCAGAGGCAAGATATAATCTGCCGTGACCGTTTCAACGTGCTCCCTGATGGTGGTTGAAAGAATATCGATGTGTGCTCGATGGGCTGTCGCTTAACAGCTGGAAAACTCACCTCTGGGTGATGGATGCGTTGTCAGCGAGGGATTTGTATATACTTTCGGGTATCCAACCGAACTGAGCTATTGCGGCGCTATCTCCTGCTTCGCTATATAAAGACGAGTCGTGCAAACATTAGTAATTAAACGACCAGGCTAGTCTAGAGGCTTGGCCATCACCGGGCTAGACTAACATTTCGTTATATGCCGCAGCATATAACCTTCCCAGAGCTTCGAAAGCTCGCTCGCTTACTGCGGGCTATGCATTGGTTCCTTGTCAGCCATATGATAGCTAGCTTGGAAATCCCAAATCGAACAAACCTTCTTGTCCTTCAAGCGATCTCCCAGCATCTTCAAGGTACCAACACTGACGTGGTGAGCAGCTACCTCATAGTCCAGTGACCCCAACGCCCGGCAGGCAGCCGCTCTGACTCTGTCCTCGACGTCTGTGAACTTTTCGACAAGACCGACTGTAAGTAGATGAGATCGCGATCAGCGAACCTATCCCGCGGTACTTTTTCGTTCGCTTCGCCCGTACCCTCCACGGATGAACGCAACTCTGGATGATGAACTAAGACATTGCGAGCTGCACCGACCCAGGCGACTCGGACTTGTATCGCTTTGTCCGCTCGTCTGCCCATCCACATTTGCCATGTACTATGATAGGACTCAGCTATTGTCAGGTTCCCGACAGGTGCGATTGTCGCCCCGCTAGGTGAACCGAAGATCGCTCCCAAGGTCTCCGTTGTAAGGACCCGCAGTTGCAAAGATCCCCCCTGCAGCGCTTCTTCCAAATACGGTATCACATTGAGCAATACCTCCGGAGCATGGGCAAAAAGCAAGCACAACATGCTGTGCGCTTCCCGCAGCTCGCCCATATCGTCATCGGAAGGGTCTTTGCCACGTGTATCGTGAATGTCCGCGATGTACTGTGAGCAGAGCGATCAGCATGTGCGGCGAACGCTCAGGCAGGGAATCGCTAACTGACCGCGTGCAATTGCCGCTGGAGTTTAGGTGCAGAGTTCCTCATAATTCCGACCGTCAGCATGAATGCAGGATGAGCGGGATTCTACAGATGAATAGGTCGCCGTTATTGGGGTTCTGGTTTCAACACGATGAAGCGAGCCTACCTCTTTGTGAGCTGATATTTGTGCCAACAGAACGTTTTCCAGCAGTCCAACCGGCAGAGTCCCCGATTCGTCCAGCAAAGACGTCAAGATGTCCTGAAGCAGCCGCAACATTTGCTTGTTCATGTCGGACCTGCTAGCTTGTTTCAGCCTGGGCTATCAGTTTGAGGCATCCAGACTCAGTCTACCGACCTGACGATGGAGAAAAGTCCGATGAACCAGTCCTTGGCCAATTCCTCCCCGCCACTAAGATCTATGACAAGACATATGCTCCGGATGGTCGCGAGGCTGTCCAACAGATAATAATACTCGGAGTAATATGGTATATCGGTCATACGGGTCGTTGTAGGCGCTCTGGATCGCGAAGTCGTCGGGAAAGAAGACTGTGCCTTGAGGTGATGTGATACCTGGGTAAGCATGAAGACGAATATGTCCTGCAAGTTGATTATCAGCCTCTGAATGTTTCTGCAAGAGAGGACATCGGATCTTACCTTCAACCTTTCATCCTTGTATGGAGGATCAGGAGCGTAAAGTCGAAGCATATCCGCGAGACAGCATGCACAGTATGCCTTGATACCCTTGCTAGTAAGCCAAAGCCGAGCAATCAGGGATCGATCCATAAAGCCCCGAGATTGTTATGGCCGATGAAGAACTCACTCCTTGTTGAGAAGGATGGACTTCTCAATCAACTGTTTCCGAACAGCTTCGAGGGATGATATATCGGTTTCATCTTGGTTGAGTGCTTTCAGCTTCTCATGCAGCTCCTAGAACGCGCAGCGATGAGAGAGAGAGCGACTCATCAGAACAGTCGCGCAGTAACAGTGAAGTATTGACGGTTCGAACCTTGAGTCTTGCACGGATACCGTCAGTTGATGCCCCCTTGGCCGAGATCTTTCCTTCAAATTCCAGCTTGGCCTGACGAGCCATGACGATGACACACTCCGGTCGATAGTTACGGCCGGCTTTCGCAGCAAGAAAGACCACGGACGATGCGGCACGAGAATCCTGCGTGATCTCGAGAGTATTTGTTGCTCTATGTCTACTACTACGCTGCCAATAGCGACTCTCAGGTGGGGAAGCTCATAACACCAACATCGTCATCAGCTTCATCATCCTCATTGCGATCGTTCGAACGCGTCTCCGAGATCCACCCATACGCGGTCGCGTCACCGGTAAGTGGTCACGTGATCAGACGCTGTCTGACCATTACCCCCCCCCCTTCTCCCATCGACGTGAGACTCGACGTGAACCAGCTCGCATCAACACCGCGCTGGAGACCCAGATCACGGGGAAGGTGGTCAGTCAAACGAACGATTGTAGCTTGTAGCCTCGAACGGCCATCATAGCTCGTAGTCTCATCGTCCATAGTGTGACCAGGATCAAGCGCTCTAAATATCGTGCAAATGTAAGCGTCGCCTGCAGGGGGGGGGCCAGATTCGACTACCTTCTTACTCTACTCGATCCTCCGTTCTTCTTATCCCGCCACGACAGAACACAATCAGGTCACAACAATGACGGAAGGATCAAACTACGACTTCTTGTTCAAGGTACGCTGGGCCGGAGATGCAGCCGTGCCACTTGAAGGGTCCGGGTTTGACATCTGCACGTCTCGTTCCGGTTCGCAAAAAAAAAAGGTTGTGCTCATCGGAGACTCTGGCGTCGGGAAATCGTAAGTGAAGAGCAGTGTCAAGGCTTGCCTTCCCGCTTGGGTATCCCGATCTGATCACCAGTATGGATGCGTTCGTCAATCACCCTAGAAACTGTGCGTATCGCTGTTGATTCTCCCAAGCTGCCATGGCAACAAGCAAAGGATGCAGTGCAGTCCAAGCTCATGCTCTTCTTGGATTCCGCATGTCGGCATAGTGCTCTCGCGGTTCACCAGGAATGAATTCAACCTGGACTCCAAGTCTACCATCGGAGTCGAGTTTGCTACTAGATCTGTTCAAGTAGATTCCAAGACAGTCAAAGCCCAGATCTGGGATACGGGCAAGTCCGAATCGAGGTCACAAGCCGAACAAGGGCGACTGACGACTCGATCATATGCCTGCGTTCGATAGCGGGTCAGGAGCGATACCGTGCTATCACTTCTGCGTAAGATGGAGAAGGTGGCTGCATCGTCACCCGTCTTTTCCTGATGCTGATTTGTGCTTGTTCATCAGCTACTACCGAGGTGCTGTCGGGGCTCTCCTCGTATACGATATTGCCAAACACCCCACATACCAGAACGTGCACCGATGGTTGAAGGAGCTCCGTGATCACGCAGACTCCAACATTGTCATCATGCTTGTCGGGAACAAGAGCGATCTCAAGCATTTGCGAGCTGTCCCTACAGATGAGGCGAAAGCCTTTGCTAGTAAGTGAAGAAGATTCGAACTCGCGACACGGCTCCTGTCAACGTGCCTCAAATCAGCTACTGACAATATGCTATAACTCGGATTCCAGCCGAGAACAACTTGTCGTTCATCGAGACGTCGGCATTGGACGCTTCCAACGTCGAGGCCGCTTTCCAGAATATCCTGTCTGGTGCGTATCCCTTTGGCCTGCGGAGTCCCTTTGATCCTGCGCTGATCAGCTCGAAACGCTGCCTATGATCCCAGATATCTACCACATCGTAGCAAAGAAGAACCTCGAGAACTCGAGCGATGTGATTCAGCCGTTGGAAGGCCGCGGCATCGATATCGCAAAGTCTGAGGATGATGGCGGTGCCAAACAGGGCGGCAAATGCTGCTAAAGCGAGTCTTATGCCAGGGTTCTTGATTTATGTGATCGGCGCGATTTACGCGGCGTCACTTGATTGCGCGCAGCCTGTCGGATGTGATTCTCATCTACATCCCGAATCCGACGATCTATCACGCTTTCCTTTCTTTTGTCACGATTTTTGTATGGCTTGTAAACAGTACGCAGATTCGATATCTTATTCGGCATAAGGGATGGATGATACAATGTGTAGCGACAATTCTGGTCATTTCTCGCCGTCGTGCTAGCGCTGTGCATTAAAACAAGCCCGTCTATATATCTGTTCGTAACATAAGTAGCCTCAACATTCATTCAGCAAGGGTCGTATCAGGTTTCCTCGTCCAGTTCATCGCTGTACGAGTCCTGGTCGTAATCAGTGTCGTCCATACAAGTCAATTCGTCGAGGTATTTTTCATCGGCCAACAGGTCGTCCGGCTCGTCGGTGGTCAGAGGGGTAGCGAGACCTGGTCGCTTTTCCAGCTGTGCCGAGACCAACATTTTGAGCTGGGCCAACTGTTCCTCCTTGATTCTATCCATCTCTCGCAGCGCCGCTTTCTCTGCGGCGCGTTTCTGCTCCTCTAGAAGCTCTCTCTGCATGTGTCGCACGCACACGCTGCAGCGGCACCGACGAATCTCCTCAGTGGCGTAGTGCCAGGCGCTCCTGATGACGTTCATGATCGAACGGGATATTTGCTGTTTTTCGGCAGGAACCCATTTGAGTTTTTTTGGGAAGCTGTACTGCATATGCCGCCACCTTTCCAGGTCGGCCTGGTCGATCGTCGCTTTGGGAAGTTCGTACGGTCGCTGACTTGGGACGTGCGAGACATGTATTTGACCGCTTTCGTAGGCAGGCTCAGGTCCAGAAGAGGTGGGGTCCAGTTTGCGTTCTTTGCGCAAGGGCCCTTGCTCGTCGTCCTCGGAAGAACGAGGCCTTTTTCTATCTGGGACTTGACCAGCAGCTACCTCTGGGTTCAAAGCCGCCGCCTGACCAGCCGACCCTTTCCACCAACCTTTCACATGGATCCGGGGATCACTCAACCAAGCGATTAATTCCCAATCCGGCATATGTTCCGCCTGTCTGCCCGCAACCACCACATCCCCTCCACAACGATCGATCAGCATCCGTTCGACGTTTCGCAGAAGCGAAGGCAGGTTCTCCCGGAGCTTCTGGTAGATCGTCATTCTAAAGCGCCAAAGTAGAGCTGAAGGCGCATTTGCCCAGGCAAGACTTTCAGAGAGGTGGTAAGCCTTTGATTGCGGCTGGTTGGGGGTAAATAGTGGCGAGAGCGGTGCGTATGTACGAAACGTAGTCGTAAATCCGGGGGTTGTATGAGGAGTGTCACTTTCCTCTGGGGCTACCCAGACACCGCTCGCTACCAGTTCTACCGCTGTTTCCACGACCAGCTCCTCGATCGCCAAATCTATTTGCTGTGGAGCGTTGCATCACAGGTCATTTAGTAGGATCGACTGCGTACTCAACGCGCGGATTCGAACCTACCTTTTCGGTGAAGCCACGCGAATTGACCCATTCCGCCTCGTTGATTGTCGAACCTCGCAACCTGTCCTTATAGCGATAGGATCGCTTCCACGCTTTCCATCCATGATATTCGTCAAGTTCGCTGAGGATCTCTTGAAACCTCGAGTGTTTATTCAGCCACTCCGCTTCCTTCAGCGCCTCTCCTGCTACCCTCGCCGTGCCCAGGGCCATGACGACGTATTCCTCGGCTACTCGAGATTCTTGGAAATCTTCGACACAGTCCTTCCCCTGCGTGTCGTACAGCGCGATGGTCCGACAATCTTCGCAAGTGTCGATCTTTCTGCAGCCAAAAGTCTCCTGATCGTCTGTATCTGCCAGGCCGAGATCCTCTTGATACGCATCTGCCGATCTGCAGCAGCTCTGGCAGATATCTTCATTGTGGTTTAGGCAGACTGGTATCCAACCGAGAGTGCAGAATTGTTGATACCATTGCATCGATGCTGGCTTTCGCCTCTTGGCCGTCGCTGCAGCGGTAGCCCGAGAGGGCTGTGCGCTCTGATACAAGGCGCAAATCCAGCAGTAAGAATAAGCCAGATCCCTGTTCCGGAGGCTGGCGTCCTTTGGGTTGACGGGGGAATGTTCCCCGCTAATCCATATAGCAAGCTCGCTCCAGAAGACGTGATTCTCCACTATGTCGACGTAACCATAGCAACAATTTTCGCAGATCAGCGTCATCTTGATCCTTATTTCGATATGAAGGCTCTCACCGATGATTTCCCACTTGGCGCTCACCTGGCGCAAGTCTTCTAGTTTACGGGCGAAGCACATCACTGTACATAACGGTTAGTCACAAAAAGACTGTTTGTCCCAGGGCTCTGCCGCTCACTATGGTAAAGCACTTCAACGGCGGGATCTCCAGGATTATCTTGAGAACGTTTCAGAAAGTAAGGGCCTCCGTACTGTTTCGGCGGTCCCGCATGGCGGTAGTCATCGAGCAAGTGTTCGAGGACTAGTCTTTGGTGGGAAAGAGAGTCAGCTCCTCATCTCATCGCAAGGCGATCGTTTCGCTCACTGGAAAACTGAATCAGGTAACGAGTTCCACTTCCTCTTTCCGACCTTCTGCAGTAGCACATCCGCCATCTTTGACCACGAATCACAGTTGACACTCGCTGTGGTTGTCTTGTCGACCGATGCCCTGTCGAACGACGCGGAAGGCCTGTGACCCGCCGAGCTGTATGATCGATCCCGAGACAAGGTTCTTGGTACAACGACGACAGAAGGGTTCGTATACAGTCGTATTCCCCAGTGGCCAGTAGTGATGCCGTCCTGTTTATGTGGGCGGTGGTAGTAGTAGTAGTACTTGAACGAGCAAGTCGATAGGAATTGTAAACGAGCTTCTCGCGATTTGTTACTTCGTCAACAAGAGAGACAGAGAGAGAGAGAGGAACCAAATTTGCATCCGCATGACGATGATGATTCATCCTCGCTCGGTTTGAATCGGGGTGCAAACAACAACGCTCAGGATATAGCTATCCCGCACAAGCAGCCATGGCACATCACGCTAGCAACCACGGTCGCTCTTCCCAGAACTCGTCCCGCACAATGTCCTCGTAAATCACAGCTATCTCTCCCTTGGTCCCGTCAAACGGCACCACCTTTTCCTTCTTCTTTCCACGTTGTTGATCCGTAATGGCCAGATTTGCGATACCGCTCGCAACGTTCGGGTCGCCCTCGACCTTGATATCGGAACCGATAGCAGCCGATTCAACCGAATTGCACTGAGATGAGGAGGCGGCGCACGCTCGTCAGTCTCGAAGGTCATATCTGTACAGGATACAGGCAGCCCACTCACCTCGACAGCCGGACTCGTCGTCCGTATGAGGGTACTTCCCTTCCGGAATTGAGCGGGCAGACCATTGTAGTTGACGCCGAATCGGCTGAAGAGGATCTCGTGCTTGTCCTTCGAAAAGGTACCCTGCAACGATGAAACCTGATACTTGTTAAGAAAGGCCTCTGCCATCGATGTCCTTGGTGACTTGCCGAGAGAGTCTTGTGAGCTTCAGCCGTACTTTGTCCACCTTGCTGAACCAGTGCCCAAAACGTCGTGTTGTAGAGGTTGTTGATGTGAGCTAGAGATGAAACAAGTTACATTCAGCTCGCAGTTGAAGTTCTAAACACATCTCAGGGACCCACTGTCAACACCACGCCACTTGAAGTAGTCTCTCACTTCCGTCACGCCAGGGTATGGGACCAGTCGGCCATCGAATACTGGCGGATAAGCCAGAGGCAGGTCGGGGAAAAAGTCTCGCCAATGGTAGACATAGGCCGATGTGAAGAGGGAGACGATCAGGGTCAAGATCTTGCTATAAGATCCACATGCACGAGATTATCAGGTAACTGTCTGCGACACTGGGATGAGCGTTCGTGCTCACCTCTGCCGGCGGTTGTACAGCTTGGACTGCTTCCGTACGAGAAAGCTGGATTCGAAAGTTTGCTTTGGTTGTGGAACGTTTGGAGACGCAACGAGACACGCATGAGCTACTCACCTACCTATACTCGTCGCTTTCACCGAACGCTACGATGACGTCCGCCACCTCGGTCATGACTTGCTTGGCAGCCCGATCCATCAGATCGAGGGCTCGCTTATCGTTCGGTTTCGTAAAGTTGTGGGTTGTCGAGAATCTGAGATTGCATAGATGACGAGGTCAGACCTTGGAGACCCCGTTCAGACTTGCAGGCCAGTCGAGACTTGCTTGTGAAATCCTTTCCCGTCTATCCTGACGAGCATCCAGGTGTTTGGCAAGACCTTGTCGGCGAGCTCAAAGTCGCGCACGTATGTGAAGCGCGAGTTGGCCATGTCGCTAAATTGGTCCTCGTAACAGATCTCGCCAGCAGTCGGACAGCCGTGAGGGCTTGCGAACTTGTCGGACTTGTGACTAAGAAATCGTGGGAGAATTTCGAGATGTGTGATGCGTATGTCACTCATCACCCCTATGTCGGCTACGTCAGCCAGCTTATCAAAAAAGGAAACCCGGTTGGGGATAATTGATGATGAGGGGGGCTATGACGTGGCAACGCCAATCGAATCCCGAAGGTCTCGCTCGACCCGACGTCGTATTTCGCCATGGATCAGATCACGATATTTCACGGTCAGCCGAACATCTCGCTATCATCCTAGCCGGGATGGACTGGCATGAGGTCGATATGATGACATCTTTATCGTCGACCGGCCTCCTCCCCTTCTGCTTCTGCTGCTGCTGCTGCTGCTGCTGCTGCTGCTACGCTACCCTTTTGCCAGTCGAGGACGCGCGAACGCGTAAAGGCGAGGAGGACCCCCTAGGAGCAGCAGCAGCAGCTAGTAAACAACAAACACAACAAGCTGCACTCACCTTCCCCCCCCTCCCGTCGGTCGTTGATCGTTATTCCTCTTTCATCCCTCTGAACAACTATACTTGCGACCCTGTACACAGCGTTGTCCAGCAACATCCTTGACACTACACCATTGACCGTGAATAGCCAGGTCTTCTCCCTCCTTTTGTATGACATCGCCATCAATTCATCCTAATCGACAACATGGCCAACGTTAGTCCGCGGAAAACACCCAGGCGGGAAAGGGAAAAGCAGTATGTCGGCTTCAATGCAGAGCCGCAAAACATAGGGACGTAAGTTGTCCAAATGTAGTGAGCTATCCGGAGGTGCCACCAGCGTGCGAGGCTGACGGCCCGACCTGTACCGACACAAATGCCAGGCGGACAGGCAAAGCGATGCCAGAGAATGTCAAGCTGTTGGCCAACGGATTCGAGGACCCTGACGAGTTTCTCAATGCATCCTCGTCACCTCGTGCCGAGACCGAGATGGACATCGACTCGGTTAGAACCGTCAACGCAAGAGCAGGCTTCATCAGCGGTCGCTCCTCTGTTGCCTCTCGAAGAACGGTTAGGACCGAGATTACCTCTCGAAGCGTTGTCGGCTCTGTGAACGGTCATGGGAGAAAGAGCCTGACTGGATTGGCAGAAGAGAACGTACGGGATGATGACGAAGAGGAAGAGGAGGAGATGAGAGGTCACGTGGTCGATAGCCTGCTGGACGATACGCTCTCTGGCAAGGGCAAAGGGAAGCAGACGGATAACGGACAGATGAGCCAGAGTCTCGAAGACATGGAACTCAGTACCATCGAGGATACGCCAAGTAAGCTCAACGGAAGCGGGTATCCTAGAGGGACAACGAATTTGACTAATGCCTGTGGACCCGCAGCTAAAAGACGTAACGGTCCCCATCGACCCCGACCCTCGGCTTCGCCTGCCAGTGGCTCATCGCGACCGATACTATCGCAATTGGCGGAACGCGGCCTCGATGATATCAGGCTTCCAGTCAACGGTCTCAACGGCGATGACTCGGGCAACGCATTCGACGACGACGATGAGGACAACGATGGTGACGTGGCGGAGAGCCCATCCGTCCGTGCAGCCAAGACTGGCAATGCCAAACGAATGAACGCTTCAAAACGGATATTTACAGCGAAAAGCAAGCGACTTTCCAAGGCGAATGGAGAGCTCAGTGCGCTCAGTAGGCGAGCTCCGAATGGCAGCAACGGAATCGGATCGCGGCCATCAGACAGGGACGATACCGCCGCTCCCCAGGCGGGGCCTTCGAGACGCACGGGCGACTCCGAGCGCGACGGAGAGCAACGGCAGGACGTTCAAGAAGAAGACGCAGAGGCCGGTGGGCTGGATGCGGATGATGAAGCTCCAGCGGCAGACGATCAGGTTCTCGACGACGAGAATGCTGATGGCGTCGATCCGGGTTTCGGGATGGACGACTTTGGCGATGAACAAGCGGGCCTGGATGCAGACCCACAGCAGATATCATCGCGCCGATCATCAACTCGGGCTGCAGCTGCAAAATCGCGTGAAAAGACCGCCGCTACGGCCAAGGGCAAAGGGAGAAAGGCTCAGGTGTCTCCGGAGCGGAACAGCGCCGACGAGTTTGATGGAGTGCCTGAGGCAGAAGCAGTCCCCATCAAAGCCAAAACTGCAGCGAAAAAGCCAGCCGCTCGTCCGAAGCCCGCTGCAAAGGCCAAGAAGGTTACCAAAGCCAACCAAACCAAAGCTCTTGCGCGGGAGACTTCGGCAGAGCCAAGACCGCGAAGCAAGAGCCACGCCCAAATCGCAACTGCACAGCTGGAGCAGGTGGATGAAGGTTAGTCAATGTCTTGACGATGGCTTTGTAACGAACGCTGACTCGCTTGACATAGCTGCCCGCACGAGAGGAAGGCTGAGGTCGGCCGCTGAGAGACACAAGCCCCTGAGACATTGGCTAGGAGAGAAGCCGGTGCTGAAGCGAAGCGTCATCACAGACACTGGTGATGCCAACAACGTGGTGCCGGAAGTTCAGGGCTGGCTCATCAAGCAGCAACCCGTACAGTCTCTAGTCAACAAGAGGGCGGGCGTCAAGCGCAAGAGGGCTGGCTCGAACAGCGTGCCTCCACGTACAGCGAATAAGCGCCGCGCAGCTGGTGAGGAAGAAGAAGATGAGTACGCGGGTTGGGAAGACGAGACGGAGGCCAGTGCGATCGTTGCGCAGTACTCGCCTGGAGGTTCCACGGAACAGGAGCATGTTCGACGTAAGCTACGCTTGACCAGGCAGATGTGGGAACCATCTGACATCATTCTCGTTCAAAGGTATCGCTTGCACCAAAGCGATGGTTCGCGTCAAGGCCATCAAGAACGCAAACTTCGGTTATCAAAAAATCTTTGGAGAAGAGGAGTTCTTTGCGGCTGGAGTGCTGCATATCCCTGTCAAAGCCGAAAAGGCTTCTAAGAACTCTCGTGACAACGCTTACGTAGGTGGATATCGACCAGCAAGACAGGGCCATGCGCTGACGACCGCTACCCCAGGCTTTCCACGTTTTCAAGGGATGCGTAAAAGTATCCATCCATCGGCACCAGTTCATCATTGCGGAAGGCGGTCAATTCATGATCCCCAGAGGTTCGTCTCGCTCTCTGATCTCGAATGAGTCCAGAATCGACAGACTCACACTCCATCCGCTCTGGGCACAGGAAACTTTTATGCCATCGAGAACGTCTGCGATAAGACGGTCGAGATCTTCTTCTCCCAGGCCAGAAGACTCAAGCAATCAGAAATCGAAGCGGCAGACCAGAAGGGCGCCGAAAGTCAATCAGAGGATGGACAGGGTATGGACCAGGATGACGGCTCTGGATCGGAAGATGCCAACAATTGATCCGAGGGCGAGACCCTCCGCATGGCACGGCCTCTGTTCTTTCTTTCTATTTCTCAACGAATATTTTCCCCGACTAATTCTTCCCCTCTCACCTTTCGAATTTGTTCTTTACTTTTAAACTTCGTGAACGTCTGTCTCTTGCGAGCTTGATCGATTTCAGCCATTCGTCTTTGTATACGCCTTAGGAGCGATTTTCTTATTACCATTTCTGCTGGTGCTTAGCTGCTTATACATGTCGCGTGTTGTTGCCGGGCCATCTGCTCTCGACGGTTCCGAGATTCGCCCGCCCGCCAAACTCTGTCGAGCTTCGGCGAAAGTCTTACATCCAACTCGGGAAAGCGTTTGTCTTCGAACGATGTGTATGTATTATTGCAGACGAATAGCCACATGACCTCGAGATCGCTTCCTAGACTTCTCCGCCCGTTTCGTGTGCTGGGTATAGAATCATCGGCAGATGATTCGGCAGGTAAGATGACGTCTGATATCTACTTCGACATCCTTCCTTCACTAGACACCGACCCTCGCTTCATCACGTTGCAGCTGCGATCGTTTCGTCGGATCGAACAATACTGGCAAACATAGTGGAGAAACAACACCACATTCATGCTAGTTCTGGTGGTATCCATCCCATCAAAGCTCAGGACAGTCATGCCGTTGGGGTAGTAAGTAGGTCCTTGGCTATCGTCGTCGGACTAGGATCTCAGCCAACAGGTCTTCCCAGCCTGTAGCCATAGGTCGGGCATTGAACGAGGCAAAGATGAGCATGGATGACATCGATGCGATTGCGTACACACGAGGCGAGCCTTTTAGCGATTTCGCCCGTCTATCGAAAGAATCCCACTCACACAGCGATATACCTTCAGGTCCGGGCATGTTTGGCTGTCTGTCCGTCGGGGTGCATGCGGCCAGAGCGATCGCAGTCGCAAATAATAAACCGCTGGTTGGCGTACATCACATGGTACATACGCTAGTGACTGGGCTCTAGTCTATCTGAACTAAACAATTCTGTCTCGCTCAAGCAAGCACATGCTTTGACACCGCTGCTCACGGAAACGGAACCGCCGCAATTTCCCCTTCTAAACCTCTTGGTATCCGGCGGTCACACCATGCTAGTCTTAACGACAGAGACCAAACCTTACGACTACAAGTACGAGATCCTCGCCAACACGATGGATGACTCGATTGGGGATGCATTCGACAAGACTGCCAAGCTGCTGCAAATCCCTTGGTTGGATGACCAGGGCCCGGGGCCATCACTAGAGGCGTACGCTCAGCCGGATCCGACAAATCGCGTCTACGACAAGATACCTCCTCTCAGACTACCAGTGCCAAAAGAGCTTGCGTTTTCCTACGCCGGACTCAAGACAAAGGTTGTTAAAGGTATTCGCGCTCGTACGAAATACGATGCCTAGCAAATCACTGACAGAGTGTTCCGTTTCGTTGCGAACCCCTCTCCATATCCATAGAGACTGCGAAGCTGTTTCCGAACCTGCAAAAGCCGATCCCACAGGAAATCGCTCGAGCGATGGCGAGGAGGTTCCAAGAGGCGGCAGTACAACATGCGATCGACAAGGTCAACATGGCTCTAGATCGACTTGAGGGAAAGGGAGAACATGGCCGGTCAGACCCGGTCATTGTTCGATCGGTTGTCGCCAGTGGCGGGGTGGCCTGTAACGCTTATCTCAGGACGAGGTGAGCAGTTCGCGCGCCGTTCCTCTCACAACAGCATTAAGACTGATACTTCTCTCCTAGACTCCAACAGACATTGGCTGAGCGGAGCCCGGGCACTGGCTTGCCACTGTACTTTCCGCCCGTAAGTTTGGCAACGGGCCTGATGGCATGATCATGCTGCTGAAAACGTCGTTCTAGGTCGCACTTTGCACCGATAATGCAGCCATGATCGCTTGGGCAGGCGTACTTAGGTTACAAGCGAGGGATGGGCGAGGAGATGAATTGGATGAGCCGATCATGAAAAAGTGGCCCATAGGGTCCGTATTCTAATTCGATAAGCCATACGACCTCACGGCCTAGCGCCACAGGTGCAGACATGGGTCATTCATCCATCTACCCGGTCTTCTCATTCTGTTGTTCCCGCTCTTTGACCGCCTTGTCGAATATACTCTTGTATCGGTCTTTATCCGCTCGGAAATCCGCGATCCACCACAGGCCGATATAGTATAAGATCCATTTGAGTGCCCACTTCAAGATGGAGCCTTTGAAACGGCAAACTTTTTCGAGGTCCGTGCGAAGCCTACTAGATCGGCAGAGATCGAAGTCGGGAATTGGAGTCTCTTGAAAGAGCTTGTTGACTCTCGCCATCCTCTGTGCCGATATATCTCTGCTTGCTAGCTCTCTCTCCTTGCGTTTCATTTCATCCCATTCGTCCTTAGGGAGAGGCGGGACTAGTTGTCGCAACCATTTTTTGCCTTGTTTCCGATTACGGTAGAATACCCATTGACCACATAGCTGAGCGACCCAGCGAGATAGCTGTCTCCAAAGCAACACAATGAGCACCAGCATAACTGGTGTACTCGAAATCAGTATGGTCCGTGCAACGGCCTGTTTGATAGAGATTCACTGAATTGTAAGAGCCCCCTGTTGGACTTCCAAACCTCTCTGACATAATTCTTGGCGACTAAGCATACCATGTGCAAGCGAGTGAGACGAAAATTCCACATGATCACGACTGGGATTCGACCTACGTTCAAGGTATTCTTTCTTACAACCATTGCACAGAGTCAGTGGCTGCTATCGGGATCCGATGCATCAGCGCTAGGCAGACTCACGAACTTCAGCATCGCCATTTCTTTGGCCATCTATCGTAGTTCGAAGATTAGCGATATACACAAAAATCTCCATCGGAATGCTCGTTTCCCACCTTTTCCAGATCGAAACCTCCTGCAGCATTTTTGGCGACATCGGCGAGTACAGGAGCTGCATCGCCGGCGATCTTGGTCGCTTGAGGAGCGACCGAGGTCACGACGGGTGCCACGGAAGTCACGGCGGACGCGGCAGTGTTAGCGGCACCCACGATCTTGCCCCCCAAGTCGCCGGGATTGAATGGTGTAGGAATGGGAGACATGTGAATGGAAAGGGAATGAAGTGATACGGAATCGAAAGTGCTCTTATCGATGTGCGCATTCTCGCCGAGGAAAGGTTGAGGAATACGCTCGAACGAGTCGTAGCGTTGTAGGTATGAGGTGTGTGGTTGATTTAGCCCTACCTGTAACATTCACCTCGATATCAAAGGAAGAGCTCAAGAGGGGTGTGTTTCAGTGGGCCTTCAGACGTTTCAGACTGAATCAGGGGGTCGCCGCGCGGGTCTCGGGGGGTTGTTTTCGGTCGATCGGACTGTCGGATTTGACCGATTTGACCGACAAACCCGGCGCCTCGTGCGTCTGGGTATTTTGCATCCGAGGCGGCTGCGATGGCCAATTCCACAATCGTCGCAACTTGTGCTGATAGCTGATAGCTGACGATGGCCAACAGTCGACAACCAACTTCTCACGATTCGAAATAAGACTCTCGCAAATCCCAACTTGTGATCACGAGGACCGTCGATCATTCAGATTGGTGTGGCGAATAGTATCAACTATAAGAACACCCAGAGCCGGCCTCGTCTCATTACCTGTCCATGTCTGCATCTATTTCGACAAGGACCCTGCTCTTACCACTTCGCACAACTTTCACACTCCGTCCGCTTAACACTAGAACGTTTGCAACCATCATGCCCGTCGCTGTCAACAAAGCTTCAATCTCTGCAGATGTCGGCGGTCAGCACAATGTCGATCAGCTAGCCAAAATTTCGCGTGACTTTAGGAGTAAGTGCTTTGTCGAGAAGAAACATGGCATTTCCCTGGCTGAGCTCATCCTCGGTTCTATCATAGGTGATACGATTACCGTACCTACAGACTCGATGCTCGTGGCCGGTATCAAAGCATCCCGAGGGGACGACGTCTATCGCGATGATCCGGCGACCATCGAACTAGAGAACCGGATCGCGAACCTGACGGGCAAAGAAGCTGGACTCTTTCTGGTGAGCGGCACCATGAGTAATCGTGAGTTTCTACAACGTACGGCCTGCGGTCACAATCGGACCTGACACGATCTCCAATCAGAGCTGGCCATCCGGTCCACTTTGGCTCAGCCGCCTCACAGCGTGATTACTGATCACAGGGCGCATGTCCATCAGGTGCGTGACTCTGTTTGCCGCTTTATCGTTTCATCAACCTGATTTCTCAATTCGTTCTAACAGATGGAAGGTGATTGATCTCTAGGGTGTCTCATCAGACAGCTCTCACTGACGCTTCCACCCCTACAACAGCTGGTGGAATCGCTGTCTTTTCACAAGCAACGACCCATGCATTGCCCCCTCGTAACGGTTAGTACCCGACGTGTGCGAGACTCTGCTGTTTACAACGATCGCTTAGCACCATCGTCCGCCCTCGTCTAGGCCATCATCTCACCCTAGAAGACGATATCCTGCCCAACCTGCAGCTCGGTAACGATATCCATACTGCCCCGACGCGCCTGATCTGTCTCGAAAACACTCTGGCCGGCACCGTCTTCCCTCAAGACGAGATTGTCAAGATTTCAGAGGAAGCAGCCAAGCATGACATTATCATGCATCTGGACGGAGCTAGGATCTGGGAAGTGGCCGCGCGTGTCTGTCACGAAAGAGGGCTGCCCATGCAAGACGAAGGGCTAGGGATCGCGTGAGCTTACGAGAAACGAGTTAAAGGTGCAACGAATCGGCAAGCTGAACACGCTTACCCTTATTTCAGACTGAAAGAGCTTTGCGCACCTTTCAACACGATCTCTTTGTGTCTGAGCAAAGGAATCGGGGCGCCTATCGGAAGGTGAGAAGCAATCGTCTGACATGAGGGTTCACCATCATTAGCTCACACCGTTACTGGGTCACTCGCAGTGTGCTTGTCGGACCAAAACCCCTCATCGAAAGGGCTCGCTGGTTCCGAAAGATGTTCGGAGGTGGTATTCGTCAATCTGGAGCTATTGCTACTGCCGCCTCGGTCGCTCTCACTGAGCACTTTCCCAAACTTATCGGGACACACGGCCTAGCACGAAAACTGGCAGACGGTGTCCAAGCGTTGGGAGGCAAATTTGTCTATCCTACAGAGACCAACATGGTCTGGGTCGACCTTGCAAGCCTGGGAATCCCGCTAAAAGATCTTCAAGCGGCCGGTGAGGCTCTCGAACAGCCGCTCGTAATTCGCGGCGCACGGTTCGTGGTGCATCACCAAATAACCGAGCAGGCCATCGACGACCTTCTCATTCTCTTCAAAGAATTGCAAGACAAACATCGTGCAAAGCAAGGCGACCTCGACGCGATCAACGAAAAGAGGCCGCAGGAAAAGCTGATTGCTGGACAGTACTAGCGATCAGGATCATCCGTATATGTATTCGTTGTAGGTATATACAACTCGCCAGCAGATGACAACTATAAACCTCGTAGTGCTAAGGGAATGGATGGCCGTCGATACGACGGCGGACAAGCATAAGGCAAGAAAGGGTGGGTAAATTAAAGATACAGTTGCGACGAAAGTCGAGAAGGTGTGTTTGAAAGTTCAGGTCGCCGAGCATCTCGCGTACATTACGAACATCATAAATTGGAATGCCCAGCGTAAGAGGCGGTCCGGTTAAAGTTCCTTTTCCCCTGCGCGGTGCCGAGGGCTCTCACTCCGGCCGCCCTTTGCTTGATCGATCCGAAAATGGGTTCCTGTGGCCGCTGATCCAATTGACCGGGTCGAGGGTTGTTGAGATATCTCGCACATGGGCTGCCATCGACGCTGCCTCCGGGGCTATCCCAATCCATGAGGGACTTCTTGGCGGTCTGCGCGGCTGGCGATGTCATGTGGACGTCTTCTTCTTCCATGACAGAAGTCACTCGACGGTTCAGAAGGCCGTTGGCGGGGGCGAATGCTAATGGTTGACAGGGTTGTGCAGGGCGCACTGGCGGCTGGGGTTCGCCGTACGTAAACGACCTTGTACGAGTGAACTTGCGGAAATCGTGCAGATTGTTGTCCCGTCGTTCGCAATGTTTAGGATCATCCATGGGCACGTACGCCTGAGGCTCGCATTTTTCCTGTAGGAGCCGGTTTCATTTTAGTTCGCGAATGCCTCAAACCCCGTCCACATCTACATACAGGACATTCCTTGAAGAAATCGCAGTAACCTCCTTCGAGGATGTATAGTTCGGGGAAATGGACTTTCGGGTATTCTTGTTGATTGATCGAACGGTCTCGTGACCGAAAGTGTTTGGCACTAACAAACGGAATTGGATCAGCCCATCTGTTACGGGTCTTAGAGGTGGATCGGTGGCACTCACAATGCAGGCGCTCGCTTATTACTGAACTCGCAATGGAAGATGATAATAGCTGGTGGTATGTCCTGAACCTCGCCACTGCGGGAAGGTCGGGGCAGTTCGTGCCCTTGCGCATGGACACCTTGACCGTCTTTCAGCAGTAGATCCTCGACCGCGGCGTTGCTGTTAACGTTGAGGGCGCCATCGATATGTCCACCTTCATATTCGTAACCGAAACGGCAATCGATGATGTGGTATCGGCTGATTTTTTCAGAGTAATGCCCTTCAATCAAGTCGCGAACCTGCACATATCAAGCTTAGACTCATGGCAACACGCTAGTAAAAGAAGGGACCTTTCGCTTACTGTTTCTCTTGTAACCCTGACAAGCCCATCCTCTTTGACGCTGTGACACGGCAGAACCTTGCCTTCCATTTCGTTGGCACCGAAACCCAACAATCCTGCTTGAGCGTACGGTGACCTCGTGGCCTCATTCGAACCGAAACTGTCCGGCGTGAGTCGCCCGCCCAAGTGGTGAATGGCTTGTAGACCAGACGTGCCAGTCTCGATATGGCTCACGACCCTACCTGTTGTCGGGTTTCCGGCTGCAGTAGGGAGGTTGTCATCGTGATCGCGACCGGCTTCACCCCCTTCGCTTTCGTGACAGACAGAATGAGCTCGGCGCATAGGCGGTTGTCCTCCAGCACGAGCGACCCTGGCCAACGAAAAGATGGCTGCAGGCTGACCAGACTTGCCGTCCATGACTGGCAGAGCCGAGGCAGTCCCCGTGTTGGTGGGGATCTCGTGAGCCGTGTTCGTCGCGATGAGCAAGGGTCTCTTGAGGTAGGGCTCTCGTCGTCTCGATGCTAGGTTGGTGGAGACACGATTCCCGTAAAGGGAGTTCGGTCCGGCACCTCCGCAGGAAAACGACTTGTCGAACGCCCTGCCAGGATTGAACCCTATCCTGGGATTCGAGGGCGAATCGATGACCGATCCTGGAGACGACTCTGTCCCGCTCCCGATCATAGTCTCATCGCGGGAACCGCGGACCTCAAGCATTTTGCCGTCCGGGGACGTATCGCTTCCGAAAAAGTCTCCCAGACCAGGCGAACCTGTCAATGGTGTAGCGGAAGCTTTGGGAGATTCGAGCGTCACGTTTATCCGCATCGGACCCGGTCGTGTAGGCGAGTCGATCTCCATAGAGTTGTCGGCGAAGGATTTGGCGTTGCGCTTGACAGCATGTCTGCTAGGTTGTACATCTCTATCTCTGAAAATCGGCGCAGACTGGAAGCCGCATATGTCAGCTCAGCAACGGTCTTTATCGACAATCTCGTACACGGCGACTCACATCCCCTCTTTTCGGTGACGGTCTCTGTGTCATCGTGAATGTGGGTAGAGGCGGTCTCGACTTGACAGCAAGAGGCCTGAAAGTGGAGTCTTTGTTCTCATCTTGTACGGGCGCACGCAATGTTCCGGAAAGAGGAGCTGTCATGGGCGCTTTGAAGCCGATCTCAGTCTGACTTTTCGAGTTCACCTTGAGAGATGGTCGGCTCAGCGTCTGGTTTTGGTGCTCTTGAATGACGACATTCTCCCGACCCGACTCTCGTCCAAAAGCTCTCTGAGGACGATCTTCTGGCCTGGCCAGTCTAGCGTTTGCAGCAGAGAAAGCGGACGGTCGTTGCATCTGCCCTAGCCGGGAAGACAACTGAGTCGTTCTCGCTTTCGAAGCCTGCCCGAGAGCAGGTCGCCTCGCAAAACGCCCGCCGCCAGTCGGAGAGATGGGAGCCATTGCTCCGAAATAACCGTTCCCATGCACTTCATCATCTTCGTCGCCCTCGTCATCGTCGTCATCATCGTCCGCCCCATGTAGCATACAGGGTATCCTCCGGGGCAATGTCATGCCGTGCCTCTTGTTGGCAGCGGTCGTGTATGGTTTGGACTGCGGCGAGGGCATGGACTCAAAGGCGTCCGAGACGGACAAGGTCTGGCTGAAACTGCGATCGACCTCGCTCGTCAACTCGTCCTCCTTGTCGGTCTCCATCAGCTCGTCGGCATCATCCCCGTAAGAAGAGACGGGAGAGGCCGATTCTCGCTGCCGCAATTCCAGAGGACCATTGATCGGGGATGAACCGCAACTGAGGGCGTCTCGGGAAGGGTGGAAGGCAGCCATGATCGATAAGCTAGGCTAGATCGATCCGGGTGCGTCTTGCGAGTCGGTGAGGGATTGTTTAGCAGAGGTCGAGGTTGTTTATACGGAAATGATTGATGTGTACCAAGCGTGTGGTGCGTGTATCCAAAGGAGTGTGTTATGTGAATTCGAGCCGACAAGAGACGTTTCTATTCCAGACATGCCAGGATAGACATATCTTGTGAGTAAAGCGGTAGCAATGTGGGAGGACGATCGGTATCGAGCTGCTTACGGAAGGGTCGAATAAAGGATACCAGACTGACTTCTGACCCAAAGGCACGACTCTGAAACGCAGCCGCCTGACAAACAAGCTAGACCCAGGTCATCCAAGTCGAAGATGTCGGTCGGAAAGACGTTATGTTGACGGAGGATCCGGTCGCTAGATAGGTATCGAAGTGTGCAAATGCTCGTGGACTCGACACTCTCTGGATATCTAGGTCTTCCAAAGGGGTGGCTGTAACGTCGGAAGGTAGCGAAAGGTCGAGCACGAATGTGATGTGCAAAGTCGGTAGGCCAGCCGGGAGAAAGCTGTTCTGTGGGTAATGGTGCCAAACTAACGAGCGTGCTGAGTCTGTTGACCCGGAGTGATGGGATGACTGAATCCTGAGAAAGCGTCGAGTAGTGAATGCAGTCACGGTTCACGGTCAGGTCGGTCCAGCTTTGATGGTTTGGGTTGCAGTCGAGGCCTCGCGAGCTTGGGATCTGAACCGAAATCCCGAGGGCTGACGAACGGTAGCAGGTGCCGGATGAGAAGTCAGCAGCCAAATAGGAGGCAGGCAGGCAGCAGGCAGACAGGCAGACCAGCAGTAAAGGAGTAGAGCTTGCATCAACCATCCAACGTAGCATGTAGCAAGGTCTGGCAAGTCGCCGACCGCACAATCGCATCACACCACACACATTCGCACGTCTCGCACCCAATGATGCGTGCAACCATGAACCAGCCTCCTCGACGTCTCTCGCGTGTTGCGTGCGCAATCAGCCTCAGCCTCCCTTCCCCTCCCTTTCACACTCGCGGTTACGACACACCATGCTCGCTCATTGCGAAATATACACAGATGCAACCAGCTGGTACAAACGAAGCAGTCACATCAACTCAGCTAGTGCCGTGCGGTCGAGATTGTTGACCTGACACTCTGATTCAAGTTGTAGTTTCTCGACCTCTGCACAGCAAAGGAGCTGATACCCCGACGCGCGCGGGGGCGTAGAATCTACTTGAACATCCCGGACCGACGTTCGAGGACAAAAAGGATCTGCAGCCATTCTGAGGGCAATTCGCCGCAAGACGTGATGTGCTTGTATCCGTCCAGGTATATTATTCAAAACGCCTTGTCGGAGTGCCAGGGGGGACAGGCAAGGCGCAAGGCGAGGAACGACAACCGCGACAACAACAACATGGCGGGATCCCAGGAAAAAGTGCCATGACGTCGATCAATTCCGGGGGGTATCGCTCGCTTGGCGCCGGACGGACGGCTTTCCCCGCCAGAAAAAAACAAAAGGGAACAAACAAAACAAACCCGCGCGGAGAGAACAAGCACCAACCTTGCAGCAAGGACAACTCCCGAGGTGACCCTTGGGAGAGGGCTGGCAAGGGGGGTCTGTCGAGCAACAAGATTCGGGACCTCGAAGTGATCGCCGTCGGAAAGGCGCAGTCTGCCCTCGCCTTATCAGAGACATTTACGACAGCCTCCGAGCAGGACACGCCATGCAGAAACGATCTACAGATCACGAATTGCGAAACACCTCTTTTGTTTGCGTGATGCGTAATTGCACAACTCGTCTTTTGTTGACATCCAAAAACAATCGATGGCGTTCGTTGTGATCTGAAACGTACTCGGCACGGGTCAGGGTGTCGTTCGTCCCGTCCTTCTCCGAGCTAACCTACGCCTCCTCTGTCTTCTTCTTGCTTCTTGTGCGTCACGTTAAGCCAGTGACATCTCGTTCCCATCGGTTCTCGCTGTTCTCGGCTGTACTCCTAGCTGGCAGTACGTTCGCGTGTCTCGCAAACGCGGTCGGATGTCGCCGTTTTGGTATCGGTATTGTTTTCGTGTGCCCGCTCCTGCCCGAGGATGTTCTCGCTTCTCCAACCCGCGCTATGAAACATCATGTCGGGCACGTCCAGTCGTCGCGATCGTTCTGATCAGCATGATCACCATGTTGAATACAAAGTCGAAGCGCATGGACAGCGATATACGGATAGAGTAGCTGCGAAAATCTTGAGCGGGGCCATTCCGACCTGACTCGAATGTCGGGCGATCTCTCCTCTACTCTGATCTTTCGATGTGAGGTGGTCTGAGTAGTCTTTCAGCCTGTGACACGCGACAATGTCGTGAGAGGCAAGCGGAGCCCTCGCGCATAGACAGGCAGACTGGACGGTCTGAGGAAAGGTCCTTCTCCTTGCTTCTCGCATCGCATTCCTTTCATGACATGCTCCTATGCCGCGGGGTCACCAGTGCAAGGAGCACAAGGAGCTCGGACGGATTGTGACGCCTTGTACAGGTATAAAGAGCATCCCGACGGATCCGCTCGACACGTACGGGACAAGGTAGTTTTCCACACGAACCACTTGTTGGGTCTCACGTTCATCAGTCGCATAGACTCGCACAAGAACCATCGTCATCGTCATGTCATTCAGATCTTCGGGCAAGATCGTCGCCGGTCAACTTCGTTACAACCCCTTGTTCAGGTTCCAGGGTGGGATCGCTCCGTCCCCGACCAAGAGCTTCGCCTCGTTCTACGTTGTCAACCGGGACGTCAAGACGATCGTACCCCGGTCGTGGACCATCCTGTCAGCTCCCAATCCGAGTGTGACGGTGAGTCAGGCCTGATGGCAACGGTGTCCCGACTGATGCTGATTCAGGTTGCAAACAGGTCTCCAAGTCGATAACGTCCCGACATGAGTGAGACCACCGCAGTCTCCTCCAGGTACATTCCGCGTTGCAATCCACTCTTCTTGTTGTTGTACCGTGTTGCGCTTGTACAGTCGTATGAGTCGTGATGAATCGTTATGTGCAATGCTTGTATATCATCCTGCTGTGTCCATCTATGATGACCGAAAGCCGTTGATTCTTCGCCCGCCCCGCTGCATCGAGCTTCAAACTTGATCTCCACCTAGTGAACGTTCACTCATCCCGGAACAGGGTTGCTAGCCTCTCCGCTTCTTCGGCCATGTCCTCGGCGGTCCTACACTTCCGGTCCTCATCTTTGGGTACCTTCATCACGTTCCGCTCGTTTCCGGTCTCTTGCGCGACCTCTGCCAGGTTACCATCCAGCTGATGCTCGCTTCTCTCGAGTGCCGGGTAGACATCGTCGTTCTGACCGTTGAAATCGGTCGTCCGACGTGGCAAGAGGTGGATATGCACATGAGGCACCGATTGGCCCGCCGCCGAGCCGTCCTGGAAGACCATCCATCAGCCGATCAGCCGTGAAGTCCACGGTGGTGTCGAAGCGCTCGAGTGTAGACACTCACCTGACAGCTCATAGTCAGACCCTGACCGCCATACTCCTTCTCGATGACCTTGCCAACTTTTTGTACAGAGAGGAAGAGGTCCGTGATCTCTGCGGGGGAGAGGTCTGCCAGCCTAGGCACGACCCGCATAGGGCAGATGAGAACGTCTGTGCATGAGGACAGACAGCTTGAGATCCTATGCGTCGAGTAACGGTAGAGAAAGATACTCACGGCCAGCTAGGTTCGGAGAGACATTGAGTTTTACTTTTGCCCTCCAAGCACAATGTTGATAACCCTCACTCACGGATCAGAGGTCGCATGTTGACGATTCCATAGCTGCTCGTCGTCTTGTAGAAGACCTGAGGGGTGACGATGTACTTGTGGAAGCGGATGACTTGCGAAGACGACATTCTCCTGACAACTTGATTTGAATTGAAACTGCTATCGTTGAGAAGATGTCCTGTATCGTTGAGGTGTAATCGGTGTAATTTCGAGCTGAGGCATCGGGGGACGTCCATTGCACTCGAGCTGTATCCAAGCGATGACGAATCGAAAGGGTCTTATAGACCATAGACATAACCCAACTAAAAGCGCGATTGTCGCCGTCGCGCTTACCGACCTCGCGCTGTTGCAGTGTTTCATCTCGCCCCGGGTGAAATCGACGGCGTCCTCGAAGCGAGAGGTCGCGGGTCCTTTGGCGCTATTTTGCAGGAGACAAACAGCAGAAGCGAGAGAGTGTAGCAAGACATCCTTTGAGACGTTTGTGCCGAATGTGAGGGGTCTTGATGCGAATCACCAGCTGAGATCCACTCGCTCGGCCCCTCCGTCTTTGTCTTGACCTTCTTTCACTCGCGTCGTCCCTGAATCGATTGGAATCGGTCGTCGTCGTCGAAACCTTGTCGCCGTCGCCGTGATGATGAGATTGACTCGGTCAACAGGGTTTCGTTTGTCGTCAGGTACTCTTCTTGCTTCTTGTTGCGCGATCAGAGTACCAGAGTCGATCTCGGGCGGATTCATAAAGTCAGAGATCAGGGAAGCATGAACGAGGAGGAGAGCCAGAGAGCGAGGTTGGTCAATCTCGCTCCATGCTCCATGTCTGCATACATCGACATTTTGAGTCAACCTCCGCCGTTGATTCGTACATTCTAGCCCAGCACCACTATCAAGTTATCACGAGTCACAAGCTAGACAAGCTCTAACCACCAGGCACTAGCCAGTAGCTAAGCTTATGGCACATCTCTTTCTGCTTGGATCGGCCAGCATCATCAACACGACAGTCGACAGTAGCAACCCATGAGCCGTTGAGGTCATCAATCGTTTCCCTCGAAATCTACGATTCCTCTGAACCATCCCTTCTATCCTATCCTCTAAATCTGTCAGCCAGCATGCCATCCCGACTTGGACCTTCGGCGGCATCAACCGCGGTATGCTTGGGAGACGAGATTCAAGAGATCTCGGACGAAGAGCAGAGACAGATGCGGATCGAGCTGGAGCGCGTCAAGGATGAACATGTCGAGAAGTGGGAACTCGAGCTCGAGGTGAGCTTTGAGCCAAGCTATGCCTATCGCCTGTCGAACTGACCCCGATCGTTCGCAGAAGTCGAGTGGAACTCGACCCAAGACCTCTCATTCCAGGAGGAAACGATACAAGGCAGATGGTACATCACTCGAATCAGGAAACCCAGATGACACGAATAGATCACTCGCATCCTCGCGAGGGAGCGACCTGGCCATACACCACTACCAGGACGCTGCTAGGGGTTCCGATCCGTCTCCCAGGGCCTTTCAGAGGCTCGAGCTAGATCTCGACAAGACACGTCTTCGTACCCCCTCCGCTACCAGTCAGAGCTCTAAACGAGCGAGCGAACTCTACCGTGTGACTTCAGGAACCACTTATACGGACATGGAGAGTGCGACGTCGGGGGGTCGATCCACCATCTCCGCCAGAAAGGAACGTCTACTCCGTCTGGCAGCAGAGAGGGGAGTGGGCATCACGCCAGTGACCGACTTTGAAGAGATGGAGCATATTCAAGAAGGGATCGAGTCTCACTACAATATTCAAGGGAACATTTCGCAAAAGGGAGAGCGGGTACAAGGCCTCTGTTTGGCCGACGAGTGGGCCGACGAGATGGAGGCAGAAGAGATGGAGGAAGATTTCGCGTCAGACTTTCCTGTACCTCCCGGGATGCAAGATCAACCTGGCCTGACGGGTTTGGGGATTCTGGGACCAGACATGTTCGCCCAGCCCTTTGGCACCGGACAAGGACAGCAAAAGACGAAATCTGCGGGTGGTTTGAGCCGCTTGATCAGGAGACGGCGCAACTCGGGAACCAGCCAAGCTAGCGGTTCGACCACCAGCGCTCCCTCGTTCACCGCGATAGGTCCGACGCCCGAGCCATGGGTGACATCTCCCCAGGTATCGGTAGCTGCTTCTCATCGCACTCAACAGACCAACCAATCCGACACCCACTCTCGAACAGCTGCCAGCGAAAGAGGCAGCGACAAGACTTCGAGCAAGCGAGGTGCTCTCAAAGCGTTTTTCAAGGGTGTTTCTGGAAGCAGCGCTCCCAGTTCTAGAGGTATCGAGAATATAGCTCGTCGATCGGACAGAAACGGCCCGTCGGGGTTACCCCCATACCCAGCGGCCCTACAGCCCATCCCCATCCTGAAGACCAGTACATCGCTATCGGCATCTCGTTCCGAGGGAAATCTTCCCGCTGCATTAAGAGACCAAACTCGAGTCCCGGCTGCTCTTGTTGACATCACTACTGAGCGAGAGGCCTCCAAGCCGTCCGGAAAGCAAGACCCGTCGGCTACTTCCGTAAAACAGACACAAAACCTCAATCCCGATCAGGATCGATCAAGGAATGGTAGGTCCGGTCTGATCAGTTGATGATAACGAGGTCTGACAATCCCTTGCACTACGCAGATATCACCCCTACAATGGCCAAATCTGAGAACGATACCGACAACGATGTGCCAGCGATACCAGCGTTCCCTTGCGATCTCAGATCGTTACTGGATGTGGTCGCTCACGCCGGTGTCGGCTGGATACCAACCGATGTTGATGCGAGCGGTGCCCTCGGTCTAGAGACGGGTACTCCAGCATTGCTCCTGTTGTCCGTTCGCAAGAAGCGGCCGCAATCGCTGGACCTGTCGGAAACTTCCGTCAAGGCGCAGCTGGTTACAGTTCACCTTCACTTGTTCTCATACACCGCTGCCGACGACATTCTGGACGAGCCAGGTAGCATGAACGGGAAACGATCGATCTCGTACAAGCTAAAAGGAAGGGACCGTACAGAACTCGCTCGGGCCCAGATTACCTCGAGCACCGAGATGATTGCCATTCTCAACGACGGATTCACGATCGCTAGCCCTTACGTAGAAGGCGTCCCTGCCGAAGACGGCTTGTTGACTGTTCGCTTCAACGGCTCTGGTCTGCACAAAGAATGGCTCCTTCAACTCAAAACTATCATCGCGGAACTCGGGTGAGTTGTAGCGTAGCGCCTTGTGATTTGTGGGCAGTGGCTCATCCTGTATCTGTTTTCAGAGCCTGTCAGGATGGCCAAATTTCCGCACCAGGATCGGATACCACGCCCGTCGCAGCCCTTCAAGGTAAAGTCGCCGACCTCGACGTCCAACTCGGTCTTGCTAACTTGATACGCTATTTAGCTCAAAGTGCAGTCCGGCCTGGCACAGCTTCGAGCTTGTCGCGTCGCAATTCGGTGCCTTCCAGGCCGAAGCAGCGGTCCGACCTTTCCTCTGAAAGAAGCGGAATGTCATCTGTCGGACCAAACGTCGAGTCGCTCTTATCTTCTGGGCAGCCCACCATCAATGGCATACGTGACAGGCCTCAACGACGCTCGATCTCGTCCATCGAAAGTTCAACCCTGCCTTCCGTGGAAAAGGCTCGTCGACAGCCTTCTGTTTTACAACAAGCCAGGGCAGAGATGCGAGCTGGTAGAAGCCCGACTCCCATTCAGCCACGGTTTACCAACGCAGCCTTGTCTTCGGCCGATCCGCCTCCAAGCAAGATTCGACCAACGATTATCATTCCCGGTTCAAAGGCACCGATCTCGGCACCGCCTCTGCAGGTTCCCAAACATGAACCGCCCCCCAATCCAGCCCAACATGGTTTACCTCTTGCCTCCCACACCCGAGACAACCGACTGAATCCATCAGGGAATCGACTCTCGAATGATTCGAATCTCGCCTCGTCGGCGGGTTTGACCCCATCGGCAGGAGCGATTTCGCCTGGCGTCTTGCACTATATTGACCCCGCCAATGGACGGACGTACGAAATTCCGCCCGGTATGCTCGAGGCTTTTCTGGTGGGATCTAGGATGGTGGGAGATGGAGGTGGGCTGGTGAACCCAGGCGCAAGGGGTGGTACGGTAGGAGATGGACCAGTACCAGTCGGCGCGCTCCTGGATCAAACTCTATCCGGTGGTAGACATCAATTCGACACGCGCATGGCGTACGATGCCTCGACGTTGCCTACCCCGCCGTCTTCGACCAAGCTGAGGGCGAATTATAGGTTCGAGGACAACTCGTACGACAACCAATCCGCTGCATCCGTGCCGATGAGCGAGCGGGTACGAAAAGAATCTTCGACCTCGTCTGGCGTTTCGCCGAGTCCGCACCTGTTGCCCACGCCGTCGCCTTCGACCACCATGACGTCTGACCTGGTCGACGACACACGCAGCATGGGCACGTTTGGAACGCCCTCGTCAACGGCCGGATCGAGCACTCAATATTCGACCGAGAGCAAGCGACGAGAAAGGAGGGGGAACTTGAGGGATCGAATGCGCCAGATGAAGTCGCAACATCAGGCGGCTGGCAAGACCTTGGATATCAGTGCGTATTAGGTTGAGCGACAATTCTTGGGCCAAGTAATGAATGCACTAAACCGATCGACTTTGACAGTGGCAGAAGCAGAGACTGCCGACCCTTGGGAAGAACCTGAAGAGACGATCATGGACAATGCCCCGAAGCGCGATCCGGTCGTTCGTTTCGCATGAGGGCAACAGCTTAGCGCCGTCGATCACACGCCATGTCAGGTCTGAAGAGCGTCATCCTGGCTTACACATCGGAATGGCGGGCGGAAAGGAGAAATTCTGGAAATATAACGGACGGAAGGAGGAAGATACCGCCGGGATTGTCCGCGGACGAAATGGGGGGGGACTGTCACAGGCTACTGTGACCCGGGCCGGGGTCGACTTTGTACGATTCGAAACGATACCTGTTTCATACGAGATACGATACGAGATACGAGGCAATTCGATCTACGCAGCACCGCCTTGCTGCGACAGAGCGGCGGGACCTATGGGCGGTTCCGGGATCCGGGTTCATACGCATGTCGTTCCCGACGGAGGTTCTTGGTGATAAAACGACCACCGAAGACGGGATCATATTATTGCCAGTGTGTGTTTGGGTATTGTGTCAGGGCTGGGAGAAAAGGTTTATACGGGGAATTGCCTCTTTGAGCGATTTTTCCTTTTCGCCGGCCGTGATCGTCCGACCTGTGGCTCGAAACCGCGGCTATCGCTCACTAGCACTAGCACTAGCAGGCGTTTGAGCTCCTCGTCCGCTGCTGGCTGCTGGAGGGGTAGTGTTATCGCGGGTCATAGCGGGTTCGACAATAATACACGATCATCCCTTCTTCTAGCATCGAGCAACAGGTCGGCGATCGGCGACGAGGCGCCCGCTCGCTCAGATGTCACGTCTCACCTCGTAACGCATTGTCGTCTTTGCAACGGACCCCTTTGTCTTGTGAGGGTTCCAAAGGGGGGCAAAGCAGAGAAAAGGATTTTGTTGCCCCTGCTTTGGCATGTACTCTCGAGCGGGTGGTCTCCCGCAGGCGCAGTCGACGATCTAGATGTGTGGCCAACTCGTATCGCGAGAACCGCGCTCAGATGCTGTAACATCATATCATTGACACCTCGATGATACTGCAGTTGAACATGCTCGATCATGTAATCTTCTCCATCTACACCTCTCCATCTCTGTCATTAAAGTGACATCGCTCGATGAGACTTGTACGACCTTTTTGGCTAGCTATTCTCGTGTGTGTGTCTGTGTCAAAAATAACAATTCTCGCGGCTTCCTCCTCCCTTTGCCCTACCCGCCTGACCTCCCTTTGCTTTCAAACTTGTAATCATCATCATCCCATCATCATCATCTTTGATATCCTCGACTCCATGTCACACTACTACTCACACTGTACTCTTCTCGATAGCCATCATGATCACGATGACCACCGCCGACGTTGCCATGCCCGTCTCACATTGACACCGACACCGACGACATCTTCCTCCGATCCTCTTCGCGTGCCGCCGCCCGTGGCCGTCAGTTGGTACAGAGAGATTGTTGGTAACAACGACCATCATGGCATCGTCGTTGCCACAATCACAACAAGACGATGGTGTAGATAGACTCCTCACAATAGTGCTAGACGACGAACATCCGATAGCCTACGACGGGGTCTCTGCCTGGTCTCCCCACTCGATCGACGTCCGGGCACGACATCGCCCGCCGGATCGCCACGAGATGGAGAGATGGGACGAGTCTCTTCCCTCGTCATCGACGTCGACATGTATAACAGAGCACTCTACCAAACAACCGGAGCGTGCAAAGTCCATGCCTAGGGTTCGATCGGCCCTGGTCAGCCTGGGCCTGCTTTCGCTACTCCCCGTACAAGCCGGAGCGAGACCAGCAGGTCGAGACGGTGCCCGTGCTCCTGCTCGATCGTCTTCTTCGACATCCTCATCATCATCAATACAATCACCGATTCAACGAAACGCAAGAAATTCGGATGGATTTATCATACACGCAAAGAGGGACAGGAGGCGGTCGTCTGAGCTTCGTCTGGCCGATGTTCCGGAGGGCATTGATGAGAGGGGTGTCAGGCGAGGCAGTGAGAGATTTCTAGACGGTGCAGACGGGAAACGACCCGAAAACCAAGCGACACCTCGCTGGACGACCAGGAAGTCACCTACTCTCTCAGCAACACCCCCTGCCACGTCCTCTTCCGCCTCTCCTTCATCCGGATCTCGACCGACTCCTGCACCTCCTCTCCTTACGCAATACCGCAAAGATGGTATCCCTCCCGCCGACCCTACCTCAACACCTACCCCAACCACAGAAGCCACCTTTCGTCGTATTACCGTGCCCAACACTATCCTTCCCTATCTCTTTACTACCGACTCGGACGGCCAATTGGGGACGGCCAATTGGGAATTGTACGGTCGCGTGGCTCGAGACCCTTCGATCATCGGACGAGCCGAAGAGGAAATGACGACGACGATCACGACTTCGCTCTTGGATCCTACAGAACCCGAGACCACCGCCTCGACCTCGACGGCAGGGTCCATGGCTACACAGGTAGCAGCCGCTGATGCCGATGGGATGGATACGACATTCTTGATTACGGATGCCTTGCCTCGAGGATGGGGGATCGAGAGTGATCGTGGGGACCTCTATGCCGTACCCCTGATCACGGTCGCCAGCGTCTGTCTTGCCGCCTTGATATTTTGCTTTATCGTCATGTGAGCCGGTCATAGCCTTCCATCGAACACACACTGCAAGGTGCTGACGTCTCCCAATGTTCACTGCAGTACCGTGGTATCGAGAGCAAAAGCAAAACGCAGGCGAGCAAGACGCGAGCGAAGAAAGGCACAACTCATAAAAAACGAACGGGCTAGACAGGCAGCCGCGGAACGGGCGAACTCGGCGGATGGACCTGGTGACGATGTCATGGCTGGGGAAGGGATGAGGGACGAGGAGAGCAGTCTCGGGGATGAGGAGAATGGGATAGGAGATATCATCCGATCAGAGCGGGTCGCAGGACAGGCGGATCAGCAACGTTCGAACGGAGGGCGTTATAGCGCCGCAGACAGCGATGCCGAGAAGGACGACGTTTTGGAGCAAAAGTTCAAGGTTGCCGGTCAAGGCAATCGAGCCAAGGTCAGACGGGTCGTCAGCGTCGGAGTGACGAGACTGGGGAACGGCCGGATCCTGGAATGGCGGAAAGGGCTAAGGAAACGCAAGACAGCGAGTAATGTCCCGGCAACAGCAGAATCTCGTGACCTGCCCGTGCAACCGATCCTGATTGATAGGCGAGACGCTACCAATCGGCCGGGTGTTGGGAGACGATCGTCTACCAGCCTGGCCGAAGGAAGCGGAGAGGGCAGTAGCACCACGGCAGTCGAGTCGGATGCGCGAATTCGAGGAGGCGATACGGTTTCGCTTCGCGACGGTCCAGATGGAACGGTTTCACCCGCATCAACTTTGCCTGCGGATCTACCCTTGACTCGGACGATCAGCAGGGCTGTCACGCGGACATCTGAGAGTGGAGATCGGGCGCATCAAGATGTACCTGCAGACCCGGCTGGATCGCAAACAGGTTCTATCGGGAATGTTGCTACTCCTGGAGCCAATCAGGCTTCTGTTACCTTTGCAGCACCGCATTTCCCGCCGGCGTACTATCGAGCTGCTGGGGCCTCCGGGACAGTACCGCCAGCGGCGACCGGGTCGCAGAACGCTGTCGATGATCTGCCACAGCATGGAGAAACGTTGGGATCTACATCTGTAGAGGGTGGCCCGGCGACAATCTCTGCACGAGCAGCGGAGAAACGCCCTGCCAATTACTATCCTGCTCCAACTACCGCAGATCAGGAAGATGCAGTTGCCGTCGCTTTCGGTCATGGTGGAGCAGGACGATCAGTTGGCACGGAAGATATATCTGCTTCTCATCCTCCTGATATCAGAGCGCCTCATCTGACGGTGGGCGATACCGCGGTCATCGGTCATCTAGCAACCGACGACAAGGGCGTACTAGAGCAGCTTCGGAACGCCGGCTCTATGCCTTCGCCAACCGGCGATGCTCTGGCAGCAGAATCGCCCTTGGTCGAGCAGCATCATGGCAGAGATGCAACGGCTCCCGCAGTTGATGTCGATGAGGAGGGTTTTGAGAGGCTAGACATGGATCACCGGCCAGAGACCTTACCGATGGGAACAGACGGTCAGCAAACCTCGATGACGTTCCCGATTCCTCCTAGACCCGTCGTACAAAGCTCGTATATGGCTGCGCCTGAGATACCATCGGCTCCGTCATTTGGTGAGGACTCAGGTGGCTCTGCTCCCGGTCAAGCCAGTGCACCTTTCATCGAAGACGTTACCGCCGGTACCGGTCCAACTGCTCCTCTCGTCGAGGATGACCTCGCCCAAGAGGAAGAGGATCCCGGCCACCAGGAGCCATCTGGCCATCCGGGGCTATCTGCTCCACCGGCGGCGTCCGCTGAACGAGATGACCAAGGTGTTTCGTCCGCACCCGTTGCGCCAGCCCAGCCCACTCCAGCCGCAAGGGCAAGTCACGCTCGTCGAAGCCTCGGACTCGATCTACCTGTCGAAGATTCGGGTGCGGCTCCACCTCTCGTTGACGAACACACCTCAGCGGCGCCTACCACGCGGTTCTTGCCCAGATATGAACCATAAATGCATCGGGAACGCAGGACACCAAGCATTCAGACAGATTTTTACGTTGTAGACTTGTTTTAAAATTCACACTCACAGGCACGACAAATTGCGCCAATTATGTTGCCGACTCAAAACATACATACATAATCTCGCGGAGACAAAATCCATGTCTTTGAGAGCATGAACGTTACCACTCTTTATGTTTTCCCGCTAGGGCATCTCGAATCGCTGCAGGACGAGCCACAACGGTAGATACTACACATGATTGATATAGTTGTCTGCTGTTGGCTCGGTCAGGCCAAATTGAAGCGGCCTCCAGTATAGGCCAGCCATACATCAGATAACAAACATTGTCGTACCATCGAGGTACTCTTTACATCGTTTTGAAGAGGTCACTAGTGCTTGCCATTGCAGTAATCTACCTTGTCGACGAATTGACCGCCATAGTTGCCTGGTAGAACGCCGGCATGCCTTTAGTTAGCGACACTGCGGATACCAGGCGTGATCTGGCCGCTCTTACCTGGTGGACCATAGTTGCAAACGAGATTGTACATGCCAGAACACTTCTGCACAGCGCAGCCAAGCGCATCCGAGTCGATCCATACGACCTTGATCGACAGAAGAATGTTTCTTGTGAGCGGAATCTTTGGCCCTGGGCAAGGCGCTGCTTGACTCACCTGCGTATAATGTCCTGTCATCTTGTCGTTTCCGTCTTGGTCCTTCACAGCCACTCCATTTGCGACGTAGTTGCCTACGCTCACAAGACGAGACTCAGACGATGGTCTCGACGAAACGCGGTTCTTTCAAACGCACCGACTTCATCAGTCCACTGCCGGAACATCGAGTCTACGTCGTAGGTCAAATTCGGGTCGGCACTGTAGATCTGGGCTACGTTCTGGCCTGTGCTTGAAGAATAGTTAGGACAGACATGCACGGGGAGTCGACCGTCCGAGAGTCTTACCATATCTTTTACCAGAAATTTGCGATAGGACCTTGAGTCAGCCTTTGAGTCTGCGCCCGGGCCGCTTTCGAACACCTACTCTCTTCCGTTGATGCTTCGGTCCTGTGGATGGCCCAAGGTGCATGTGGCCGCCCAATCTGCAGCTGCCGTAGCAAGCTGGAAAAGTTGCCGGGGGGGATTGATCAGGTATAGAACAGCTAATCAGGGCTAAATGGAACTGTTTCTTACCTCTGCGTCCCAGCTCATTTTCGCAGCTCCGGGACATACCGCACGATAGTTGTTGTGTGCAGCCAGAATCTTGTCATCGTCGCCGCTAGGAGGAGTGGTCTGCGCAGCAGTTTCAGCGGGAGGTTTAGGCGACGGCTCTGCTGGTGGCGCTTCCGCAGTAGTGGATGGAGAAGCGGGTTGAGGCTCGGCGGTTTCGGATTGCGCAGGCTGAGGACGAGCCTCGGCGGACTGCGATTCGACCGGTTTCGGTTGAGGTGCGACTAAGGCAGTTGATTCTGGCTCTGTCGATTGGGCAGGGAGAGGAGGCTGCTGCGATTGTTGCTCTTGTTGACCGTGGTATCCTTTGCCTCTGCCCCACCCTTTGCCTTCGCCCCAGCGTCCATCCCCAGACTCCATGGCAGCAGCGTATTGAGGTGGGGCTGCACCGGTCATCTCAGGCTGGCCCGCAAATTTGGTCACAGCGACCGTGATGGTTTTGACCACGACGACCACATCTTTCTCTACCAATTCGCTTTCCAAAGGTAGACCCGCTACATTTGCGATAGAGGCGACCGCCGCTAAAAGGGGGACTAATACCGACGTTCGCATCTTGTTGTATATTTGACTAGGAACACTAGGTGCCGTTGAAGCAATCAAAAGAGTGAGGTGACACGCCGGCGTATCTAAACGAGAGTGAACTGTGATCGAGGTGAGTCATGGGTAAGGTAGTATGGAGGGGCTAAAAGGACGATGCTGTCCGACTTATGTACTCGCTCCGCGTCGCAATGAGACGCTGACACAAGAGATCGAATTACTCCTTCGATCAACGAAACATGACGCGCGGGGAAAAGGATCGAAACATGAAACGCCCACCACAATCCTTGTGAAGCGCGTGCACCCGCGGAGAGCCACTTTGGGTTTCACCCCTTCGGCGGCCTTTGACAGTGAAACGATCTACTTCGACACGCTGTAGAGGTATCGCCTATAATTTCAAAGGCAGCTGTAGCGTGTGATCCAGGTAGTTCCCGACAAGGCTTGTGCAGGTCCTTTTACCAAGTGTTCCGCGGTTCCCATTGTCCATCGTCGGCCGCTCCACGAAATGGCTAGTCTGCCGAGTTGATCGAATTACAAGGTTCTAGTGGGAATCGAACACCGGTGCCCGGTTACAGTGCACTCATTGAGAGAGGCGAGATGACTTTGTCTCTTCCATGTGTGCAGCGAGCGTCTGGAAACAGCTACGACAAGAGAGGAAGCATGAAAGAATGGTCAGCGATAGAAGAGCTTGGGTGCTGTTGAAAACTGCTTGATCAAGGCTGTTGGTCAGCTTCTTGCCATCGAGATCATGACGAGTGCAAAGGAGGTGTCCCGACTCGGTCACCATGACATCAAACTTCTTGCGCCTTGGAAGCACTTTATCGCCGCAGTCCATCTGGAAAAAGGCAGGATGCTAAAGGATGCAGCCGCCCTATGCAGATTCCTTCTTTTGGTAAGATGCCATCGTTACATCTGCACCGAGTACCATATCCCTGACACTTCGCCTTGTCTGATTGATTCAAAGCTCTACCGTTGCTGACCTGCTGTTTAGATTATAATGAGGAGACGATTCGAATCCCACCCACATCCTTAGCCCTTTCATCCATTCATTCCCTGCTGAGGCTTGCTTCAAGATTTCCAATCCTTCCGCTGACTATCCAAAGCATGCTGGTCCTCAATCTTCGAAGGCTAGACTGTTCGTAGCCGGCAGAACGGCAAAGAAACGTGTGTCAACCGAAGATTTTGGCTCAGCATGTAACGCATGACTGAAGCGGTCTTGTAGAATCCTCCGCCTATCTCAGTGTATCATCTCTATATAACATGGCTTTGGCTTCGGTATACATACAGTCACGACAATCTTCTCTCATTACCTGTGCAATTCCTATTCCGTGCTCTATTTCTCTCCAGCGAGACCTTGGCCCGCACCGGTGGCAGCGTTGAATCCGTGGACATAACCCGTTGTGCTCAACGCGATATCTCCACCGGCGGTAGCGAGGTTAGCCGAGCTCTGTCCGATGTCTATGCCATGATAGAGAGTGTAGGATCAATACGATGATAATGTTGGGCAGGCAGAGCTATACGAAGAAACCGGATGGAAGTCAACATACCTTGGGCTACCTTGTCGCTCTCTGGTCCGAGATCGTGAGCGATCCCCTTGTGCATGTTGGTCGAGATGGAAGAACCCGTCGTCTCGGCGCTAGATGAACAAAATCCTAGATGTCAGATCCCTCATTTTCATATCTGGTGACCGCAGGCCGTCTACTCACGCCTCCTTCAACCCCTGACCCGCGACGGCAGCGTCATCATATGCAGCCTTACCCATCTCCTTGACGCCCAAGGCAGTCTCGTTGACCTGCTGCCTGACAGGACCGGGATGTCCACCACTGCCATACTTTTGATCGAGATCCTGAGCGGTCTGATGTGCCATTTCTCCGACATACTTGGCGGAATCGTGCACGACATTCGTGATGGTAGTAGCTACGGAAGTAGTAACCTCGGCGAGACGGTTGGTGAACCCTTCCGAAGAATGCGCGAGCGCCTTGACGCTATCTCCCGGTTGAGTAGGTCGCAAAGGAGCCGAGTTTTCAACGTGCGAGTCGGTCAATTGGGCGACCTTGTTGCTGAACATTCGTGCGTAAGAGGTCAAAGTATCCGCGATTGTCGTCCCGTACGAAGCACCTTCGGGGTGCTCTCTGTCAACCTCGTCTTCCTCATCGTAATACCCGTGATCCTTCCAGACCTTGTGTTCCCTCAGCGTCGCTTCGAAAGCCCGAGAGAGGGCTTCGGCAGCTTCATATTCGCCCGGGTTCTTGCTCTCGGTAAAGACGATCTTGACCTTGCCCAATCCACCGATCGACTTTTCAGGGTTGGTAGCGGCCTCGAGTCCGGCTGGGCGGAAGACGTAGCTGGGGTGAGCGTGGTTCGTCTCGGTAGGGCTGATGGGCGCCTTGGCTGTGATGGGGAACGTAGCGTGGTCGACTGCAAGAGCGATCATACCGCCAGTCAGCGTCTCTCCAAACATTCATAGAGTTGGATTCTTTGCTCACCGGACAAGGCCAGAGCTTTCAGGGCGTTTCCGTGTCCGGGCTCGGTAGGCAGTTCGGTGAGGCTGAGCTCTCCCGATGCGAGCGTGATCTCCTGACCCGGAGAGGGGATATGGACGAGCCTGACCGACGGAATGCTGAGGAGTACGACAGGAGCTGACATTGTGTGTTGTTTGATCGATCGAGTGAAGAGTGGTTGAGGGAGATTGAGAAGGGCTAAGGGGCTATAGGAGAGAACAACTGGTTGGTTCTCCTTGAATCGATCAAAGAGGTCGATCCCTACGTCACCCAACAAGCCAACAATAACGTCTCGCGCCATCGATTACGTCATTTTCGGGACATCGGCGAAAACGGGTTGGATGGTTGCATGAGGATATGATGCTATTCGTCCCGTTTTCGGGATGGACATGATATGGGGAATACATATGCTACAAGCGTTGGCGAGATCCTATAGTGATTCGGCCTCGTCGCTCTATTTGCGTTTACTTTTCGTGTTTTGCGTATTTCGCATTGTCTATTTCTCCTTGTGCGGTCCCGGCTACCTAGCGCCTTGAGGAATGGAGTGGTATCTACATTCCGTCAAAGGTCTCGTCAGCTTGCCTGTCTCAATCTTATCCTTGAGCGGTCTCTCGTGACTTACGTTGGCGGCAGCTCGCCTGGAAGAGCGCCTCGCTCCTCGTCCTCTGGGATGGGTCCACCGTCGTCGTGAACGACCAGACTCCCCCGCCCCGTGTGATCTCCCTCGCTCGTCCTGCTCAATCCGTTGCTGCTCCTCCGATTATGATTTCCACCGCCGCCATAGTAGTCGTCCACCTGATCATCGGGACCGTCATAAGAGCTCAACCCTTGCGAGCTGGGTCTCCTCCCATGAGAACCGACGGGTCCAGCCACAAAGTCGTTGCCATTCTGGTCAGGATAAGGCGCCTCCCCTCTGGCTTCCCTCAACTTGGCCATGGCCGAAGCGCTCATTCGGTTACGGTTGCTTCCATTCCCAACGGCCGAGACGGGCGGAGAAGGCATCGAGTAGTCGTCGTCATCACGAGGATACCCTCCAGTAGCATAGTCCCTAGAAGAGTAACCCCCAGCTCCACCCATATCGTTGCCCATCGCCGCCGCAACACCCCATCCGCCTGATCTCCGGTTGTTTTCAGGCGACTGCGGCGTCGTCGCATAGTACCCGTTGTCATGTCCCGAATTCGAGCCGTACCTATCGGGATACCCTGCAGCTCTGGCCCGACCGCTATTGGCACCGGCGGCCATCCCAGCTCCCATCCCGGCCATGTTGTTCATGTACGGATCCGTCGTACCGCTATAGACGGTCGAATCGAAGCTTCCCCTCGAAGGGTAAGCGTACCGAGGGTCCGAAGGTTCGCGGGAATGCTGGCGGTTGTGCTGGTATGCTCCCGCCCCGGCGCCAGTAGCTGCCAGACCCGCTGTAGCAGCAGCACCTCCAGCCCACCCAGCAGCACCCGCCTTGGATCCCATCCCTGAAGTGTAGGGCGAGATCTGGCTACCTCCCGTCGCTCCATACCCATCCCCGATCAGATCGACCGGCATATTCGGTCCTCCTGAATGCCGAGTGGTGTGCGAGGGGTCGAACTGGTTACACACGACGGTAGGACATGTCAGTCTCCTGAATTGCCATTGATGACGCTACCAGACTCACCATCTTTTCGTCCAGCGCGCTCGCCTTGGGTTGTCTCTTTTTCCTCCAATAAAAGAACGCCAGAGCGCCCAAGATGGCCGCACCCAAGACGCCTCCTACGACACCACCGACGATCGCTCCGATATCTACCAAGATCACCGTGTCGGATTTCAAATCAGTTGCCGATTCGAGATCAAACGCAATCCGAACCAGAGACGAGACTCACTCGGATCGCTTCCCCCTCGACTGCCCGAATTGAGCTGACCCGATCCACCAGTGAGGGCGGTGCTGGAAAGGTACGAGCTCCCCCTCGAATCGGTCATGCTTACGTAGACGACCGTCGTGCTGTAGATGGTCCCCCGAGAAGAATCGGACGAGATCATGATCGAGGTGGAGGAAACTTCTGCCGAGGTGGTAGGCCGTGTCGAGGTAGGTGCCGAAGTCGTGATAGAAGCGACGGTTGTGGTAGATGGAGCAGATGAGGTAGAGGGGATGGAAGACGATGAAGGGGTAGTAGACACTACCGCTGATGTCGAGACCGGCTCGGATGTCGTTGCAGGTGTGGTTGTGATCAGAGTGGACGAAGCATCCGTAACAGTTGACGATGAGACAGGGTTCGTCGTCGTGCTTCCTGGCACAGACGTTGATCCTGCTTGGGTAGTAGTAGCCGGGACAGTGCTCGACACTCCTGCCGAGGTCGTCGGAGTGGTCGCTGCCGCTTGTGATGTCGATGTCGCCGCAGCGCTGGAAACCGCAGCAGTCGGGCTCGTCTGCGACACAGGTGTGGAGACCGCCACAGAGGTCGCTCGGGTGGACGTGTTCAAGTCTAGCAACGGGTGTTGATGTCACAAAGTCAGAATTGGATCACGGGACCGAGGTGATTCGTCGAGCTGGACATACCGGCCATGGCAAAAAGTTTGAAAGCGATTCCTCAAATGTTCCGATCAATTCTCCTCTCGAAGCAGATGCAGCCTGATTACTACTCGATGATGTCCCCAATAAGTCCGAAAATTATAGTTGGCCGTAGTGAAAGACCTAGGTTGGAGATACGATGTGTGTAGATTGCAAGGTCGGAGTCGTAGTCTTTTTGCGATTTTGTTGTGATGTCGGCCTGGTCTTGTTTGTTATTAGGGTTGTGTCAGCCGTATGCGGGGGGTGAATGTGGGGTAAAAGGTAGGTGGCTGCGGTGATCCTTGAGCTCGTATATTTGTTCCAGTAGAGTACCAGTCTCCCTGTCGTCGAATATCGATATCGATGTCTTTGGTAGCATCTCCCTAGGTGTATTAGGGTGAACATCATGTCGGATGAAGGTCGCCTCCCCCCTCGCACATGCACAAAGAAGCTAGCAGGTGCAGTAGTTGGGTGAATCTCGGTGACCTGAACCCCGGAAACATCTTTTGCATGCGGGTTTGCATCCGGCACAGCCTGCCCGAGGCACTAACCACCATCGCCTCTATGCTCCGAACGTTTTGGCTGTGCATGACCTCATGTGAGCATGTGACCTCATTATAATCTACGTGCCGTACACCGATAATGCCCCGCAAATGACAATAATGACACGCACACCCTGAATGCCCTGAAACGTCTGACCTCGCTCTCTTCATTGTCCTCGTTCGAATTCGCGCTTCCTAGCGCGCATCCCTTCACTCTCGTCTAGCACCGCCGCTCCCTCGACTCCCAAAGTAATCCGACGCACCACCACCACGATCTCCATCCTTGTCTTTCTCTTCGATCTCTTCCGGACTCGTCACATGCCCATCAGCGACTCCATTCGGTGAGATGCTGGACAACCCGCTCGCGCCCAGCAAGCCCAGGTTCGGCTTGTTGTTGTTGTTGTTGCTCTTGTTGTCGTTGTTGTTGTTCGCCCCAGGTGGATGCTCAGTAGCGGGGGACAACATGGTCGGGGTCGACCATGCCGAATTGGACGATCCCGAGGAAGAGAGCCCGCGTCGACGTCGGTACATCCGGCGCATCCTGTCAGAAACAACGGATGTCAACTCCAGTCTCGCGTTATAACTTTCGATCCAAGGAGACTCACTTTTGGATGGCCAAGATGACCGTACTATCATACCGTGCGGCTCGATATTAGCTATCGCCCCGCATGCTATACTTTCGTTTGACCGCGTGCCACACTCACAAAGAGGCCCTGAAGGTGGAAATGGCATTGCCCACTTCCTCTTCGCTCGGCTCTTCCACCTGTTTACCGATCTCGTACAGGTTCTGAAATGGAGACGAGACGTCGAGTTAGCGAATACGAAAGCTGGTGGCGAAGGCAAGGTTGAGATCGCATAACGCACCTGATCTGTTGTGGGCATCGGATCCTCGCCGTTCTTTGTCACCCATGGGTGTTCCTACAAGTCGGAAACAGGTCAGGTCAGGTGAGCAGCGGGGACGTGTGCCCGTAGAGCAGAAACATTGCGTACTCTCATCTCCTCAATGACCATCCTCTCGTCCGGGTCCTTCTTGAGCATCCGGCTGACCAAGTCCTTTACATCGTCGTCCCATTCGGGCGGGATATGAGGTCTATCATCAGCAAGAACGCCAGCGCGTCAGCGATCGAATTGTTGTCGACTTTCGAACCCTCCCGCCTTACTCTTGCTCCTTGATCGCCTCGAACAGATCCAGCGGGTTATCAGCCTCGAACGGCAGGCTTCCACGAAGCATGCAATATAGCGTGACACCTGAGATTGCGTAGCAGAGGACGATCAGTAACGCCTCCATATAAGGCTGATCTGGTGGAGTGCTCACCCATCGCCCAAATGTCAACGGGTTTGGCGTGTACGTCGCCCTGGGTCACTATAACACCGCGTTAGCCCTGAATGTATCCGGCTCCCTTGATCCTGGACACGTACGAATCGCTGCTTCGGGACTCATGAAAGCCGGACTGCCTCCACTCTTCTTCATCCGGTCGTCTCCTGCTGTAAACATCTCCGAGACGCCGAAATCACACAACTTGACTTGCGTTCGATCCGCGCTTAACAAGACGTTGTCGGGCTACGATCCTTCATGTCAACTATGATTCTCTCCCTCACCCCAATCAGGAAATATGTGACACACCTTGATGTCCCGATGTGTCACGCCGGCGGAATGGAGATACTCGAGACCCAGGGTGAGTTGTCGAAAGTAGGATCGGGCCTTCTCCTTGTCGAGCGATTTCGAGGGTTTACCTCCGACCTTGATGTCCATCAATGTACCGCCTGGAACGTATTCGAGCACGAGATACAGCGAGTCGGACGTGTTGACGTTGATGGCTTCATAGAGCAGGACCAGCTGTATATACGGGGGATGTATCAGCTCGCAGTATCGGCAAGTTTCACTCGTACGTTTTATTTACATTCGGATGACTGTTTCAGACAACAAAGAGGTTTCATTGCGTCAGCCATCACAGCTCGAACCAATAAACAACACGCCCTTCACTCACTCCAACTTCTTCATAACCGCAATCTCTCTCCGAATGAGAGCCAGTGGGTCCTCGTCGTCATCTTTGCCCTTGCCCTTTCCCTTGACATTGCCCTTGGCCTTGCTCGTGCCCCTGTCATCGCTGCCCTGGTTGGCCGAATCCTCCTCAAACTTGGGTTTCCGAATCCGGCTCGCGGATGACAACTGCTGCTGCCGCTTTAACCGGGATTTCGAGAACTCTTTGATGGCCTGATCGAATGGAATTGACCCTAAAAATCAGCCCCTCATGTCATCCAGGCTATAACAACATGTTCAGTCGACTTACGTATTCCTGCCCCGTCCCGACGTCTATTCCCTTTTCGACATTCCCGTACGCACCTCGCCCGATCAACGGACCCAGAGCGTACTGGTTGACCATCCTCTGACCCTTTTCGTTGGCGTGATGTTTGGCGTCCAACGTCTCCAACACCCTGTGCGTACTGCTGTTCCGTCTTGCATGCCCCGGGTGCCCGCTCAGCCGGCTCCTCAGCTCTGCGCCAAGTTCTCGGTCGTTCAGATCCAGTTCCGGGGGGTTCGAGTTGGCCCGAGTCGTCGATTTGGCTTTCGATACGGGTGAAGCTGTGGCTTCACGTTCACCCTTGGCCGGTTTTATCCGAGGCGAATTGGGTGCCGAACGTGCGAGGCTCGACTGTGAGCTAGACACCTTGAGCAGGTCGGGTCGAGGTGATGGCGAATTGCTCGATCGACGCCTCGAAGGCCACGGTCCCGGTCCCGGCTTTTCCCGGTTCATCGTCGCCGGACGTGTCGACTCGTCCTCGCTCTCACCAGACAAGACCCCTGCCATCGGGCTCGTAGCGAGTTCGCTCCAATACGGCGTCCTGGTCCCGTCTGCCGAGGAGGACGAGCCAGCTGCCGTCCCGGCGCTCTCGTCGCTGCCCATGAGCGGGACGGGCAGAGAAGCCGTCTCGTGTATCGCTTTGGGGGATTTGGCGAGGAACGTTCCCGCAATAGGTTGAGGTGGTCGGGATCCCGACCTCGACCTCGACCGAGTGGAGCGCGAGCTGGAGCGATCGTCCTGCTTGACATCCCGGCGAGGTGCTAGCCTGTGCCCAGCTCCATGCACTCCACGGTCGGGTGAAGACGACCCACTCTTGGGAGACTCCATCATCTCCACCGGTGAGCTAACTTCATCTTCCGGAACTCCGTCTGCGTTCGAGTCCCGCTCCTTGTCCTGCTCTATCGAGGACAACAAGACCGTATTACTCCTGCTCGGCTTGTCCGCGCCCATTGTCGTATTGCTCTCCTCCGAATCCATCCGCTGTCGAGCTCGTTGCCTGATCTTGGCCCATCGACTTCGAGGGTCGGTGGTAGAACCGGTCGGGCGGTCTGAAGATGATCGTGCGTCCGGATCAATCTCGAGTTTGCGCCGGGCAAGCTCCGCGATATCCTTGTCTGCCTCGTCGTCGTCGTCGCTATCGTCTTGTGCATCACCTCTTCTCCCCCGACTTGAACTCTGCCGTCCAGCCTGATCACTTGTGCTGTTCCCGTGGGACGACCCCGCCTGCGATAGTTCGTGCTCATCAACCGGAGATTCAAACTCGACATAATCATGCTGTTCTTCTGGTTCTTCCGTCGTAGGCGATTCGGTGATCTGAACAGGAGGATAGTCTTCCTCTTCGGGGGTGGATACCAACTGGACATCGTCCGCATCAGTTTCGTTCTCCGGGGAAGGCGAAGTTGAAGCGTCCTTTGTCTCCCGTTCTTGTTCGTCCTCGTCCTCGTGGTACTCTGAAGGAGATTCTGCCTGGACGTAGCCAGGTGACTCGTTATCCCCGTCTCCCTCCTGCTCGTCTTTGCCCTCCTCCTCTTCATCTTCTTCTTCCTCGCTGACCGACTCTTGAGCAGGAGACCTAGCTCGCTGCCGATCCCCTCTATAGTCCCCACTCGCACTGGCGGGAGTAGGCGGGACGACGATAGGGGTCGCAGGGACGGGCAGGTCCGGTCGTTTCCTTACGACCTCGTTCTCATCACGGTTCCTTCGACTTGGCTCGGCGTCGACCTTGAGGTGTCCATCTTGGCCATCACTAGATACGCCTTGTTTCGAGGTACTATGATTTGCTGCTTGCGATGCCGAGTTGCGAGATACTTTGGGAGTGGTCGTAGGAGGTACGTGGGTGTTGATCTTTGGCAAGACGGGACGGTTGGCAGGTGCCATGTGCGGGTAAAGTGTCGGTGGACCCTTGCTGTCGACCTGGTGTCTGCGAGTGATGCAAGAGAGATGTGAGGTGTGTTGAAGAGGTAGCAAAGGTTGTGACAAGAGAACAAGAGATGAACAGGAGAGAGAGGTGTTAAGAGTATAAGAGAGTACCCCCCCTATCGCAGCAGCAGCACCGAGCTCGAACTCCGGGACAGATCTCGCTCATGCGGGGCGGATGCAAAAACAACAAAGATGGATGCGGCAGCAGCAGCAGCGGGCCGGCAGCGGCAGATCGTCACGTGAGGTTCATCAAGGTCGCAGGTCGTGATGATATCATCATTTGCTTCCGACGACCTCTTGCTGCGATCGCTGCGACCTTGGTTGATAGCTCTCCTTGGTTGTCCGGGACTGTAGCAGGTTGACGATTCGCAACCTCATCTTAAGGAAAACCTAAAGAGGCAGACTTCCGTCATACTTGCGCACCGAGTCTGCATCACCAACCATCTCTCTCGATTCACCATCATCGCAAATTCAAGTGGATCCTTCCTCTCCTCTCGATCGCGAGGTGGATCAGCGACCCACCTCGTCAGCCATTCGCGGAGGTCCTTTGAGCCTTTCACAAATCTTATTGTTTCAACCTCAAGGATTATTCCATCTCACCAACGATCATAGCGATCATCGATACCGTATGTTCATAAGCTTGATACACAAGCTATCGTCGGTTCAATCCAAAGCCTGGCCTCTTCCCGTTTTGGATTTTTCATCTTGAAACCCAGAGTTGCCCGCTATGGCTGTCACGGCCGGCCGCCCATCATCGGCCTCGTCCGACCCGAGGATGACGATTGATCCGAAATAGAAATTCTTCGGGATCCCTCGCTATCGACCTTGTTCGCTTCACTAATCGTTCGCCATTCAAAATCACTGTTCCAGTACAAAGAACATGACTCTCTATACCTCAAGCCTATAATCCATATACCTTGACTATACCCTAACTCTAGCTGTCTCTGGGAGAATGGACCACGACCGAACGCCGACGATGGGCGAGTCGAGCACGACCACCGGGGTGACCAAGATCCGGACCCCGCATTCGTGCCGAAAACGAAGTACAGCTTTACCCGTAGAGGATGATATTACAGACGCAAGAGGAGATGGCAAGGAGGAGCCAAAGGGGAAGGAAACGGTACCAGCCGGACCTGGACATCGAGATGATTGGGACACAAGATCCGCGCAGAGCACGCTCGTCCCCGATCAACCTGACGACACCCCCGAGGGCGTAGACCCAGGACCAGAGGTTGAAGGTTCCAACCCGGCCGATATGCTCGCTGTAGAGACCAGTGAAGAGACGAGACCGTCCGCGGAGACGAAAACGGAAGACAAGGACGAGACGAACCGACGGCCTTATTCGGCGTTCACGAAGAATCAGAGGTGGATGATCGTCATCATCTCCAGTGTCGCAGGGATATTCAGGTAAGCCCACTGAATCGGGCTCTTCCCGGAATCTTGATAGTCAGAGACGCTGATCTGATATATCGCCGGGGATTCGCTGTTGTAGTCCGATAAGCTCGACGATTTACGCGCCGGCTATCCCAACGATAGCGGATCAGTTTGGGAAGAGCATCGAGGCCATCAATTTGACGGTCACGATGTACCTGTGAGTTGGTTACAGGTCATGGTATGACTTTCAAGTATCGATGTTCACCCTGGATCCCGGTCGAGCCGATCACAGAATTTTCCGTAAGTGCAGGAGTTTCAAGCAGATAGAACAGCCTCGATTTCGCTGACGCATCCATCGGTATCCTTTTTACAGAGGGCCTGACACCATCCTTCTTCGGCTCATTGGCCGACAGCATCGGCCGAAGACCCGTCTACATACTCACTCTCACCATCTACGTTCTCGCCTGTATCGGGCTCGCCCTGACGCCCACCTCGGCCTACTGGCTACTCATGGTACTCCGCTGCCTACAAGCTACGGGCGGATCGGCGGTCATCGCCATAGGCAGCGGTTGTATCGGCGACATAGCCACCCCGGAAGAAAGGGGAGGCTATATCGGGCTCTTCAGTGCGGTCAGTATGGGAGGACCTGCGATCGGGCCCGTCTTGGGAGGGATCATGGCGTATTCGTTGAGCTGGAGGTGGATCTTTTGGCTCTTGGCGATCGCTTGTGGGATCAACGTGGTCGTCATGATCTTGTGAGTCTTTGCTCCCCATTCATTTTTGTATTAGGTCTGACGAGCGTGCCTCTGTAGCATCCTACCCGAGACGCTTCGGGCGGTAGTGGGGGACGGCTCGATACCTCCACCATTATTAAACGCCCGACCGGTCGAGTTCATCAAACAGAGAAGGCTGGAAAAGAAACCTCTCGAGAAGGCTTCCCGATTGCCGCTCGATTACCAGCAAAAGCCCGAACCCAAAAAGGTGAGCACGGGTTTGACCGTCTTGTATGGCCGAGACTGATCGCCCCTGGAGTAAATACAGTTCGACCCCTTTGGTAGTTTCAAGATGTTGCTCTACCCAGATATCGGTGGATCTCTCCAATCCATTCTATGACTAAACTTCTCTCTTGACTGACCATCCGCATTCCCTGCCAGCTGCCATGTTAACCTTCACCAGCCTACTCTACGTGGAATACTACTGGGTCTTGACGACGTACTCGACGCTACTGAAGCGAAACTACGGGTACAACGATATTCAGATCGGTCTTTGCTATCTGTGAGTCTAGATGGAAAAGCTTACAGGGATCACCTGATACTCATCAGACATCATGATCCAGACCCAACGGGATCGGAGCGATGGCGACGTCTTTCGCTTTGGGCAGGTTTTTGAACTGGGATTACGGTCGAGCAAAGGCGAAAGCAGGATACGACCCCAAGGACAAGATCTCATTGGACGGATTTCCTATCGAGAAGGTCAGGCTGCGGATATTCCCCTGGATCGTAGTGTGAGTCAAGAATGGGCCGTCTGCTGCGTCGAGATTGCTAACTGGTTGGTCCTTTAGACTATATCTGGCCGCATGCATCGGTTTCGGTTGGGCAATGGAGGCCAGGGCAAATGTCGCGGTATCGCTCGTCATGAACTTTTTCAGTCAGTATTGGTTGAGGTTCAGCATTGTTCTGCCAACAGCTCATGCTCGCGATACTCGCAGTTGGGGGTGGTCTGCAAGCAACTATGGGAATCACCAACGTATTGCTTGTCGACCTGTTTCCGGGCAACGGAGGTGCAATTACAGCCAGCGTGAGTCGTGCGATCACTACCGGATCATGTGACACATCTCACTGAACTCGACCGTTGATATAGTTCAACCTCTGTCGCTGCTTGTCTGCGGCTGCTTTGGTATCAGCTGTGTAAGCCAATCGCCTGTGATGATGAAACTTGCTCCAAGCTCTGACCTCGCGTCTACACTGATTACCAGTGACGCTCTGATCAATCGGATTGGTGCAGGGTGGACGTACGTAATGTGGTCGGGTGTCGTGGTGGTGTTCACACCACTCGTATGGCTCGTCGTCAACCGAGGTCCGAAATGGAGGAAGCAGCGGATGGACGGCTTGCAGAAGAAAGCGAACGACAAAGCTGAGAAGCAGGCTCAGAAACAGAAAAGCGAGACCAAGCCAAAGTCGTAGGTACCTTTGTCACCCACAATTGTATGTTTACTACCCATGCAGGATATTCAGTCAATGCGCAGGCTCAATATGAAGTCGCTTGGAAGCGATACCCTCCAACTCGGCGACGTATCTTTGGCATGACACTGCCACTATAAAAATGACTCACCGACTCCTGTGAACTGCGCTGAAATCAAACGTGTTTCAGCCTTTTTTTCGTAGGTACCGGTTGACAAAGGATGTTATCGACACGACAGTTGCGCGTTTCACGTCGCTGTCCAAGTCCACAAAACGGCTGTCAAGCCTACAACACGTACGGATCTGGACCAAGCCATCGGATGCACAGCGGCCACAGCAAGAAGGGTTGAGCTATTCTGCAGCAAAGTCTGACACGATGTCTTCTGGAGACTCTTCGAAGAAAGAAGCCAAGGCCCAAACTGAGGGCGAAACATTCAAGGGCAGCATAAGCGGTGCAGTGAGTACAGGAGAAGCGCTTTGCGAATGTTGAATCTCGATTCTCATTGCACCATTCGTTCTTTCTTGAACAGATATCCAAGACCTGTCCCCCAATCTACGACTTTGCCAAATTATTTGGTAGCGACGAGACGCTCTGGGTCGGCATAGCAGTCGTCGTTCACCTAACCCTATAGTAAGTCTCATCGATGCTGTTTCGGCGGATACGGCTGACGACTACCGTCAACAACAGTACAACCATACCTCGATCGCTATTATTCCTACTGCCATATCCGTCCGTATACCTCATGCCGATCTACCATACCATGAAGGCCTTACAAAACGCTCGGGAACCCAAGATGAGGGCGATGTGGTACGTCCAAAGAATTCTCTCGCCCGTCCAAACATCGGTCGCATGCTAAATACAAGCGTATCAGGCTTTCGTACTGGGCCGTGATCGGGTTCGTTGACACGTGCGAGCTTATCATCTTGGGAAGCATGGCACAGACTCTGACATACTGGCCACTGGTGAGTGATGAGTCCCTCCAATCATGGCATTGTCAACACTCAAGCCCTCCCCGACTGCCACAGATCAAGATCATATTTGCCATCTTTTTGATGTGCGAGACGACAGATTTTACGGCCGAGCCGAAGATAGACGAGGCGCTAAAAAAGTCGCTAGCCAAGACGGTTTCAGCTGAGCGGAGACTAAAACAAGCTCAGGGAGAAGAAAAGGGCAAGATCGACGCCTGGAGAAAGTTGCAAAACGCGAAGAACGAGGTGGAAGTGGCCAAGACCATGTTTCGTCCCAAGCGCTACGTGAGTGAGACGGCGCAGCAGACTTCCTTGATTTTGGCGTTTCGCTCACTCTGACTACCCGCTCATCCTGATAGCATTGTTTCATGCTGGTCGAACCGTTCTTGCCCGTCACAGCTTGCGCTGGAGGACCGAGTATCAATCATCGGGAGCCGCCTCCCGAAGCCAAGATCGACCCCAAGACCGGGAGGCCGGAAAAGACGGACGAGGAGAAACGGGACGAAGACCGCCTGGCAGAGATCAAAAAGTGGCAATTCGAGCGGGAGAGGCGGGCCGGAGGAGAGGGTCTCGGCAACTGGCTTCAACCTGTTATCGACTATGGAGGCCAAATCGTCGACCACAACCCGGTTACCGATTCGATGGGCAAGATCTTGCCTCAGCATCAGCATGGCAAGTCGGGCGAGGTGAAATACGGTACCCCCTGGGACAACGATCAACAGGCGCTGGATCCCAAGACCGGTCTACCCCTTGGCGATGCCCCTCGAGGCAAAAATACCGCAAGGGAAAAGGACGGCAAGCGTATCCACCTCTTGCCAGACGTTGCCTGGAGAGAATACGCCACGAATCCTGGCGAGTCGACCACCATGTATGACAACGATCCGTGGATGGGGGCGCAGAGAGACCTCGGTCTTGGTTTCAAGGGATGGTCCGGGCACGAGACGACAGAGGTGGCCGAGCTGGATACTGTCAAGATGAGTCTCGATCCGTCGGTCGATTGGGAAATGATCAAGCGCTCGAACGGAGCTTACTCGTAGTGATACACGACGAGACAACGAGACCGTTGCGGTACCACGAATTTTTATCCCCTTGTACAGATTTTCCATGCCTTGACCATAGCAAAAGCCAGCACGCCGATGGTTTCCTGCTCGCCGATCGTTGTGCAACATCCTGACCTAATTATATGCCAGGTAGTTGATCCGATTCCGCTACGCAGCGAGGCCTCAAATCTGACAAGTCAGAACAAGAATGGGTTAGCCCTACGGGAGATTCGACGCGTTTCAGATTTCCCCTGAGATTTTGCATCCGCCATCACTGATCAGCCGATCGATCGAGCGACCAGGTCGAATTGCTAAATTCATCATCAAATCATCAGATCAGCATCGTATCTTCTCGACTGTTGTCAAACTACAACCATATCCTCGAACGGTACCCAGTCGCCACCAGATCTCACGTGTCTCGACCGGACTACTCGCGACTAGGGGATTTGAGGAGTGACCGGCTCGCCGCACAATGCCGTCTTTAAACTACGCTGCGCTCAACGGCTTGATGGGTGAATCATACGACGCCCGACAGGACCCCTATCATGAACAGAACTATAATCCAGGCCTTCTGGATCGTTACCGACAAGGAAGTTTACATTACAATCACCTACAAGATAACGTCATGGCGGAAGAACACGATCTGAACACGATGTTGCCACACAGTGACAGTTCTGCGATGCCAGGCACGTGCTCTACAGCCGATGCTTTTTCTGTCATGCACAATTTGATGAACTTGCTTTCTGCAGACGACTCGCCCACGCTTCGTCACCTGCAGTATAGAAATCAAAACCAGCAATACCGGCATCAGGCTGATGGACGATACGATGTCGTGCCACATTCCAATCAAGCAGGTGAGCAAACCCATCAACCACACTATGTAGCTCGACCTGACGTCCTTTGTGTGCATATTAGCGGCCTATGAAGAGAGAGAAGCATATCCCTATGAGCCCGAACCAATTCAGGACTATCCTTCTGACGAATACGAACAAGTGAACCGTAACGGGATGGATTTGGAAGGGGATGACGTTCAGGGTGCCTTTGCCTTGTCTTCTTGCTATGATTGACTTGTTTGGCTGACTGTCCGACTTTCATGTTACAGATCCGCGCACGATGCCCATGCAAAGCAGATACGGATTCGATGGCGGTCACAATGGGCCGTCCACTTCGCACGACTATACCTTACCTCCCAACAATAACGGCATGTCTCAGATGACCGCGCATGGCATCGACCTGGTTCCGACGACCCGACTTCGTGGGTAGCTCAGAACAAGAATCGCATACCATACCTTCTGATCGATTTCATAACGGTACGTGTGCAGCCGATTCTTTCAGGCGTATCTTCCGGTTTCGCCAATTCAATGCGGTCCAAAGCAAAGTATTTCCGAGCGTGAGTGAACTCGCTACTTGCCTCGGAGTTACAGAACTGATCTTCATTCGAGTAGGTATATGGCACCGACGACAACCTGGTTGTCTCGTGTGAGTTGTCGACATGTCGATTCGAGTAGGAAAGGACGCTGATACTGTCAATGTCCTTGGAGCAGCCCCTACTGGGTCCGGGAAGACGGCCATATTTGAACTCGCTTTGCTACGTATGATCAAATCGTGGTCCACACAGGACGAGATGGATCGGAAAGTTGCTGTTTACCTCGCACCTACAAAGGTTTGTCTTGATATACGCTTACACCAACGCTAAATGGTGCTAACGGCGATAAATCGACGGGTAGGCCCTGTGTACCGAGCGATACCAGGATTGGAAAGAGAAGTTCCAGCCTTTAGGTCTCAAGTGCCTGGAATATACCGGAGATACCGATGGGACCAAGAGTTTCGCGGTCGAGTCTAGAAATGTCGATATCATCATCACAACGCCGGAGAAATGGGATGCCGTGACTCGCGTTACAAGGCATAGCGATCAGATCATGCAGCGACTCGGCCTGTTGATGATCGACGAAGTGAGCACCTAACAATTGTCTAAGCCTTATGGAAGACTGATCCTTCTGTTGATATTACGTCAACAGGTCCACCTACTGCACGAAAGTCGGGGAGCAGTCCTGGAAGTCGTCGTTTCCCGTATGCGCACTACCGCTCGAGCTTCGCCTGTCCGAGTGGTAGCTCTGAGCGCTACGGTAGATCCAATTGTTCTTATTCGAAGAGAAGAGACCGACTGATTCCGATTGACTCTCAGGTTCCGAACGTTGAAGATGTCGCCAGATGGCTTCGTCCTCTGACCCCTTCCGGTACCGACATCTACGAGGCAGGGGGGTCGGGCGGTGCTGCTGACCAGCGCGCAGCCTATTTGGATATGAAGATGGCCAAAGTCTACAAGGTAAGTTCTTCAATTCGTCTGAATCGGCCTAAAAATGCTTATAGGAATCACATCATAGTTCGGCGAAGCGTTCAGACCGACTCGTCTTGAGCGATTTGTCGTAGGATACAATTCCGCGGGAAACGATTTCGCTTTCGCGGCGCGCTTGAAAGCGGAACTGTATGATTGCTTGCTGAAACACGCCAAAAACAAACCGGTCCTTGTCTTTGCTGCAACTAGGAAAAGTATGTCTGTGTTCAGCCTCTGAAATCACGTCGCTCATCTGTGTTTGCCATCAAAAAGGTTGTGAACAGATCGCGGAGGAGCTGCTGAAACGTTACCAAGCAGACCGACAAAATGGTCGACGAGTTCCCTGGAAGATATCAGGCTCGTGAGTCCCCGAGTGCTATCACTGGTCTTGCTTGTTGACAACTCCACGGCCTCCAGCCCAATCGAGGTTGCGAATAGTAAAGATGCAACGCTGGCGGGAGCAGGCATCGCGTTTCATCACGGTGGTCTCGAGCAGCTAGCTCGCAAACGGATCGAAGACGGTTTCCGGTCGGGGCAGCTCATGATCATCGTCTCGACTTCTACACTTGCGGTTGGAGTGAATCTTCCCGCTCATACGGTCGTTGTCGTTGGTACCAAATGCTGGATCAACGGAGGTGCGTGAAGACACAAGTGATGTAACCGCTTCGTCGTGGCTGATCCGCGCTTGCGGAAACTTTCAGGTATGGAGGAATACTCGGATCTCGATATGCAACAAATGATTGGGAGGGCTGGAAGGCCGCAGTATGATACACATGGACAGGTAGTGGTGAGTAAAAGACGCGACCACGTTGAAGTGCTGGTAATCGATTTCCGCTCCTTGACAGATAATGTGCGAGAAGCAACATGAGCAAAAGGTGCGCGATATTCTTCAGCTCGAAACATCTCAGCTTCACTTGTTTCAACTGGCTGAAGACTTTCGCAGTGGAAGGATAGCGTCGAATCGAAGACCATTCTGGAGTCACGACTTCACGAAACACTCACCGAGCGTAGGTCAGGAAAATGTTCCGGGCCGAATTCAACTCATTTCCTCCTCTCGTTTTCAGATATCAATTCTGAAATTAGTCTGCGGACTATCCGGAGTCTCTCAGATGGTCACCAATGGATTCAAAGGTGAGAAATGCACGGCAAATAAGCATATCGGCTTGTACTCACTATCGGCTTTTCATCAAGCTCCTTTTTATACGTCCGGATACAACAAAACCCGAAACACTACGCGGCTGCTCTTGCGACGAAAGGAGAACACTCGATGAATTGGCAACAGGCTCTAGACGACTTTGTTAATGTGGGTACCATAACGCTTGATAGTCGCGGCCAATCAACTTACGGTTCCAGATATCTTGTGCCAATAGTCGGCGGTGGAACAGCTGTCCAAAGATGGACTGGTCGAAACTGATGATGGTGCCGACGTGGTAGAAGACTACAACTTGAGATCCGTCGCTTCAACGAAGTAAGTGCCTCCCATCGCTGATCGCTGCGGTCACACTCATGTCATCTTTGACTGGGATCAGACTTGGAGATGTGATGAGCGCTTGCGTCCTAAGTGAGCTTTACGTCGTGTCCTGCTCGAGAATTTCACTGACCACACCTCCTCTCGTAAGGGCTACCGACTGTGCGATCTGTCGCATGTTATCTAAGACCCATTGCGAAAAACTGACAAGACGGATCATAGATGCAAAAAATTCTCGCAATGCCTAAGAACGCAACCTTTGAGGAATTACTCAGCTTGTTCTGCTCTTCGGCAGAGTTCTCCGAGATTGCATTTCGGCAAGCAGAGAAGACTGTAGGTGGGCCACAAACGGTCTAGCTGGCTACCGGACTAACACGCCTGTCCAAAGCTTCTTCGCAAGATCAACAAGGGCGATGAATTTCGCTTCCCGGCTCCTACTAATCAGGCCTTTGAACACCAGTAGGTTGGCTATCGAGCAGCTTGAAGAGTAGTCCTCTTGAAGCTGATCAGCATTTTCAGTCATTGGGTTTCGATGCTGATGCAAACGTGTCTGGGAGCGATTTGCTTGGAAGATTATCTCGACCAGAGCAAAGGTCAAAAGATCAATCTTACCAAGGAGTTGTATCAAATCTGGCGATGCGCTCCTAGGATCTGCAGAGGTAAGAGCAGGATCCGTCTACAGAGAGAGTTTCGCGCAGTTGGCTAATATGGATATCGCAGCCATCGCCTTTGTCGCTGGCACAAAAGAATACGGAGGGGCCATGCTTTCGGCTTTGGAACTGATGAGGACAATCAACGGAAAAGGTCCGCACGGCTGTTCGACCACGCCTAATGCTAGCTAACATCGAACGTTCCGGCAGCTTGGGAAGACTCTACTGTAGTGTTGAGGCAGATCGATGCTATAGGTGAGCGTGCTGTGAGATGCTGCTTTGGGTTCAGCTGCTAAGACCTCGCTCTTTAGGTCCCAAATCGATAAAGGTCCTAGCTTCCCAGAACATCAAAGGTTGGTCCCATGCAGGCCAAAAGCGATGGCTCGAACTCAACATGAACTGCCAGGTTTCGCGGACCTGCGCCGGCAAAGCGCTTCACGACTCGAGCTTCTGTTGAACAGACACCCCGGCTTCGGTAACAAGGTCAGCCCGAATCTTCAACCGCGGTATATTGTCGTTACTGAACTGCTGGTTCTCTAGTTACTAGAAGCGGCGCAAGATTTTCCGACTTTCCGTCTGCAGATTCAGTCAGTTCGGCTAGATTCCCGCTCGCACTGATCACTCTGTTGAGTAGAAACGTCGATTTACACAGGCAGGAGACTGATACATCGGAAGAGACCGTAGGACCGATCAAGATCGAGTTCAGCGTTGTGATTGAAGTTGAAGGCCGATTGATCAAGAAAGGCGCGAAGAAAGGGGGCAAAAGCGGCCACCGGAACCTTTCTATCGTTGCCATCAGGTCCGATGGAGAATACGTTACAGAGTTTCATACTAGGTAAGACGGTTTGCTTGGGTCTGCGTACGTAGGATCCGCTCACGGACGCGAGCTGCAGTACGAAAAACTTCGAAACCGTGAACCGATCGCTCAGGATCCCAGCCGCCTTCACCGAGGAGGGACAAAAGCTTCTGGTGATGGTAGGCAGTAAGTCTGTGGTTTCCCGGATTCGATCCGCAGTGGGATGCACTGATGCAGTTCCAATGCTCGAGCAGTTGATCAATTGGCAGGGTGTTCGAGCGTGCAAGGTACGCTACCGATTTTGTCTGGCCAACACTTGCCCCGCTAAAACGCTCATTTCAAATAGAGTTTTCACCGGAGATTCCGGAAGGAGTGCTCCCAAAGCCAGCTGTAAACGAAGCGGACTCGCTTCAAACCAGCTTGCCCAATGTATCTGCTGCAAAGCCTACGAAAAAGGCCGTAGACCCAGTCGCGATGCAGAACATGAATGGCGAGTCCCCGTTGCTTGGGTCGAGCGCGCTTCGTCCAGCGGCTTACCTCGGGGTTTCCAGAGGAACAAGTCTTCGACACGTTCTACGAGGATTCGCAGGGTGAAGAGCCCAGCGGCGACTCTGAAAGGCTGCCCAATGGCAATTACAAGTGCAAGCACAAATGCAAGGCTGCTTGTCAGCATGTCTGTTGCAAAGAAGGAGTCAAACCCAAGTCTCGCGCCAGAGCAAACCGTGCTCCAGCTGCTCCGGTATGGCGAGACGATCGTGACGCATCGGTTCAAGGCCTAACTTTAATCTACATTGATTAAAAGGCTTCTGTCGCCGAAACCGCGAAGCCCAAGGCGTTGCCGGCGAAAGTCGACGGGACTGGCGACATAATCACTGAGAAGCCTGTTCAAGCGTCGACGGAATACACCGATGAAGGTATGCCGTTTGAATATTTGGCAGAGGCGTGAAAGTGTGGCTCATGCGCTGCATCTGTTTGTCCCTGCTCCAGGTATCGACGAGATGATGATGTATTTATTAGAGGCCGAAAACGAAGCCGAATCTCGAAAGAGGCCGGCGAAACGCAACCTGAATGATTCGCAAGCGGATCAAACGGAAGGCAATGCCAAGAGACAAAAGAAGGACGATGAACCAGGTACGCAGTAAGATCAGCTAAGACCTCCAGAGCTGCTGGTCTGACATTGCCGTAGTTCCCGAGTACCTCCTGCAGTCCGAGCGTATTCGAGGGTGGACCCCGGATGAGTCGAGTCCGCCTCGCCCAAAAGCAGATCCTGTCGAATATGCAGAGCTCGAGGCGGCCTCCCGTCAGATGTACTCCCCCAGTCCGGACGCCATGAATATGGCCGCGCAACTCGGAAAGGAAGACCAGGAACCTCTGTTCTTCTCGAGGCCTTCGAGCGTAGCTGACGTGGCTCCGCCGGATCCTATGGTCTTCGACCCCACGGACGATCCGCCCTCAAGCATGAGCTTCGATGTCAAAGAGGAACCGCCTATCGTCGCTCCGAAGCCTAGGGTACAGCCTGGCGATGCTGATGCGTACAGCTACTTCCTGGACTTGGATGACCTTATCGCTCCCGAACCCGACCCGAAGGAAGTCAGGAAACCGGTACTGGCATCTCATGACGGGGTCGAAGGCGAAACGAAGGATTCATTCGAGCCCATCCAGGAGGCGTCGGACAAGCCTACCGTGAAGGAGCATCTCGATACTTCTTTTGCTGGATCCTCGATTCTCACCCACACCGACCAGTGGGAAGACAAACCAGCTTTTGTCGACCCCGTTGAAACTCCGCTCTATCAGGCTCCCACTGAAGTCAAGCGTAGTTCCACTGGACATGCTCCCGAAGCCATTGAATCTTTCCACAAGACCGAAGAGCCCTTGCCTATCAAGGCCGAAAACGACATGATCGGTTCCGACATGGCCGACTTTGACAGCTGGTTCGCTGATGGCAATATCGAGATTGTCGATTGAACGCCCATGCTGAGATACGTCTTTCATCCGAGATCCGTTGTATGAGACTTTCCGATCTATTGGAGACACCCGGTCGACAGAGAGAGAAGAAATGATGTCTTTCGTCTGGTGATACATTACTGTACTATGATACATCCCATCGCAAATAGTCCGCTTTAGAAACCCCTAGGATTCTCCCTCAGCGTCAACTAAAGACAGCGGTTGATCTCAGTTGGCGTTAAAGAAAGCAATCGTCTGATCATTCGACTCCACTCACTCTCGTGAACTTGGGTACCTTGTGCACCGACTTTCGGTATCCTTCTGTTGTCCGGCTGAAAGTGGTGTACTTGTCTTTTGGCTTCATCTCAGACTCTTTCGGCAGAGCCAAGTTGCGGTCCTATGGTATTTGAAAGAGATGGCAGAAACAAGAATTCGAAGCGAGCAGATCGGGATGTCAGCTTGCATTCCAACCGGTTGAACAGCTCGTGTACCAGATGTGAACAGCTGAGACCCATACTCACCAAAGCCTTGAACTCCACTCCGCTTGCTCTGACGGCCTCAATGACACTATCTACCGCCTTCATTCGCTTTCGCTGATTCGCTTTCCTTGTTGGTGAGAGCCTCCATGGTGACTTCCTGTATAAGCGGTGAGTGCGACAATTGCAGTTAGCGACCTAGACTGCACATCCGGATATGACCCGCTACAGCGGCTACTTGCCAGAGAAGACCCCCGAAGTTGACTTGTGACGTCCTGAATGCACCAAACATGCTCGCTATGGCTGAACTTAGGTCGTGATCTTGGTTGCAGCTCCAAATTGATTGAAGCTTGTAAGCGTCCTCATGCATCTCAATCAGGTCAAGCCTGTTCCGTAAGTCGATCCCTTGTGACCCGATCACGTCACGTGATTCAAGAACTACCATCACGTGAAAGGTAAGCGATGCGATCGGTCATCCTCTCAGCGGAGAATCCCGGGAATCGACCATCCATGACGTCCAGAACCTTGCTAATCGCTCATGATACTCGTTCATATGGTGCAACATCTCGCACAGGACATCACATAGACTACGTTCTCTTAAACCGTTATATATCTGGCACAGCTACAACGAGCGGAACCTTCGTCGTTGTTAAGGACCTCATACACCACGAGAATGAACGCCCGGCCTATCATCACGCGAGTATTCGCCTCGGCCTGTCCGACATGTCGCAACTATACTCGAAGAACCGCTACTTCGCGCCGGACGTCATTAGCATCAAAGTACTCGACGTCGTCAGCTTCGCCATCAGCAGCGGGTCTCGGATTCCGGGTAGCGAATCTGCCAAACCAGAACCGAACAAGCAGAAGCTTGCGACCGATTCTTAGTCATCTCGGCAGATCCTATGCCACCGCTTCAAAAGGCCCGGGCTCGTCGACCTCGATCAAAGTGATACCGCCTACAGCAGAATCTTTGAAGACTAGTGAGGAGTTTGAGGATGCCGAGTTGGTGCCAGAGGATCAAGCCAATATAACCGTGACGGACGATGCTGTCAAGGTGAGTCTGGTTTGAATAATGACTCTCTTAGTACCTGGCACTGATCGTACTCGTTGTGTCGATATTGACACAGCAACTGGCGAAGATAGCATCGAGAGAACCCGACAACACAAAGCTCGCTCTCCGGCTGGTAGTGGAAAGTGGGGGCTGTCACGGGTATCAGTACAAAATGGACTTGGACGATGACGGCGCTGTCGTAGGCGATTAGTGAGTCATCTCCATGACGGGCAATGTGGTCATGGAGTCGCACTAATACCGACTCCATCGTTTTTAACAGCATCTTCAAGCCTGATGTACAGCCATGTGTACCGATCGTCGTGGATATCATCTCTCTGGACCTTCTGAAAGGTAAGCAGAGCTGGTATTGTCGGCCATGCGAGAAATCAGCTGAACGCTTTGTGGTCTTTTTCATCAACAGGTTCGACACTGCATTTCGCAACAGAGCTCATCGGAAGTTCTTTCCGGCTACAGGATAACCCCCAAGCCAAGGAGGGCGGAAACTGCGGTTGTGGAGTTAGTTGGGAGCCCAAGTGATCAAAAGGGCAAGCCCTTGTATCGAGTTGTATAGATTGAACAGGACGACCTTGAGGTCAATTGTTATAGATGGATTATCATCGCATGCTCCTGATTTCGACAAGTCGTGTGTTGCGTTCATTCTCTCATTCATACCCCGCACGGTTCAAAGACGCTCTATAGTCTAGAATTTGAAAACGTTGTCGTTGGTGTATCCCAACTCGCCGAGAGCTCCCTTGATCTCTCCCTGCTTCATACCGTCCTTGGGTCCACAGACGGCAGCGTATTGACCGGGACTGAAGAACGGGACAATCAGCAAAGTCAACGGAGGAAATAGCGATCCAGTGGCTTTATCAAACTTACGGTCCGCAGACGAAGAACTTGGTGTTAGCCTTTTCGTTGTGGTCACTGGGCAGGTATTTTGAGATCATCTCCTTGGTCACGAAACCCTTCTCGCCTGCAAGAGTCGAACGAAATTTCATGTTAGTGGGCTAGCAAGCTCGAGGCGATTCCCTTTACCGACTTACCCTTCCAGAGCATGAACGGAGGGTTGTCGAGGGTGTACACAGCCTTGAACCTGTCGGGGTGCTGCTTGGCGAGTCGGTCCCACTCTTCTCGCAGAACTGAAGAAAGGCACAGTAGGTTTGGACAGTCAGATACGAGTGTCATCAAGCGAAGGGCGCCGGAACGTACGGATATCCTTCTCGGTCACGTTGGCGAAGATCAAGGTCCACTTGGTCTTGTCCTCAGGCAAGCTCAAACTGTGGGAGATCATCTGGTACATGGGGGTGATACCGCTTCCTAAGAGAGCCGAGAACAAAGCAGGGTCAGTCTTTATCGGTACACCCTGTCACATCCCGCCACGACTGCGGCTGACCTCCTCCGATGGTGACACCGTGGGCAAACTCGTTGGGCTTGTACTCGTACTTCTGGATAGGTCCCTTGAAGGCCAAGGTCTCGCCGGGTTTGAGGTTAGCAATGTGCTTGGACATCTTTCCGGTCTGCAAACAGCGACAAGGTATCGTGTAAGCGCCAAATCGCGACTAGCTGTTGACCTTGACTTGACACGATCGACTCACGGGGTACTCCTTGACCAACAATCGCAAGTTGCCCTTCTCATCGGAATGCGAGATGGGGGTGTACGGCCTGATGACAGGCTTGCCCTTGTCGTCGAGCAAAGCCTGGGGGTCCGAAGCCTTGGTCAGGAGAGCCGAGGCAGCCTTTCCTCCGGCGATAGACTCGGAGTCGGGGAAAGAGAAGGTGTAGCTGTGACACAAGCATGCGACGTGTTCAGGCCGATGCACAGACGTCATAACGGCGGGCTTCAGGCTCCGACTTACATTTTAGTGTTGTGGTTGTAAGGCTCAACCTTCTCGAGCTTAAAGTCGACCCAGCTGTTCTTGATCAGAGCCTCCACGGGAGCGGCTCCAGGGTTACCCATAGCTTTCCTCTCCTCGTCGAAAGGTCCCTTGACGTCGTCCTTGACCTCCTGAGCCTTGTCCTTGGAACGGCCGATGGCCTCGTTGGCATTGGCGGAGAGGGCGGCAGCACCGGCTTGGGCCTTGCCCTTCAGCGAGTCGGCGGCGTCTTCAGCTCGTCCGAGAGCCTCATTCTTGTTGGCAGAGATAGCGGCCTGGGTTGCTAGGTAGGCGAGAAATGTGGGTTGCGTCAGCGACATTGCGGTAGGCTCTTGATCGAGAGAGAAGATCGGCTCACAAGGGTTCCTCTGCAGGTATACGTAACCTCCGAGACCGGCCTGAGACAAACAGTAACAAGCGAATGTGAGCTCGTTCGGAGCGATAGGTGATCGAATTGGGCGCCACCACTCACGAGACCAGCCAAACCGAGGACAAGAGGCATGTCTGCGAGCAAGTGAAGATTTCGTCAGCGATGCGAGCATAACATCACGGAGAACGCAACGAGGCTTACTACCACCGCCGCCGGCAGCGGGAGAGGCATATCCTCGCTTCGAAAGCACCTGACGCTGAGCCTGATGTCCACCGATCCGAAAGGTAAGAGTTTGGTATGAGCAGAGCTTTCGAGATCGGCCGAGCGGAGAGGTATAGGACTCACGCCGGCAAATTGCTTGGCAAGAGGGGCGGTTCTGGATCGGAACATTTTGTGTGTCTATTTCGTTTCTTGGAAGTAGATGTGGGAAGCCAGCGAGGTCTCGTCGATAAGCCAGAACGATCGAGTACAGTTCTTGACGAAAGTCAGCAGAGGTCAATAATTGCATGCATGCCGCCGCTGGCCGCTGGCCGCTGGCGAATCGTCTACGTCATGGCTCACGCGGGAAGGGAGGAGGGGTCAGACTCGTCGACTTCAAGCCACTACTGGTGAAGCAACTGAACAAGAGAACAGACTAAGAGACAGTAATATCGACAGATCTCGGTATGTCTTGTTGAGATTCGATTGCTTATGCCGAACGAGGCTCACGTCCACCCGACTGGACGTACCCTAGGATCTTTAAAATCAAATTGCCGTCATCTACCAAGCCCTTCCATTGTTAAACGTTATATGCCATTTGCCTCGTACAAAGTCTGTCAGACAGCGAGCACTATGCCCCATCATCTCTGATGTCGCTTTTATTTTACCGCCGTCACAACGGCCTGGAAGTGGCATGTATATAATATTACCGAGCGCTCAACCATTATCGTCATGCCGCCAGCGTTATCTCAAGTCAACCAGCGCTCGAAATCTGAACGCCGACCGCGAGGACGATATCGCGAATCTCTTGTACCGACTCTACTGTCCAAGCGATGTTCGATCCGGATTGCGCGATTTCCGAAGCCATCCCGAGATTGATTGAGGACGGCTGATCGATCCAGTCGAAATGGCTCTCGAGTGTTTCCATGCGTTCGCCTGTGTCGAGATGATCCCAGAGCTCCGCATATCTATCTCTCTGCACATCGTGACCGAAGTCGTCCTCGAACAGCGCCATGACCATCAAAGTGTCTAACACACGACTTCGGGACCGAAGCCGATACGCTGCTCGCAACGCCAACCTGAAATACCGCTCAGAATTCTCGAGTCGACCTTGTTCACGCTCGAAGCGCAGCATGATGTTGCTACTGGTCCATAGCTCCTCGACATCATCAGACACAATGATCTAGGGCAAGCGGTGAGACTCCTTAGTAAACACTTTCGGGAACAACTAACTCAATCCTCCTTCGCCGTATTTACCTCTGGCCATACCGCTTCGAGCTGTCGGACCGCGAATGCTAACAGGCTTTGTACCTTCCCGTCCGCTTCATGAAACGGGTTGGTGTTGCCTTCGAGACGGCTGATTACGTCTGCCAAGCGAACGGTAGCGCTGCGGTACAGGACCCAATGCTTGAGCGAAAGCGACAAGTGACTCGCTTGAAGCAAATGAGGCATTGCGACCAGAGGTGCAGGACCTTGTACCTATGCGGATACAAGTTGTAAGGAAAATCGGCGAGAGGCGAAGACGACAAATCCCACCCACTTCTGCAGCTTCCGCCCTCGCGAGCAGTGCGGTCAGAACGTCAACTCCCCGGCGGGGCGAGTTGAGGTCATCGCGTCCGAAAAAATCGTGGGAAATTCTATGTCCTGGATCATGTGTCATCCTAAGAGGGCCTCCTACTCCGACTTGACGATAGCTGTTCTTGGGCAGACGGCAGGTTTTGACAAAGTCCAATATATCGTCGTCGTGCCTTTGGAGAGCTGATTTTTCAGCTGCCTAATAACGTTTGTACGAATGAACAAACTGACCTCCGAAGTGCGTCCTGCTCAAATACGTCCCAGATGGCCTCAGACCACTTGTGGTAATCGTTCATGCCCATGTCAGCGGTCAGACACGGATCAAGTAACACGGCCAGGGCTTGATGCGAGCGAGATGCCCGTGTGTACTGCTCAAGTATCGTTTGCTGAGATCAGGATCGGAATCGAAGAGGGCGAAGGTTCGGAAACGGTCACTTACCCTTCGAGATCGAGCCATCGATACTGCAAGGTAGACGTCCGTTCGATTTGTGGGAGATCGCAAGGCCAGATCTTCATGCAGTTCGGCTAGCGATGACGACCCTGTTGAAGTACGTGCTCAGAATTCATGGCTTTCAGCGACCAAGTCCATTTCTCACCCATTGTTTCCCATAAGCCGCTTTGTACGACGTGCAGCAAACTATTGTCCATCAAGCTACCTTCTGGGATCTGTCTGTCTTGGATCTCCTGCTCCGATTCAGGCTCCACAAGACCTGAGTTGACGGCTGGCTTGACACCCATTTTCGCCCGGACGATCGCTTGCTGCCTCGCAACCGCACGAAAGGTCCGAGCGTATGCTGAAGGAAGAGCTTCACCCTGACAGCGATGTGATAACACAAAAGCTCAGTCTTCGTGGGTTAGAGCCGCTCAACGAGGACATACAAGATCAAGTCGTTGCTTTACGGCCCACAGCTCATCCAGCGGCGTTTCGTCCCGGGCGTTTTCCCCCACGTCCGAGGTATGCGCAGGTTGTCCAGGCGCCATGACCGTGGTCATTGCCGGTTCTGATTCGGCCCTCAATCGTTTGGCGAGACTGTTGATGCAGACCGATCGGTCAATATAAGCGTTCGGGGCGTGGGGCGCATCAGTAGCTCACCTAAGACAGTGTTTAAGGCACTGAGCATCTCCTGCGGTTCGTGCGCCTCTTGTAGCTTCATCTATCGTCTGTGGACGAGGACCGATCAGCCTCACGAACCGGTATGGTGTGTCAGACCCAAGTCTCACATCCTTGGCTAGTTCCAGGCCTCCGGTCGCGTAATGGAACGAGGCAAGCTGCAGTAAGGCATGATGATGTCTCATTCTGTCACGCAAGGCGAGGCCGTTCAGGATTGACGACGCTGCTCGAAACGAAATCAAAGGCCACCCACTTGTCATTTGGAGGAAATCGGTGGCTGTAAAATTTCTCCAATGACGACAACGCCAACGAATAGTTCCCTCTCTTGCAAGCGTTTTGATACCTATATTGAGGATGACCGTTGGTTAAATCGGTATCTCGATATGCGTCTCCTTTTTTACTCACTCCTGTAACACACTCAACCTAGCGTCTAATAGATCATCCATCTCCGTCACCTCTGTCAACAAACACATTAGTTAGTCGGTATACGTTCCGCGGTCAAGCCCGACCGACCTCTGACTCACTGTTCGCTACGACGCGTCGTTTGCCTTTCTTCATGCTATAGCCGAATCCTATTCCGCCATGTCCATCCCAGCGTTTCTCATCCTCCAGATCTTCATAAATGTCTTCCGGATGGTCATGTGTATGGGACGCCAGATCCCGAGTGCCGTCCGTCGAACGCGGTTCGCTTGACTCGTCGGCCTTCTCGGCTGGCTTCTTGGCCGAGACACGTCCAGAGCTGGGTTCTGGATCGCCTGCACACCAACTCAGAACATCTTGTCGAACGATGAGGGATTGCGGGAAGTTGAGGACCCTGTAGGCCAGATGCACTTTGCGGAGGAAAACACCTAGAGGAGAATGGTAGGTCTGCGAAATGGGCAACAATGAACATTTGGTGCAGACCGACTTTTGATGCTGTACTCACGATCCTAGTTTCGCCAGTTCCAGGGCCCTGCATTATGAACATTGACTTGGCTATCAGCTGAACTTCCGCAACGGATATCTATGTCTGCGCCCACGTACATCTTCAAGCGTTTCATAGCAAGTGACAAGAATCTCTGTGAAAAGCCACGAGCAGTGAGCTGCCTGTCGAAGTCGAGCCTCCCAGTCATACACACTATCTATGACCTCGAAGCTGTTCTGGATATTGTCAAATATTTCCGGCTGATGCACAACGGCGGATTAGCGATCGCGGAGGAGACGGATTGGACACGGAGCAGCACAGCTCACCATACGATCGAGTTCCTGGGCCGGCTTCTGCACATGTTCGTCCTCCTTGTTGGGAGCCCAGTTGGCCAGCTCCAGGACCTGCTCTTGGAGTTCAAGATATGTCGAAGGTTCTGACAGCTGCACAAGGAACGCCATCAGACAATCACAGTCCCTTGTCAAGTGATGCGTTCTACTGGACTCACATGAAAGATCTCCCTGGCCAACATTTCCAACGCCCGCTGTATATATTCACTGTGCTTTCCAACCCATCTATCGCAATCATCTTGAGATAGTCTCCGCTTCTCGCATGGAGTCGGATACAGGTTGAGGACGATGATCGACAAAGCCAGTGCATGGGGTGTCGGCGGTGGAGTCGAGATATGGGCAATGGTAGAATCTTCCGCCCGTATAGGCATCGTGGGGGGCGCCGGCAACGTTCTCAGCGACTATTTTCTTATCAGTAGTACCTTGGATTCGTGATTGTATGATAACAACCTATGCCATACATGATATGCTTGAAAGGAAGATGATGGATCGGACAGGCTGCAGGGTGCTTGTTGCTGTTGACTTTATGGCTCGGGCATCTTTGCGAACGTAATCATTTCAAAAAACGCATAAACTCGAATCGGTTTATGCAAAAGAAACACCGGAGACTGTCTGAGATGGTTCCGGTCCCCGGAAGCTCGACGTCACGCACAGAGTATACCGTACCTATGGGCCATGGGCCATGGGCTACAAAGCTACAATCTACACCGTACACCGTCTATCCGCCTACAAGCACATACCAATCACCCAGCAGTCCCAGGTGCAACGCAACGTCAGCGGTTCCGAAACAGTCGTCTGACCGCGCAAAGGAAAGGCATCAACGAAACACCAGTGCCACACATCGAAAGGCATAGATACTCATCAAGCAAGCGAACGGCGAACGTCCAGCAGAATGATATCCGTGAGCAGCCTCTGCTCGTTTTGGCTTGTATGGGGGCACTCACCGGGAGATCTGTGACAATTTAAGGCGTTCTTCATCTTTAATCAGAAGGGAGAGGTCAGTGAAAATTCATCCTGAAACGAACCGGTTGTCTTGGCTTATATCATCATTGCCTTGTCTTGCCTGTCTCTGCTAGGTCTTGATCTCTCGGCTGTTCCGAACCGATTTAAAGTGACTATTCCATATGAATGAGCCTCTCATAAAACGAAGTCACGCTTATCTCTGATACCGCCCTATCGCAGACGTTCAATCGCGGACGTCTTCCGAATACAGGTCATCTCGAACGCGGATGTACGTTCACCCATCATCACTCTCGGATCTACCTCTTTCTTCCACGTCAGGGTCAACAATGTTTTCGTACTGGCAGTCACCAAGTCAGTATCCCCAAACGAAAGAGATCCTGACAGCGCTGATTGTCCGAATGTCAACAATATCTCGTTAGATGCAATGCAAACGCCGCTCTCGTCTTCGAGCTCCTGTATAGATTCTTGAGCATCTCCAAGTCGTACTTCAATAAGCTGGATGAGGAGGCTGTCAAGAACAACTTTGTGCTCATCTACGAACTCCTCGATGGTGAGCTGTGCATGAGTTTTTCCCCAATCGTCTCCTTGCATCATGCTGACTTCATTTGCCGTTTCGAACGATATATCCCGTTTCAGAGATCTTGGACTTTGGCTACCCTCAGAACTCAGAGATCGACGCATTGAAGATGCACATCACGACTGAAGGTATCCGATCAGAGATGGCCGTCGTAAGTTCACACATCTAAGATCATCGAGTTTTGCTCTTTTGTTCGAGCTGACTACAAGCCATTTGATCGATGTAGCGGGAGGATTCTTCCAAGATCACGATTCAAGCTACGGGCGCAACGTCATGGAGAAGAAACGACGTCAAGTACAGGAAGAACGAGGCTTTCGTCGACGTCATCGAGTCCGTCAACCTCTTGATGAGCAAGGAAGGCGAGTCTGTTATTCTGCTTCTTGGAATCCGCTCACATCATGATGCTGACGGATACAATCTGGTTTTTCGGTACTGAGACAGGTGCTATCCTTCGGGCGGATGTGGATGGCCAGATCATGATGAGGGCGTATCTAAGCGGAACACCGGAATGCAAGTTTGGGCTGAATGACAAGCTCGTCCTCGAGAAGAAGTAAGTAGGCTGGCATAAATTAGCGCTGTCGATCAGTACAGGTTGCTGAGATTCGATCTGTTTGTGAACAGACCCGACCGAGCACGGTCCGACAACGCCGTCGAGTTAGACGATTGCCAATTCCATCAATGTGTGCGGCTGGGCAAATTCGACAGCGATCGGTCGATCAGCTTCATCCCGCCTGATGGCGAGTTCGAGTTGATGAAGTGAGCCTAGTCAAGCTTCTTGCCGATCTCAGGCCTTACTGACGTTCGGATTCCATGTGTAGGTACCGATCCACCACCAACATCAACCTGCCCTTCAAGCTGCAATCTCATGTCGTTGAACCCACCAAATCTCGAGTCGAATACACCATTCAGCTTCGGGCAACATTTGACCCTAAGCTAAATGCCAACGGAGTCATTCTCCAGATACCCACACCCCTAAATACAAGCGGCGTCAACTGCAAAGTCAGCATGGGCAAGGCGAAATACGTCCCAGCGGATAACATGATTGTGTGGAAGTGAGTCCGGGTCGATATGCCAGCTGTATAAGTGCGTTCGCTCGGGACTGCTCACATGCCTTGCGTAGAATCCCCCGAATGCAAGGTGCCCAGGAAGCCACTTTCCAAGCCGAGGCCGACTTGGCGACCACCACTGTCAAGCAAGCCTGGTCGAGACCGCCCATCCAATTGGATTTTTCCGGTGAGTCCGTCACCATGCACCGGCAGGGATTTCGACTCCTCTTGTAGTTGACGCACGTGCGTGTTCAAACCCGATCCGATAGTCGTCATGTTCACCGCATCGGGTCTACTTGTACGGTTCCTGAAGGTTTTCGAGAAGAGCAACTACCAGTCCGTGAAATGGGTACGGTACATGACGAAAGCGAACTCGACATATCAGATCCGGGTAAGCCCCACGCAGCGGATCATCTCTTCTTATTCGCGTCCCGATCTTGACCACTATCTGCACACTCCAGTTTTAGCGATCGGAATCGCGGTGCGGGATGGGTCTGTCCTCTCAAATTGTATTCCGATTATGACTATCACGTTGCGACCCTTGTTTTACATGTCGGAAGCAAAGGCGACCGACGATGACGAAACGACAGAGCCGTCGCCTCGTTTCGTCAAACCTTATTTCCGGTGTTGCCATCGAGAATTTTGATGTCGCACAAAGCGATGGAATCCGATATGTCCGGGTCTCCCAAGTTTCTGAGGTTCTGAGGGGTCTGGATTGCGATCGGCGGATCGCAGGGTGCAGATCGGCGGTATTCTGCTTTTGTTTTGATGCGATCAATCTTTTCGCCTTTTGTGATGGCGGGTGGCGATCCGCAACAGGGCGATCAGCTGATGGGGACTTGTCTAGTAAGCTAGTAAAATGAGCAGCGAGAAGCGAAAAAAGATCGAACAAAATAACAACGGGGTTTCTGGCAGGATTACTCGCACTATACATATATATACATATAATTAGCACCGCAAGGGAGGGGTGGCATCATGTCCGTAAGTACCTCTCTGCCTACCGTTCTCGATTGCCCGCCGTTCTCGATTGCGCACCGTTCTCGATTGCCCACCGTTCTCGATTGCCCACCGTTCTCGATTGCCCACCGTTCTCGATTGCCCACCGTTGCCAATTAGACTGTCGATCTGATGGAGATCGATTCTCCAACTATGCAACAAGAAGCACCTCCCGCCCCTACTGCACCCGTTCGACAAGCTATTACTCAAGTCCCTGGTCAACAAGCCCCTCCGGCCGGCCCCGCGCCCGTTCATCAGCCAGCAGCTCGTCAGCCAGCAGCTCATCAGCCAGCAGCTCATCAGCCAGCAGCTCATCAGCCAGCAGCTCATCAGCCAGCAGCTCGTCAGCCAGCAGCTCATCAGCCAGCAGCTCGTCAGCCAGCAGCCAAACGTCTGAACGCGCATGACTTGAAGTCGAAGGTGTGTCAGAATGAAGATCGCGAAGTGGCAGTCGTGCTTACGAGACACTCTGTAACAGGTAGCCGGGGACCTGGCTTGTCCAAGGAAGGTCTTCAGGGCCTTGCCAGAAGTCTTTTGGCACATTGGAATGGACTCGCTCGTCGCCCTTGCCCCGGAGGATCTCATCAAGGTCAAGGGGGTCAAGAACTGGTTGGGCGACACCCCTCGAAGGGTGACAGTGGGGATGGCAGATGGCTGGCGTTTCTCGTCGATTTGGGACATGCGTTCTCTCCTGGAGAAGGTAGGAATCGGACGCAGAGCTTAGGAGATCATATCTGATTTGTTTATGCCTACTTTCCCCGCCAGGTTCCCTACTCCCTCGTCTTGATCAGCGTGATCGTTCATAGGCTTCCCGAGTCCGGTTGGCCGAGGGGAGCCTCAGCCAATCGGGATACAATCGAGCTCCCTCCCGATCTGACGTCGATCCATGCTGCTGTGTGCGCTGAACTGGTGGGTCCCACTATGCTCAAAGCATAATCACTCGTTGTTGATCAGCTACTCTCTAGCACGAATTGGGAGATGTTCCGCAGGACATGCCAGATGACGACCCCCTCAAGGACGCACCTTTCCTTGCCCCCAGTAGTTGTCATGGCGCTCATGGCGCTCTGGTCAGCCAATATGCGTCCGATGCGATCAGGCGATACTGGTCCGAGGACTCGTGATCATTTCGGACACGCCTCCGCCAGGGAGAACAATCGCAAACCATCACCCTTCAAACGCTTTAACGGTCAAGCAGAGAAACACTCAGTCATTCAAGCGGTCAAGCAATCGAGCCATCGAGCAGTCAATTATTGTATAGACAACATGAAACGATTCTAATCATTTCTCGGGAGCCTTCTCCGCAACCTTCTGGACCTGGTCACTCCACCGGCTGACGAGACCCATCGCCCTAGCACGTCTGACCATCTTTCCGACCCGCCTCTGATTCTTCCAAGTGAGTCCCGTCTCTGCTCGCGATTTGATCTTGCCCATTTGCGTCAGGTAGCTCCCGACGAGGTCGGCGTTGATAGCTTCGTTGACCGGATTGACGGAGAGGATGTGGAACGGATCAGATTGGCGAGATTTGGGAGCGGAAGGTCCAAGATAGGCGGGTCTAGGAGGTCTAGGAGGAGTGCGGAAAAGAGAGTCGGAAACGAGTCGGGTCGGGCTGTAAGTCTGCAGCGAGAGCGACGACGGGATCAGCGAGCGAGCGAGCGATAACGAGGCTAAAACGTTTGTCTCTGACCTGATTCGTAGAGAATGGCCGGTACTCGGCTTGTCGAACCACGTTGCCATACAAAGCTATACGACAGGCACCGATCGAGAGAATCAGCACAACAGGAAGCAGACGTCTCGTCACCGATCCTCAGCTCACCTCCAGATCCCGCGTTGTTCGAAGCAGACTTGGCCTGCGACTCCTCCGATTTCCTCAACGACTCCAACAGGATCTCACCAAGTTTCTCTCCAGCACTCAGTCCACCGGCCGAACCAGAAGTAGCGGACGATGAAGCGGTGGGTGCAGAGTTGAGGTCCGGTGCCGATCGAAAGGCGGTTTGATGCAGGGCACGGATCGCGACGATGCGAGCGGTCCGGAAGGTGCTGATTGCGGAATTCAGCGTTGACAAAGACATTCTATGGACCTCTATCTTGCAGCTGGAGATTGCGGTTCGTTATCATTGTGATTTAGCAAGTTCTTTCAAGGTAATAATCGTCGAAATGGTAGTGGTCGGAACTAACTCCGGAACCAACTAAATTGCACAGGCAATTTAGTTGGGATGATTTTTAGACTCGTCGCGTCTCGAGATTCCTTTTTCTTTTGACACGTCATCGACTCGTCTTTCATTGATAATCTCGGGGCTTATGACGAGGCACACGCATGGTCGACGTCACATCGAGCTCGACTTCGAGAGCGATCGTTCACAGCCTTAGCATCTTGAGAAGGTGCAGAGATTCAACCCGGCTTACGCAGTCTCGACGAACGTTCAGTATGATCCTGCTAGAGGTGAGTAGAGATGCATCGCGGTCAGATCGAGCAAGTTCTGGGAGTTTGACGCGTGACTTCTTGAACTATGCAAACAGAGTCACAACACCATCATCAAGAACGTCTTGACAGAACGTTTCGTCAAGTGAGCTTGCGACCAGTGTGGCTACTGAGTGACTAGGTCGCTTATCCTGTCAAACTGCTCCTCGTAGGCCTTCAAAGATCGACGTCCAGTTCGTCGACTATGACAATGTCAGATTCCACCTGTCCACCCCAACCAGCAAGACGGTTCTCGTCCTGTCGATGGGAATCCACTGCTGGTCCGACCTGAAGAAGTACGGTGCTCCAGAGATCCTTGAGCGGGAGTTCGGCGAATGGGTATCGAACGACCCGAACCTGAAGGAGCAGGATTACGATGTAACTCTGGTTCTCGACCTGGAAAAGATCCCGGAGGAAGGAGGTGAGCCCGTGTAGCGACTAGTTCGTTGATACTGTCAACTCAGCTGATGTATTGCCATTGTCATGACAGACGACCGCGACGCCCTGATCGACCACTTCTCTATGCTCAAGCCCATCATCCTCTCAGCACCCTTCCATCGAGCCTATAACGAGCACAGCCAGCTCGCTTCGAAGCACAAGTCGACTTTCCAGCCCGGTATGGCTGATCAAGCACCGGAAGAACGTGGAGAATTGATGATCATTCACTATCGAGAGGAGGAGGCGATTTACGTGCAAGCAGCCAATGATAGGGTGACCATCGTCATCTCCACATTGTTTACGGACGAGACGGACAGGGTATTTGGAAAGGTGTTCTTGCAGGTCAGTGCGAGAGGATCAAGTGGATGTTTTCCTCCAGTCACTGATTGCGACCTGTTTGGCGACGGTCTTTAGGAATTCGTGGATGCTCGTCGACGTTCTTCGGCGATCGGCACTGCCCCTCAGGTCATGTACACGACCCGCGATCCTCCCCTCGAGGTTCGAAATGCACCTGGAATCGCCGGAGTAAAGCGGTCAGAGGACGTCGGCTGGATTACTTTTGGTATGTGACGACGCAATCTACGTGCGGCCATATGGCTGATTCCAATTGATTCCAATTTTTCGCTCGTCTCAGTCCTATTCCCTCGGCATTTCGCGACCCCTGAAATTGCTTCTGATACTACGTTCAAGCTCGAGCTTTTCCGGGACTACCTTCATTATCACATTAAAGCTAGCAAGACGTGAGTCTGATCTACCCGAAATCCGTTCGAATGTCGTACTGAATTTAACGCATCATCGTTTCCCCAAAGCTATATGCATTCCCGAATGAGAGCAAGGGTAGCCAGCTTCCAGCAGATCCTCAACAGAGCCAAGCCGGAGGTCATTCAGGATGAAAGGAAGACAGCGACGTGAGTTTTCGCATAACTGGCTTTGACATGACATTTCTGACCGCTAAGTCTACTTTACTATGTGAAATAGTGGTCGTACTTTCCGAAGTCGTTGATTCTGCTAAATCGTGAGGTCCGGAGTTCCGTTTACTATATTCAGTGTTGCAGTATATGATTGTATGACGGTTTTCACGCTTATTGAAAGGCCCATTGATGCTTTCCGTAGCCGTAAAGTTTTGGATATCAGAAATGACTTTTGAGGATGCCGGTGTGGTCAAAAGCAATCCATCACGTTCGATTGATGGTCACAAGCCCGAGTGAAGCGAACTGCATCGGGCGATTGAATCTCTGATTTCAAGCATCCTCTATCCGGGCAATCCCACAGTATCAACATCAGCGGCAGCCATTCAGCTATCGCCATTTTATACCCTTCTCAAAGAACCACTTACAGTAGGAGGTCAAGCGAATCGCGGCGTAGACTTGGTATACGTCAATAACATCACGGACTGCTTTGCATCAAAAGTCCGGGCATGACTTCCTTCATGACTTGCACAGAGTACCTGAAATGGTCATCTTACACACCAGCATATTCATCGTCGATCTCTGCTTTGCTTAGAGGTCAAAAACAGGCAGCTATATCGATGGGAAGAGATGCGTTACCTCTGCAATGTTGCCTATAGATTGTCCCGTTGCCTGCGTTCCCGGCGTTCATCGATCGAGTGACAGCGCGTTGAAGTGAATCGAATCAACTTTGCGCTCATGCTATATTACAGAGCGAACCTACTAGAAACTCCGATATTGCGTCGGTATGACGCTTGTTTGTCCAGCGACGTCATATTTATCGAGAGTGGAACCCGATCGCAGCCCAGCCACTGCGATACAGCAGGAAGACGTTTCGTAAGATCTGCCTCGTCGGGAATGCATAAGCGAATAGGATATTTCCTGAATTCTCCTAGGTCTCCGTTTCAACCCGAAACAAAATCACAGCTTCTGGACTGTGGGGTGGAGGAGATCTGATCTGAGTTGATCAGTCTGGAAAAGACAAGATAGTCTGACAAACTCTCTAACATAATCCGAAAACAACGGCCTAGACGCTGAAATGTGAATGATCACTGCCAACAAACCAAGCGCAAGCGCACCATGAATAATATCTCAAGCTCGTTTCAAACACCATGGCATGAAAACTGCTACGAGGCTTGGGCGATCGATGAAGCCAGTCATGACAGAATAGCAGCTATGTTCCGAGATCACAAGCGTTGTTATAGACCCCAAGTCGGGAGATCAGACTCAGCCTCAGAGTGTCGTTCAAGTTCCCGCAGATAGCGGCTTGGAGCAAGGGGGTTGTTGCGGCTCAATCCTTTACGGTGTGTTGCGGTCTCCAAACTATATGAAGCACTTGGATGGTCTCCCTGTTCAACAATACCAAACGGCTAGTGTCATAACAGCAACGTCCCAACGTGATATCAAACAGTAGTGGAAAGATGAGATCGCATTGACCGAAGAGAATAGCTCGGGCAGTGATTCGGAGGTTCCTCTGACATTCTCGGTGAGCGCGATGGATTGTATGGTCATCGATAAGAACCGAACTGACAGATCAACGTAAGCCATAGATCAAGCTTGTAAGGTGTATCGCCTATATAAAAGCGTTACGCGGGTAGCAAATACCGCTCGTGCCGCTAGCCTATTCACACAGATACTCCTTAACAAGAGATTCACATTCTGTGAGGCGTCGCGCGTTCGATTCCAGGAGCCATACATCTTATTGCTCGATGCTCAGCCGGTTTCGGCTGGCCATCGGGTATGATGTATGGTTTCAACCACGATGATTCTGGATGGTTCCGCCGGTTTCGGCCAGATCATGAAAGAATCATCGCCCCCCGCTGCCTCCTTCGCACCCCACGCCGGTTTCGGTTGGGTGTCGGGTTGGCCCAAATTATTTTTTCAAAGCCAAACGTTTTTTCTTTTTAACTCAACTTGTTTCTTCTGTTCTCGCATTCCCTTTTTCCCCGCAATCGCTGGAGAAGGCTTTGTTTGGCAGGGGAAGTCCGTAGTACAGGGTGTGTCCAACGGACGGCGAAAGAGATCAAATGCAAAGTGGGGAGACAGGCAGGCATACATGATGACGTCGATACGTTAGCCTTGCCCGGCGGAGATGCTAGCATGTCGCGAAAGTTCCCGCGACATCCCTTTCACTGCACTGATATATACACATGGATCAGATGTACCAAGATGTATAGCTATGATACAGAGCCTAACGTGCGCACCGTCTTCCAATAGACGACGGTCGACCTCGCAAGCCTATTAGATCGCAGACCGATTCTCACGAATTGGCAGGTGGTCGGTAGGAACGATTCTCCGCCGACCATCTTGATTACAAAACACAAAACACACCGCTCGCAAAGCCGTATCGTCTTCCTCTTCCTTTTCTTTGCGTAACTCAATCGATTATCGGTCGACTTCACCGAACACCAAGTCCATGGTACCGATGATGGCGACGGCGTCCGGCAAGAAGCTGTGCAGAAGTCAGTCGCAAAAGAAAGGGTCAGCTCTCTGGTGCCCAGCAAGTACGCAGTGCAAACGTGACTGACTGATGACGCATCATAAAGTCGGAACCGGCCAAATGGGCGAATCCGGGAGCTCGAATCTTGCATCGGTAGGGTCGTTGAGATCCGTCACTGGTTCGCGAAACAAGATCGAACTTTGGGTCAGCTAATCATTCTCGATGTTGGGTCATCGGAGCGCGACTTCGACTCACGATACCAGGTAGACAGCCATCTCTCCCTTGGGGGCCTCGATGGCCGAGTACGTCTCACCGGGGGGTACCGAGTAGCCCTCAGAGAACAACTTGAAGTGGTGGATCAAGGCTTCCATGGATTCCTTCATGGCGGCTCGGGGAGGAGGTACGATCTTCTGGTCGTCCACCTTGACGGCACCGAGGGGCATCTTGTTCAGACATTGCGAGATGATTCGGAGGGATTCACGGAATTCCTGAACTCGACAGAGGTATCGGTCGTCTGAGATCGAGGGGCATAACGGGGTTCGTCAGTTAACCTTTTCTGTTGACATGTGATGAGAAGACGGTGGCCAACTTACAGCAGTCTCCGTTGACACCGACGGGGATGTCAAACTCGACCTTATCGTACGCATCGTAAGGGGCAACCTTTCGGATATCCCAAGGGATTCCACTTCCACGAAGCATGACACCCGAGAAACTGTAGTCCATGGCCTCCTTGGCGGTGACCTTGCCGATTCCGACGGTCCTTCCCTTCCAGATACGGTTACCCGTGACGACCTCTTCGATCTCGTCTACCCTGCTCGAGAACTGGGTGGCCCACTTGAAGATGTCGTCCAACATGCCGTGAGGAAGATCGTACGCCACACCACCCGGTCGGATGTAAGCGGCGTGCAATCGAGCTCCCGATACTCGCTCGTAGAATTCCATCAACTTTTCACGTTCTTCGAAACCCCACAAGAAGGGAGTGAGGGCACCGACGTCCATGGCGTGGGTGAGGACGGCCATGAGATGATTGAGGATTCGGGTGATCTCTCCGAAAAGAGTTCGGATCCACTTGGCACGCTCGGGAACCTCAATGTTCAACAGCTTCTCGACGGCCAAGGAGTAACACAGCTCGTTGGTCACTACAAGCGGACACGTAAGGACCAGCCATACTCAAGTTAGCTTTCCTACTTCTCTTTTCCTGAAAGAATAGCCTCAAAACTGCTGCGCGACACTCACTCATACTAACGTAGTCCAACCGATCGAAGTAGGGCAAAGCTTGCGTGTAGTTCTTGTACTCGATCAACTTCTCCGTGCCTCGGTGCAACAACCCGATGTGAGGGTCGGCTCGGAGAATCTCTTCACCGTTGATCTCGAGGATCAGACGAAGCACTCCGTGCGCTGCGGGGTGCTGAGGTCCAAAGTTGACTGTGTGAGGTGGAGCAACGGTGCGAGTCGAGGAGTGAGTATTAGTAGAACGTATAAGGAGGGGAAGGAGGCGTAGGTGACGTACCGGTAAAGTGTCGCATCGAGGCATCTTTACGGGATCCCGTCTCCCTCAAGATCTCCTCAGCAGAGAGCTCATGGAGCCTGTTCGAGTAGACAAGAAGAATTGTAGTTTTCAGTCACAATGCCCCAAATCCGTCTCGCGATTCTTGAGAGAGAGAGAAAGAGAGAGCAGGCAGGCTGGTCGATCTCGATTTGGCGCGATGTCCGAACATCTCGACCCGGAGGCATCTTCCGATCGCCACCTGACCGCCATCTGTGCTCTCAATACAGTATAGAGTATTCGCCACTCACTCCTCTACCGAATGACTTCGAACGGGACTGCTAGGAGCCTGGGTGGCCAAGGATCGACGAGCGAGGGCCGGGATCGAGCTGGTAGCCGCTAGCGATCGACGCGGGATCGAGCCGAGTACGGGTCGTGCGAGAGATTTGAGAAGCATCCTGGAGCGAGGCCGGCTTGAGGGTATATATCTCTAGAGACGGAGAGAACAATGTCTGACGAGACTCGGAGACCTTGTGGGTCTGCACGATCGACTGCTAATGTGGCGATGGAGATCACGATTGAGCCTATGGGAATCACAGGATTGGGACACAAACGTACACCCGTCAACGAAGAGTATCAGGTCAATAAACGGACATCTTCCCCTGATTTACTTCCGAAAGGGTCAGATATGCTACCATGTCCGCGAATTATACTTCCGGTGTCGATATCGAGCAACTACAGTATATCCATGAGACATGCACACCTCTCATGTCTCATCACAACTGACATGACCTAGTCAGATATCAATGCAGCTTAGTAGATCTAGAGGTCAGACGAAATCATGGCTTCCGACGTAACGATCTCGCAATCCTTGCGACGTTCTCTCGACACGCTCACCCGCCCTATAAGCTCCATCTCTGACCTCCACTCGACCCTTTCATCCATCCTACACGACCTTGCCTCGGCTCAAAAGGCGGATCTGGACAAGATCGGCAAGCTCATCTACCTGATCCAGAAAGAATTAGTCGACAAGGTCCTGCCCGTATGGAAACCCGTGCTCGAGATGAATGGGGAGGAGATGGGGATGATCAGGACATTGTTCGTGCCGTCGACGGTCAAAGGGAACACCGACACAGGCGTTCGCAGTAGCAAGGATTTCCGCTTCGCAGAAGACATAGCTGTTACCATTGCTCTATCTTCATTCCAGACAATCTCTTCCTCATTTACGCCCAAGCTAAAGGCGGAGGAAACAACCTACCTCCTTGATCTGCTGCAAGACCTCCTCGGTCTCTACCCGTTCGATCGGATCTATACTTTCCTCTACCTGCAACAAAACGGAAGCAGTGATAGAAATAGCAGCAACGTAGATCTCATCTTCCAGACCTACACTCAAACGTTCTTGGGCTTGTCCGGAAAGGTTGGGAACGTTTTAGGCAGGCTAAGGGTGGATGGGATGACAGGCAAACAGGACGACGGTCGGGGTTGGGACGAGCGTGGGTTTTGGAATGGAGTATGTCGCGGTATCGAGCACGTCCTATGGAAAATGAGCTCCCTGGGAGGTAAGCCCTCATATCTTCGATCGCGTTCACCAAAGGGTTACGAGTGGGACTGACATCAACATGTGAACATTGTCATTTCAGTCGAACCGGACGTCGAACCGCTCATTCCGCTCCTGACTCGTTTAACGACGCTTGGTCTCTTTCCTCTCCTTACTACCGGGTCTTCGACCTCCACGCTCGCATATTCTCGCTCGTTCTTCTCATCCTGCATGCCACAGGTCATCACGCATCTCGAACAATCGTCTACATCACCACAGTTCGCATCTCAAGCGAACAAGTACCCTAACGTATGGAAAGCTATCCGGAACGAACTAGCTACAAAGCCTAGGAGGGCGATCGTGGGGTCTTTCTTCTCGCTGCTTACCGCACGGGTTGTTCTGCCTGCATCCTCCGGACCGGAACCCAAACTCGACTCTCAATCCCGTCCTGGATCAGACGGGCATATCAAACGAATGTCCGACCTTCTACGCCTCTTCGCCGGTCATCCAGACAGACGAGAAGAAGGAACATTGAGATCCGATGTCCTCCCTCTGGTCTTTATGAAACCTGCTGGAATACATGCTTCGACCCCGAAGCTGGACCATGAATGGGAGAGGATGGCAATCAGGGCCAGAGTGATCGTAGCATACGCAGCGAGTGGTGGAAAGGGGGTAGTAGGGATGGTCTTGGAAGATATCATGCGGGTCTGGGGTGATCCCTCGGAAGTCAAATATGGGTTGATGGGAAGGGGAGCTTGTGAGTCCATACGCGCCCATTTATGATTCGAGTCTATAACGTGTTCACTGATAATTTCGTCCTTCTGGTCTACGACAGTCCTGACCTTGTTGATCATACTGCTCGTATCGGCCCTGCCACCTTACGACCCACTGATCACCCGGATCACGTATCACTCGCCATTCTTGGTCTCGATGCAATCTTACTTGGGACATTCGGATCCAGCGATCAGGCGGCTGGGTATGTTGGTGGGGGAGGTGATCAGTCGGAGGAGCATCCCTTCGGATGACGACGATAACGATGATCATGACCTTGACCGCAAGGAAGGTGCATCTGACAGACGGAAAGGGAAAACGGAAGACGGCAAGGTGATCACAGAGTTGGAAGGGATGCTGGACGACTTGGAGGTGGATGGCAAGGGCGCGAAAGCGGCTTCGGCGAGACCCCCACCCAAAGTGAAGCGGCTCGATTTCGGAAAAGACGTCTGGGAAGGTACGGGAGGTGGGAGAGAAGAGTGTAGGTGGTTGAGGGCTTTCTTGGGTCTGCGGGATGGGCAGGCGGATGTGGATCTTAGTGACGGGATGCTAGGATGGGAAGAAGCCGATGAGAAAGAGTCTTCCGAGGACCGAGACATCAAAAATGGCACAACAGCCGATGTGCAGGCGGATTCGGATGACGAGGCTCCCTTCGCGCCTGCTCGAGGTCGATCGGCCCGGTCGAGACCCGCCAAAACTGCAGCTATCGTCGACTCGGATGACGATTCGCTCGTCGGTTACTCGGACGCATCCCCATCGTCTTCACGCTCGCCCTCGCCTACACCCTCTTACCTCGAAGAAGTCGCCAACGATCCTATGCTCAATACATCAACACGAGAAAAGGTTCAGCGGCCCGTCTATCTAATGCAGCTGTTGGAGCTGCTGAGAGCGAGGACCGAGCCGGAGAAACTTGAGGTGGCACTCCGTTGGGGAGAGGAGCTCATCAGACGCAAAAGGGACTATGGGACCGAACTGGGTAAGCACAATTGGAAAAAGTCAAGACCTGGCTCGAAAATCTCATGTAATTGTCTTTCTTGCTTGTTTACAGACGAAAATGCTGAAGAGCTTGTTCATCAAGCTTTAGCTCTGTCGGATCCATACGACCTGGAAGACTTTGAGAAGAGGCGACAGGGGATCGTCATAGCTTTAACGGCTTGTTCGCCCCGGATCGTTGCACCGTGAGTCCCGAGTTCTCAACAGCAGTTTGTCTAGCTACATAGCAACTGGAATTACTCTCCACAGCCTCCTCATCCGGCTCTATTTCGAGGCACAATACTCTCTAGTTCAACGTTCGGCAATCCTGACGGGTCTCTCTATGGGCGCTCGAGAATGCGCTGGGCTTCCACTCGCGGTCGAACCGCAGCGAGCCAAGGTCGATTTCCCCTCGAAATTCCTACCACCAGCTCTCCACGCCAAATATGCTTCGGCTTCAGATCCAGCATTTTCACAGGCGCACAAAGCCATCTCGGACGCGACTGATTCCGTCACCAATGAAGCGCTTCGACGCGGCCGAGACTCAACGGCGGATAAGCATCCCGAAGTGGTCAGACATCGACAATTGCGTGTGGCCGGCGCAAATGCGAGAAGCAAGATCACAGACATGGCTAACGCGGTCAAACCTGTTGCGCCGAGTTCGACAATGGTGACTGCGCAGCAACCTAAAGTCGCGTTCAAGGACGTCGCTGCAGAGTACTTCCTTCTACCCATGATGAATCGATTCTGGACATACCTCCAGGAGGAGGTCACGAGAGAGCAGCAAACGCGAGGCAAATACACCGTCGGCGGGACAGGCATGATCCTAAGTCCGCTTTCGGTGTCGCAATTCCTATCGACGTTGACCATTATGGTGCACGCGGCGCGTCATTCTGTTCTCTACCTCTCGGTCATTTGTCCCGAATCACTGGAGCTGGCCATCAGCGTCGGCTCGAAGCTCTCGGTGGCACCAAACTTCACGCCCTCTAAAGGACCTTCCGATGCCAAAGACTTCGAATCAGACGTAGTTGCAACAGCTCTGGAGCTTGCACTGGTCAGTATCGACGGCGCTCAGGAGCTGGATGGTGGACGCGCTATCGCAACAGAACAAAGCGTGACACTGATGGCGGCAGGCGAATGGGCGAGCGAGATCTTGCAAAGGGAGACGCGGGGAGAAGCCACGACCACGAATACTGGGGGCAGCAGGGAGGGTAGGGTACAGAAGGCAGCGGCAGGCTTGCTGGTGCTTGTTTCCGGCATCGTCGAGAAGATGCAAACTCTCATGAACTAACGTGTACATCACGAGCGAATACGACCTTGACGAGTTCTCCATGATTGATCAACGCGATAGTAGACTGTAATTGATTGTAAAAAGGGTCCGTTTTATGAAACACTTAGGAATATCGCCGTTTTCGGCGAAGAAATGCTGACAATATCCCTGGTAACATCCCCGCAGTATCCATGGTACGGTTTCAATGTCGCTAGATGCGTCAAGAAATTCGGTTTATAGGTCGTATGGATTTTTCCGTTCGTTTGACGCGTTAGCCGTGCTGGCCTCGTTAGTAAGCGCGAGGGCGCGGGTATCCCAAGTCGATCGATTCGTTCGTCTGCAATTCTGCAACAGTCTATTTGGCCTGTCAGAAGAAAACGATGCATTGGCGCTGATTACATCGGGAAATGGGGTACTTTGGATTTGCGATAATACCAGGTGGTCAGGTAGAAATCCGACCATTTCGACAGCGACTCGTAGCAATCATCCGGGACTGGCACTATAAGCAGGGTGAAGATCCTTCCCTCAATGACATGTTGCTCGACACCATCCCAGTCGACCTAGTCCTGAACGGTCTGGCCATGTTGAGTTCTTTCAGGCTTGACCCTAAACCGCCGTTTCCGCCCAGCTCCCGAAACTTCAGCCTCAAACACCTCGCGAGAACACAGGTCAACTGACATAGATGTTCGAACAGAATCAATGCTGCCACCGTTCTCCTTGTATACATGTCTGCGTTCGAATCGTGGGAAGAACATTACAAGAGATCCTCCATCTCGGCATCTACGTCGTCTCCTGCTACGCTCAACCCAGCCATAGGGCTCGGGGGCCGGCTATAGTCTGCCTGCGATATGATCGTATCATCGTGCTCCGGCATGGGTGCCGGTGAGGAAGCCACCTCGCTATTGACCGCAGCGGTGCCTATATCAGGGGTTCCCATGACCGAAGGACTGCCCTCCTGCCGTTTAAGCGAATCCAATATCCTCTTGTTGGCATCGCCCTTGTCCGCCTTCTTTGTCCAGGGTTTTCTCTGTTTGCCCGTCTTGGTGAGACCACCGCCCCGCTTGCCCTTGGTCGGTGCGGATGTTGCTGCAGGAATGAAGAATCCGTTCTCGTCAAAGGTGCCTTCCACACCAGCCAAAGGTGTTCCATCTGGTCCGAGCATCGAAGGGTCGTTCATCATCGCTTCTTCTGCTGCTCTCTGTTGTTCGGCGAATCGCTCGTCCCGTTGAGCGCGCCAGGTCGACTTGCCCGTGTCTGCCGCAAGACCAAGCTCGGTAAGTGTATCGCACGATGAACATTTACGACGACTCTACTCACCTCCTGTCCAGGTCTTGAACTTCAGCTGATATCCCCCAATACCCGTCACCGAGAGTTCTTTTTGGACAAATCGTCTCGGTTGACCCGCGAGGTTTTCCTTCAACTCTCGCGGACAAACGATATCCCGTTCTTTGACAACCTGTCCAAAGCAAGTCTTGTTTAGTGACCATCTCAACATGGATCGGCTACAAGCAGAATAAACCAACCTTGCTCGGATCGACCGCCTTGAGAACAGGCAAGCCTTGCATCTCGACATGATGCCGAAAGACCGGGTGACCTATATTGGCCGGTATGGCAACTGCTTCGGGATCTTGCAGCGGCGCTCCGACGTCGATACCGAGCTTTTCAAAGTCGGTCTCGTCTGCTTTTGTAACGTCGATCTTCAAGGCAGTGGCGACTGGTTTGGAAGGTTCGCTCGTCACGACGATATCTGTCCGGCGATACATGCTTAGTGCCTTGCTTCGTGAGGTGTCGTCGACGAATAGTCTCACTCACCCTGTTTGTTCTCGGCCAGCAGGTCCTCCTCTCCAGATGCTGGGGCAAGACTCTGTTGTACCGAGACATAGCTCAAGATATCGCCCTTCGGCTCCCGGGGAGGTGGCGTAGGCTCCTTTCTGAACGAGATCATTCTGACAGCTGCGGGTTTGGCAGGCTTTTCCGTAGGCGGAGCGGGAAAGTCCCACCCGGGTGGGAGAGGTTGACCCGGGTTGTTCTCCCTAAACTTGGCGATCGCATGGGCGCGAGTTTCACCCTTCTTCAATCCTCGTCTCCTATAAATCCCCCAAAGGCAAACATAGGCAAACATCAAGGCGTGAGTGAACTATTTCGTCCAAATCGATAGCGTGCTGACTGACCATGTTCCTACGCTGTTAGCATCCTCCGTCCCGGGCGGCTTGGCCATCCTCCTCCTTTTCTTGACCGGTGCCGCCCCTGCTTCTCCATTCTCCGTCCCGCCTGGTGTACCTTCATGCTCCATTCCCATGATCGACCCATCCACCGATCCCTCCGCACCTTCCAACCCTGGGACAGGCCGGATGCTTCGTTTCTTCTTGACCTGTTTCTTCTTGGGCGGTTCGGGCCGGAACGCTGTCTTGTACTGTCCCTGTAGATCGGGATTATCGTACGGGTCACCTTCGTACTCTCCAGGTGTTCCACTACCAGCAAGGATTGGGTAGTCTGGGTAGTTGGTCATGAAAGACGATCCGGGACCTCGATGCAGGTCGTGCTCGGCATGACGGGGTAGAGGAGAGTCTGATCGAGGATGCGGATGGCCCGTTTCTTCGCTCGGGGCTCGGCTGTTCCCGGCTCCAAGGTAGAATTCCGCCTCGTCCCCCTGCGAGCGTCCAGGAGTGTATCGAGCGTTGATTCGAGCGTGTTCTGACTCTGGGGACTGATGGGCCTGCCATTCGGCTGCATGGGCGCGGACATGCGGATGAGCCATAGGTGGAGCGGTGGTACGAGGTGGGGTGGAAGAATGCGAGATGGGAGGTGAGCCAGAGTTGACGAACGGCGTGTTGGGATCGCCCTTGAACCTAAGGTTACGCAACATGTTCATCCGTTGTTGAGCGAATGTACCGTGAAGAGCAGGAGGCGGCGGCAAGGCGATGTTTGAAGATCCCGGGATAGAGTTTGAGGGAAAAGAGCGATCGGATTGAGGTGGGGGGACGTTCCCACCTTCTGTACCGTCCGTCATCTGGTCCTCCCGATTGGGAGCAGGCGGAGGAGTTCCCCAGCTATCGTCGGTCAATTCCCGTAGCCTGGGAACGCCAGCCTGTTCCGTCGTGCCAGCCCTCATATCCCCGTCATCCTCCAGCTCGTCCAAGATCATGTCGGTCGTCGTCGATGCCGCTTCGTCAGGCCTCTTTGGTAGCTTGATTCGAATGGTAGTCGGACCGGCCATGACCCCGCTCGACTCCAGATCCTTCCTAGCTCCAGATCCAGCCTCGTGCGGTCCGTCAACGAGGCTAGCTATATCTGCCACATTAGCAGCGGGTTCATCGGACCCCTTTGCCAACTTGGCTCGTTTCTTCTTTGGTTTGCTCGGGATCGCCCCCTCGAGTGCCGTGGGCAGAGTGGACGATTTCGAATTCCGCTTCCTCTTTGCAGGGACTGCATGAGGAGAGCTTGGTGGCAAGATGGATGCCTCGACCTCTTCTTCTTGGTCCATCCTATAGGTCGTTCGGGGAGTCAGAGGGGGGATATAGTCTTCGGGCTAGTCCGGAGATGGAATTTCGTGGTTTCGCGGTTCTTGTGGGGATCAAGATGTCAATGTTGTAGATTGCAAGTGCTCGGATTACAGGCTAGGAGCTTATGAAAGTGAATGGGATGAAAGGGTGTGGTCGTGTGTATATTAAAGAGGGATTGTAGCTCAACATTTCCAAGAGCTGCTGCTGGAGCGAGCGAGCTTTCGGTCAGACGCGACGAAGGGCGAACTCGCAACTTGACCTCTTGTCACAAATACATCCCTTTCTCTAACATATTTCCCTACATTCCTTCACGTCACCAAGCTGGACTCCAAGATAGGATCATCTAAGCTGAATGTCATTATAGTCCTAGTCTTGCCTCAAAAGATCAGCGGGAACAACTACTCTTGAACATCCTGAACGAGCTCGCGACGTTCCGAGCAGGACCTTCCTGGTCGACATCGAGAACTAAAGTTCGACCTCGAGTTGCACAATGGCTGGTCGTGCTCTAAGCGGTAAGCTGTTACAGAGTACGAGAGAACATTCCAACAGTATCATTTAGTCAGACTTTGCTCCACATCTGCATAGACGCCATCGACATCGAGGACGACGACGATGAAGTAGTCTTCCTCTTCGATTCGAGCCAAAGGCCGTCCGACCCGGATGCTAGGAAACGAAAGACCCCTCTCTTTACCGATCCAAGTCCGCCTACTTCTCCGGAAGCTTCGAGCAGTCGGCCATTCAAGAGTAAGTTTCAGGGATCGCTATGCGGTACGTATATAAACTAGCTGACCTTCTTGCTTGGATCTCGAAGAACGAAGGTCGGTGGTCATCTCACTCGAGGATGAGGATGACGATGAGGGTAAGCGCTTTCTCATCCAGCTCATGAGAGACCCTTGTATGATGTGCTCAGGATGCTTTTGAAATCGCAGACTTTTCCATCGTCCACCCGCTCGACGATCCCCAGCCCCGATCTACCGGATCTCAGCTCAATCCCACTCACATTCGATCCAGTGAAGCCGGTCCCTCGAACTCGAACCCCGACCCAAAATCGAACACACGATCGGGACTTGTACCAGCGACGGAGCCGGCCAAGAAGCTGACGGTTCAAGAGATGTCGGCGATGTTGACACAGCTAGGGGAATTACCTCAAGCGCCGGGGCCATCTTCTATGGTCGCGACGGCCGGATCGTCCAGTATGGTCTCTTCCGTTCAAACGCTGGCAGAGGGAGAAGCTGGGAAGCCCGATACGATCGGTCCTTCTAGCCTGGCTGATCCTCCTGGCATGGGCCTTTCGATCCAGACTACCGAGAAGCAGCAGGCGAATGTCCCAAGCCCAGTTGTGAGAAGTCCAGATCGCGCCGAGATGTCTGGGATCGCAGCGAAACAGAAAGAAGATCCCAAAGTCGTAGACCGCGTCCTTACGAAGATGGCTTCACCCGTCACGGCCGACGTGACGCTGCCTGGACCTATCTCGACGCCTGAACCACCTTCCAAGCGGGACAAGGGTAAACAACCCGAATCGAGCGCGACACCTGTGGCACATGCTGGTATTGCTGCTGCTGCAACCGCTTCAAGCTCGACGCCCGCACAAACCGCATCGACCCGTCGTCGGGTCATCAAGCGAAACCCGGTCGCTGTCGACCCCCTGGACTATTTAGCAGAAAAGCAAATGCCTTTCCCGTCTCCCACTCAGGTGGAGGATGCCGATCTGCCTGATATCCCCCCAACACCGGTCAGACCGCTGGCGAATCTCAGCATATTCAAGGTCAAGCCTAAACCGGGAAGGTACCCTAGAAATACAGCCGCTTCTAAAGCTGCCGAGGATCGGGTTGCGAAATCGTCTCGTCGGTCTGAGCCTGAGCCAGAGCCAGAGGCCGGTCGTGTACCGCCCGCTCCCGCTCCCGCTACGACTCCCGTACCTCCTCGACCGAAAGATCGGCCTTTCTGGCGGACGGTGGCGGATGACGACGAGTCTCATGCTCCTTCGACGGCACAGTCGGGCGGTTCCGAGATGGAAGTCGACGAGACTGGAGATACTGGCTTCGATCCTACCCCTACTGTTGCTCCGAAGATCCGCACTCCGACCGTCAGGTTCGGCGAGCCTGAAGTATTAGGATCTGCGGTACCTGATAGAGATGGTGAGACTAGCCCAGAGCCTATGGGACGCGACCAGCAAGCAGTCAAGTCGACTACCGAGCCTGCGAGGCCCCGTCCAGCAAACGCTCGGACAGCTAGGAAATCGATGGGCGGGCGGCTACCCCAAAAGCAACTTCCATCATTCAATTGTGGTGGTTCCCGTTCATACTCGAACAAGTCGGACTCATCCGAGGACGAGATGGCCTTGCCAGTCGCCACAGCCAAAGAGACTGCAGAGCCGGCTCTCCCGATGGCTGCAAAATCCATAAACGCGGCTACTGAACAACTTCCGCGGCAATCGTCGATGGGATCTGTGAAGAAGAGTTCTAACGCAGCTGTCAGCCGTGACGCTCCCGTTGCTAATTTGTCCGAACACAAAACGACGGACTCGAACGTTCCTCAGCCGACCGAGGCGGAGGCAGCTTCACGTGTCACTGCTGAAACAGGCGCTGACTCCGTGATTGACAACACAATGCCTTCCCTAGCGAAGGAGAACCCTATGCAGACGGTAGCCAAGAACTCAGTAGCCAAGCCGTCGCTAGGGGGGGAAACGGTAGCCAAGGAGTCGCTAGCTAACGAGTTAGCACCCGTGAAGGCGGTACCTGAAAAGTCCCCACCCAAAATGTTGCTAGCAAAGGATTCATCAGCCAAGAAGTTGGCATCGAAAGAACCGTCACCGCAACCTCTGGGTGACGTGATCATGAAGGACGTCAACGAGTCCTCTCCCGAACAGGATAACGTTTCGGGCAATGGAACAAGTCCAATCGAGCAGGCGGTCACATCTCAAAGGGGAAGTTCCCCAGCACGAACAGCGGCACAAGCAGCGGCACCATTCAACGCAACCATCACGAAGATAGTCTCGGCAACTTCAAACAACTCTCTCTTAGGCCAGACTTCTCCTATATTCCCTCTTCCTGCATGTCTTTCAAACCGACCATTCGCGTCAAGCGATAACAATGCTGAAGCTGGTCCCTCGAGTTCCGCTAGATGGGCCGAGTTTCGAACCGAACATCAAGCTTCAAGCAAGAAAGTCACGGACAAGGCTCTCGAAGTGGAAAGCAACACAGCTACAAGCGTAAAAGACCAACATGCTAAGTTGACTGCGGACGCAAGTCTACTTCCGCCTGCCTTACGGACGCAATCACCGTCCAATCCTGCCACAAGCGTTACGTTCCAGTCCACATTTTCGAAAGTACAAAATCGGAAGTCAGATCAAGGCGAGACGCTTGGACCGGCAAGTGTTCCTAATGCTCCATCGCCTGAGCAGGCTGTGGTGCCAACCGCTAAAGAAGCGGCTCCAGTAGTCGCGCCCAACCTACCTATCGTACCCTTGCAAATTCCGATCCTGGACGGCCCGCCTGCTCAAGCTGTCATTCCTGCGCTATCTATCGCAAGTCCAAACGAGACGAGGGATCCGGCCTCAAAGCCGACCATGTCTGGGGTACTTGACGGTTCGGTGACCGCAACCCCTAGTCCTGCGCATTCCACCGTAGAGGGCGCCGACTTGATCGTCATCAAGCCGGCTAATACGCGAAGTGCACGCCAAAGCCCTGAGGCTCCTGTGGCGAAGGCTCTGCCCCAAAGTTTCGTCAAACCCGTTGAAACCCAGGCTTTACAGGAGCAACGGAGACAGACTCGCGGCGTCAGAGGGGATTCGCCGAAACCATTCTCTCTGACCATCGATGAGCGTGTGACGCAATGGGCTTCTCAAATGTCTGGGCCAGGCGACGCGGCCCTGAACGTCGTGGACCGACTGCTGGCTGACGACTGTACTGGTGACCAGGACAATCTGACCTCGAACGACGTTCAGCCTGGGAGCGCTAGCACTGCTCCCAAGGAACAGGACAAGGCCGTCCGCGCCAAAAATGTTCTCGAAACGATTCGCACGGAATCTGCCATCGCTAAGGCATCTCTGCAGAAGCCGGTCGTGACGCATCCCGATGACACTCGCGCACTGCTGAAAGGGCTTTCTTTCGAGAGGTTTGGTGATCCTCTGTTGCAACAGCTCAATGTTCTCGCCAGAGACGAATCGCAGACCGAGCTGGTGCGCACGATTATGGAGGCCTACATCAGCCAAGCATGCCTGGACGATCAAGGTAAAGATATCACAATCGCGCCGGGCATCGTTCGTCGAGGCGGAACGACTGCTCGCGCTCCGCCAGCAGAGTTTGTATATTCAAACGACATGTTTTACGGCAGAAACGTCGCTCCAAAGGTGCCATCTAAAGGCTGCGCGTGCGTCGGGCCTTGCCAAGAAAACAGCGATTGTTTCTGTCTCAAGCGACAGGAAAAGTACTTCGCCAGTCATGTTTACGAAGGTGGCGTACCCTACACTGGTTTTGGATGCCACGAGTAAGGATTGCTCGAGATTTCGTGATGTTGCGTTTGAATGCTCATCTCGCTGTTCAACAGAGATGGAAGGGTCAAGGACTCACAATACCCGATATGGGAATGTTCGGATAATTGCGGATGTCCCCCTTCCTGCCGTAATCGGGTAAGCAACTTGGCTGCATATGACAAAGCTGTCAGGCTGACGTCCGGGCGATCCAGTCCATGCAAAGGGGAAGAGACCCCAGGATCCAGTTGGAGATTTTCGAAACGGTCAGCAACGCTAGCATCCAATCTGCATTTGCTTATAGAAGGCTCACAAGTCTTATCCTTTGACGCACCACAGAGACAAAAGGGCTGGGGTGCGTGATTAGCAGACCAAGCGACATGGGTTGCTGTCCTACTGATTTCGATGACCCGGACTTCAGGTGTCAAAACAAAGTCGCACATTGCACAAGGAACTTTTATTGGAATCTACAGCGGAGAACTAGTTCCAGAAGCGGAGACTGACGAGAGAGGGCGTATCTATAATACCGTCGGTCGCACGTAAGCTGGTTTGCATTGCGAAGGTTTTATGAAACACATTGAGCGAAATTCTATGGTACCTAGGTATCTGTTCGATCTGGACAACTGGCACATCTCGCAGCCACCGGCCGATCTTGCGGAAATCGATCCGGAGGGAGCCATCTTGGCCGAAGAAGCTGCCAAGTTGTTGCAGACACCGAATGACGACGATGATGAGGATAGCGATGATGGCGACGAGGACGAAGACAAGGCCCTCACTTCGTTCTACACCATTGACGCCTTTCACTGGGGTGTAAGTCACGTTGCTCACACGTACTCGATGCCCAAATCTAACGCCCCTGTCACCTTGCTTGCTACTGTCCCTGCTGTCTTTTTAGAACGTAAGTGGTTCCGAGGCACGACGGGTTGCTTATACGTAAACTGGACGCTCATCTCATGATTCGCTTTGCATCCAGTTCACTCGCTATCTTGTGGGTAGCACATGCGGGAAGACAGAATCGCTTTTTCTCTGATGCTGATTGACCATTGTTCTTCCTCAGAACCACTCTTGCGATCCAAATCTGGCGATGGGTTCTGTATATTACGATGTGGGCCAATATGCGCTCTTCTTAAGTATCCTGACATGCCGTCGCTGATCGCACTCTCCTTAGGATTTTGACATTCGAAAGCCCAAGTGAGCACGACTTACTCGGGGTCAAAGACTGCCGCTCATCTCTTTCCCATCAGATTGTGCATTACCGCGAGAAGGGATATTGCTTCGGGAACAGAGCTTACCATCTCGTATACGGGGGAAGTTGAAGGGGAATTGGCCGAGAGCAACTTGCAAGCCGAGAGGACCACGTCATCGCGAGCCACTCGTGGGAAGGGGAAGAATGGGAAATTACAGGATCCCCACACAGGCAGTGTCCACGTCGACGCCAGTACCGACTTGCCTACGAAGTGTCATTGGTGAGTCGCATTGCCATCGTCCGTGACATACAATGCGCGCTCAACACGGCTTCGCTTTACAGCAAGGCGCCGAGCTGTACAGGCAACATGTTCAGGACGCCTCGATGAGATTTGAAACAGGGATTGGGACGTGTCGATCTTGTTTTGAGCCAAAGTGACGACATATAGTACAAAGTTGTAAGGTATATAGGTCGCGTCACCACATTATACAGTTTCGTGCGTCAGTCTCCGGGTGATGCCCCATTCATGCCCATCTATCCACGACTCGTCCAAGGGGTCTGCATAAACGCCCCTTTTCAAGTTGAAGAGCGAACAGCAGACACTCCTTTGTTCGCTCTCCCCGGCCGCCTTGCGCTTGACATACCTTACCGAGCTGGTACCAGGCCTCTGCTACATCCCAGCCTCTTCCCTGCGTCAGTGGGTTCAGCAGCCCATGCGCAAGATCGGCTTGGTTGCGTGACATGTACAATTCGGCCATTCGTATCACGGCGGGCGGATATTCAGGCGCCAGGACGAGGGCTTTGCCAGTGGCTTGCAGCGCCAGCTCTTGGTTTTCTGTGGCCGAGTAGTACCAACCGAGCTATAGAATACGATGCTGGAGTCAGCAGGAGGACGCCATTCGCTAGAGTAGGCTGGCAGAACTCACTTGCACCCAGACCTCTGGGTTAGTCGGGTCCATCACTTCGGCCTCCTGAATAGCTCCTAAAGCCTGCTCAATCTTCCCGCTTCTTCGGAATGTCGCGGCGGACTGCAGCCAGAGATCGGCAAGAAGACGGGTCTCCGAAGCGTTTCTACCGGTAGGAGGTGTTGAAGGCAAGTCGAGGGGTGGTGGCGGCGGTGGAGCCGGACGCGCACCGTGATAATGGGAGTGAGCGGGAGTCGTGCCTCGCGATCGAATGGAAGCGCCGGTCGAGACTGCTCTGGGTCGGTTCTCGGTAGAGGGCAGATCTGCAAGGCATTCACCACTGCCGTTTAGCACCACACCACCGATTCATACCCTTGGCGATCGACTACTTACGGGTTGGACGGCGTGGCGTACCGGTCGCTCGATGACCTCCCTTCTTGGATCCGGGTACCTGTAGATGTCGGACCAGGAAGCGTTGTTTGCGACCAGACAAGCTCTTAGTTTCTGCTTCGTCTTCGGACGGTGGTGCTGAGCTGACGTGATAACCACTCGCGTTCTGCGTCGAAGCTCGTGATAGGGAATTTTCTCCTTGTCGTGGACGCGGAGGCGACACTGTGATTGAGTCAAGTCATATGAGTCGAAACACCCCGGTAAGCAGTCGCAAGCATAACTGGACTTACTGAGCGCGGATTCACCCATATCTGGTAATCCAGCGGGCCTAGCATCATTGACAGCCACATAACTCTCGCCGAGATCACGCACGCTACCGCCGTCGCCGCTGCCGGGTTCGTAGCCACCAGGTCTCGAGTAGCCGGTACGGCTTGAAAAGTAGGCGAACGTTTCCTGTTGACGGATCATGGCATCGTCAGGACCGTGGAGCTTTTCTACGATGACGGCCTGGGTCATGCGAAGCTGGATAACGTTGGCGAGTCGGGTCGCTGCGGTTGCCGGCGGTGGAGATGAAGCGATCGAGCTCTTGGCGATCGGCAAGACCGACCGATCCACAATGATACTCTGGCTCTCATGCGACCTCTCCTGCTCATGTTCCGTACCCTCATCGTCTAAGGCATAATCCCGTGTCGAGACACCGAAGGGCACCACATCAACCGGACCGACATCTTCGACGGGTTGAGATTTAGCCATCTCTCGTTCGACCGTCTCCCAAGTATCAATTCCAGCCTGAGAAGCTTTCAGCGCACCCGCCCAATCGTTACTCGCCGTGAGAAGTAGGGTCAGCAGGTGCCAAGCCTCGACATTGCTGGGTGCCAACTCGATGGTCTCTCGGATCGCATCCAGCGCGCCGGGGATATCACGAGCCTCGGTCCGTGCGTATGCTAGGTGATATCGCACGGCCGAGCTGGACGGTGCGAGCCGGGCAGCCTCGACAAGGTGAGCGAGTCCTTGCGCTTGCAAAGTCGGTCGGGTCAACGGATCTCCTTCCTCGGACGCCATCGCCATCCGGATGATCCCCTTGCTCTCTTCCACCTTGGCCTTGAACGCCTTGGCAATATGTCGCTTCCCAACAGCGACCACATCGCTGGCGAGAAGAGCGTACCTCCAGGCTTCGGTAGGGTTTGCGAGTTCCTGCGTGAACAGTCTGGAACCCAGCAAAAGAGCCTCGAGAAACTCGACGTCTCGATCCGTGTCCCCCTCGGCGAGCTGCTCTTCCACGTCGTTCTGGTACACGTCGTCCGCCTCGACCTGATGCGGTACCGAAGGTTCTTCTTTGGTCGTCGTCTTGCGCAACTGCAACGATTCTTCAGGCTGCGCCGTCTGCCGAGCCTTCAGGACGAGCTTGACGTACAGCTCGAATACCCGTCGAGCGTCATCGTGTTGCCCAGTGACAAAGAGCAACCTCATCAGGTGTCTGAGGATGGCCTGCGAGTGGAACGTCATCTCGATCGCCCACCAGAGGATCTTGACGAGTTCCTTGCCGGAAGCCACACCACACCCCGATCGCTCCCATATCCCAACACAGCTCTCGACGAACCGTCTGACCTTCCAGTTGACCTCTCCCGCTCGGGGGAAAGCCGTCGTCTCGCTCAACAATCGCTTGCCCTCCTTGATCGCCTCGAGCCATTCCCTCGACCACAGCTGGGATCGGCTACCCTTGATCTGCGTGCTGACCGAGTTGGGAATCTCACAGACGAGCCATTCGGTTCCTTCTCGATGAGGCGTGTTGGAAGGTCGACAGGCGGCATGCAAGGTACGTAGATAGAGGCTGATCATGAAAGCCTGTTGTTGTGGCCTGAACGAGGTGGGCCACATCTTGCTCATCACGTGGTACGTCCTGATCAGTCGCAACGTCCTATTCAGGTCGGTCGTTTGGGCCGAGATGACCGATCCCCTAGTGAGGGCGACCGAGACCCAACGGTGGGCCTCGCGATGAGACCCGAACGTCGGTGTTGATCGCGTCGAGTGTCGTTGAGCCGGGGTAGGGAGAACCTTGGCGCCGGTCAACCCCTTGGCCGTAGCCGGAGGGGCCACAAGGAACGTGTCGGTCAAGGGCAACGTCAGACCGGGAATGTCGGCAAACATCTTGATTGCCTTGATGTATCGATCCAGCGCATCCTCGATTCGACCTACAGCCTCCAAGCTCATACCTAAAAGCCCAACAAAGACCGAAATGATCCGAGACTACAATCAGCTCATCTTGTTCACAAGCGCTCCGGCCAAATGCCACTTCTGACTGACCGTAAACGACCATCCCACGCAACCAATCCACCCGCTGCGCCATCAAGCTCAATCCCATCTCGTGACCCGTCGTATCCATCTCTCCCGCCCAATCGACCTTTTCGTACGTCCCGATCGAGGCCGTGTAGTCGCCCAGAACGTGTTGGTAGTAGGCTAGTAATAACAAGTAGGCCTGCATGATCACAGAAAGCAAGTCAGCTTCCCGTCTCCGAGATCACAAGGCTAAATGTCAAAGCTCACCCTGCCCAAGACCCCCTTCCCATGCGTCCTCACTCCCTCTCCCACCTTCCCTAGATCTTTGACCAAATCTCTCCCTTCCGGAACATCTTTCGACCCGCCCCGGATCTGACCGGACAAGATCGATTGTTCAGACTCGTCTCCGTCCAACCAGGTCGAGGAGAGGTATTCCGCCGTCGAGGTAGTTTGAGCTGGCATTGGCGCCGCCGCCGGGGCCGATTGGGAGGTGGATGCGGGCAGAGATGTAGACGTGGTCGTCGAGGTAGAAGCGGCAGGTTGTAAATTCCGCTGAAACGGTGTCTGCTGTTCTGATTGTTGTGTTTGTTGGGATTGCGGTGGTAGAACCGCTCCAGATGGCACATTATTCCCAGAGACCTGCTCGCCCGTCCCGACCCTGGCGCCTATCCCGGGTGAAGGGGAAGGTACGATCGTCGATGCCGATGCTGAATCCTCGACCACGTTCCTCCCCGTTGTCATTGTCGCTGTTCCCGTCGATGTGGTTGTCGTAGAGGACGGTCCCGCAAGATCACCACCTCCAACCGCTCCTAACGGAGAGCCGATCTCAACGCCTAAGATCGGAGGTGCCAACCCTAAATCGACTGTACCCGGTTCCACACCCCCGCTCGTCCTTAAAAGGCTCTCCGCGTGAGCGTTGCCGAGATTATCGTTGCCGTGCCCTCCACTCGCTTCCCCAGAGACGTGCACATAACTCCCCGTGCTCGTACTTCCCGAGGTCCTTTCCGACTCGGATTCCGTCTGCGACGGGGGGATCGAGATGAACGAGTGGGTCGTATTCGTATTCGTCGTGGTGGTAGTGTGGGTGGTCTCTCTCGACTGGTCTGATGCCGAGGAAGGCGGGACCGAGGTCCTCGTACCTATAGCGTTTGCGTTCGAGGTGGTAGACGGGTCGAGGACGACCCCGGGAGCAGAGGTGGAGGTCGAGGAAGACGGTTGTGCATGAGACTGTGATGGGAAAATTTGGGCAGAGCTAGAGGTACCGGGCTGTCGAGATGAATGGTAGGCTAGCGAGACGTTTCTCAATAGCTCCAGGTAGGCCGTATCTACACCCAAAGGAAAGCAGAAAAGGTATCGACGAGGTCAGCTTCGTCATCCCGACCACCGAGATCCACCAACCATAGCCCAGAACTAGAACAAGGGCGAGACCACACTCACCTCCAACGGTATGTTTCCCCCACTTTCTGATCCCCTCGCTCCAGTCCAACAGCGTCGACCCGTTGGGCTGTTTCACTGGCTGTTTGTCACCCCATGATCCGGCGACGAGCGCGCCCGAGAGGGCTTGGGTGTAGTGGGACGATTTGGCCGGGGTGGTCGTAGAGCTATGAAGGTGGGGAACCATCCTTGTATGCTCTGATATGATGGTGGGGTGGTACCTTAGAGGACTGGCAAGGAAGACGACTGTGTAGTTGAGTCGAGGTCACCAGGTCGGTTGATTATCGATTTCACCACCCTGGCCGCGCGAACCTGAAATCGCGATTCAAAGGGAGACACACACGGACCCTGGACCTTCGATCCGGATTTCGACTTGAGAGACCGGAGGACGAATAAGGCCGACGTGTCCGAGCTGAGTCGTGGTGATAGTCTGATGAGGATAGATGAGGATGTCATAGATCTTGGTCGCATTCGACGTTCAGCATCATCACATCGCTCATCGTCGCTCTCGGCCGCCCTCTCGCTCACAATTCGACCTGGTTGATTGCACCGCGGATTTGCTTCCGAAGAATCTGCTCTCGGAAGCAAGTTTTCGGAAGTAATCAGATCAGCTTCCGGACGATGAGTAAGACCCTCGAGGGTTACAATTGTGTCGAGCAATTGAGCAAGCTCTTCTGATAACAAGCTAACAAGCTAACAAGTCGATAAGTGTGACCTCGTTCGAAAAACTAGGGTCCCTCGACCAAATAGCGGAGCAGGACGACATGGACGACGGCACAAGATGCGCAGGGTGTAGCTCAAACCACGACCTATACTGCCCCCGTTGTCTCGGAGAAGGGTAAGCTCTCAGTCGCCTTACTGTCTCTAAGCCTTTGTCGAACAACTGAATTCTGCCGTCCTCTCCTTCGCAACTCGGCACTCGAACCTAATACTGTTCGACATCGCGGACAGCCTGAACAACCACGCTCAAGCTCACCATATTCTCCAGACCCAACTGTCGGCCTCGAAGAGCCGGTGCGAGAAGATCCTGTATGGACACCTGCCCTCCTCTTCTTCCTCTTCCGTACCGGCGTCGACGAATCCTACGCCGACCGTCTCCTCGTTGTCAACCTCGTCAAGATCGTCCGCATCCGCCCAGGCATCTACATCGACATTGGCATCGACATTGCGACCAAGTCCTCCGTACGCACGTCTCTCAGGCTTCCTCTCCCCACCCCCGTTCTCTCCACCCAGACCCGTGTCTACCAAGCCTTCCTCGGACCCCAACTCTACGCCGGGCGGGCTGATTCATCACCGGACGCTCTCCTCGACCCACTCCCGCCTTTCCATTCAATGCCGCGATCTGGAAGCGGAGCTGGACCGTGTCAGGAGGCGGAACGAGGGGAAACAGGAGAGCTTACGGGATAGACGTGGACGGGTTGCGAAGCGGCGGGCGAACCTGCGCAAGTCCCAGGAGGATGAGGACAAGGTTTCTTTTCCCTTCCAACCTCAAGATATATCAGCTGGATATGAACCGGAGTCCGCCCTGATAACGAGCCTGAAGACCAGACTGGACACCCAGAGAAGGGAAGATCGGCTCGTCCAGGACGAGATCCGGGCGGCGAGGAAGGTCCTGCTCAAGGAGGTCGTGGACGTCTTTGGGGTCAGGCCTTGTCGACCTCTGAACGGGATCGGGGTGGAGGACGTCGATGGATCTAGAGTAGGAAAGGGAGATGGAGTTGATCTCGGGCGGGAGGAGTGGGACATGGAGATCGCGGGGTTGATTTTCCCGTCCCCAGGTGGATTTACCGGTAAGCTTGTCCTCCTCTCTTGTCTTCCCGTTGTTACGAACAATAGGCTAACCATCTACTCTGAAAACTCTGCGTATCCGGTTCCCCACTCGTTGATGTGACGAAAAAGGTTACCACTCCAACCACCTCAACGCGATCCTGATGCATACCCTTCACTTGTTACACCTTCTCTCTACTTATCTGACGACGAGGTTACCGTTCTCGTGGGCTTGGTCCGAGTCGCCTGGTGACCCCGCATCATTCCTACCATCCTCAACGGCGGGCTTCGCGGTCTACCCAGCCGAAGAGGGAGGAAGGATGGTGGGACGACCGGTCTTTTCGGCTGGGGAAGGGTTGGCCTTCGGGCGGGCTGCGTCGGTACGACGGGCTGAAAAGAGGAAGGAGCAGACCAGACCTACCAGAGGAGCCGGATTAGCTGTTGACGACCGGAATGATGATGATGCGGTTTTCGAGGAGGATGAAGAGGACGAAGAAGAAGAAGGCACTTATGGTCAAAATGACCCTGACCAGGAAGGGAGTTGGTCAGACAAGGAGGATCTGAGGCTTTGGAAGAAGAAAGCCGTGTTGTATGTCAGCACGAGTCGGGAGAAGTGGAAACGGCGGCAAAACGCAATTCACACTTCGGCTGGAGTTGGGCGGGTGGACCGTGAAGGACATCCGGACCGAATACAGCCTGAAGCACGATCTCATCACCAACATGGACATTATCAGCAGCAGCCGAAGCAGCCGGGCGAGAATGATCGCGACGGTTCCGCGGACAAACCGGAGAAACAGCCGAAGCGGGACAAGTACCAGGTCAAGGAGGATCAGATGATATTGGGGTATGCGATGTTGTGTTACGATGTCGCTTGTCTCGGGTGGATGAACGGGGTCAACCTTGACCTCGAAACGAGCAGGTCGCGTACGGAGCAGCATGAAGCGGGAAGGGAGGAAGCGGATGAGGTGGATTGGGATAAAGTTCTGAATCCGTTGAGGGTAATCAGGGAGATGGTCAGGTCGGAACGACTGGGAGAGTGAGTCTGATGCGGCCGCAAAGAACAAAAGAGGCAGGGAGCTGATGCCGACCGTTCTGACTGGCAGATCGTCTCATACTCCCTCGATCCCGTTGTCGACCAACAATCTCCCATCGAAAACCTCATCAGGACAACCTGTATCGGATCCCTCTATCCCATTTATTCCCCTGCCGTTCAGCTTCTCGAAGTTGATGAACCGGGCGACGCAGGCGTTTGACGATCATAATCAGGACGGTAGGACCACCGAGACAAAAGGAAGGGAAGAAGATCTGGGCGGCGATGATTGGGACCTCGTTTAGTTGACTGGACTGAAGTACACTTGTGAGGAGGAAAGAGGCAGTCTGTGCTTAACAGTGATCCATTCGATATTGCGTCCAGGCATTGAATTTGCATCGAGCTCTTAATAGCGCCTAATGAACCATATGTTTGCATCGGGACCGGCAGCGGAGCTCACCTACAGACATGCGTGCCATGTGCCATTCGGCCTGGCGTAAAACCGATAGGCAGACAAATTGCACCGACGTATGTTCGTTTGACACCCGCACCAGCTTCAGACAGGGCGCTTCAAGAAGCGCGGCCTGGGACGCTTTCAGGTAGGCGCCTGTGCAACACCCTCGTGACCCAACCGCGCATGGTCGATGATCATGAACTTGCTCACATAGGCAATGTTCAATCGCAGATGCCCAGTCCACACGATCCTACAGCTACGTGGCCGAGTAGAGTCTGAATGACCAGCGCAGGCTTCCTGTTCCTCAACGCGTCTAGATTTGCTATTAGCTCACGAACGACGATCTTGCTGGTGTCGCTGTTCTCGCCTCTCGTACAACAAAGCTTTCGAGCTCCTTCGCACCTACCGGCTGCAACTCTGCCAATGGGCAGAGGACTTGCAACGCAGCCCTTTGAATACCGAAGCCATTCCCACTGGATCGTCGTAATTGAAGACCCCTCCGGTCTCCACTCACCATGATGTCGGACAGTTCCTCGGGTGCAAATCTATGAAGTGACCGACGGGTACGAGGTAATCGCTTTCAGCCGCCTGTCTTTTTCGCCAAGAGAGGGATGGGAAAAGCAGACGATAACAAACGCCAAAGCATAATCAAGCCACAATCGACGCTGTACAATATCGTGCTGTATGTTCGATTTCCAATACGACGTATCGATCAACAAGCCATCGACCTACCGTTTCCACCAGTCGGGAGAGATCGCCAACAGCTGTCGCTGTCCTGGGACCTGCATTGATAATTCCGAGGTATACCTGTGAACTCCGGCATCTACGCCGAGTGATCTCGTCAAATGCCATCGAGTAGTCCTCGATGCGGACCGTCTTTACCAATCTCGAGTGAGAGGATTTCGGGAATTTCCATCGTTTCAGGCTCGAAGGACCCGCTGATACGCCAGCCATCGCGCCTGTGGCTTGTCCGGCTCGCGTCTAGCTCGGTTTCACGTCTAGCGCGGCGAGGTACCGCCTCCCCCTGGCTCTAGCGCGACCTGGCCGAGGTGACTCATACGGTAGATGCCTTCAATATATCAATATCCTGCCAATTTACGGAGTACTGTCTGCGTCCGCTCGTCTTGTTATGACCTCGGAAGACCTTGGCGAGGGTGCTTTGTCACGGTGCGGGATATCAAGCGATACTCGAACCTAAACGTCGAGTTCGCCAGGCGAGATTCAGGTTGCGAAGGGGAATCGATGTTCGTGCCTGCTATCGCTTCGACTTGTGTCGAGTGTCATCTTTCCCGTCCCTCGCGCTTGAAGGGGCTTGCGGGGGGTGATTGAAGATTCGAGACAACGGACGGTCACGAACGTTTCGAATGGCGACATCGGGAGGTGGCGGGGTCATTCACATCGCAAGTCGAGGACGTAGACCCCTCGAGACTGGTCTCCAAAATCGTATAAAGGCTGTCGAAATCCGTTCGAATTCTCTTTCCCCCTCGGCAATTCTTCTTCCTTCTTCATCATCTCTTCTTCTCGCCCTTTCCTATAACTCTAACTTACTTTCGTCCCCACCTCGTCCTCGCCAAAGCCACACTCCTCTCACAATGAAGTTCTTCAAGTCGATCGCCTTTGCCCTTCCCCTCTTCGCGGCCTTTGCCAGCGCGGCCCCCGCCGTCGAGCAGAGGGAGATCGCTGTCGTCTCTGACAGGCAGCTTACCCAGCTTCCTCTCGCCGACGCCCTCGAGGGAGTCTTGGACAAGGTCGTACGTACTCAAGTCCAACCCTACTCATTGTGTTTCGGATTACGTGTGACTCGTAGTCTAACTTGTCTCGCAAACCGTTCATAGAACTCCCTGGACAGGTCGTTCACCATCTTCCCCCAGATCGCCAAGGTCCTTCCCGCTCTGACCGAGATCACCGACGTCCTCGAACAACTCAAGGGCCAGCTGCCCGACTTGAACCTTCCCGAGAACCCCACTGAAGTCACCGAGGTGGCCAACTTGGTCACCGAGATCGTCGACTCCATCGTCGATCAGGTCAGGAAGATTACCAGTCTGTCTCGATCGCAACCTGCTGTCGTGAGTACAGTTCTGAGTTCACTAGCTACCGACTTGCAATCTTAGAAGGAACATGGGGCTGATTCGGCGAGGGTTCTTGGACCGTGATCTAGGGCGACGCTGTTGGAAACCTCGATGGAGCTCTGAACGGGGTCTTGGGAGGACTTTCCGGTTCCCTCGGTAGCGGTAAGTGTCCCCCCGCTCCAGTCCGTTCATATCCTTTTTTTCCCTGGCGCTTATCCCTATCTCTTCTCGTAACGTCTCGTAGGCCTGTTGGAGACCGTCCAGGGTCTCCTCACCGGTCTTCTCGGAGGTCTCCTCGGGGGTCTTTTGGGCGGGAACGTCTTGTCGTCGTTGCCTCTCTCGTTGGGCACTCTCCGATCGGCTTGAGAGCTGAGAGGATCCGTTTGGCGATAGTTGAAGGTCGATTCACTGTCGGCTTCTCAGTTGTCGCGAGCGAAAGTGATCGGGTTCGTCAGGCAAGCGGTAGCTTAGGTCGCTGTCTCCTTTCGGCTCGATCGTAAAGCGTGTCTGGAAACACAAGAAAGAGAGAACATGACAGGAAATCAAATCATTACTATTTTTCGCTATTTACTATACTACATCGTCACATTCAACCGCGACATGTGAATCCCCGCTACTTTTAGGGAAGGTCTAACGTTGTCAAGCCATCAGAATATATCATCAAGATCTACTATTGCCACATCGATTATGTCTGAGTGTTCACGATCTTTATTAGGCCGTACTCGCCGACTGTCAAAGAGATACCAGGGCCTTGCAATGCTACTAGATGGTTGCTTCCGTGTGCCCCCGTTCTGTGTCTGACCTGCGACTCGTAGTGAGAGCTATTCATGCCTCATTGAGCTGTTGCCACTTAGTCTGAGGACGACTCACAGGCATACGGGCCAAACGGCCCAACGATGATCAAAGGTGAACTGTATCGGCGACTGACGAGCCGTAGAGTCTTCCGACGGCAGTTCTCCTGACCGATGGCCAGTTGATGCGAAGAGGTTTCTCGCACGAGCAGGAGGCGACGTCGCTCCCATAATCGAAGGCTCTTCTGACGTCCATTGTAGATCCGATGACCGTTCAATACATCCTTGGTAAGCAGAGAGTGAAACGATAAACAATCACGACTGATAACCTTTGGCGTATTCCCCATCCGCACGCATCAGTCCAGATTATCCTCTGTATACTTCAACATCCACATTCCTCAGTCTATGTCACCCTCTCGAAAACGCCCTTTGAGTATACCCCCAGCGATGTCTCATTCTCAACATGCTCCCAAACCGCTCGAATTTCATAATCGGGCCGCTGAGCCCAAAGAGACGGCCGATGTGTGGTTGTACGTCGTGGAGATTCAGTAGAACGATACGAGACTTTTCCGACCCGACGAGGGTGAAACGAGTGCGGCTCGATACGTATTTCGGGTGAAAGGTGTTTCACCCGATGACGCGTTGAGAATCAAAATGAGGTCGACGAGTAGTCTCGGATCAATCTCGGACCATCCGACGCGGAGGTGATCAGCGAGAGAGAGTTGACGAGTCATGGATCAGCGAAAGAGTAGTGGGTGTTGGTAGAGGGAAGGGGAAAACTACAAATAGCTAGAGTAGCAAGTCTTACTATCTTGCTAGGCATCTTCATAGAGCGGAGAACATACCTTTTCAAATCTACACAAGAAAGTACTTCAAACGGAAAAGGACGCGTTGACCTACAAGCGAAACCTCGGAACCTCGAACTTTTCTCTTCAAAATGCCTATGCTGTCAGTACAAACTCCAAACGTCTGGCCGAACTCGAGCATTCTTGGTGTAACCTCTCATACATACCTCGTTATTATAGTGCCGACCCTTCCGCAAAGTACCGGCCGTACAAGCCGTTCCCGTTCCCTGGACGACAATGGCCGACCCGGGTCCAGGAAAAGGCTCCCATCTGGCTGTCAACTGATCTGAGGGACGGGAACCAGAGTCTCGCCAACCGTGAGCCGCCGAAGACCCGCTCTTATCGTCTCTGGGCCGTTGTTCCATTCGTACTGACATACTGTGACATGCCGAACATGACGCCCTACGTAGCCATGACCAACTCGCAAAAACTCCGATTCTTCCGTCAACTAGTCAAACTCGGATTCAAGGAGATCGAGGTCTCATACCCCGCTGCTTCGGAGACGGACTTTCAATTCGTCCAAGACCTGATCAACAATGGCGAAATCCCGGACGACGTCTGGATCCAGGTCTTGACCCCCGCCAGGTCGGACCTCATCAAGAGAACATTTGAAGCTCTGAAGGGGTCCAAGAATGCGATCGTGCACATGTACAATGCGACGAGTTGTCTGTTCAGGGAGGTCGTGTTCAATGCCGATCAGGCAAAGACTGTTTCGTGAGTTCCACTGCTGGCCAGGCCCTGAACCAGCAGTGGATAGGTGGTTGATTAGGATGTCGGGTTTGACAGGCTGGCTACTCAGCACACTCAGCTCGTCAGAGAGCTCGCCGAACAATACGCTGCCGAGGTGAGCCCCCCGCAATTTTCTCTACAACTCTCCGTTGACACCGGATCCTGATTCCTATCTTACCCCATGCTTTCCTTACAGCACGGTACCAACTTCCGATTCGAATACTCTCCCGAGACCTTTTCCCAGACCGAACCCGCATTCGCCGTCGAGGTCTGTGAGGCTGTGAAAAAGACCTGGTTGGCTGGGACAAAGAGCGTGTTTGGCGATGGGAGGAACGAGGAGAGGATCATCTTCGTGAGTCGAAACATCGGATCTAGTGTAGAGCGGTCTATCCGCCGCAAGATGGAGGGCCTTGGAAGGCTGATATGGTAATGTTGGCGTCTTTTCTCACATCGTAGAACCTGCCTGCTACGGTCGAGATCGCGACCCCGAACTGTTTTGCCGATCAGGTAGAGTACTTCTGCACCAACATTACTCAGCGAGAGAAGTGCATCATCAGTCTGCACACGCATAACGATCGAGGTGAGTCCCAGCACGAGGGTTTCATGCAGGCGGCATGCGCAGGGCTGACTCAAAGCTATATGCTATGCTCGATAGGATGTGCCGTCGCTGCTGCCGAACTCGGTGTTCTCGCCGGAGCCGATCGAATCGAGGGGACCGTTCTCGGTAACGGTGAACGGACCGGAAACGTCGACCTCGTCACCTTGGCTCTCAACCTGTATTCACAGGGTATCGCACCAGAACTTGACTTTTCCGATATCTTTTCGGTCACCGATACTGTGACCGAGTGCACCGGGCTGCCGGTCCACCCGAGACATCCTTACGCCGGAGAACTCGTCTTTACCGCTTTCTCTGGGTCGCATCAGGACGCCATCAAGAAGGGGTTCGAGGCGTACCAGAAGCGGGTCACGCAGGGGGACGTTCGATGGGAACTGCCTTACCTGCCCATCGACCCGGCCGATATCGGATGTACCTACGAGGCCGTCATCCGGGTCAACTCGCAATCCGGAAAGGGAGGGTGAGTCGAGAGGCTAGCGAGTACGAGGTTCAATGGCATTGTCGGGCTGACCATGCGTTTACGTTCGTTCCCGACAGCATTGCCTACATTGTCAAGCAGGCTCTCCACCTCGACCTGCCAAGACGTATGCAGATCTCGTTCTACCAGATCATTCAGGCCATCTCGGAAGCTACCGGCAAAGAGCTCTCGGTCGAAAACATTACCGGCGCTCTGCGTTCGACGTATCACATCGGTGGACCCGCTTACGAGGGACGTATGGTCCTCCGCTCTTTCAACATGACAAACACGCCCGGAACTCCCGGTAGCACTCCGGCCGATGGCGAGTCGGGTGACCGACCGAGGTACATGAAGGCCAAGGTCTCGGTCGACGGAATCATCCGTACGATCGAGGGAGAAGGAAACGGTCCTCTCTCTTCCTTCCTCAACGCGCTTTACCGGGCTTTCGGTATCGAGCTCTCTATCCGAGAATACACGGAACACGCCATCGGTGGAGGATCCAACGTGCAGGCTGCTTCGTACGTCGAGCTCATTCCTCCTCAGGCGGACGAGAAGGACAAGACCAAGGGAGGATTCTGGGGCATCGGGGTGGACCCGGATATCACGGGGTCGGGTCTGCGGGCGGTACTCAGTGCGGCCAACAATGCTTGGGCAGGCAAAGAGTTGAAGGGGCTGGATATCGTTCCTTCGGCTGCCAGGCTGAGTTAGGGCCGCGACTACCAACCAAAAGACGGAAAAGAAAGCTGCTCGCTATCAAAAGGTTCTCTCTGCATCCACTACGTTTCGTACATCCCGTTCCCGTGCACGCCTTGGCTCTTGGCTGTGCACGGTGTGACACGCAAACATCTACTTGTATTCCATTAGCTACCTACACATATCGATATGCCTGAACTCCGTGCATGCATCCGGACAACATCGGTTCGGCCAATCCTTGCTAGCACTTAGCAATGATTATCAACCAACCAGAGAAGATTGATTGGCAACGTCGACTGCGGACGATGACCTCATACGGTTCGATGAGGGACTCGCTTCGAGGCGCTCTTCTAGCGCAATGACAAGGTTTAGCGTTTGATCTTTTCTTTGTCGCCATGTCCTATTCTGTCAGGGCGGTGGGAACAGAATTCTTATGTGAAGGATCTTCAATCACGATTCTGTTCCATTCCCCTTCCCATTGTTTTTAGGGGTCGGGCAAGTTGAAACGCTCGACGATCAAGGGGTTAGCGTTTCTCGCGCGCGGCCAGCAGACGGAGCCGCGGGCTTTCGTGTTCGGCCATTGTGAACCATCGCATGACCGGATGACGTGTTGGCAGCGAGGGGTCGAAGCGGATCTGAAAGACCGGACGATATGGCAGAAAAAGGATCTTAGGTTGACTTGGTGATGTGGCCTGTTTGTAAGAGAACAGCTATTGGTCCTTGTCGCTCGTCTTGCCCGACTTGTGCCGAGCGAGCTCGGGCTGACGATCCCCTCGGTCATCAGCGATCAAAGACGGGGAAACCTCAAACCCGATGAAGATCAACGAGCGCGCCTTGTGTTGATAGGGGCTCGACCACGAATGATCATGGTCACCTCCTAACTTTGTTTTCTCCCTTTTCCAAGGTGATGATCTTTTCATTGTTCGATCCGCGTTGATGAGACATTTCGAAGCGGCCGCAAAATGATCGGTTAGAGTTTCGCGTTTGGTGAAGTGACGCGCGTGGCGGGTACAGGGAGAAAGCGCAGCGGCGCAGGTCGCTTCGATTCGTTGATGAGATTGATGGAAGATCCCTGTGCCGAAAGAAAGAAGACAAGGCGTGAAGAGCAGAGGAAGGGGACGACAGTGACACGGCACAAGAGGGAGGAGAGATAAGGGCGACAAAGATTTACCTTTTCCATCACGCCATCACGCGAGAATTGGTGTCACCCTGAAACTGATCTCGTGACTCCCATGATCATCGGACTTGGGGAAGAACAAACAATCGACGGGTCGCGGGTGGAATGTGGGGGATGGGATTACTCGACTCAGCCACGTCCCTGGTGTCCAGGTCCAGGTCACCTCGATGTACAACTATGCAACTCACCAATCCGTTCTGTATATACGCTCGCAACATCATGACCTGGGTTACAGGACTCGACCTAGCCTGATCGTTTCAACTCGCTACAGTGACATTCTACTCTCAGCCGACGCCGAGTCACGCCCGATCGAAAAATCCTGATCTTTCGCTGTCTCCTCAACCTCATACGCCAAAAAAAGGGAGAAATTCCTCCCTCTTCCTCGTCATCAACTCGATCATATATAGGAGTCAGCACCAAGCTCATCAAGACCGACAACTCACGAATGACAAGCTCACAGGGACAGAAGGCAGAGACTCGGCATCCTGAATTTTCCAGAGAGGAGGAAAAACGGCAAGAACAAGGCAAGAAGACGAGGTAGATAGCTGTCCCACCAAGCGAAACTCGATCGACCCCGTACTCATCCCGACCTCTCCTCCTCGACCTGCCTGAGAGCAGACCACTAGGCACATGGCAAGAGCTCCACCACGTCCACGAACGGTTGAACGAGAATCTACTCTGTCGACGATGTCAACAAACCAGGATCGGCAGAACCAGCCTCCGGGTCGTCTCCCGCCGAGGGCGAGTGGGAACTTATATACCGAACCCGTCAACTCCTTCAAAGGATATCCCCGCCCACCTTTGGCAAGAAAGGACCATAACAACATCCTTCCTTCCCCATCTTACCACTTTGATCCTGCTCTCAACTTTACGTCTTCCACGATCTTCACGCCTTCGATCACAACACACAGTCAAATCCACGATCACAACACCATCGCTCAAACATACGTCGGGCCCCCCTTTGACCTGAGATACAAGACGATTCGCGCCTTGCCATACGTCAACTCGAGGTCCTATACCGTTCACTGCGGAAGTCGTCCCTTTCAAGGCACTTTCGACCAGCCTCTTTGGAAGAACATCACCGAAGAGACGTTTCAGTCGACTTGCGACTTTCCGCTCACCCCAGCCGATCTGCTCGCTACGCCGCAGTCTGGACAAGGTTCAGACGACCAGTACCAGCACCAGAGACATCCTCTATTGCCTCCGATCTCGCTCGGACTGCAAGATCCAGCAGGGACGCATTCGAGGAACTCTTCCTTGACCTCGCTCTTTTCGTCGACAGACTCGGCAAGCTTGCCAGAGATCTACGAAGCCTCTCCACTCAAATCCGCAAGTCCGGGCGGCGAAGAGCAGTCGAGTCGAACCCCTTTGACACATCCTTCTCAAAGGGATACCATCGACGCGGATCCTACGCCAAACTCGGATTCGAACGTCAATCCCACGCTCGAGTCGATCTTTGATACGGAAGACGATCTTCAGACGGTCTCCGAACTAGGAAGACCATCGCAAGGACCGTCCTTTGCCTCGAGACGTCGTTTCACCCATATTTCCGATCCGGGACCTTCAACGTCCTCCTCGTACAGCATCTACCAGATATTGCCGCCAGTGCCCCCTCTACCCGCTTCCGTACCACCTTTAAAGGCGCAATCACAAAACGAGATGAGCGTGTTGGCTATGCGAGCCGATCCTTTGCTTTCCGACGGCGTGGTTTCCTCACCTTTTCCTCCCGCCTCATCAGTACGTTTCGACGATCAAACAGCACACGACTTGAACGGATGGTTGGGATCGACACAACCGTACGTAGGACACGAACACGAGCCGATACTTGACGTTTCGAGGGGGAGCATGTCGTCCTCCTCCCTGAGCTCGCTCTCAGACGAGCCGCTGGATGACGAGCCTTTTCAAGGACAAAGGGTCGGGCAAGGGGATCCTTTGTCTGGATATAACATGCAGGGAGAGAACGCTGGAGAAGGGTCGAACGAGTTGTGGTCATATGACCAGGCCATCAACGCTCTTATCGGTTCAAGTGGAGTACTGCAGAACGAAAACATCGACAAGGACGGTCCGACTTCTCTTTCAGAACAGTGGCATCAACACAAACAGCGACAGCTTTCAGTTGACCAGCATCCACTCACCATCGACTATTCGACACCCACCGGACCTTTGAAAGCCAAAGCCATGTTCGCCGCTCATACCCCTCAGAATGAGCAACAAGGGATGAACTATCCTTCCCAGCCGTTGGGCGATATGGAAAGGCCTTTGCCTACTCCCAGCGCTGCGGTACCCATCGGTGGTGGTGAGCATCTTCAGAACGCTCAGAATCAGGATCAACAGCAGTACCTCGTGCCCGTCGTTCAGCGTGGCGAGCATCTCTTTTACGATCCCGAGTACCCTATCACCTCGGCAGCGTCGTACACCTTTGGCGCCAACGCCCAACAGAACCATCATCATCATGGGGGCGGGTATCAGAGGTCCGATGGTCAAGGGATGGGACGTCAGCCGAGTATGAGCTACGGAGGTCAACAAGGCTCGAGGTCGGCACACGAAAACATCTCGCAACAAAATTTTGTCACGCAGATCCCTCGATCCTACCACGGTTACTCGTACGATCAGCGCAATGCCAATGCCAACTTCAACGGTCCCATGAGCGCCTTCCCGGGATCGGCAGGTCAGCTTCCTTCAGCTCTGGGATCGGCTTTCCCTCATCTCAACGAGGCGCAAGATGGCAACAACTTGATCATCCCGACGCATCACATTCAGCCCAGTCGAAGTCAAGAAAACCTGAACGCGATGCGTCCGCCTGTTAGCGCCTATCCTCAAACGCCTTCGCCGAACAAGCGAGGTGGGTCCGCAATGTCGAGTTCGTTTGGTCACGCTCAGATGCTGAGATCCGCCGCTCCCGAACCAGAGGGTCCGTCGGCCTTCATGATGGCGTACCAAGGAGGATGTACCCCTCAGAGCGTCGGTCAGGGTCGTCACCCTCCGTCCAGCGCGAGTCGATTCGACGAGGTCAAGATGGAGATGCATGACGGGTACGGCGAGACGCCCGAGTACGAGATCGAGAGGATGCGGAACATTCGAGCCAACGAGCAGTTAATGGAGAGTCTGGGATTGGGTAGCAGCCCGAGCGCATCGTCTCTTCGTGCAGTGAGTTTCTCGATACAAGCCTTTGATTTGCGTCCGCCCTTTGCTGACAATATTTCAACGTGTCTCGCGTTTCAGGTCTCCCGCTCTCCGTCCAAGATGTTGAAGCGCAAGACATCGAGCATGAACGTCAAGGCTAATCCCGGCGAAAAGAAGTCCCGATGCAAGAACCGGGTACCATCGATGGGCCCAGGTGCGTATGGCGCGTATCAAAAACCCCTTCCTGATAACATCGTGGTCTAACCGGAGACGTTTATCCTCTAATAGTACGAAGCTCGACCCGTTTAGCTTCTATGTCCCGGACCGTCTCGTACGCCAATCTCGGTGATCACGCCGAAAACTCAAGCGACGAGTCTTTCGACTCGAACGAGATGGATGAGCGGGAAGACGAGTGGGATGGAAGCGATAGTGAGGAAGGGCAGAGCAGGAGGAGAAAGAGGAACGGCGGATCTCGTCGTCAAGCCTCTGGCCGATGGCCTCAGAGTCAGACTCGGTACAACGTAAGTGTGACGCCAAGCTCCTTTATCAGTAGCAATGTATTTACTTCCCTTCCTTGATATAGCGACACAACTACCGCAACCCGACTCTACGGGATCTCGTTGAAGAACACCCCGACCTCCGAACAGTCTTCCCCTTGTTCTACAACATTATCACTGAAGACCTGATCATCGACAACAACGCGTTCCCTCTGATCGGATCGGTGCCTTCGTCATCTACGCCGATACAGAAAGCGGGTTACCTGCAGCAGTACTACCACAAGGGAAGACGTGCCATCGCTCAGCTCGATGCTTTCACCGCCCGATGTGACAAACGGTATGACGGACCCGGCCAAAAATGGGCCCCGCTCACTCCTGAAATGAAGATTGCTATCCGAGATATTCGACGGAAGGCGGTCGAGCGATGCGAGAATTACAAGTACACTCGACGAGATCTGCTCAACAAGTGAGTCGTGCGTCAGTCATAAGGAGCCGAGACCAGCATGACTAACTTGGCCTCTGACTCGATAGAAACGTCGGCAAGGGAAAGTGGGCGCCAATCGAGGACGGTTGGATCAGCTGGAATGTCTATTCGACATCCACCGACCCGGCCAACGACCTCGAAGGGGTACATCTCGCGTCTCCACCGCCCGACTCGGAATCTGGTTCCCAGCAATCCATGGCGTCGTCCCGCAACCGTGCGGTTTCGAGAAAACGCAGCCAGGCGTTTGGCCGCAAGGCTTCGCGCGGAGACATGAACCGAAACGCGTCCTTGCGACTCCATACCAACGACATTTTCAACAACGGATATTCAGACGAGCGGTCCCACGCTGGGATGGCCTTTCCTAGCGTACCAATGAAGCAGAACGGTGACAACGTGTACACGCCCGTCACCCCGCAGCGACAAGGATCGGCCAGGTTCAACCCGATGTATACGCATACTCCCACCCAGCAGTACAACTTTTCGCCAGGGCTCCAGGATACGCCATTAAACGTGGTCACCCCGTCCATCGTCCGAGCAGCGCGATTCGCATCGAACAACCAGAACCCGCTGGGCTCGCCGTTCGGGACTCCGGCCTCAGCAGGAGTCTACCAGAGTCAGAGCCAACAAGGCACACCGACGCATCATATCCATCATGCTCACCCGCAACAACTGTTTGCGGGCACGCCTATGAACGAACAAGAGCCGGCTCACTCGGTCGTCTCGCATCCGATGTCGATGGACGAAGGGATGATGACGGGCGGGATGGACATGTCTTACCAGATGAGCGAGGTCGCCATGCAAGCAGGAGGCGAGAATGGGAACGTTAATGGGAACGGGAACGGATTTAATGAACAGTCTTTCACGAACGGCATCTGAGGCTAGAACGATCTAGGCGGAGTGGTGGCTCTTTACTTTTGACCGGACGACATTGGTCGCAGGCGCCATGTCACTGTTTTGCGCGGACGCGGCTTGGAATTACTTTTGTCACGATTTGCTTGTATATACCTCGGAAGGAAGATCTGTTGCTTTTATGCCCCTTTTACTCTCGTTCTGGTGGTCCTTTATATAGATTGGGGTCTGTATCTACGACGAAAATGACAGCGATATAATAGCTTGTGACTAGCAGCGATTTCCGATTCCATCTCTGCAACGAGCGGGTGTGAGCGGACATTTCACTTTGTTTGCGATGTCCATCGGCATTCCATCCGTCCATGACGACATCGATCTTGTTGATGGACAATCTCACTTGAAGCTTGAATGAAGCAGTTGCAGCCTGAATCGTGCAATTCTACATTATTGCTCAGAGGACCACATCGCTTGTCATCGGCCAGCATTCAGAGCACTCGAGATACCGTCAACATGTCCGAGCTCAACGTGTTTGCTACCACCTTCAACCTTGCTACACGAGCAGCCGCTCTGACGGATGGCGAGCTACACCGATGGTTGGCGCCCATGTGGAACCGCAAGGATGGAGTCAAGGCGGACGTGGTAGTGATCAGTATTCAAGAGATGTCGCCTCTACACGTCTCGAGTGAGTTGTAGGTGTTCGATATTCCGATGAGAGTGATTCACTGATAGGACCATCCGTTGCTCACCTAGTGTCCGGACTGTCTGTGCCTCTGGTCGACAAGCTTAGCTCTCGCTTCCTCGAGAATCTTAATGACGCTACCGACTCTTCGACATACTACCAGGTCGCTTCCGAGTCACTATGTTCGATCGGACTGTGGGTTTTTGCCGACGAACAATCGGTACCGAAATCGAAGTTGGGCAAGGTGGTCCTCAGCGCCACCGGATTCGGAGCAGGAGGGACAGGAAACAAGGGTGCGGTCGGTGCGAGGGTTCTCATCGATCGGGGCGCCGTCGAAGGGCAGAGCCAATGGGAGAGTTTCACGTGAGTACCGAATGCACCCTGTAGCCTTGCCTAACAGGGCCAAGCTGAGTTTCATCTTGTACTGCAGCTTTATCTCGACGCATCTAGCCGCTCACGACTACGCCATCAAGACGAGAAACGCCAATTACCAAACCATGCTCACTTCCCTCATCTTCCCTGCCACATCGGCCCTGGACGTACCCTCTCGAGTGTTTGAGACGTCTCATTGTTTCGTCCTCGGTGATCTCAACTATCGGTTGAGCGACAAGGTCAGGACGGTCGAACGTCGGGTTGCCGGGAGCGAAAAGGATCAACAGAAGAATCCGCATCGATGGGATGCGATTGTGGAAGGCTCTTTGTCCCCGGACCAGGGTGAGAGGTCGGAGTTGTTTGCTCAACGTAAATCTCTCGTCGAGATGGACACGCTCGCCGAGCAACGTGGTCGAAATCAGACCATGCTCGGTCTGAGGGAAGGACCGTTGACCTCGTTTGCCCCGACTTATAAACGTCTCATGGGCAAGGTCGAGGGGTACCACCCGAAACGTCGACCGGGGTATACCGATCGGATCCTATTTGCCAGTTACGACGACCGTCTAGAAGGAGCCTCGAACGGCGATGGGGATGACGATGACGATCAGACCAGCTTGATCGGGAGACGCGTAGTCGGGAGGACCAAGGCACTCGTGTACGATTCCATCCCGGAGATGATCATCTCGGACCACAAACCCGTCTATTCGATCATCAACCTGCCTCCACCCTTATCGGACCGGTCGACGCCTTCTATGGGATCCACGCCTTATCAGACCCCCAGGCTACCCTTCCCGTACTCCGTACAAGCTGCGTCCGACCCACTCGTCCTTGCCATGTACAACGGTGTCGGAAGGACAACAGATCGGGTGATAGGGTTCGCTTGGTACTCGACGTTGATCCTGGGAGGTGGCAAGGAGGTCGTAGGGATCGCAGTAGAGGTCGTCTTGTTGACTGTTCTACTATTCTGGTGGAATGGGATCTGGCCGTTTTGAAGTGTTTGATTGAGATTTGTAACATTATACCCGATATAGAGCAAAAGATTGCAATACCACACACAAGTGATTGAGACGTCATCGACGCAGAATCAGCCAGATTGAATTGCATCGAGGGAAATCATGGTCTTGAAATCAAGCGATATGTGTAAATCGTCTCCGCTGAGAATGATTTCGCTCTTCTGCGTTGAAGCCCAATCTGGAACCCTTCTTTGGCCAAGCGTCATCCACACCTGGTCCGAGGTCAGTGATGTCTTCACCTCCCTCCCAATTCCCCCTCTCTGCCAAGCCGGCAAATATGCCGAATGATTGAGGTTGCCACGTTGCCCACATCTTGATTGGGTAACCGACCAGATCGAGATGAAAAGGGACGCACATGCGAAAGAAAAACATCGAAGAAAATCGTGAGCTTGCGTGCTTACTCCATCGACATCGACCCAACCCAACCCAGCCTAAAGCAACTTACCTGAAAGTCCGCCGGCTCATTCCATTGCGTCCGCACCCCCGTCTGTTCTTCCGTCTCCATTGTCATTGATATGGACGTCTCCGTGTCCACCGACATTGACCCTGCCGTGAACGTCGTCCTGGGCGTCCGTTCACGCGATACCAGCTGCCTTTCACCTCCATAGCAATCCCCCGTTCCATACCCACTTCTGTTGTATTGATTCGCCATGTAACGGTTCTTATCCTCCATGCGGCTTCCGTATGACGAACCAATACAGAAGGCATTCGGGGTCGTGTTCAATGTTGTATCCCCGTTGACACGTTCGATCTTGCTCCCCCACAAGCCAAGAATATCGGGTTGAGGGTGCCCCTTAGGACTAGCCTCTTGATCGGCAAGGTGTTCAGCAGGTGGAACAAGTGGAACTCCACAGTCCATACTGTTGATGTTATCATAGTTGCCGACCATGTCCATGTCCTGGTCCTGGTAGTAATCCATCGTGAAGGCTAAGCTTGTTTGAGTTGGCAAGGCGTGGGATCTTGAGCCGAAAAACAACGCGCGATTCGTCGTCGCCTTGTCGATTTTACAGGTGATAAACATGTCACGCTGATATTCATCGCCGCCCTCCCAAAGCTGTTCGGGCGTCAGATCATTAGAGACCCCGCAAGAATAGAAGATTGCGACCAGGTACAAGCCTAGGTCAAACAAGACGTTCTTTCGACACTCGCCACACTTCATCTTAGCGGCCGCCTCTCACAACAGCCTGGTCAACATTTAGGACAAGGTCCGAGTGGGAAATTGTATGCATAAATGTACGAAGAGCCGTGTGAGCCGAGTCTCGATGAATTTGGATTAATCGGATTATACTACTCTTGATTGTTTTATCGTATGATTGGTTCGTAAACCACAAGCGTCCTGCTCGACTCTCCAGCCCTTTCATGATAACGAATCCTCATCCCCATTTTTTGCAAGGCCTTCAAATACCGATCGATTGTGGTCTCTGTGTCTTGTCGCAGCACCTCCTCAAGCATCCTTCTCTACCTTCCACAAGGCCCTCGCCTGCGTCTTTCTCGTCACGTGGACATTCGACCCGCTACCCCCGCCGAACCTCAAGACGACATTCTCGACTGGGACCTGCGCTTTCGCCTGTGCCGAATTGACCGCTTGCCCACCACGAGCGTTCGCCAAAGCCAGAGCCCTCTTCCTCCTCGAGGCGATGATCTTTCTCGCAAAGCCGAACCTCTCTTGATCGGACCCGAGCGCGGTGAACGAAGCGTCCTCGAGGAGAGATTTGAAGAGTTCAAAGGGGAGCAAGGTAAAAGTGGCAAGGAATTCGGGATTGGTGGCAAGGGGCGTCTCGGGCGAGTTCCGAGCGAGTTCCTGCGCGTAGCCGTGGGACAAGTAATTTTTCCTGTCAATCCGAAAGAATGAATCTGATCAGCATGCATCATTCAAAACGCGCTCCCTGTTCTCAAGCGACTCACACGTCCGACCTCAATCGCCCTACCCAGTCGTCCTGCTGTACTTCGTCATTCCCATTGACCCAAGCCACACCCGCCTTGACCGAGGCTTCCGAAGACGGTGTGACCGACCCGCTTCTGCCCCCCGCGCTCAATCCCATGGCACTGGCCAAGCTCCCGTTGATGTAGTTGGCGATCCCACCAAACCCGACCTCTTGACTCCCCTCATTCTCGTCACCCCCATCCCGTTTGGCGGTGCGGGAAGAGACGATCTCTTGTTCCTCCCTCGCATCACACCACTCGATCCAAGAACGAACGGAATCGACCTGGATGGACTTTCGGCAGAGGTCGTACGCCAGAGAACTCAGATCGGGGAGAGCGAGGAGGATGGAAGCGAGAAGGACGGGACGGGCGTTGATAGGGGTGATGAGGTTGACCGCGAATGGTGCTGGAGGGCGATGGCAGAGCGACAGGTACGGTAGGTTCAGCTCTCGGCGCTCTCGAGAGAGGTAGTGGTAAAAGCGCGTATGCTCACCGTACAAATACCCCAGACAGATCGCGATCGCCTGTCCGAACGAAACAAAGACCAGGGTATCAGCCTCCTTTTTCCTCCGAGCCTCCCTGTTCACGACTCCTCTCAAAGGAAGACACCCGAACACCTCCTCTCCGACCCACCTCGTCCGTAATCTCCGGGTCGACCAGTGCTATCCGTACGGGCTCATGAGGCGCCGACATGTCCATCGAATGAGCAAAGTAGGCGGACTGGGAGAGGATCACTAGAGGAGCGCGATAGTGATCCAAATGCAGGAGGTGCGAAGTTGGGGTAGTTGATTAGTTAGCGAGGTTGGGCATCAGAGTTAAGATAGAGCAAGAGCTTACGGCGGTGCAAGTGATACGATCGATCCCTGTATGCAATTAGATTAGATGTGTTCCAAGACATGTTGGAAATCAGCTTGACGAGTTTCCTGTTGGAGCATGGCATGCGGAAAGTACGACGGTGAATTACTTACCTGGCCTGGACCACGATGTCGGAATATTTGCCCTTCTGGACCCGTGTCCCAGATCGAAGCACAGACGTTCATTGCGTGTACGGTACCAGGGTCTTGTTGCATACTGCAGGAAGAAGACCCGGTACGGGAGATATCAAACAAGCGATAGAACCAGATTCCAAGTCAGCCATAGAGCGCTCTCGAGGAATGTCGCATCGCGAATGCTCACACGATCCCTCCTCGGCTCGAGCTCGGAACATCGGCCTGACCGTTCTGACTGGGAGCAACCGACGGAGCAGGCTCAGGGTAGACGAATCCATTGGTCATGCCAGATCCGCCTGCCGTTCTCGGAGTCGAAGGCGTGTGAGTACCGTTAGTTTGGGGTTGAGGTTGAAAGGCGGAAGAGGAAGCTACGGCGTTCATGGTCGACATGTCGAGGTCGTTTCGTTCTTTCTTCTTTTTGGCAGAGATGATTCTGGTGGCACAAAGCTAGCGATAGATAAGTTTGGGAGTGTTGAGGAGATTGTGTCGAAGTAGTAGACTAGTAGCTAGTAGCCAGTAGTAGTTGTATGCAGGTAGATGCCATGATCCGATGGTCACTCGACCTGCAACTTGGCTCGCGCGGCCAAAAAAGTCTAAGAGCAGCAAAAGTTCCATCCTACCTACCTACAGCTAGACCATCACTATTACCCACCGGTGACCACATTCCTAGAAAAGACACCTGCCATACTCACGCCACAATGTCTGCCAGGCCATCACTCAGCTCCATCGCCCGGGCAGGTCTTTCACTAAGCCGTACCGCTGCCGGACGAGCAGGTCCCTCCCGCTTCATCTCGACCAGCACTCCCAACCCGAACCGACCTACCCCAGCTCAATCCCTCGGATCCATCTTTGAAGAGACATGGGGGCCCAACTCTTCTGCCGCTCTAGGTCTCTCGAAAGCCGACGAAAAGGATATCAAGGCCGACCTGCGGGCTGCAGGATTGTCACCGTCGATCGCGGATGTTCCAAAGAAAGTAGATGCACAAGGTCAAACTCAGGGCAGGACGTTGTACAGGCCCGGTTATGCTGCCGATACTCGACCGCCTAGGGTAGACCCGCTGTTGGACCTTTTTACCAACCTGTTGATGAAGCATGGTAGAAAGGCCGAGGCGCAGAAGAGGATCGGGGAGGTCTTGGATGTCATGTAAGTCTGACTACGTTCCTAGATCAGTTTGCCTTTATTGAAGCTTATACAAGCTGACTCGTGTGCAAATTCAAATTACGATCCTCTCCTTCGATATGCCACGACAGCCGCCAGACAACCCTTTCCGACCCCGTCCCCCTGATGCACCAAGCCATCCACCTCACCTCCCCCTCGATCCGTATCGTCTCCCTCCGTCGGGCCGCCAAAAACGTCCCCATCCCCTCGGCCTTGGACGCCCGTCAACGAGCCCGAACAGGAATCTCTTGGATCTTGAAAGCTGCGGAAAAGGGTCGAAAAGGTGGAGCGTCGGAGAGGACGGGCAGGATCGCAAAGGAAGTGCTAGCTGTGCTTGATGGCTCGAGCGCGGCTCTGGCGAGAAAGGACGAGGTTCATCGGTTGGGCGCCGTCAATAGGTGCGTCGGTCAGGCGGTCATTGTGGACCATTCGAGTATCGTCTCGTTTTGGCCTTGCTGATTTTCGGTTCTTTTGCGTGACCAGGTCCAATCTCACCACTCGGTGATCGAGGTAAACGAGATCCGAGATCGAGACATCACCGATCCCAGCATGATGACAATAGAATTGTACCACCATCTTTACATGAGCCACAACATGCATCTATCTCTTTTACCTCGCTCTCTTTACGCGCCATCTACGGTTCTTGACTCGAGATGATTCAATCGGTCGTGAAGCAGGTACGAGATCTGTGTCATGCGGTCGATGGTCTTTGCTCAAACCCTGTCAGGGTCCAATATGCAACTTGCATTCCCTGCTAGCTGCTGGTGGCCACATCAGATGGGATAGTTGGGATGGCACTACTAGGACATCTTCGACAGTCGACAACGGTTGGAGCGAATGTTTGTGGCTTGTCAACACACGCACGCCGTTCGACAGATCGAAGACGAGTAGAGGTGATGAACCGGATGATGGCATGCTATCCTACCGATCCTCACCAGCAGGTATACTGTACAATACTGGCCAGCGAAGCAAGGGATGGAAGCGAGCAAGCTTACGGTGAGGAAAGGTGACCGGCCGGCGGAGGTTCATATCAAGCTACGCAAGCCGGACTGATAAAGAGATCAAGAAGGGATGCGTCGACGAAATATGCTCATGGAAGTGACAAAGATCCAATGCCCTGTGCCGGACTTGCATGCCCGCCCTGATGACTTGCCCCTTGCATTTAATCCTGTCAGGACATCATCCATGCCACCTTGTCAGCATCCTTGCACAAATCGCCCTCAGCAAAGCACTCGCGACAAATGTACACAACCTCATCAGCTTGTCTTGCCCATATCTCCCTTAGCGAAGCGTCCAAATAAAACTCGATACCGTAGGCAAAGTAGGCTGGGGTCCAAAGCGGGCTGTGAAAGTATCAGGCTGTGGTGGACGTGTCAGGTGGATGAAGCATGAAGACAGGTCGATTGAGACATGAAGACAGGTTAGTTGGAGGAGGGCTTGGGTAAGCTGAATCGACATGATTGCCATTGGTGTGCCAAGAGTCGGTCGGGTCTTGCTAGCCGGCGACCCGTTGACGAGGATGTAGGGGCCCACATCTACGAGATCTTTGGTCTGGCCTGGAGGAAACGGAACCCTATATCCAGCGCAAGAATGAGATCTTATATTTACAACAACTGAACCCGTGACCGTCCCGGCACGCCACTCAATCAAGCGCGAATCGGGTGGACCCCTTCGACGGCACTTGGCGAATCGTCCGACATTGGCTCGTCACCGCTATTGTACTGTTCGGTGACCTGAATCACGCCGTCTTTTGTCTTGACACTCGAGATGGCGGGACCAGTGTAATGTTTCCGTGCGCTGAAGACGTACCAGAGCAGTGCTATGAGCGTAAAGCCAGCGAATACTACTGAGGCGTAATTCATGGAAGAGGGTGTGACGGGGATAGCGGTGGGCATGCAGAAGAGCACGATAGAGAATGACACCCAGCAGATGGTCAGGATATTCTGGTTGTCGAGGCTCAGGTTAGCCAGGCGATTTCATGAAAATATGCGCTCAAACCACTCACAATGGCGTAACCGAATCTGCCCAGCGAGAATGGCGCGTTCTTAACCAATTCTCTTCGACGCAGAACGCTGCACATGACTGGGAACATGTAGGAAGCTCCCAAACAGATGGTCGCGACTCTGAGTAGAACAGAATATGAGACATTTCTCTATGGAATTGATCAACCGAAGATGTTCGGTACTCACCCTGTGAAAGCGTTGAACGCAGCGGAACTTCCGAAATAGATACACCCGAGGAGAGCGTCTACAACGGCAGACAGAATCAAGGCGTTCAAAGGCAGTCCGAAGCGCTTGTCGACCTTCTTCCACACGCCAGATGCAGGGATGCCTCCATCTCGCGAGAAAGACCAGGTGCATCTTGAAGCTGCCGTAAGCGAACCGACAGCGGCAAAGGCCCAGATTCCGAGGACTATAGGATATTTTGACGTAAGCTATCCGCGCTGTGGACAGACCTTGCAATCAACTCACTGAGAAAGAGCAAGCCAAAGGCGCCTCCTGCACTGCCAACTACGAGTTTGAACAAAAGCGGCATGGGCTGCAACGATGGTACAGCGAGTAGGTCACTGATGTTGGTCAGGACAAAGTTGAGAGGAACCAAGTAGACGACACCAGTGACGAAAGCCGCGGCTACGCTCAAAACTGAAAGTAGGACAGAATTGTCAGTTGTACAGCGATGGCGCGCTTGTCTCGCGAACATACTCACCCATGGCCTTCGGGACTGCTCGTTCGGGAGCATGGACCTCTTCGCATAGGGCAGCGACCATGCCTATTCTCGGTGTCCGTCAGGAAACAAAGTCGCGAACGGAGAGAGAGTGACACCAAGGGCTTACCGTATCTGTCAAAGAACGACACGAAAACTGGTTAGCCCCTTTCCTTCGGCAGATTAATAGACGCAGCCACTCACCCTGTCAAGGTGTATGCCGCTTGTAACAGACCCACGAAAAAACTCCAACCTGGGGTATAACCTGATGCAGAAGCATCGAACTAAGTGTGAAAGTACTCAGCTTGATTCAATGCGGTCGCCGAAGCCAGACCGAATCTCACCTCTCCGAAAGCATAGGCTGCCGAATTCCGCCTTGGTGCTTTGACAAGCAGAGTCACAATGATCTGCGTCAGAGGGAAATGTGCCGTCGCAACAAAAAGCGTAAGCTTGAACCCTGAGTTGCGGACACATGACTGCTTTCACGCACGATGATGACAGAGGCGCCAGTCCACCACAAGCAGACTTTGTTGAGCTTATCCAAATGCCTGAGAAAGAGAGAATACGGCAATGAGATCGGCAGCTCGGCTCACGCTTCATTTAAAGGGTGACTTACGAGTTGAAGAAGACGTTGATCGACAAGGAGAAGATAAGGCAAAGCCAATACGTCAGAACCGTCTGCCAGGCAGTAGGGACGTATGACTCGTCCCAGAGGGTGATGGCCGCAAGAATGAGCTGTGCCCCTGAGAATGTAATTGATGCGGTGACCCTTGCAACACACCGACACGAGGTTAACTACAAGCTCCCTGCGTTGGTGAGAATGACTGGCTCACGTATAGTTTCCGGCCAGCGAGAGCCATCCATTGACATAGGACGCCAGCGCGCTATACTTCGGGGTCGAAAGCATGGCCGACCAGTCTGTGGGAGATCGACCCTATTAGCGATATCTTGGCCTTGCACTTGGCCGCCTCGTGGCTTACAATATACACCGCCAGAAGTCGGGAAGACGCTACAAATCTCAGCCAGACTTGCAGCGATTGCTAAGCTGACCAAAGACACCAGCACCCACTACTTGTCCGCTCCAGTTCAGTTCAGTTTCATATCCGTTTAGCTTGTCCATTGCCCTTTCCACTTACACCCCAGATGATAGTGACGGGTCCACCATTGGTCAAGGCAATATTCAAAGCAGTGTTGAGGCCCAGCAACGGTGCCTGTGAGCAGGATTCCGGTAATGCCACATGGTAAGCATGCAAATAAGAGCTGGTCGTACGGCCTGATGTAAGTCATCGGAATTTGATCGCTCACCATGATTGCAAAGGCCAGACCCAGCACAGATAACATCCCGAGCGATCGCTTGAGCTCCTGCTTGTAACCCTAAGAGCGCCGGTGCCTGTTTCAGCACGCTGATCACCGCGACCCACCATCATATCACGCACCATTTCCTTGAGACGGGAATCGGCTTCGACGGCATGGCTTGTCGGACTGACGACCCTCTCAGAAATCCCTTCTTCTGCGACCTTTTCTTTGCCTGAACCCATGTTGAACTAGGCGTCGATTGATTATACTAGCAATGTATTGAGGATCGAGCGAGGTCTAGGTTGAAGATGGACCACAAGGCAAGTGCAGCAGCCCATTATCACTTGCTTGCTCGCTTAGTCTTATATCCATATCTGCCGGACAAGCAAATTGCTGATATCTGTTATCCGTCCTCGAGCCATCCATTCGACTCTGTTCTCGCTGCTCGCTATCAGACGGTCATGAGAGGCAGGCACCCCTCTGCCGTCACGCCGTTGATCACTTGAACCGAGAGATAATCGCAATCCCGTGCCCTCACGCCCCGGATCAAAACGACCTCGACCTCGCTTCGGAGCCAAATAGCGCGGACAAGCATCGGCGGGCGAGGACCCAAGGGCACAAGAGAGGGAAGGGTTTGCGTCATGGGCGGCGGCTGAACACACAGAATAGAGTCCAGAGCCGCTCAACTTTGCGGGGCACAAACAAGTCACGTGCCGAATTGCTCCGATTGATAATCAATAGTCGAAGCTACAGGCGACTCGGTTATGCAACAGCTCGATGCTGTCATTGCTGTTGCTGCAGATTGTAGTAGTATTCTGTGGTGATAGGGTAGGGACGGTTTGCTTAGCGACAATCTGTCAGCTGCAGACGCCGCATACTGTAGACCCACCTTCAGCGGCATCGATGCAACGGACATTGGCTCCCAGCTTGTTGATAGTCTCCATGTACTCGTCTTCCTCCACGCTATCAAATACGATTCCACCACCTGCGGGCCCGTGACGATAAAGCTCTTAGCTATAGCATTACATCATGCACCCGTTGTGAGACTTACCTGACTGGAGGTAAGCGACTCCATCCTTGAATGTCATCGTCCTGATGGCGATACACGTATCAAGCTCGTTCGAGTTAAAGTCGAACCGGCCGACCGCACCCGCGTATACCCCTCGCTTCTCTTGCTCCAAGCCGCCCACAATCTCGATCGCCTTGATCTTGGGTGCACCAGACACAGTCCCAGCCGGGAAGATGGACCTGAAGGCGTCGAATCTAGTGTAATCGGGATGTTCAACGCGAGCCCTTTTGCTCCGCTACCGAAACGTTTCCCGCTCACCTGGTCTTGTCCTCTCTGAGAATACCGCTAATCTGACTGGTCAGGTGAATGACATGGCTAAACTTTTCCAACCTCATCAAGTCGTCCACCTGCACAGTCTCGGGCTTGCACACTCGATTGACGTCGTTTCGAGCGAGATCGACCAGCATGATGTGTTCGGCCCGGTCCTTTTCGCTTGCTAGGAGTTCTTTTCCTAATCGGATGTCATCTTCATCGATTGAGAAGCCATGGCAGGTCAGCTTTTATGCTCGAAAGCACCACGTAACGACTCGACCAACGGGAGCTTACCTGCTGGGGTTTTCCCTCGCTTGACAGTACCGGCAATAGCGTGGTTATACACCTTGCGGTTCTCAACCTTGCACAATGTCTCCGGACTTGCTCCGACAAGCTGAACATCACCGCAGTTCAAGTAAAACATGTAGGGGCTCGGGTTGACTTGTCGCAGATGGCGGTATGCATTGAAAGGGTGGAGAGAGGTGGGCCGACTGAGGCGTTGCGATGGTACGGCTTGAATGATGTCTCCCTTGACAATGTGCTCCTTGAGCTTTGTTACGAAACCCTCATAGCCCGCCTTGCCAACATTTGAGACTGATTCGTTTCCCCGCTTGATAGGAGGCTGATGCGGCAAGGGAGTGTCCGGTCTTGCCAGCTGTTGAGACAGCTTCTGAACCTTTGCGACGGCCTGATCGTAAATCGTCGAGAGGGAGGAAGGATCCGAGCCGTCAGGGAGGTAGACGTGAGAGACAATCTTGACGGTCTGGTAGATGTGGTCGAACACGAGGATGGAGTCACAGAACATGAAGACCGCCTCAGGAATTTCAAAGGGAGTCCGTAGCTCTCGCTTGGTTTTGGGTTCGAAATGCTGGATGCAGTCGTAGGTCACGAATCCGATAGCTCCACCTGTTGCCAGGAATGAAGATCAGTCGAGTACGCATGAGAAGGTGTTCCAGTTCGACTTGCCAGTGAACGTCGGTACTTCCGGGATAGACTGATACCGGTATTGTGCGAGCTCAGCCTCTAGCGGCTTCATGGGATCTCCGCGGATTTCGTATCCTTCGCCGGTCTTGATCACCTTGAAAGGATCTGAAAAGTCGAATGTCCAGTCGGTAAATCGGCGGCGACACAAGTCATCCGAGCCAGCTGACCTGATCCGATGAAGCTATACCGAGCTACATGCTCCCCATCCATAATACTCTCCAAAAGGAAGCTGTACTCTGACTTCTCCGTGATCTTGAGGAACGCCATCACCGGAGTCAGTAGGTCCGCAGGGATCTGCGCACAGATTGGAATGCAGTTGACATTGTTCTTCGAGATCAACTGTTTCACCTCTTCTAGAGAAGGTGACGTCTATGTGCAAAGATTGACAGATTTAGCTCAGCATTCCAAGGCCAGGCGAACGTTCACGCTTACCTGAACCATGACTGCTGAAAATGACTCGATGCTGGCTATTGTTTGAAGATTTTGAAGCGAGAGTTCCAAGCGGTATATATAGGCTCGATAGTGTCTATGTGTCCACTGTGCAAGTGTATAATCATATAGCTGTAGGCAAGTGCGACCACATCGATCTGTAAAGGCTGATCCGATGTGATTTGATGCTCGACGCTTCAACTTTTGACTCGTTCGGTCACCTCCACGACCTCCACCTTGCGCGCAAACCGCGAAGGATCGATCGATCCTTTCATTTAGCCGTTTCATCGTCGACGAGGTATATGAGCTACAGCAATTTAGGTAATAGATACGAGTACAAGGTCTACTCAAGCTTCAAAGAGCAACGAATGAGAAAATTCCGAAAGAGATGGTCGCCCTTGCAAGCTTTTACTTCAACGGCCAAAGACCTCCTCCGCTCCCCTACGTCCTCCCGCTTCGAACGCTGCCGATCACGCTGCCTTCTTTGCCCTCCACCTCCCGTCGCCATCGATCAATAGCGGGATCTGGTGGTGGTTGAAGTTGAGGGATCGACATCATCGAAGGGTTGATGCCCATGTACGGGCTCATCATTGGCATGCCCATCATAGGCATTCCCATTTGCGGCATACCGAATCCTCCCGCCATCGGGTTTGCGAACATGGCTTGCTGGTAGATCATCTGCTGATGTTGCTGTTGTTGTTGCTGTTGATTGGGGAACATCGCACTTTGTTGTTGTTGTTGTGCCTGAGCTGCAGAGAGGTGTTTCTGAGCCAGAGGGATATCGTCATCGTCTTCGTCTAGCTTGCTGCCGGACCCCGACTGCAGGTTCATCATGGTCATGCGACGGACCGCCAAAGGCACGTCGTCGTCTTCTTCGTCCTCGTCATCTGCGGGAGCAGATACTGCTTGTATGGTAGGGAGCATAGGTGGCTTGCTCTTTGCCTGTGTAAATATTTGATCTTGAGAACGACAACAGCGAGACTGCGAAGCGAAATCACGTACCACTAGTTTCGCTAAAGGCTCGTCCTCAGAGGAGGATTGGTCGTCATCGCGAGCTATAGGTCGTTTCGTAATGTTGAAAGCTTTCGTAAGGGGAACATCCTCGTCGCTCGATTCAGCGTCATCCATTTGTGCCTGAACTGGCATGCGTTGTGATATACGTCTCTTCTTGTTTCTGCGAGTTGGCTTCGGGTTCTCGTCATCGGACGCACCCCAGTCGTCGATGTCGACAGGTTGAACGCGCCGGGCAGATGTGTCATTGGCACCGGATATGGGTGGCAGGACGGGCAAGGGGGTTGATGCTCTCGGGGATTCGTCCAATAGAGGCATGTTATGCAAATCCTCATCTTGCCCATCGCCATAGGAGTGGGAAGGCGCTCCATCGAGTTCAAAGTCCTCAGCTGTAGGCAACGCCGGCGGGCGTTTACCATTGACCTGCTCATCGGCGGCTCGTTCGGCTTCTTCCTCCCTGCGCATCTTGGCCATTTCTCGCTGCCAGACCTGATCCACTCCAAAGACGGATCGGTGGCGGTCATTACCCGGCCGGGTAGATGACCCGATCGCCATGCGATCACCACCGCCCCCAAGTAGTGTCTTGCGTTTGCTCGCGCTCGGTGGCGTGTCTGGATCGGCTAGATCCACCAGCGTACGATGGCTTCCATCATCCCGTGACATCATCGTGGGTCTCGAGTCCCCTGTGAAAACCCTGTATTTGATCATCGGGACGGTATAAGATCAGATCAAGTGCAGCTCGCTCGAATAAGATGTTTCGCCACGAACCTGCGCTTGGCCATCTGTGCTGCCTTCTTCTCCTCCAACTTGTCCATTAGGCTTAATCCGGTGACAGGACGGACCGGTCGCCAGTCTTCAGTGCCAGGCTGAGCGGCTACCTGGGCAGTATGCTCCTCATCCTCTTCAGGAGCTTGTCCCCCAAGCTGATGGAAAGCGACCTCTCCGTCCGCCTCGGCTCCTCCGACAAAGTATTCTCCTCGGCTACCGCCAACGGCTAGCGAGTCGGCAAACATCCGTTGCGTAGCCAACCTAACGTTGCCGCTCTTCGATGAAGGCAGCGATCCCAGCAATGAATTGGGGCGGACAGATCCTGGAGGAAGGGGCCTGCGCCCCACCATGAACCCACGTTTGTCGAGACCATCCTGAGGAGTAGAGTCGCTCGGATCCAACTGTCCCTGTAGAGGAGTCGGCATGAGAAGGGTCTTGGGTCGCAGCAACCGCATCCGGGATTGCATCTGCGAGCCTCGAGGTGATGCAGGACTGCCAGGCTGATCATAACGGGACTGGCTGTCAGATACACCTGGATCCGCCCCGAAATAACCCGTCGCACGGCTATCCGGCCTGTCTAGCATTACTGAGCCTCGGCTGGAAGTACGCTGATGCGCAGCTACTTTGGGATCGAATCTGGAGACTCGACTGCCTGCTGGTGCGGGCAGGGAGAATGGATTTGCGATTTCTTCGCCAGGGGTGTTCAGGTGGATTGACTCTGGTACCCCCAGGGCAGATGCTGGAGAAGCAGGTAGTGGAACGTTGGTGGGATAACTGGAGGAAGCGCTTGACATCCGCCCTGATGCCCCGATGGGACTCGCTGGCGGGAACGCCGGATGCTCATATCTGCCTCGAGAAAGCACACTCATGCTAGACCCAGGACGGATGATCTCCATCGGTTCCGGGTCGGCGCCATGCTCATCTTCTTGGGATGCAGAGAATTCGTGAAATGAAACTGTCCGGTTCCGTTTCGATTTGTCGCCCTTGAGAGCAGGTGCACGAGGCACGACAGCACGATCAGAATAATCGACGTGCGGCGGCACAGTCGGCATCGACGAGATGGCATTCGTCACCGATGGCGAAAGAGGTCGTAGGTCTTCCGCTTCGTACTTGAGAGGCTCTGTTCCAACCATCGACATGGCTCGGACAGACTGGGTGCGATAGGGTGGGGATCGAGGACTGGCGAGCCTCCCCAACGATCGCGAGTCCCTCTTGTCCAGAGGCCGTTTGTCCAAGAACGCTTCGGGTATACCCCAAGAAGCTAGGTCTACTTCTCCGTGAGGTTCCTCTTGTTCAAGGTCCTCGACCATGTCCTCGTCATTGCCGAAGTTCGACCCGACCGTCATCCTGGTATCTCTCCGCCCGTCTCCCGTTTGCATACGGTCGTAGTTGGATTCCATGCTCATCATGCTCTGCCGACCAAAGCTCTGCTGGTTACCACCGTAAAATAGACGTCGATTATCTGCGGCTTCCAGCCCATAGGCATTGCTAGATGTGGCATACGCATTTGTGGGTCGTGTCTGTCGTTTGGTATTGAAGATGGCCGATTGCTTTGCATCCTTGCGTTCGTAAGGGGTCTTGTCGTCATTATCGTATTCTGTCGAACGATACCATGGGTGGGAGGTCAGCGGGGATTTCGTGATCGTTGGCATGACCTTTGTCTCACCTATCAAAGCCGCTGCAAGCTGCAGACGACTGAACGACATCGTGCTTTATCAGGCCGTGATCGAGGCAGTGCCGGGCTTGCAGACCGCCCGCTGCTGACAGCACCTAGTAAGCTATCCGTGACAACTATCTTGGTGACAACTGCTATGCACAGAAACAAGCAAACTCTAGAAGGTCGGGGTGTCTTTGGATTGGTCGATGCCACACATGACGGTCGATGAGCATCAACATGACTGCATGCGTGCCCGACCACATGCCACCATCCCGCATTACCCGGAGGTAATACGCGTAGAGTCCGGCGAGGTCTCTATCACATCTCATCGAAAATCACAGCTGCATAAAGAACCGCTCCATAATAATGTACACCGGCAGAGTATATATAGTTGAACACACCAGGACACTGGTTAAAAGTCAGAGACATATAGATCGTGTGAGAAGCCGCCCGAAAGGCAGGGGAAGTAGATGAGAAAGCGAGACGGGTCAAGGGTTATTGTGGCGATGTGAAGAAGATGACCTAGGTTGGGAGGAACGTTGTAGGGTAGCGGAGTAAAAGCGAGTGGGCGCAAAGTCGCAGGATGTGCCGTTCCTGGTTGATCCTACAGATGACGATGCCTATAATATGACACACTTGTTCTTCTTCTTGACAACGGGCGGCTCAAGCGCGGCGACGATAGCCTGATGAGAAGAGTATCCGGTCAGACAACCTCTTTTTCATTCAGCCAGAAGGTCCCGACTGACCTCGTCAAAGACGTTCTTCAGTCCCCTCTGTGTCAATGCCGAACACTCAACAAACTTGACGGCACCCAGCTCCTTTGCCAATCGCTCTCCCTGCTCTGTTGTGATCGGCCTCTGCTTCTGTCTCGAGAGCTTCTCGATGACGGCCTGGTCGTCTCTCAGATCGACCTGGGTTCCAACAATCAGGCAAGGAACACCGGGGCAGTGGTGGTGGACTTCCGGGAACCACTTCTCCTTTACGTTCTCGAACGAGGCGGGCGAGGTCACCGAGAAACAGACGAGGAAGACGTCGGTCTGGGGGTACGAGAGCGGTCGCAGTCGATCGTAATCCTCCTGACCTATAAGCGTAAATGACGAGAATGTTAGCTTTTAACCCGTTTGTCAAAAGGATCGAGGCAACATACCGGCGGTATCGAACAGACCCAATGTGTATGGGTCATCGCCAATCATGACAGTCACAGCATCTGTGGTAGGCGATACGGATCAGCCGGATTCTGAAATCACGAAATTATATAGACTGACAGTTGTCAAAGACGGTAGGAACGTATTCCGAAGGGAATTTGTTGGTCGTGTACGATATCAGCAGACATGTCCTGCACGAAGGCGAACCAGGAGCCAACCAGTCAGTATCAGGCAAACTGTGTCGACCTCGATGGGCGGCTGAATGAAAGCTCACTTTCCGACAGCTCCATCACCGACCACTACACATTTGATAGTCTGCATCTTGTAAGCGAAAGGACCTGAATAAGTGGGATACCGTGGCGTGTCTGAAGTTGGCGACCAGTCGAGCCAGCGTTCCGTTTGAAGATGTGGAGGAGACGAGAATAGGATGGGTTGGCAGCAAGCAGGAACAAGCCGTTCGAGATGAAGATGTAGCGACAAGAGAACACAATCAGCTATCTGCTGCTGAAACGTGAAACGCGTTCCCCTTGATCCAGTCTTCTTCTTTCGTTGACAATTGGCAGTCTACCCCGATATCGTCATGTTGGATCTGACAGCAGGCCTCCAGTGTATAGGCTTCCTTGTATCCACCTGCACTTTCGGCCGTGTGAAGAGCCGTTCTCGAACTATCGTCGCCTCCCACTTGTATTGTCGTCTGATCAACTCGCAGCGCCTCATCAACGTCCCGCTCATTCCCACTTGATCCCACTTGTCCCAACCGAGCTGTAATCTCCTTCGACTCATCCATTACGACATTCTTGTAGTCCAGTGATAGTGGGCGAATTCGAAGGATGGAAGCTGGACCAGATCGCCCGGCGTGATCCCGAGTCTGTTGATACGAAAAGCGAGAAGCTCACCTTTGTACTTTGTTATCGTTTGATCGCCGATGTGTGTCGATACGAGCCAGACGAATCCGACGGGGGCGGAGAGAGAGCGATTGCTTTGCACGAAGCTCCTTCTAGATGGAGAGTGGCAGACGATACGACGACTGTGAACAAACTAGGAGTCGAAAGGAGTGAGGATGTGGACATCATGGGTCAAAGCGGTGCGCAGCTTGATCTCACCGAAGGTAGCACGGGGCTGCTACCGAAGGGGGGGACGCGTGAGGGATCAAGCCTTTCTCACGCGTCCTCGTCATTTACTCTGGGGTCTCCGACAACGGAGGCATAGATAACATGATTCAGCTGTAACAGCCGGGAGGGCGTCTCTTCGCCACAAGTATACACTGTCACAACGGCTCTCTGCGAGCTCTAGGTAGACTACTGATACACACATATTGTCGCTCGCACATATCGTATCTTTCGAATTCGTACGGGTCGTATGGACGCTCTGCAAGCTGCAACGAGCTAGATCTTCCTCGATCCTTCAATCCTTCCTTCTTGTCCTCTCGCGCCACGTCTCAGGTGATCGGCTTAACTCTAGGCATCGTCTTCGCCAGTGAGTTCGGAATCGTCTGGAGTGGGTCGACCTCTTTTGCGTTTCTTGCCGATGTCCTTCTTTTCGTCATCATCATCGTCTTCATCTTCGTCAGGCGTAAAGTAAGCATCGCTGGTCTCGTCACCGTCCTGAGCGTGCGCAGAGGGCAAGGCTGATTTGTTCGCCTCACTGTCAACGACAGGGTTGGTTTCGGTCTGATCGGCGGATGGTCCGGCTTCGTTCTCCTCAGAGCCGACAATACCTGGGTTGGTCCCGGTTTGTCCGTTCGTCGCCGCAAGCCTGGCCGCCGCTTCCTCGCGGCACTTTGCATAGTACACTTCAAGCTCTTCCTTGTATGCCTTGTCTCGAGCCTGTTTCTCCAAGGTGTACTGCATGGCCGGTCAGAATACGGGAAGAGTTATCGTGATCAGTGAATGCGATCTATCACTATGAGCAAGGCACAGCGCATTCCAAGGTCTCACCTTGGAAATCTTCTTTTCCTGCAAGACCACTTCGAAAGCGGGTTGCTCGACGAGAGAGGAGCAGTAGATCGACCAATGCCTGGGCAGTCCGATCTCGCTGGGTACGTATCGGCTCACAGCGACATCACCGAAGACGAAGTCGAGCAAGGCCTTGCCGTTCTCGTTGGACATGTCGATGACCCTGGGACCGTATACTTGTCGGAGACGTCGCTTTTCGTCGGTAAAATCGTTGTTGTAGGTGTACCATTCGTTGGACAGTTCGACGTTGTTTGGTTCAGGATTGTGGATGAAGTAGCATTCGGCGATACGACCGTAGGATCGGATGTACCATTGGTTGGCCGCCGATACCTCGAGGGTTTGCAATCTTCTCTGGACCTAGTCAGTGGCAATAAGAGGTGATTAGCGAGCTTGTCGCAGGGCGTTTATTTTTCAACTGTCAAAGAACCTACCGAGACGATCCTCTGCTTGTGCTCGCTCCCTCTCGCATCCACCGTCAATGACGTGGGACCTCTGTTTCTACCCGCCCAATGCTTGAAAGTCCATCGCTTGTAATCCTTCTTCACTCCCCTACGTCCATTCCAATTCAAGCTCGAGTTGTGTAAGAGAGAGGTCCACAGCATGGTGGCGTCCTTCAGATCCATCGGCTTGGCATCGTCCAGCATCTCCTGAGCATTCTTGAATGAGTATGCCTCGCCATAGTAATTGTATCGGGTCCTGTAGGGAGTTTCTTTTGTCTTGCTTCGGAGGGCCTGTCCGATCTCCCACCCACGAACCAAGTCGAGGACGACGAGCTTGTCATGCAGGTCGACCTGAATCGGATTCTCCGGTTCGGGCTCGGGTTCAGGTTCAGCTTTGACTGCAGTGTCGGGATCGACGGCGGGATCATCAGTCGGAGATTGGGTAGAAGTCGATTTGGCAGATTTGGTAGATTTGGCAGAAATGGTGACCTTCTTGGCCTTTTTGGCGGTACCACGCTTCTTGACGGTACCGAGACGAGGCATGATGACGAAAGCTGGGTGGATGGAGCCGTGTAAGAGGTGCTAGAGATGATCGCCGTGATGTGTTGTATGTGACGCGAGTGATACTCTGCAGAGACACAGTGAATCGAAGAAGGTCAGCTGAGGAGTCGAGGTTATGACGTCTTGAGCAACTGCTTACATCGCCACTGAAGATCGTTAGACGGAGTCGTTATGTGCGGCTCGCAACACGATGGAAGTCACCTTATATAAAGGATGAGAAGCTGAATCTATGAACGAACCCCTGCGATCAGTCGTGCCGGTAGACCAATTGGAGCAATCTCACTCGATTACTCACTCTGGCTGTCGACTGTCGTTTGAGCGGAGAACGAGCCTTGATCGAACCAGAGATTCCGATCGAAGAGACGATCGAGAAGCCTAATCCTAAGAAGGAATAGATCAATACAGTGGATGTTGGCAAGGGCTACTATAAAAGAAGCAAGGTGCGAGATGCCGTTCGGAATGGCACACTCACCTCCGTACCTAGCTACCTAGCTACCTAGCTGACGAGACTTCCTGATACAGACTGCGATGAGCAGTGATGGTAGATGGTACCAGGTCTGACCATATCCGAACGGTATGATTCGGGAGAAGGTTGATGGTTACTTGGCGATAAAAACCACCTTTATAGCGAAAGTGGGCGGTATGCTCGGCCCAAACCCTGTGCCCCGAAGAAGCTGATTAGGACACCTGATGATGGAATGATGCTTCAATTTACTTCCGAAAAGTAAACAGCAAGGGGTGTGGCAGCGAAGAGAGAGCGGATGTAAATAGTGACGTAAGTGACCTATGGGATGGGTCTATGTCACATCGCCTCTTGATCTCTCGGTTTAATTTCGATCGACGCGATGGCGATCAAGTTCGCTCAATCCTCGCCTCTCTCTCTCCCCGAGGTCGACTTCAACATCATATTGCCTCGACCTGTTATCCTACCTATTAGCTCGACGATTGTCCGCCGACGTCCGCCGACAACGCTTCCACATCTTGCTTATAGCGACCCCTCCTTATTACCACTAGCTCTCCACGTCTCGTCATGCTTAGGCGTCTCCCCTCGAACAGCGGAAAGAAGGGGGAACCCTCACCCCTGACCGCAAGTGGAGCTGGCTTCGGTACCCCGACTTTCAAACCCTTCCGCACACCTTCTTTCAGCAGCCCGACCCCGACGAGAAGTACGGTAGGTCAGAGGAAACGCAAACGAATCTCGTACAAGGAGGACGGTCAGGCGGATGACAAGGAGAACGACAAGGACGCCGGTGGGAGCGATTCTGATGGCGATCCGAGGAAGAAGAAAAAGGTCAACAGCAGTTACTCGATGGGAAACAAGGAGTATGGTCCGGATGGAGTGTTAGGGGATATGGGCAGGCTGTGCAATCGAGAGTTTCCGGTGTTCGCGGTGAAGGCAAAGGAGCTCGTCTTTAGCAAAGGGTGAGCAGCGTCAGAGGCAATGATTCGATGCATCGCGGCAGGTATACTGACCACTGCCTATATCAGCTTCTCTATTCCCTCAATCACGGCCAAGAACGCCGAATCTCCGGTCCGACATACCCTCTCTCATGCCGCCCTCGGATGTCGTATACAGCCCATCCTCCTGCCCCGACCCCTATTCGACCCTATGGCCGACCACGCTATCGTGCTATACGACCCTACCATTGACGACAAGCCTGAACCCGACCCAACCTCGATCGAAGCCAATTTGAGCCCGGAGGAACTTGTCAAGCGGGAAGAAGAGGAAAAGATCAGGCGACAAAAGGAAGATCGAGAGAAGAATGGACCGCACAAGAGCCTGAAGGTGATCCTAGGACTGGACAAGGTGGTCAAGAAGGAAGACGTTAAAGTTCCTGTGGTCATCGATCCGAGGTTGACGGCAAAGTTGAGGCCACATCAGGTCGAGGGTGTCAAGGTGAGTGACTCCAGAGAATTTGTTTTCGCTCGGCTGGATCCTGATGGTCAATTCGACTCGTACAGTTCTTGTACAGGTGCACGACCGGATTAATGGCCAAGGACGCGTTTGGATGTATCATGGCAGACGAAATGGGTTTAGGTGAGTAACGTATAGCAAGGCAATCGAATCTGTACACAAACTGATTCGGTGTCTTTGTCACATCCCTTCCACGCAGGAAAAACGCTTCAGTGCATTGCCCTGATGTGGACTCTGCTGAAACAGTCGCCCGTCTCTGGAAAGGGTACGATTGACAAGGCCATCGTCGTATGCCCTAGCAGTCTTGTACGAAACTGGGGAAACGAGCTGGGTTAGTCACACAAGCGATACACCGGTCGATGGCGTTTCTCAAACTGACGAAGCGGTTCTGATCATCATAGTCAAATGGTTGGGACCGGGAGCAGTGAACCCGTTGCTGGTCGACGGAAAGGGTGGCAAGGCCGAATTAATTCCCGCTGTCAGGCGATGGGTTGCTGCCAAGGGACGAGGGGTGACATTACCAGGTGAGTCGCGGAAAGGATTTCCGATTCTATGCGAGTTGTCCCTGATGATTCCAATCTGCTGCATCAGTCATGGTGGTCTCGTATGAAACGCTTCGATCCTTGCAGGATGAGCTCGCCAACTGTCCTGTCGGCTTGCTTCTCTGTGACGAAGGACATCGTCTCAAGAACGCCGACTCGCAGACTTTCCAGGCCCTTACGACCCTCAACTGCAAACGACGCGTTATCCTCTCCGGTACTCCTATCCAGAACGATCTTTCGGAATACTTTGCCCTGCTCAACTTTGCCAACCCCGAATACCTGGGTACAAGGCTGGATTTCAGGAAGAATTTCGAGCTCAAAATTCTGAGGGGGCGAGATGCCGATGCGAGCGAAAAGGAGAGGGTGGAGAGCGATGCCAAGTTAAAGGAGCTGGGAAATCTAGTCAGCAAGTTCATCATCAGACGTACCAACGATCTGTTGTCCAAGTACTGTGAGTCGAGACGGTCGTGACCTAATCATGTGCATGACTGACCTGGCATTCATGCCGTCACAGTGCCGATCAAGTACGAACACGTAGTCTTTTGTGGTCTCAGCCCGGTGCAATTGGCCCTATACCGTCTGTTCATCACCTCGCCCGAGATCCAAAAGCTACTGCGTGGAACCGGTTCGCAACCGCTCAAGGCCATCAATATCTTGCAAAAGCTATGTAACCATCCGGATTTGCTCAACCTGCCCGAAGATTTGCCTGGATGCGAAAAGGTTTTGCCTGACGATTACCAAATGAAGGGTGCAGGAGGATCGGCTCGATACGTCGACTGCTCGTATTCCGGAAAGTTTATGGTGTTGGAGAGGTGAGCCATCATACGATAGCTTATTATTGACTCCTGAGCTGATTTGATTCTGGTGATCAGGTTCTTGGATCACATCAACAAGCGAACGAATGACAAGATCGTGCTTATTAGCAATTACACCCAAACTCTAGACTTGATGGAAAGGTTATGTCGAAACAAAAAGTGAGCCTCGCTCAGATCTGTCACTTTAGCGATGATCCGGCTAACGAATTCGACCCTTACTGCATAGATACGGCTGCTTGCGTCTCGACGGAACAATGAACGTCAACAAGCGTCAAAAACTGGTCGACCGGTTCAATGACCCTGAAGGCAAGGAGTTTGTCTTCCTGCTTAGTAGTAAAGCTGGAGGCTGTGGTATCAACTTGATCGGCGCGAACCGTCTGATCTTGTTCGATCCTGCTTGGAATCCGTGAGTCCGGTCATCTTCAATTTACGCAAGGTCTCAGACTGATCTGTCGGTGTCGACCGCAGTGCGAGCGACCAGCAAGCTTTGGCTCGTGTATGGCGTGACGGCCAGAAGAAGGAGTGTTTCGTATACCGATTCCAGGCTACCGGAACAATCGAAGAGAAGATTTTCCAGAGGCAGTAAGTTGAATAAACCTCTTTTCGGCGGATTGCGACTCACGCTGACGGGAAACGCTATCCTTACAGATGTTCGAAGCAAGACTTGTCCGCTTGTGTGGTGGATGCAGCCGAGGACACCGAACGTCATTTCTCGGTGGACAACCTCAGGCAACTGTTCAAGTTCAACGAGACTACGGTCTGCGATACCCATGATACGTTCAAATGCAAGAGGTGCCGAGACGGGAAGCAGCTAGTCAAGGCGCCGGCTTTGCTGTATGGTGATACTAGCAGGTCAGTCACGATCTGTTAGCGAATTCGTTGCGATTCTCCTGCTGACGTCTCCGTTGTGCTCAGTTGGAACCACTACCCGAATGCGGAACTCGGCAAGTTGCACGATGATGTGTTGCGCGCCGAGCTCGGACAGGGCGACGTGTCATTCGTCTTCCAGTACGTCCATCAAGCTGCTCTGCATGGAACCAAAACGTTTTTACTGACAATTTTCCCCGTTGTGCAGGTACATCTCGCACTAGACAACCTTTCTTCATCCCTTTCCTAATCTGCGATTTGAATCGCATACGACCTGAACGACCACCACCTCTGCGGAACCTGATAGATGACTCCGCCACGACCCAGTAAAGACCCCCCACCCCGAAAAATACCTTTGTTTCTATAACCCGAATCCTGTATCCCTTATGTTTCTCCCTATTAAACGAGAACGCGAGATGTGACTGTTTTACAAATGTTCTTTGGACAAGGCCGCGGCGAGTGATGTCCAAACCAATTGATAAAGAGCTGGTTTTCAGGCGCTACAAGTGTGCGAATTTATCGGGAGATGCTTATAGTTCGCACGACACGTTCACCACTTAAACCGCCCAGTCAAAACAGAGGATCAATCAGCCGTTGCGAGCATGCATAGCGAGGCACAAGAGCGCTTACCTCCCGCAGCCCTCCGTCCTCTCCCCGCCAGACCAAGTTTGACCAATGCTTAGCGTCCTTTGCGTTCGCCCTGACCATCTCCTCGTTGATTTCGATTCCGAGTCCGGGGCTCATGGGCACCTTGATGAACCCGTCCTTGACTTCCAGGACTTCGGGGTTCTTGAGGTACGTCCCCAAGTCGGCGCCCTTGTTGTAATGGATGGCCCAGGACATTTCTTGGATCCCGAAGTTGGGGAGCGCGGCGTCCATGGCGATACTAGCGAAGAGGGAGATCGGTCTGCAAAGAGACAGACGAGAGAGGAGGCACCTTTAGTACGAAAGCAACAACCGGCAACGCCGAGCCGACCCTCACCCATTGGGACAATGCGGGCAAAACGCCACATCATATGTCTCCCCCATCCGAGCGATCCTCATCGTCTCACTGATCCCACCAGCATGGGCCACATCAGGCTGGATCACATCCACAGCACCCTGCTCGAAATACGGCCGGAAGTCGTTCCTCGTGTACAAGCGTTCTCCGAGGGCGATGGGTGCGGAAGACATCTTGGCCAGGGAGGCGAGTTCCGATACATGGGACGCGAGGAGGGGTTCTTCCAGGAAGAGGGGGCGGAGGGGCGCCAAGAGGGCCACGAGTTGTTTGGCCATGGGTCGATGGACTGTTGAAATGAGAACTATCATTGGCGTACTGTCGGGTACTTCACGGTTGGCACTGACCTCGTCCATGGAAATCCATTCCCACATCGAGCCCTACGCTCTGAGCCGTCTTCAACCTCTCGACAGCACCGTCTAGCGCGAGCGGGCTGTCCAACCAGTGCATGTCTTCCGTGGCGTTCATCTGCTCGTCGTCGAACATCAGCTGGGAAACGTTTAAAGCATAGCATTGAGACGGGAGCAGAGGGACTGACTTTGACGGCTCGGAAACCGTTGTCTTTGCGATGTTGAGCTTCGGCGAGGATATCCCCCGGACGTTCTCCACCGATCCAGCACTGTGCATTACGGGCGTTGTAAGTCACGAGGTCTTGAGCACCAGTCCGTAAATGTGAACAGACTCACGTAGACTTTGACCTTTTCCCTGACGAGGCCACCGAGGAGCGACCAGACCGGTACGCCCAGTCGTTTGCCCTATCGAGAGAACAAATCGCCTCCGCCATTGAATGCGCCGACCTCTAAGCAAAACCGAGCCCCTATCTTATCGTTGACCTACCTTGAGATCCCACAGGGCGATATCTAATCCAGAGATGGCGCTCATGACGACCTCTCCTCCTCGGTAGAACCTACTTCGGTAGGCGTGTTCCCAGATGTCGGCGATGTTGTCGGTAGGCCAGCCGATGAACAGCCGTGCGAGCGAGGCTAGAGCGCCTTCTACGGGCTCAGAGTGCCTACAACACGACGCCGGAAGAAGCTCGGCTCAGCTCCGCATCCAGATACATTCAGGTAGAACTCTCACTTACCCTTCCAGAGTACCCTCACCCCACCCAATATGTCCTCCCGTACTCTCCACCCTGACAAACACCCATCGCGGTTCGACGGTAAAGTATTCAATCTTCTTGATCAGGTCGTCCGAGCAGCTGGGCAGCGATGCTGGGTTGCGCTCGATGACGAGTTCGTTCGAGGTGATCTCGCTCATAGTTAGTTAGTTGCTCGGATGTCGACTGCAGGTTTGTGCTGAGGGTTGATGTGAGCGGGGTTTCGTGTACAGGAAAGTCGAACTGCTATTGTAATTATCTTGGTGGTACGTGGTTGAGCGAGCGATTCAAATGGTCAGTCTCACTCTCGGGTCAACGTTGACCGAGACGCCTCGTCGGGTCCGATCGGTCCGATCATCCCGCGCCCCGAGCGCCTCGGCGTTGGTTTGTGCCGTTAGTTAGTCATTGACACGTCAATTCAATCGATAATCGTTGTTGCAATGCTATCTTTGATTTCTTTGATAACAGCCCTCTGGTCCCATCGGGCATCGTCATTCTGTGATATGGCCGTCGCCGTTGCCGTGTTACGAGGATCATCCCGTCTACATCGTGTGTATATATATATAGCTGGCAACAACTTCCAAGCTTCAGCGCCACGAGAACTAGAGTCTAACGGGCCATAAACATCTTGTCAGAGCCACGAACGCACCCCGACACAACTGCTCGCAATGTCGATCAAGACCGCCCTCATCGGACCTATCCGAGTACCCGCGATCTCACTGGGAACCTGGTCATGGGGCGACAAGACCTGGGGCTACAAACCGGAGGATTTGCCTCAAATCAGGGAGGCCTGGTTCGCATGTCTAGAGGCTGGGTATCCGTTTTTTGACACGGCCGAAGTGAGCGGCTTGTACGACCATATATTATCGAGTGGTGTAACTGACAAGGTCGAGTTATGGCCGGGCCTCTCAACCGCACTTTTTAGGTCTACGGTAGGCTCGCTTCAAGGCCAAAGTTCATTTCATGATTGCTTGCTAAAACTCGTCTTCCGCTCCCTCTTGTTCTTCTCGCTTTGCCAGGAATGGGAAAGAGCGAAGAGATCATCGGCATGCTACTCAAAGAGACCCCAGAGGAGGAACGCAAAAAGGTCGTCCTCGCTACCAAGTGTCAGTGTCGAGCCTCTTTCGGCTTCTTCAATCTCAACAGTACCAACGACCGGACGTTCCGCTGACGGTTATATGATCCGTTGTTCGTCACAGGGCTGCCCATGCCGAACCCGATGAACTGGTCCTTCTTCACTCCCGGGATCGTCACCTCGCTTAGAGCGTCACTCGAACGGATGGGAGTGGACAGCATCGAGCTATATCAGGCGAGTCACTGACTTCAGGCCTCGCACGGGAAAGGTCAACCAGGTCTAATGAGGTTCTGAATGGCGTAATACAGATTCACAGTAACACGTCCTATTTTTCGTACGATGCGCAAGCTAAGCAGTTGGCCGAGGTCGTGAAACAAGGCTTGGCCAAGCAGGTCGGAGTCAGGTGAGAGGCCGTAATGAGAACAGTGCCTTGAAGATGAAGGACTGGGAGCTGACAGGTAGGAAATTATGACGGGATCTGAATGAAACAGCAACTTTAGCCAGGATCAACTGTGAGTCGCCGTCCTGTTCCAGCTTGACAGGCTCGCACTGAACCGTTCGAACCGTAGGATCAAGATGACGGCCGCCTGCGACGCCCACGGGATCAAGCTCGCTAGCAATCAGATCGAGTTCAACCTCGCCCGAACGCTGCCCCTTAAAAACGGCTTGCTGCAGTATATGAAGGAAAAGGAAATCACATGTCTCGCCTGTGAGCGCATGGTTTGGACTCGACGTCTGCACTCGAATTCAGACTAACGGGACCGATACTCTACTCTGTAGACTCGCCCTTGGCGATGGGCCGACTCACCGGGAAATACTCTGCGGCGAACCCCCCACCGTCGGGAAGGAGGTTCTCCAATATTCCGATGGACACGCTCGAACCGCTCTTGGAGGTCATGCGACGGATCGCCAAGGCTCACGATGTTCCCGTCAGTGCCGTCGCCCTCGGGTGGGTCATGGCCAAAGGCGCCATCCCGCTAGGGGGGGCGAGGAACAAGTCACAGGCCGAGCAGGTGAGTGGGTTACAGGCTCGAGACGGTCGGACAGCGTTGGATTCCTGACCGGGTTCTTGCTTTCACGCCGTGCGTAGAATGCGAAAGCGTTGACATTGGAGATGACCTCTGAAGAGATTGCCGAGCTGGACGAGAACGCGTTGGAGGGCAAGACGTCGTTGTGGCAGCAGGGTTGAGGCGAGGTCGATGGAGGGTGATGATCGTTGTAACTATAATAGTACTAGCTACTAGTGTGCGTAAGTCCGTCTGTGTCCCAGCTCCTATCTGTATATCTGATACCGTTGAGAATCTGCGTGTATCTGATCCCGAGAGCGAGACATGAACTTGTTCCGCATTCTATATTCTTGGCCCCTGCCTGCCTTGCGGAAATTCATACTCCTAACTTTCGACGTCCATACAACTTGGCAAGACCAAAGCCGATCATGATGCGATGTGTTAGGCCTAGTCCCATCGCTGGATCGAGATTATAATCCCACTTTTTGACCTCGTTCATCTCCGGGTCTGACATACACGTCTTCAGGACCGGTCGCCGAGTGCAAACACAAATAATAGGTGCCAAATCCTCCACACTCTCTCCACAGTCGTCGGCCGACCATGCATAAGCCGTTCCATATCAATCTCCGACAAGGACTCGTCCTCATCACTCTCTCATGCGTCGTCCTGCTCCTCTGGGTCCACTCTCACTCGTCAGGGTCTTGGATCTCACATCGGATAACGTCAAAGTCGAACCCTTCAAGGACGGGGTCAAGCTCGAGATGGAGTACAGGCCGATTGGCGGCCATAGCCGAGAGGAGGAACCGGACAATGACCCTCGCAAGCCTAGTTAAGAGGGAATCTAGCTCAGGGACGGAATCGGAGTCGAAATTAAAACCTCTGAGCCATGAATTGTTGGAATCGAGGGTGCGGGCGTTGCAGGAACAATGCAAACGAGACAAGTCCAGGTGGACGCAGAAATACGGGAAACGGAATCTCGCCATGGCCAGGACGCACGAAGGCTCGAGGGCTCGGCTGAGGGACATGGTCCGACGAACCATCCTAGGCGAAGAGCTCATCGTGAGCGCTATCGGAGGTTCAGTGACGAACGGCCATCAAGTCGACGCGAGCGAGACGTGGCTAAACAAACTTACAGATTGGTTCAACACGTTCATGCCGCCCCCGAAGGATTTTACGAAGATGAGAGCGAGGGAGAAGGCTCGGATTACGAAGCAGAAGCAGAAGCAGTCAGGAGAGGAGCAAGAAGGATGGAGGGTGGTTCAGGCCAGCGAGAATGGATGGAAGGGAATCAATGGGGCGGTGCCGGGTGAGTTCCAGGCGGTCGAACCCGGGCGAGGTTGTCAAGTCAAGTTGGCTGATGTGGAAAGTACTTTCTCACAGCCACCGGATCCGACTACTTCTCCTTTTGTCACGCCCTTCACATTCCGACGTCAATATCCAACCTGATCATAATCGAGCTATCCGTCAACGACGAATTTTTACCCGAACATACCGAGAACATGGAAAACCTCCTAAGGGGGATTCTGGAATCGCCCAACCGACCGGCCGTCATCTTGGTCCAGGCGATGGCATTGTCTGGGAGGAGCATGGCAGGGGGCGGAGATGTGCACATGCCTGTCGGGGTGTACTACGATGTACCTATAATTACGTGAGTCTTTCTCCCGCTGTCAGACTCGTGTTCATTCGTCGAGGCTGAACCAGACTGGCTTGACTTTGTGTGTCTCAGGCAGAGAAACCCTTTGGCGGCACATTTCATGAAGAACCCTGACCTCGTGCATCCGTACTATACCATCAACTGGTGGCAGGATCCTGACACGCGGCACATCAATGCAAGAGGTCACCAAGATCTGGCCAACCTCGTAGCATCGCTTGTGCAGGACACCGCGTGCGAGCTAGTCGAGATCGAGGAAGACACCGAGGACCAGGATCGGCGCAATAGGAACCACGATGAAGAGGATGATGATGATGATGATGACGATGACACCGACGACAACGATCACTATAACGACAATAACGACGAGCAAGAACGGTTGGGCATGATCATGGACAGGATCCTGACCGAGCATTTCAAGACCCAACCTAGCGTACCTCTATACCCGGCCTCAGAGTTTTATGGAAAACCGTTCGACATTCAGGAACAACGCGAGCTCGTCGCAGAGGACGACGAGTTTTGGCAAGATCAGCCCAAGGACGTTAAACCTTGGGGTCCTTTCCAACCGGCGAAACATGCCGAGGGCGAATCAGGGCGGTTGTGGGAAGGCGTATGGCCAGGAGACTGGCAGCACGGCGAGGTACCCAGGGTGAGTATCAGTTTGGGCTGTGTGTCGGCCGGCCATGATCGAGTCGCTAACCCCATCTCGCTTGTCGTCGTTGTAGCTAAGATTCTTGCAGCACTGGGACGAGGGGACGACGAATGTGCCGTTGGAACCACAGTGTTTCAGCACGAGGAGCACTCTGTATCCCCTGACACCCAATACGAATTCAGGCTGGTACGTGAGGACAGTCGTGCCAGCGATCGATGCTTCGAGCTGACCTACCCCGGTCCTACCCATAGGTCAACCTGGTCACACCCCGACCGGCCCCAAAAAGTCTACCTCAAGGCCGACGAACCGGGTTCCAAGCTGACGTTCGATATCGAGACTCGATTGGGGACGATCAAGTTGTACAGCCTGAGAAGCAAAACGTTTGGGTTAGGCAGCATCGACTGTTGGGTCGATGACCGGGAGGAGGACAAGGTCAGAGCGGATGGGTGGTGGGATAACGGAGATCTGAACATTGGCAGGTACGTACAGCGTCGAGAAGAATATCGACGGCGATAGCTAGCTGACGGGTAGGCTCTAGGTTCACGACGGTCGCGACCGGTCTAGCACCGGGAATGCATACGGTCACATGCGTCTTGTCGTCCGAGACGCTCGACCCGGATGGCGGGACCGAGTTCCGGTTGATCAGTCTCATGAGGCGAGTCCCAAACGAAAGCGCACGGTGGAGGTCCGAAGGCTGACCCATCGATATCGTTTTGCACTTGTCTCGTGCAGCCTTTGATGTGTCGCAAATGGCGTGCCATCTCCTTCACAACGCTCTGTAACCGAGCCGGCGGCAAGTGCGAGTAAACACATCGGTTTGGCAGGCTTTCTTGGTCTCTTGCTCGATTTGGGGTTGTATATCACATGGACACGCATGGACACATTCATCTCCGGAGCCGGGGATCGACGCTAGCTTCGGTCGACCTCGTTGATCCCGTCCGCGAAACGGATCAACGACCTACGATGTAGCGAATTAGGTCGTCCTTCACAGCTTCTTCTTGGATATGGTGAACCAGAACCCGGGCAAAATGAATCGATTACTTTTTTTTTGCCACCGACCTGCACATGTGAGAGAACCTGCGGCTATGGAAACTCGATAAGCGAAGCGAGCGAGACATTCCGTTAGCGCCCACTTTCGAGTGAAGGGGGAGAAGGGGGAGAACCGCGGCAGAGAGGGAACCGTGGGTGACCCCCGACGCGGACGGAGCAGACGGAACCTTCGATGAGCGTGGGGGCGACGCGGGCATGCGATACGATCGACTGCGGTACCTGTTGCCCCCAATCGTGGTTTCGACCGTCCGAGACGTTGCGACTGTGGACCGTGGGGGTGTAATCTGTCTCGCAATTGGGCGGGCTGTGAAGCCGTGGGGATGAAATCTGTGGACATGTGAACTGGGACCTGGTTGTGTGTGAGTGTACGAGTACATCGTGTGAGCCTTGTCACCCACGAGATACTTCGCTATGGGGGACGACGAGAGGCGCGAGAGGGGAGTAAAAATTCGACCAATTGATCGTAGGCAGGAGCTATCGTATTGTCATTCGCCCGGGAGGTTTTTCGGGTCGATCTTCCAGCCTTCTGCTACGTGTTGAGACGAGTGTGCGAGATGTATCTATCTGTACGGTCGTTGCGATTGTGCGCAGGTTGCAAGTTGGAAGCTTGGAAGTTTCAAGTCAGAAAGAGATCATCAACCTCTTCCGAGCTCCCCGCCCTCGACGTCATTCGCTCTGCGTGGATCAGAAGCTTCTATTCGTCTCTCTGGTTCCCCTCCCCCTTCTCCCCTCACACACTCGCTTACACACGCGCGCGCGTCTCTCGTTTGGATCTTCATCACCCGAGCAGCGAGCAAAAGGTGGATCATCCCAACCTCAACAGTGCATCAGCCAAACACGCGGCCACCGACTGGAACGTTGTTTGGACAGAGAGGCATCGTCAACCTCTTCTTGCTTGTTGCTCGCCTTGGGACTCTGGTCGAGCCGTTAGCTGTAGCGATAGTTGGGCTGGGAAAACAGACCCCTCGCATCATCCCCGGACATTCAGTCGGCTTCGACATCCAGGCTACATCCTTCGATTTTTTCGGTCCTCTTTCCTTTTTTGCATCTGCTCCGTAAGCATCCTTTGTCGTCCCATCCCCTTTCCTCCTCGCACATCCTTCTCGGCCCTGTATCATCGTAGCCGTCGACGTCGTCGTGCAAACTGGACTAAAAGCTGACAACCACTCTCTCCGTCTTATCTATTCGTGTTGCTTCCGGGTTCGTGTGGGGGGGATCGAATTTGCTTAGTCTCCATACCTGGATACCCCAATCAGCTCTTTCTCGAACAAAGGACCACGAAGGTCTGACGATCTAGACCGGGTGTCTTGCAATCTGAACGACAGCTCTTTTTCGACGATTCGATCTCGACTACTTCCACTTTTCAACACCGGGTCTGCAAACCTGCGACACCTCTCCTCGCTTTCTATATCGCTCACAACCGGGCAGGGACAACCCATCCATCTCGATTCAAGATGCCCTTCATACACCCTGACTCGCCGAGCGTAGCCTCTCAGAGGAGTTCCAGTCCAGACGAGTTCTTGACGTTCGACGTCGATCTTAAAAAGGCTATCGTCAAGTAAGTCTACCTTTGCTGTTCTGGTCTCGGTCATCGCGTCAGTGCTGACGTCCGTCTCTGCATCAACTTTACAGCGGACACCATCAGGAAGAACCCGAGCCGGTCGGACTCGCTCCTGGTTCAAATCTGACGAGGGAACGGGCGGGATCCTCTTCGGGGTCCTCGACGATACCCAGGACAAATCAGGGAACGTCGGACGTGTTCGACAGCCCGTCCTCGAACAAGACGACGAAGCAGACCGGATTGCCACCCAAGCCATCGACAGTCGTTGCCAAGGATCACGCCTTTGAAGGTCTCCCTTTCACCGCACCCCCTGCGGCATCAGCATCATCATCATCTTCATCAGCATCATCTAATAACCCCGGCTCCGCCCGACAATCTCGCAGTAAACCCATCAAGTCGACGCCGTTGACGAGCAGTACGAGCGTTTTCGCTGCACAGTGCTTGCCCTCGGTCAGGTCGCCGCCCAAGAGACACACCCTCGCCCTCGAACCAGACGAAGTGACCGATATCACCGGACTCACTGGAGCCCAATACACCCCACCCATCGCATCGATCGATTCGATGACGGCGGCTTCTATCAACGGCTCGAACGCGGATGGCATCAACCGACTGTCCAACGTTTCTTTCCGCCACAACGACTCGTATGACCTGAATGTCATGAAGAACCGAAGACCGAGGTTGTTTGGCTTCACCGAGATGGTGCCGGACAGTCCGGATGAGAGTTCAGCCTCGGCGAGCACGTCGAGGACGGTTTCGAGAGAGGCGAGCCCGACGAGACAGGGCTCGATGGAGCTTATTCCGAGGACGAAACGGTTCAACGGGTCGTTGGAAAAGACGATCAGCACCACGCCTAGAGGAAGGTCACGGAATACTGAACAGGACGTGGACAAGGTGGACACGACGCCGATCGGGGCGACCAAGGTGGACACACCGCCGGAAGAGAAGAAGAAGGATCTATCGACAATCGTGCCGAGAAAAGCAGTCGCCGTGGTTGAACCCGCTGCTACCGCTGCGGTCCCGCCTGCGCCTGCCGTTACCCTGACGAGAAAGGCGAGCTTGACGAGATCACAATCCGAAGTCGGGCTGCGACAGCTCGCTCCCGTAAAACCTATCCGGCCCGGTCCTCTCGGTAGCCGAACCTCGGCGCAACGAAACGAATCGGCGTTGAAGCTCGATCTGAACGGGATCCGGGAGACGGCCGATAGGGGTCTCACCAGTGCACCGCTATCGAGTCTGAACGGGCCCTATAGTCCCGCGACGGCTTTGCTGAGGAAGAAATCGGGCGAGGTGGTCAAGCCGGCTCTCAAGGCTGTCAGCTCGTACGGCGACATCACTCAGCTCGATGCGCCTCTGAGTTCCGCTCGAAGCGTACCTACGACACCGGGCGCCCCCAAGTACGTTCATTTCGACACACAGCTCGAGCGGGTCAAGTTGTTCTTGCACGACCAGAAACCTCTGGTGGTCAGCCGGAACGGTAGTCCGGCCGATTGCACAACTTCCGAGGGCGAAGAATACCCGTTCCCACACACCGACGAGGAGGACGATGGAGAGAGCTTGTTGCAAATCAAGCTTCCCAACTTTCCTACCGTACAGCCTCACGATGCCGACATCTTCCTCGAGTCCATCTTTCTCGATGAAGACAGGAAGAACCTCAAGGGGATCATACGTGTGCGCAACATTGCCTTTGAGAAATGGGTTGCCGTCAGGTTCACTCTGGATTGGTGGCAGACGACAAATGAAACGTCGGCTACCTACAAGGATTCGGTGCAGGGCGGGGCGTTCGATCGGTTCCAGTTCTCGCTCAAGCTGCAAGACATGATGAACAAGATCGAGGAGAAGAACTTGTTCATCTGTCTGAGGTACATGGCTGGAAGTAAAGAAATCTGGGACAATAACGGCGGCAGCAATTACCACGTCACGTTCACGAAGGTACCCATCAACCGTAGGCCCCAGATGATCGCTTCTCGGCCCAGCGCTTCGAACGGTGTCGGCATGATCTCGCCAGGTATGGGCCGGGCTATCGGTGGACGAACGTCGCAATGGGATCTGGCAGGGAAGCGACAGGACAGGATGGCCGATCTGAAGATGCATCTGGATAGGCTCTCGGCCGGGGATGAAGGGCCCAAGGTGGGAGGGGCGCGTTTCAGCAACGGTGTTAGGTCTTCGCCCTCCCGCCAGTCGGACCGTCTGCCCAGCCCCCGACTTCGTGATGGCGGACCCAGTAGTCCTCAACCTATGTTCTCGCCTTTGGCGGGACGGTACGACTTTGGCGCTTCCCTGAGCAATGCCAGGGGCGGCAAATCCAGGTCGCCCAGCGGTCGACACGCCGAATTGCCCGGTTCTCCTGGTGGAATCAAGTTCGCTTCCAACGCCGCAACTGGGCCTAGCATGGAGTTCTATTCGCCCCAGCTGTCCAACGTCGATCTGCCCTCGCTGGTCCGACCGGAAATGCCCTCGTCTGCCGCTTCGGACCGAACCGTCACCCAATCCAGTCTCCACCTAGACACCCTGCCTCCTCCCGTCCTTCAGGTGCAAGAACCATCACCTCCCGTCGACTACTTTAGCTCGATGGCTCCGGCTCAGACTGCCGGTCCCAAGCGCAAAAACACTGGCGTGCCGCATACTGGACTCCCCAGGCAATACAGCGAGCCACCCTTCCCTGTCAACGGACTCCGCTTTTACGATACCTCATTCGATGACAACGGGGCCGAGGCTGACGACAATGCGCTGGGTTTGAGGGGTGATAATGCCATGGAGGGTTCGCCACCATCGATGGCCAGCTCGGTTGATTCGAGTGCATCGGATTCTCCGAACAGCCCAGTTGATCGCGATCTGCCCGCGCATCGATCGTCTAGCGTTGACGATATCGCAAACATGTCGTACAAGACGATTCTCGAACAGTGAGTCTTGACGGTCCCCAACGCATCTCTCTTACACATACTGACTACGACCTGGACTCCTTGCTACTTTCAGATTTTGTTGGGCTGGAGACGAAAAGACTGCGTCTCCATTCGGACATCTCGAGGAACGTCGAACCCATTCAACTAGCGATGTCAACAAATACCTTGTCAATCACTTCGAAACAATCCAACCGGAACAGCCCGTGGCCGAGACCAAACCGGTTTCCCGTTTCTCGGGCAATGCCCAGAACATTTTCAAACCCAGGAAGAGAACGACTCCTCCAGGATCGAAGAGAAACAGTCCACCTGGGTCTGTCAAGAAGAGTACTGTCCGATTGGCGGCAGTTTAAGCTTGTTATAGATGCGAAGATCTCGGAATTACGTGGCACGACACGAGGCGCCTAAAGGAAGGAAAATAATTGCCTTGCTTGCTTGGTGCTAGCTCACATTCTCAATCAATGTAAACCTGTCTACTGTATCGAATATATCGCATTACGTGTAGTTCTCAATCCACTCCCGATACGATCTAGCAACAAACCGTTCGGCGGAAATAATGCTTCTACGAGTAATACGCTGTTGATCAGCGTCAGACCTCCAGGTGCTCGGAACAATCCGCTTCAAACGGTTGGGACTTGGCTATGCCCGTGCGATCCACGAGTAGCTCAAAGATTGCTGCTGTGATGATCATACGCTGCTTGATATATGACGTCAATCTACATTCCGCTCACCATCTCGATACGATTCAGATCCAAAGACACTCGTGTTGGAGTGATACGGGTAATGCCCAAGCAGGCTCAATTGAAACTGCTCAAAGGCATGACCTCAGCTCCTTGATCGGAATGAAGCCGGGTAGCTTGTATCAGATTCTCGGGTGAACAGACGTGCACAGAAAGGAATGTATGATAGGGATCCTGATGTCTCATCCAAGTAAAAGCCTGCAGAGATGGTTAGAAAGATGCTGAGCTTTTCCCCTGATTGTTCCAAGGTGAAACAGGAGTCTGCGCGTTTCATGTTATGACCTCGAGTAGCGCGAAACACGGAGCATGAAAGGGGAAGGCGCGTTTACGCCTGATCGCCGGACCTAGCTGCTGCTCAAGATTCTGCGATATAGATATATTCATCCAGTGGCGGAAAATCTGCACCTCTGATGATGGCTAGCCCTCTGGCGAAATCTTCAACATTCTCAGTATGCGTTCTGTTATCGTCGCGTTTCTCGCCTTGACGGCTGTCACAGCGATGCCCCTGTTTGAGAGAGATGGGGAGGGACAGGAGACCTGTGACATAATCGAATACCAAGGTCACATTAGTCTCTGGGACGGAACTCAGCCGGTTTGTTTGACGGTTGCTGGCGAAAACGTCGAAAGCGGAGGTCTGGTCTCGGTGTAAGTGGATCGACCGATTATTTTCAGACAACAAGATTCTGACATGCCATGCAATACTACTAGGGCTCCATGTGAAGAGAAGGACGGCGCTGCGATCCAAAACCAAAATTGGTTGATTGCGAGGGGCGAAAGCCAATTGCTCAGGCTAGACGGGACTGAATACTGCTTGCACGCTGGAGACACCCCGGCTAACGGAAACAAGGTCACCATGCAGAGATGGTACGTGTGGTCTCTGTCAATGGGCGGCTTGTCCGCGTCTGTTGGACTGATATGTCCCGTATACAGTTCCGAGATTGGCCGGAGTCCTGGTGCATGGTAAGCACATGGCTCATCTGCTATCACTTCGCTGTCTTCTTCCATACCACAACACGTGCTTACCTTTTCTCGGCCAACGTGTTACCAGGTTTTGGTATACAGAACTCGGTGACGATCACATCGCGGTTACTGGCGACAGTGGGTGGAACAGAAGTGTATCGAGAGCTTTACTCTATACTGAAATGGTCCTCCTCCAATTTCCAGATCAGTGCCTTAATCGCAAAGATGCGATCGAAGGAGACGAGAATGACCGCTACCAGGGCAATCACCCGGTGCAGACGTGAGTCGATCATTGAAGCTGAGGGGTAGCAGCCTGCTAATTCCGGGTTCATAATAGCTGGGAGTGTTCGGGGTCTGACTCCAATCAGTTGTGGATCACCGAGTAGTGCGCCCATGTCACTCTTGATTATACTCGTAGAGCAAGCTCGGCTACAATCTGCTTGCTTGAGCGGGCCACAATGCGGGCTAAACCGAATCGTACGAGCAGCGCGGGACAACTAATCCGTACAGCTAATGTAAGCGTTGTGAAGCAAAGCTCTTTACGCCTCTTTCGTGAAGCACTGCCCTCTGCGCCTCTTTTGTGGAATCGTACATCCTGCGCAAGCACCGCCCAAACAACCTGGACGAAGCCCTTGTTGAGATCGTACCCTATCTTAACCTTCCAGTACAACAGGGCGTGGTAGTAGTGGTCGCAAAGTTGAGATGTATTGATGGTAACTATGGTAAAATCAGGCCTGACATATGTGACTCGTTTGCTGTCTTTGTCTTCTCCCTCATCCTGCAGCCTCTGAGTTAGAGTGAGTGGTTGTTCCGCAAGGTCAGTGAAATCCTTTTGAGGCAGTTGAGAATGTAGGATGTCAACCTCAGTTCCCATAGAGATGATAGCATCAGAAGGGAAGAATATGTGGAAGAGCTGGGCACAACCGAAAGCGCAAAGATATCCTTCGGGAAGACGACATCGTCGGCGATTATGTGTATGTTGTAGTTCTTATTCTGATATGGTATACTCGGGGAATCAAACATCAAAAGCCCATCATTCGGGATGCACGATACTGGTGGTTGAGGACTGACTTTGGCAAAAGCAGAGCGAGCCCTTGGCAATTTATCCATGTTTCAAAGAGAGGGTGACAAAGAAATCCGGTGCTTTCAGCCATGACACTAGATGGGCACCTTTATCAAGGACTGTAAGCCAAGAGGGAAGCGGCGTGGCAGAATCACAAATATCATCCTATGCACATGAACGTGTAGATATGCCAAAGTCATTGTATCCAGATAGCACGGCGGTATGCACGAGAACTAGTCATAATCCGGCCGGTGTTCATCGACCGGTGGGAGTGCGACTGCCCGAGGTACCGCTCTCATTCTCGGGCAAGATGTCGTACCCTACTCTCCCCTCTGCACCTGCGGCTGGTAAACCGCCCGTATGCTCTAGAGACGCTTCGTGCGGCAAAGCGATGGCGCTGGGGGCAAAGATGAGGGGCTTCACCAGGCCATTGAAAACGAAGGTACCGTATCTATTCGAGGTAGCTCTCAAGATCAGCTACCATACGGAGTCGATCGGATTGAAGTAAGAAAGCAACGGCTTACACTAGTAGAGCGAATCCTGCAACCTGAAGCAAGCTATAAGGCCAGATGAGGACCTCCCAACCGAGACTCAACGAGACTATCCAGATGGTCAAGGTTCGACAGGTATCGATCGTAGATCTGCACCCAAAGTCGCAAAGATCGAATGAGCTACAGTTGCTGTATCAGGAATACGTTGTCCTGTACCTACCTAGCAGCAGCGCTGACGGCTCTCGTGACGGAAAGACCAGACAAGTTGAAAAGAGCGATGGACACGCAGATAGCAGCGGAGATCCCCGCGATCTTGGGATCATTGATGATCTGACGGTACCCAAGCGGGATGTCAAAGTAATCCGACTTCGCGGCGAACAAGAGATGCAGGATGGGCATGGCGATGATGATGAGCAGGACTCCGAACAGGCCTTCGAGGCCGACTGCTTGCTGTGCAGGTTGAATAAACATCTTCAGCTGTGCCGAGCAATCGCACATATGTAAGAATAGACTGACCAATGGTTCGACGGCATAGGTAGCCAAAATCTTCTCTTCAATGACCTGTAGTCGAACATCATGCTTTTATCAACGAAAATAGCTCGCCGGTGTCTGGAGAAAGCAAGACGTACGAATTGAGAAGCGGTAAAGATTTGCGCGCCGGCGATGAAAAGCACGCCGATGAACACCTTGGCAGGATCCTCTTGGCCCGCCATGTTTGCTACAGCTACGGCGACTCGTTTTAACAGGGTCAAACCTTGGTCGTCATCCGGCGCGGCGGCCTTTTTCACCAGACTACCAGCGAGGCCTACGAGCGCGACTCCAGTCGTGACGAGTACCAGACACACCCATTGGTACGCGTACAGCTTTCGACGAAGGAAGATGACGCTGAAGATCCCAACCCAGAGAACGAGGAGTCCTCGTGTCATCTGGTAGATGGAGACGGGGGTATAGATGAGACCGACATTCATCAGGGTCGTCCCGGTCAAATCGCAGATGGTCGGCAGGAGGAACCAGAACTTGGCCCAGCCGGCCAAGGGGAGGATGGTGCGGTCCGTGTCTTCTCCAGATGTCTTTACTGCCGGCGGTCGGACTGTCTCGGATGAGACCCGGTCGTCCTCTTGAGATAGGGGTTCGTAGGCATCGGTAGAACGACCTCGGAAGCGGGCAAAATATGGTTGCAAGGCAAACGCAACAAGACACATCATCTCCCCGATGAACATGCTGTGATGCAACAGCCCGTTAGTTAAGACTACCCCGAACAGTTCCAATCGAGATGAGGTCGAGATGCTCACTTGAGACTTTGCCAAACCTGCGTAACAAGGGATATCAGTTTTAGCATGTGATGTGCTATATTCTGGCATCGGGAACTTACAGGCTGTTCGAAGTTTTCTCGGTGGTGATCTCCTGGTGCACAGTTCTTGACGCATTGCATATCCTGAAGGATCACGAATCAGGGCATGATTCAATCCCTGATTGATTGACCTGCCGACTTACCTGATACTTGGTCTGAGAAAGCCGTGGAAACCATGTCATCAGTTATGTGCGTGTGTATGATGATTTTCTCTGCCTACGACATACCAGTAGCGAATTTGCGCTCCCTGACACTAGCATCGTGGCCACCAAGATGCCGATCTTGGTACTGCTGGTCGTCCGGGACGTCATGGTGGGACGATCAAACGAAGTTCGCGGAGGGTAGGCCAGTGGAAAGGTATGTCTGCAAGGGAAGATGGCTCTTCCGTCAGACCGCTGGGAGGTCCAGAGTAGAGTTTGTAGATCACAGGAAGCTATAGAGGAGCTACTTGATATGCAAGTATTTGATGGTTATGAGAGTGATCAATCACGATACATGTGATCATGTGAGGATGGTCTATATCCTTCGAACGAGGATTCCGGCCATGTCCGATCGAAAGGGGCGCGATTGCCCTTTGAGCACCGGGACATCGAGAATGGGCGACGGAACGATACAATCGATCTTATCCGACATCCCTTAGACTTTTAGGGATACATTCTGACCATCAACTCTGGCAGCTCATACTCTGTCGCACCCGATTTCGTGACTGGGTCTTGTTTGAACGCCCGTTTGTATGTGTTACTTGACCCTCGAGATTGCGGTCACCGACGAGTCTGAGCTCACCTCCACATACTCTAAGGATGACCTTCAGTCCAGTCGCCTCGTCGCTCGAACGGTCATAATCATCATCCACCCCCACCTTCAACATCCTCGACTCGGTTTAGCCCGCAACTATCGGAACAACTTGATAGACATCCTCTGATCATCTTTGGCAGCTCTCTGTCCTCCTCGAAGTCTGTTCTTCTCCCCGTCAATCCCGTCATCCGACAGTAAGCAATTCATGCCAAAGCCAACCGGTCCGTACGCTTCCTGATAGCTGATTCGCATTTTCACCCTCATCAGGTCCTTTCTTTATTTCCATTCGCCACACTATACCAGCAATCATGTCTTCCATTCGTTCAGGCAACAACACCCCTTCGCTAAACAACGGCAGACAAGCAACATCGACGGCGTCGTCTTCGAATGGACACCTTATCCTGAAGAGGCAGCTTATGGGTGAGTGCTTGAGAGCCTGAACGGAATTGCTAGGGGTACCCACGAAAGCTTGGATGCCGCATGGAAGATTCAAAGTGGGAGATTCCATTCATCAGGTCGCTGATTCACCCCCTATCTCTATCAATATAGAACTGCGCAAGAGGCCGGTCGACGGGTTCTCGGCAGGTCTGGTGGACGATGACAACTTGCTGGAATGGGAGATCATGATCATGGGGTGAGTGTTCTTGATCGTGTGCTGTATATTGTGATGACAAGGACAGGAAGCTGATATGTGTGGGCCATGTTGGTTTGATACCTGACTTAGACCGGCTGATACGCTCTATGAAGGAGGATTTTTGAAAGCTCGATTGACGTTCCCCGAAGTGAGTCGTCCCATGTAGTTGACGGCGTCCTGTGTGGCAAAGTCTGATGTTCGGCTATCATATCGTTGCAGGAGTACCCCTTGCTGCCTCCCAAGATGAGATTTCTGACCGACATGTGGCATCCGAACAGTAAGGCAATCTCAAGCCGACTTTATGGTCCTGCATAGCACCTGCTCAAGTTCCGGTGTTTCTCCATCCTGAATAGTTTTTGCCGATGGGACTGTCTGCATCTCGATTCTGGTGAGTCTATTCGATCTGCTGATAGTCACGAGCTCGTTTGAGCTCAACGTAAATCATCTATAGCACGCGCCTGGTGACGACGTCTATGGATACGAGGATGCTGGGGAGCGGTGGTTGCCAGTGCATTCAGTGGAGACGGTGGTGAGTCTTCGTGGCGCGCTATTCACAGATCTACACGGCGGCAGTACTGATACAGCTCTATCTGTCTTATTAGCTCATCTCGGTCATCAGTCTGTTATCGCAAGACGTGCCCGATCTCAACTCGCCCGCCAATGTCGATGCTGCCAAGCAGGTGCGAGAGGACTTTGCTGGTGAGCCATCGCACGATATCATGGTTCAGCAAAAACGATGACCACTCATCTTCCCGCTTCGTGTTACTTAGGTTACAAGAAGAAGGTCCGACGATTGGTTCGACGCTCGGCAGACGAAGCATACGACTGAAGAGAGGACGCTCAGGTCCAGCCAGCCAGCCAGCCAGCCAGCCAGCCAGTCTTTACGCGCAGGGAGCCTTCTCCCGTCAAAGCATGTTACGATGTCCCCCTCGACCCGGTTTACCTGGTCCGATTTTCACTCACGCACGCACGGTCTGTCACACACACACACACACACACACATACACTTCCCACCCCATGTACTAGATGAAATCACTCTGATCATGTCGCTTACAAGACATGGGTGTCTGTCCCTCGATGATGACGATGAATACGACCCCGACACCTGGCCGGGCGGGTATGACCGGTGGGTCATCTGCTTCCGTCGAGACCGACGATGTCGGATGTTGTACCTATGGACAACTGTAGCTACCCCTATTGCGAGCATCTATTTGGCCCGTAACCATCCTACCGAATCATAATTAACAGCAGCTCCAAGCCCAAGTTCCATTCCATCGGACCGGATGACTATGAAACCTCTCTCCACATCCACCCTGCCACCTCGACCGTCCGGCTTGGCGGTCTTTGTCTCACCCCTCACCGTCTTACCAGGGAGCACGGAACCCGAACCGGCTACGATCGTCATCAATCAAGAGACTGGCAAAGTCGTGGACGTCATACCTGGACAGCTCATTCGGGACGAGACCTCGCTCGATACTCGGCCGTATGGCGACCTCAAGTTGGACAAGTTTGTCGAGATTCCTGAAGGTAGAGTCCTCCTCCCTGGACTCGTCGAGTAAGTACCGCACGAGCGAGTTGACCGCCCAAGGATGTGACGACTGATGATCGAGTCGATGGATACCCCGATAGTGCTCACGTCCACCTCAACCAGCCGGGGAGGACGTCCTGGGAGGGCTTTACATCTGGAACTCTGGCGGCCATCTCTGGCGGAGTCACGACCGTGATCGACATGCCCCTCAACTCGATCCCTTCTACCACCTCTGTAGGAGCCCTCGAGGTCAAGATCAAGGCTGCACGGTACGGCTGGGAGAATTGGAAGTCGCTCGAAGCGGCACAGAAGCTCCTCGGAGGTGATGCCGGTGGCAACCTAGACCTCAAATCGGGTATGGGCATCGGTGCTGGATGGGGCCATGGACGAGTCGACGAGAAGGAGATGCACGACCGCGAGAACCCCAAAGGCACCGTCAGCGTAGATGAGGCCCTCACAGTCAAGTGCTACGATCCGGATGAGGGAGACGAGGCGATGGCTCAGGCGCATGGGGACGATCCCGCATCGATCAAGAGGTTCAGCCGTCGCGATTCTCATAGCAAGGAGAGACTTCTCGATATTCTCGGTCCCGCGGAAAGTTTCGTCGGGGAGAACAAGGGGGTGTATTGCGATGTAGGGTTCTGGGGTGGTATCGTACCAGGAAATAGGGAGCACCTGTCACCTCTGATCCGGGCTGGTGTCAAGGGATTCAAGTGCTTTCTGATCGAATCGGGTGTCGATGTGAGTCGCAATCAGCTTGTCTCGATATATCGAATGCGCCCGTCACCGTAGGCTAAGACTTATGATGCTTAGGAATTCCCTGCGGTATCTGAAGAGGATGTCAGACAAGCAATGATTGCTTTACGAGTAAGTCTGCGCCCTACGTGTCTCGATGATCGCTGCGCCTTGTGCTGATTCGTCTCTTGCTCAGGGTTCTGACGGACTGATCTTGTTCCACGCCGAGATGGGAGAACCGGTACACGGCCTCGGGGACGACCAGACTTATCAAACATTCCTCAAATCTCGTCCTGACCAATGGGAAGTCACCGCGATCGAGATGATCATTCGACTCCTCGATGAAGAAGCTGCCAACCCCAAAGTCGAGAATCCAACTCGAGCCCACATCGTGCACCTAGCCTCGGCTCAAGCTCTCCCACTCATCGCAGACGCCCGGGCAAGGGGCCTGCCTCTAACAAGCGAGACGTGCTTCCACTACCTCGTGCTATCGAGCGACTCGGTGCCTGCAGACGATCATCGGTCTCATACCGAGTACAAATGCTGTCCGCCAATCCGCGAAGAAGCCAACCGAGAAGAGTTGTGGCAAGCCTTGGAGGACGGGCTCATCGATTACGTAGTCTCGGATCACTCTCCCTGTATCGCCGAGATGAAGCAGGGTGGCTTCATGGACGCCTGGGGCGGGATCTCGGCCCTTGGTTTAGGAATCAGCCTGCTCTGGACGGAGATATGTAAACGGAACGAGCGCCGTGAGGCCGGCGAGTCTCGCAAGAAGCAGCTCCGATTGGCAGATCTGGTACGCTGGTGTTGCACGAACACCGCCAAGCAGGTTGGATTGGCAGGTCAAAAGGGTGTCATTGCCAAGGGTGCCGATGCGGACTTTGTTGTTTTCGACCCGGAGGCTCATTTCCAGGTAAGTCTTCTCCAGGCGGTTCCTCTCTCCGGGCTCGTATTGAACACTCCTCGATTCCTGTCAGGTTGATCTGGATCACCTTAAATTCAAGAACAAAGTCTCACCATATGTAGGGAAAGACCTGCGAGGTAGAGTTGAGGCCACTTACCTTCGAGGGTTAATGATCCACGACATCGGTCAAGGGGGCCAGATCGGCCCAAGGTGGGGCAATCTGATCTGATATGGATGTAGTCATCATCATACTTCATACATGTCATGATAATATGTTCTCGCTGGTCATCGGTCAAATCCCTCTTTCCGCGATGGTGTAGGTGCAGACATAGTTGCTGGTACAAGTTCCGATTAACGGCAATAAATCACGACCATCCGTCCAGATCCCATCCGCCGAGCTCGTCTTCCTCATCGTCCACGCATATCGGGTTCTCGAACGCGCTCCCTTTTGCACCCTTCGGCAGTCTCACAGAGATAGGCAGCATCACACGCCTGTTTAGGTTGAGCTCGACGTTGAGTTCGTCCAGCGAATCGTCCAAGGTGTTCCATAGCAGAGGGTCGTCATCGTCTAGGGGCTCATCTTTGACGAGAACCAAGTCTACATTTCGAGGCTCCGGCCGCTCTTCACAATCGCGGTGTCGAGGAGAGGATGGCTGGTACGGGGTTTGTTCAAACTCCGCCTGGTCCTCCTGAGCAAGCTCCGTCTCTGGAGGATTCGGCTCCCAATCATTAGAGACGGGTTCTATCGCATTGATCCTTGTGGTAGGTAGCGATTCAAGCGTACGTGCCTCGCTAATGAGCGACGGTCCGGCTTCAGGAACAGCAGTGCTCAGGTTTGAGTCTTTTGAGAAAGAAAAGGGTTGCCTCGGTTGCTCTGGCGCATTCGAGACATTGGCATTATACAGAGCCGTTGATGTCGAGGGCGATGATGGCGATGGGTCCACTGGACGCTCATCGTCCGCCTGAGCAGACGATGCCAAGACCGATGGAGACGGCGACGTGGAGAAACGAAGAGCTTCGAGCTCTACGCTAGCCTCCCGCTCACCTGTATACGTCGTACCCATGGCGAGAAGGCTTTCAAGGAATTCGCGCTCGTATACGGCATTTAGGATGTCCGCATCCGAATTTTGAAGGATGTCGTGGTATTCGGCGACGGATCCATCATAAACCGTTTCCACCTGGGCCGACTCATATATCAAAGGCGATTGCGCGACATCGATGACCGATTCAGGTAAGAGCACCTCTGAGTCCTCGCTTATGGATGAAGGCTCGAGCTCAATGTCATCCTCTGCTACATCGACCCGGTATTCCCGTTCCATCAGAGGAATCTCGAGTTCCGTCTCGCGAGCTACGCTCTGTGGCGACGATATAGCCATGACTGCGTCCTCGGTTGTCACTTCCTTCTCCGTTGCTATCGATATAGCGTTGTCATCGAACCAATCTGCCGGCAAAGGTGGAAGGTCGACGTAGCACTCCTTGTGCACCGGACTCGCCTTTCTGATTGGCGGCGAAGACCTCTTCCCGTATGGCCGACGGATTCTCGCCCATTCCACATGCTCGCCCAACCGCTCTGGGACCTTGACGACCCGAGAAGATCGCGAGATGTAAGGGGTAGTTATCTCTGACCGCAAAAGGTTTCGATCCATCCATTCACTTGTCAACGCCTCGGCTTTGGTCTCTCGAGTCACTCCCCCAACCAGATGTGGTGTAAGGGGGGTGATGTTGGGCCGTCGACCTCTCCGGGCTCGAGTCCCGCTGCCACGAGAGCGCTTTGGTGTACGGAATGGTTCGCCGCCAGCACCAAGCGCTTCAGAGCACAGGTTTACGTCATCCGAGGAAGGTGCAGCGCTGATGACATCGAGCGAGGCTGTATGATCCAACGCTTGACAAATGTCGTCTCGCGCAGCCCAAATCTTCCGCGGTCGACCTACCCTCCTTTTCTTACGAGGGGATTCGTCAGGGTGTGATACAACGATTGTTGGTCGGGCGCTCCTTCCTATCGGGGTGGAGCAGACAATGACGTCTTCCCGGTCATCGTCTATCGCGTTTTCGACGTGGTCGTCGCTATAAGCACCGGGTCCGAGCCCGTCCGAGTCCAGCTCCTCTTGCCTTTTCCGTTCCTCCTCGTCTCGTAGAAACGCGTCCAAATCGGCCTGATCCTTGGCAGAGACGTCCCTGACAGGTAGGCAGGAGATGTCGGGGAGTTCCCCAACCTGGATTTGCATCTCACTCTCCGCACCCCAAAAGTCTAGGACGTCCCGGTCGCCTTCGCTGTCTTGGAACGCGCTGCCTTTCAGCTTGTCTAGCACGGAATCGCCGGCTTGGCAAATCCTGCTGTTGTCTACCATTTCATCTTCCTCGTCCTCATCATCCAGAGGATCGTCCGCCCACTGTTCGAGCGTCTCGTCGTCGTCAAGGTCGATCTTTTCGCCCTTGTAGAGCGTGTCCCCAGTGACGACATCGATCTCGGTATCCTCCTCCGGATCAATCGCCGTATAGCGTTCGGCAATCGATTCCCATCTCTGCAACAACTCTGCAGACTTTTTGTACCGGTCGAGGTGACCTTGATCAAAAGGTTTTAAAGCTTCCCGATATCGTGGATGTGAAGACAGTGCCGTAAAGGATAGAGCGAGGTCCGACGATTCAAAGGTGGGAAACGCTGAGACCGGAAAGTATCTTGTTGACCGCGTCGCGCCCGGGTGTGGTCCGGAATGGGAGCTCATGCTATGAGGATCTATGTGACCATCATCTAGATAGGCAGAGGAGAGGCCGAGGTGCAAAGGTGGGGGTGTAGGTCGTCTCAGCACCTGAACGATGTCGACGATGATAGAGTGTGCTTGATAGAGGTGTTAGTCCCCCCCGAATGGCTTGCTTGTGCTTGCTTGCTCTCTCTCTGACCCGAGACTCGTCGACGACCAGAGAGCTACCTCTGCGACCTCTCGAAGGTCAATCTTGCATTTAGACATCGTCGATATCTGCTCTAACAATTACGTCTCGACTGCATCAACGCAACCACACACAAAAGCAGCATCTCCATATAGTAGAGGTATCGTCTGCTCGCCCCATCACGTCAAAGCCCGGTATCGCCCTGTACAAACCCTATCCACTGCCGTCAAAGTCTAGCCTCGACAGCACCGCACAGAAGCGTTGGATCGCCTTTGAGGCGGATCGAGGAGGAGCAGCACGTCATCAACACGGCCAGTCCTAGTGAAAGAAGTCACATCAGAGAGACCTGTAGCCGAGATGCCGATCAAGTTCTGTGGAGATTGGTGAGTCTCAACGTCTCATGCGCCCGGGAGAGCAGATCGGTGTTCATCCCGGTTTGAACTATGTGAACAGTTCCTCCCTACTCTACCCAAAGGTACATAGTTGTCAAGATCGAGGTCACCGTTTCCCTATACAAGATTTGACTGTCCAATTCGCATATCCTAATCAGGCCGGGACTGACCGGAGGCTACACTATGTATGCAAACAATGTCCCTTCACGATGTTTACGGTAAATAAGGAGGACAACCAGATCAGGCGGGATGAGCTGCTGTCCGTCGTCAGGTAAGCCCAAGGCGGATCCCGCTCTTACATTTTTCGAAGAGGAGTCGATCGAGCTGGTCTTTTGGTACTCTATCAGAGAGAAACGAGGAGTGACTCAGGACGTCGAGCTGGATCCGACATTGATGCGAAGCCGAAAACAATGTCCAGTCTGTCATGCCGAGTCGTGAGTCTGCGGTGCCACGGTGTTGCACCTCTCGGGACGCCTGGCCAAATTCCCTCGTCACGATCATAGGGCGGTGCAGTTCCAGGATCAGTCGAACGAAGTCATGCGAAAGTCGACGTCGATGTGAGTTCTGAAAACGAGGTATTTCGCCACGTCCGTAATTGGTGCCGACAGTGGTCACTTGTAGGATCCTCTTCTACAAATGTCTGGCTTGCAAGGCCGACTTTGACGACGAGGAATCCAAAGAGAGCGCCAAAAAGGACGAGCAGCGTCTCGCAAGAGAAGAGCGTATCGCAGCCAAAAACAAAAAGGGTGGCAAGCCAGACGCTAAACCGGAAGGCAATGCCAGGGAGCAGGTTTTGGCCGCAAGACCGACCCCCGCCCAGGGTCCACCGGCGTCCATCGCTCAGTCTGGTACGGGCAACATGGACGTCATCGATGCGGAAGACTCGGACGATGATGATTACTGATCGAACAAGGGGGAGCAAAGAGAAATAATGTCGTTGCGCAGATGTCACTTGCGCGTCATGTTGTATAATCGTTCAATATCCAACTCGTCGATATCGTCATTCATGAGTGGTATCAAGGCAAGGTCTGTCGTGAGTCTTCTCCTAATTCGACAGCCCGCCGGCAAAGTGGAACTCTGTGATCAGTCAGGCGGGTGCCGTGATTCGTTTCTATGCCTCCTATCGGCCATTCTGCAGGCTAGCAGTGTAGCAATCCTGGCAAAACGGCTCGTCGTCCATCGGAAAGAACGTCCCATTTGGAAAAGATGCGTCGCATTGCTAAGATATTACCTAAACATTAGCCTTTCACTCTTAGAATGAAAGTAATTTGCCGCTCCAGAGATACGACACTTACTGCACAGCAGAAGCACTCTTTATGCCACTTGGCTCCCATCGCTCCCAAAGCCTCGTCCCTGATCGGCTTGCGGCAACCAGCACATTTAGGCCTGTGCAGCTTGACGTCACATTCCACGCAAAAGGCATGCTTGCCGTTGATAATAAACTCCTTTGTCAGGTCATCCGATTCTTGCTTCGAATCGGCCCCCTTATTGAACTCGGTACCAGCGGACGACGACTTGGAAGGATCCAAGAATGGATCTCCACACTCTCCGCAGAAGAAGTGAAGTTCGTGGTAGTAGCGGTGTCCGAGAGCCGGATCGTCGATTGTAATGTACCGCGAGTCCACGATCGCAGTCTCGCAATAATGGCATTTGGGTGCGAATAGCTTTGATGAACATGTTGACATCAGCATAATATTCGAGATCACAGCGTTTTAGACTCGTTCAGCTTCTCACATCGTGGTAATCCATATGACAATAAGCTTTGCCGTCGTGTTCGTAGCTGCTCACATGTTCCAAGAGCGTCCGACACGTTGAACATTGGAAGCAAGCGGGATGCCATCGCTTATCCATTGCGGAGACGATACGGCCGATGATCGCGGTGTCGCATCTCTCGCAAAATATGCCTGGGCCTGATCGCTGAACCGGCGGCTCGCGCGCTCTCTCCGACGACGAAGGCTGCTCGTCCTCGGGCATGACGATGGCAGGTACCTCGGGAGCCCCAAACGAAATGACAATGTCGCTCACGCCATCCCCTCCACCTGGGAGCACGATACCAGGTATGTTTGCTGGCATAGTGTCGAAATCCTCGGTGGCCATACTTGCGACCGAGATCTTTGGAACGGTCGAGTATGAATACGATCTCATGGGTGAAGGGATGCGAGCGGGGACTTCCACATGATCATCCCGTGAGTCGCCAGTTTCGGTATCGCTAGGGGCCACGATTGCTGGAAGGTCAGGGGGACATGCGCGGCCTCCAGGCACCTTATATGTCTCGGTACTCGATCTGTACGGCGCAGCCCCGTCAGCGGACGCTTGAACCGAAACCGAAGGCAGTCCAACAGAGGGAGACGACCTCCCGATACTCGGAGTCGTTGTCATCGGAGACACCGCGACCGGTTTCCTGTCGAGGCTCCTGCTCGACCCTACCCCTACGGGAGGCATCGGCAGCGGCCGTTCGGTCGGCTGACATGCACCGTATCGATCAAGAGACTTGACCGAGGTAACGGTGTCTGTCCTGTTGAAGGCATCCCGCCGCCAAACGGGACCGTAATCAATGCTTGCACTGCCACCTGGCGCACGAGCAGCCGACAACGGTTCGGGGGTCTCGCCATTGGCAAGCGTTGTTTGTTCGATCTGCTGTCGGATGGATGAGACCGAAGCTTTTGGCTTTGGGAGCCGTCTTGTATTATTGGGCGCAGAAGTCGGAACACCGTCTGGATAGCTTCGTGCAGGGGGTTCTGGCTTAATGGGGGACCTGGCGATGGTGACTACGCTGGGTTCAGGCGGACCCTGTGCCCTTGGTAGCCCGCTCTCCCTGAAATTGTGCGCGCTGAGAGCAATATCGCTTGATATTGAATTTGTTCGCTGGGTTGGCGACGGCAACGGCCTTCGAGCATTGTTCGGACGGACCGTTGCGATATCTGATGAGAGGATATTGGCGGGAGCCAAAGGTACGCCAACGCCTGGCAAGATTATCGATGGCTCCCGTCCAGGCCAGTTGGGAGTAGGACTCCTAGGCGAAGGCATCGACAGGGATGATTTCATCGACGTCGGATATTCCGGTCGAGAGTGATGAACCAACTCCTGAGCAAGCTCTGCGACGGAACTCGACGTCGGGACGTCAGGGTCATGCCATTCGCGACCCGCAGCGAGAGCGAGTTGCCTGTCTTTTTCCTTCTTTCTCTCCTGGAATGTTCGGAACTTTGGCGGCTCATATGGAACAGAGTTTCCTAGAGATGATGCCCTGCCAGAATAGTCCAAGTCTGCTACCGACCCCGCACCCGCTTCAAGCGTTCCTTTACCGCCATTACTCCTTATAGACGACGAGGGCGACAATGGATACTTGGTAGGATGAATCGGCGAACCTAGCGGTTGAGAGGCGTTGTTACCGCCGAGCCGAGTAGACCTAGTCCTCTGAGGATGCATTTCAGCCTCTATCAACGCTGACTCGTAGAGGACAGCAACACCTGAACGGGTTTCAGATTGTTTCCTGCTGTGTCAATCCGGCCGTAGCGGGTATGTACGGGTTGAGATCTCTCCTTTTTGGCTTGGATGTGGATTCCGTGCGATGTGTAGCTAGTAAAGACGTGAAGGGAGGTCGAGAAGGAGCTCAGGCTGACATGCTAGTCTGATGATGGCCGAATCATCGATCACCTTGATCACCTTTGAGCCCCTCCTGGATCCTGTTTGTGATGTTTGTCGTTTGTTGATGATGTCGCAGCCCCGTATGGGACATGGGTTACGTAAGCCAATTTGGACATACATCATTATCGTTACACGACCACAGATTCTACAAGTCCACTGCAGGCGTCACATTACAAGGCTACTCCTTGGCAAGTACTCGCATGATTGTTGGAAAAAAAAATTCGAAAGCGAAGCGAAAGCCGCAAGACTTCCAGGTATCAAAGGACTGATTCAATTCAAGTTCTTGCGTCAGCGGGGCTATGTATCGAATCGATATGCCTTGACCTACAGTATTCTGGCAGAGGACGTTTGGCAGGGATACCTTTCACGTCCTGGGTATATGGAAGACAAGCAGAAGTGAGCACGTCTCGCCTCTCACAGCCAAACCGATCATCAACTTACGTGGGGTGCATTTTCAAAGACCTTGTATTCTTGCCGCAAATTCTCGTCTAGTTCTAATATCGAGGCTACATTTCCGCATCTAGAAAGTAAAACGGGTCAGAATCAGTCAACTTCGGTAGTACGAAGCGTTACCAGACGCGAGTAGACCCACCTATAACAATAATTTGGTGCACTCCAAACCGTGACAATCTTCCTGTCAAACATGAGCTTGTATCCTTCTAGCACCAGTTGATGTGCTCGAGCTATCAGCTCTATATCATTTGCGTGATTGAAGGCCTTGACGACGTCTGCTCCGAAAAGATAGCCAGCACCCCTGGGCGAAACTCCCCATCCCTCGATATCTGCGGAGAGTACGGTTCTGTGTTGAGGAATTGAGCTGTGGACAGACAGACCCGCGACTAAGCTCACCGTCTGGATCTGACCACAAGAGATCGCACATGGCACCTTCGTGAGGTACTTCGATCTTGCGATCGATTATTCGGATCTGATACGGGTGCGATAGTCGGTCAGCCCGCTGCTGTCAAGCCAAAGTCACCCAAACTTGCCTGGTCTAGAGTCCCGAGCGCTGGACTCAATCCTCCGTGCACGCAAAACACTCTCCCGTCCACCACGGCTCCCAGACTTAGGTAGTCAAAGACATCGCAGCAGTACCTCCACACGTTTACGCTTCCATATTTCCTCTGACATTCGTCGTAGAACCCATAGACCTGGGTGATCTGCCGTGATTCGTGATTACCTCGAATCAATGTGATCCTGTCGGGATACCGGACCTTGTAGAGCAATAGTAGTAGGAATGTTTCCACTGAGTAGAACCCTCGATCGACGAAATCGCCTGTGTCCAACAATAAGATATGTGCAGCTCGACGGTTAGCGTGAGCTTAGTGATGGGGCCGAGCTTTCCGATGTAGACGGCGACGTACCCATAAACAGATAATTCGTTTCTGGACAATCACCTCCGACCTTGAAGAGCTCCAAAAGATCAAAGAACTGTCCGTGGATATCTCCACATATCTAAATACGGAGTCAGCTTGGTGACGGAATGTGCCGGGTGAAAGAAGCCAAGCCATACTGTTACTGGACTGTCCACATATTGTACATTCCCTTCTTCGATAAGGATCTCTCTAGCTTTGAGGCAGAGGTCCTTGACTTGTTGCTCGGATATAGGCTCGCAGCGTCTCAGTTGCTCGATCTGCCTGTATTCCAGGAGGATAGAAAAGGCGACCAGGAAGCGAGATGGATCTGATTAGTGACATGGCCGAACAGGTTGTCCAAGCATAGGGCGACTCACTGATCTAGATCGCTCATATCGACTCAGCTCCTCAGATTGCCTGCCCCTAACTGCCTCAATAGGAGCCGTTCCACTCTTCGATAGTCGTAATGAGCACGTATTTCAGTAGAGGGAGTATGCTCCTTGTTCAACGTCTGCTGTTCCTTGATTTACAACGCCTCGCTTCGGCTCGAATCCGGCTGCTTTCTCGCACGAGTTCCGAGGCCAGAATCAATGTTGCTACGGCTAGCTTGCGGTACTAGCTTGTTCAGATCGGTTGCTTTCGTCGACAAAATCTGGTCAGATTGAATAACGTTGTGCATAACCCTAACCTCATCTAATTCATCACCGATAGCGAGACGCGCCTCGCGTCGAGGTCTCCGTCGCGGGTACTTAGCGATCTGGAATTATATAGGCCATGAAATATAGGGATATAGGAACCATACATCCCGGAAAAGAAGAGGACCCCGCTCGCTTTACGCATCTCTACTCTATTCTGCTGTACATGCTTTATCGCAAGTCTTTGTTTGCCGACTCGTCTTCACGACCTGCTTCGACCGTTGGGGAGTGCGAGAACGATTCGTGGTACGTGGGTGGGATGGAGTCTCGAGCGGCCGTATGATCTAGCTGAGCTTCGAGATTGCCGTTATCATGCTCCGACTCGGTAGAGCGTCCATGTTGCGCACGAGGGGCGCTGTCCTGATAGATTTCGTCGACGCCAGTCTTGGGAGCTGGGATCGAGGCGGGTTCCCGCGCAACCTCGGTGTAAGGTGCAACCGGTGCTCCATCGATACTCTGGTTCAGGCTTGACTTGTTCCGTCGGAAAGCTGAAGCAGAAATTGTTCGTTGACCCGTGCCAGGATGGAAGGCCGTGGTGGGTCTGGGCAAATCAGGAGTGCCAATCGGAGTATAAAAGGCGTCCCGATCTCCTGCAAAGCCTGGGGTTTCTGTCTGCAAGCCTGGACTCTCGGGCAAGATCTCTTCCTGTCGTGGCAGATTCGAAGGCGATGATGCGTGATTGCGGACAAAGTAGGCTAGAGAGACGAGCAGCGACGTTAGACGGTTATTGAGCAGGTGAGGAGGAAATCAACCACTGACCAGAGTTGTCGTAGCCATAGTTGAAACCTCCGGCAGTCCCGTCACCAGCTGGATCGCCTCCCCTTCGGATACCTCTCGGCCTGTCCATGATGCTTGTCTTGGTCTGAGCTTGGAGTTCACTTGTCGTAAGTTGATGGTGCGTAGCAAAGCCCCCCTCGTTGTCGGCTCTGGGTGACGTCGCGGGAATAGACGGCAATGCAGACGACTGATACTGTGTCTGATGATCCCCGTCCGTTTGCTGTTGAGGCTGCGACCGCGAGGCGAGGGAGTGATCAAGCAAAAGTACGTCACGTTTCACTCCCAAGCCCGGCCAAGGCTTCCCGCTGGATGATGAGGAAGCAAGTGGCATCGACGACAAAACCTGGGTGACAAAGTTGGCGTCGTTCAGAGGCGACAAGTCGTCTTGCGTCTCAAGTCTCTGTAGTGGTTCAGGTCGGTCAGTGAGAAAGTCGCTACCATTTCGATATCGAATCACGTACAGCTTTCATGTCGTTGTAGGCGCACTCTCTGCCCATGATCTCCCGAATGATCTTGTTGCTTCCAAAGGCATGGAATATCCTGACGTCATGAGTACGGAACAGGACATTGTCCACCCTCAGGAATAATCGAGAAAGGATGAAGAAGGAATGCGGCATGACACGCTAGAGACGATTGCCCAAAATCAGATCAGGGTAGAGAGATATCTGTAGAGAGGCAATCACTTACGATCCGGACATTCATCACAGACTCGCCATTGTCATGCAGCTCGTCTTCGAAGAGCGAGACATCGTCGTAGAAAATGATCTTATCCAGTACCGGGTCCTGTCGGGCCAGTAAGTCCATGGGGATTGAATCGGTTTCCGAAATGGTGAAGCCCTGAAGGATATGTATAATGGGTAAGCTCAGACGAAATACGAGATACACACGCCTCTGACGCACATCAAAGTTGCCTGATTGGAGTGCACCGGAAAATGTCGTAGAGTATGTCCAATCGAAAGGCTTGGTGGGCTTGTCAGAGATAGGAATGTCAGAGAGGTAGCTAGTTCCTTGAGTTCTTTAATGCAAGCACGAACAGGGATCCAATCAGCTCATGCGTTCCGTGCGAAACAGATTTCAATTCCTTACCTGTTCTGGCTCCAATGTTCAGCCATCGACACCTGCACGCCTCCGCCATTGCGTTCTTCCCAGCCTTCGCCGGTCGCGACGTCCGCAAGCGCTTGTAAAGCAGAAAAGTTCAAGGACAATGGAGCGGAAGTCTGATCCGGAGCATACGTCAAGTCCAAAGAGTTGTTCCCGAAGGTCATCTCGGGAAGGGGAATATCCAAATGTTCGGCAGCTCTGCGATGTGAATGCAGAAGAGGTGAGCTAGGTTGCATGCCAAAGCGGGCCTCGCGATCTACGCACGCATCGATCTCTTTGCCGTTGAGGATAGGTCTCTTGACAGTCCTGATCGTCCAGTCTCCGACGGTCAACGTTCGAGTGCTACCACGTTCGACAAGGTTGTGAGGCGGCGGTTGTTCACGCGAGTATTGGGCTGCGGACGTGGGGTGGGCAGCGGGGGTTTGCGTATCGATCGATCGAGGGGCCGGAGCTTCGTTCAAGTTGGTGACTGCTGGGACGGCGTGTACCGGAAAGACGTGTTTGGCAGGCATGATCGTTGCGTCTGCCGCATAGACATCGTCGTTCTCGCGGGTATTCGCTTCAGCCTGAAGTCGCTCCTTTTCGAGGGCGGCAGCTTCCCTTGCTTGTTCGTATTCATATCCATGCTCTTCGACGTGTCCAAAGCCGCCCACCGCATTCGTTGCCGGCAATGGAGGAGCTAGCGCGTAGGCGTCGTGAGATGGCTGTGCGCGAACATATCCTGGCGACTCTGGAGCGGCAAACATGACATGACCGTGTCCGAAATGTCCTTCCCCAGCAGTATTACGAACGTCGGGAGTAGCTGGCCCTTGGTACTGTGGATCGCCTGCAAGCGATCGTGCTTGTTGTGGCGCATCGACGAACGAGGTCTGGTGCTCTACGGCATGATGATGGGGGTCATCCCCGTATTGGGCAGCAGCGCGCCTGTAATCATCTACCATGCTACCCTCTAGATTGGTAGCAGATGGGGATTGAAGCGGTTCCAGTCGACGGGAATGCGGCAATCCAGGAGGCAGCGGTTTTACGACAGGAGGGTGGTAAACCACATCGTTGATCTGTATATTGAGGCGATCAGATCCATACCGGTGACGCGCGGGTTCTGTTTGAAAACAAACTTACGACTCGCTCCGCTTCAGTAGACAGACGCTGCGTTTGTTCAAAGCCCTGTGGGGGGGGGGGGGGGGGGGGGGGGGATTGAGAGGGTTAGCAGATCCATCGTAGCCATCAAAGGGTTTCGCCTGGACGACGCACTTCGTAGGGAGCACGTCCATATCCGGGAGGCGTCTCTTCCAGAGGAATCTCCTCGATCAACAATTTTCCCAGCTCTCCCACGATCTGTGCCTTTTCCGCGAGCTCGAAACAGCCTCCGAACTTGATCGCCAGGGCCTCCTTTGTCGCCTGCCGTTTGTAATCTCCCAGCTTGGCCTCTTCGATCAAGATATCCGTGTCCATCTGCCGCATCTGGTCCCGCAGGCTTTGCAACAACTCGGTCTGTCCTTGCAGATTCTTGTTCTCCTGACCCATCTTTGCCAGCTTCTTCTCTTCCCTTTCCGCTCGGCTACCGGTCTGACGACGCCGCTTCAATAAGTCTTCCAGCGTCTCTTCGCGCGATCGAATGTTCTTGAGCAAAATCCTGATGTCTCCCGAACGAGCTGCATAGGTCTGCAAAGCTTGTGCTAGGTGCTGCAAGATCGTGTTGGCGTGGGCGAGTACGTCCGAGAGATCGGACCCTTGAGCCGCACCCCAGAGGGCCAGCGACTGTCCTGCCTGGGAGATAGAGCTACCGAGACGTTCCTCGTTTTGTATAACACTCTTCTCATTGGTAATCAAGTCCTGGAGTTCTCGAAGGTTCTGATTGCCCATCAAACTGGGCAACTGGTCATATCAAACGTATCCGATGCACAGACGGAGAGAAGGCGTAAATCGACCTGATTTGTTCGTGTATGAGCAACGTTTTCGCACGGAAACTCACGATCGTAGTATGTGCGATCTTTCCCTTGACCGATTTGGCCAGCTCTCCTGCTCCCAGACCTCCTCCATTCGCTCCGCCACCACCGCTAGCGATACGACCATGACCTGACTGTGCGGGTTCACCGTCCTTGTCGCTGTTATCTTTGTTGGACCTGCCGAGATTGAGGCCGAATCGACCGGAGGCAGCTCTCATGTTGGATTAATCACGAGCAGAGCTGAAGACCAAGAAGCTTATAGAATCTAGAGGGATAACTACGTTGATCTAGCTCTCGATGTGGGTAGCTCGATGGTGAAGAGGAGGTCGAGGTGTCGAAGGCTGTGTGGTCGCTGCAACGGAAAGGGAAGGGGGCAGGCTGCAGGCTCAACTCGGGTAACGTCATTCCCCCCCATCCCCACGCGGACATCCTCAGCGCTCTTCGGAAGTTTATAAATATTGCATCATGTCCGTCTCCCCTTCCCTCGATCAGACTAACTTATCGACCATGGTCGATTCGAAACGTGAGCTTGCAGCTGGTGAATGGGTGTCAAATTGATCGGCTCGCCAGGAAACGGTATTCCGTCGCAAACAGGACCTATTTCGAAACTCACCATGTCTGCCAACGTGGATCGACGCCGGATCCTCGGACCTGAAAGGTCATTTCCACCGGTCTACGCTCCTGCAGATGCGACTGCTTCAGGTTCTGGAGCAAAGCTCGTTCAGGACGAGAGTATGGACGGGAAGAGAGCAAATGGAGAGATGAGGCCGTTATGTAAGTCTTTCGATGAAAATCACATGTACGCTCTAGGGTGACGCAAGCTGATCACGTCTTGTGATCGCCTACAGTTATCAAGACAGGTCTGATCAGTCAAGCCAACGGTAGCGGATACATCGAATGCGGTGCCGTCAAAATCGCTTGTGCAGTGTCAGTAACACAAAGCCTGTTCATATCGGCACATTAGCATCCAGACTGATTCCATCTCCCGGTTTACTATTCTGCACTTAGATACGGACCCCGGCCGAAACCACCTCCATATTCGCCCGAAGGTACTCTCAACCTGGAAGTCAAGTTCGCTCCTTTCGCCTCGCATCCGAGACGTGCACCCTTGAGGGTCAGTCGTATGAATAAATGTGCTCTGTCGTTGTCGCCGGAGAGCTGACGACTGCTCTTCTGATACCAACCAGGACACCGAACCGCCCCATCTCTCTCACCTGCTACACTCACACCTCCTCCCGGCTCTTCAACTTCACACGCTGCCGAAATCCTCGATCGACATCTACATCTTGGTCCTCCAATCAGAGTCTCCTAGCATCGAGTCTGTGCTGGCGAGCGGTCTGACCGTGTGCGCCGCAGCCGTCGCGGACGCTGGGATCGCCATGAATGGTCTCGCCGTCGGAACGGTCACGTCGTTGTCAGGAACCGCCACAGATTCGGCTACAAGTGCCAAACCCATCATTCAGCTCGATCCGGATGGTGTCCAGGCTAGGGCGGCCGATGCGAGGGTGACGGTAGGCTGTCTTCCGGCACTCGACGCACTATCAGATGTTTGGGTTACGGGGGAGGTCACGGTCGACAACCTGATATCGGTCAGTCCATCTCGCCGTTCAAGCCATTTCCAGAAGTATTCCTTGACTGATTATATGACTCTCGATAGATGATCAACGAGTGTACGCAAGCTAGCCAGTCCGCGCACGCTACCCTGGCTCAAGCGATCCTAGAAGGAGAACAGAACAAGACGAGTGGGATGTTGGTCGGTGGTACATGACGGACCGCCTACAATAGAAAGTAACGCTTAACATATGGACGAGCACTTATCACGATTGAATACATGTCTTCCCGTTGCACCTGTACTATGGACTGGCATGAAATGGGCACGTCATCTTGTATTCATCACAGCCAGTCTGTCAACCGAGGCCCCAACCTCATGGCGGTGTTTGCTTCCGCTTACGATCGATCGCCGACCTTGTGCACTCTAGAAAGACTTGTTGACCTTGTTACCGAATTACCGATCACATGTCCCACAACATCTTCGCCTCATGCAATCAAGAAGCTCAAGAAGACCTCGGCAATATAATCAAAGACCGATCCACGAGCAGCTGCGTGATGATGAGCAATTCAAAGTTGCAACCAGGTCGTACCGGCCATCAGCAATCGCGCAGCAATCTCCATCAGTCGCATGGCATAGCACCTCCGCCCATCAAGTTCCCTTCCTCCTCGACCTCATCCGTCGCTCGAACGCCTTCACATTATACCGATAACGACTTCTCTGACGTGGAAAGCGGGGAACGAAACGCCTCGTCGGGGGAGAGGGCGCCCTTGTTCCGGACCGGACACCATGAGGGGGAAGGTCGACCTGATCTACCCAAGTTGAGCCGGGAATGTTTATGGTCGTGAGTGTCCTAGCGTGGTCATTCAGCACAAGACTCTAGTGATCCTGACTCCCTTCGGTTTGTAGAGAGTTCAAATGCTATGGCAGCTACATCTTCCCGGTCTTACTCGTCTTCGGAGTGTTGGCTGTAGGAATAGCATTGATCGTTTACTACACGGTCCGCAGATAACGGTGATCTCGACGGGTTTACGCCTCCTCGTAATGTTCCGAGAGGAGCTGCCACTACCAATGTCAAACTTTTGTGCATCTAGGCATAATTGGCCAACTGTATCCCTTTAAGATGTATCTCCATCGGTCGAATCTAGTCACGCTTCGTGCACTCAGGAATGCCTGACCCAAGTCGAAAGCAGAGTCACAGTGCATCGCATTGAAGGTCACTGGCATATAATTCTGAATTGGGTATACAAGGAATTCGCTTCTACGCATTGCATCAATCATTCGAGCCGTGGTTTTGCTACATATCAGATGGGCGAGCCTCCCATGCCTGAATTCGAGTAAAGCTCAGTCAACCTCCGTGTCTTAACTGCACACCGAATATGACCATGATGGTACTCACCCGTGACGCCAACGGCATCTTGAATCTTGGCGATTTCCCCAGGACTCAGCTTGGTCCTGACGCCGCCCAAGAAAGCGTGCCAACACCCGTCCGCCTCGTGATCGCTGAGGAACTCGCTCTGACACAATGCGTAAACCTTCTTCCAAAACTCGGGATCGGCGATGGTGTTGTGGAACTCGGCCGTCGAGTTGGATGGTCCAGGCTGATTGGCAGGGCTCGAGATGTCGAGGGTCGTAAGAGGTCGTGCAGGGAACGCAGAGGTAGAAGTAGTCCCCTCGGCAGCAGGATCGGCGTCCGAGATCGTCAAGGATGGGATGGCTCCGGGTTGGGGTACGGGCTCTTTCGGAATGGTGGCCCCAGTAGGAGTGGGATCTCCGCCGAGTTCTGATCCAGCCTTGGGCACGTCGTCCCAGCCGGGCTTTAAAACCATGTTCACGGTCGCTCCTTCAGCAATGCCGTACTCCTTGACCAGTTTGGCATCTGCAAGAGCTTTGCCCTTCAGCAGCAACCTCTGAAACTCGGCTCGCGGAGCTGTCGAGCTGGAACTCGCAACGTTCGCCTTGAGCTGCTGGATCGAGTCGGACGGAGCGATTTGCACGGCAAACGAAAGAGCCGGCTTAAGACTCTTAACCGTGAGAGAGAAGGGTTCTGAGCATTTCAAAAACACATCAGCTTTTAGCCTGAACACAATCTAGCTCGCAGGCGAGACAGAGACGTCACATACCGTTACTGCTTTCTCGAACCTCCTTGTCGCTCAATTTGGGTGGTTCGGCTACATCCATCTGAGGCAAGAGAACGAGATTGAATGTCAACAGTTTGCACCATCATGGATTCCGCCTATCAATATTCTATACTCACAGCCAGGACAGGCATCCGGCGGGGTCGCTTCTCTGGGGGTGTCACGAAATCGTCCGCATAGTTGACGGCGTGCTCCGAGATTTGATCCAGGTATCGTTTGGCGAAAGCGGTCTCTTCCTGAAGGCGAGAACCTGAGATCTTGTAAGACATTGCTAGAACTGCTAGTTTGTAGGTATGTATGATGATGTGGTTGAGCAGATATCCAAGTAGGACTGGCCGAGGAGACTGCACAGGTATGTGTCAACAAGGCATTCTTGAAAGGATGATGGATGTGGACCACACCATGCCTGATCACAAGTCGCGAGCCGGCCCTGGGCGAGTCACTCGTGATGACGCGTGATCTGCGATTTGCATGATAAGATGAAACGATGATATGGAATGCAACGGTTTGCCCTCTTGGTCGCCCCGCCGGTCCAGGTCGTGTATATCATGAAATATGTAAGATCGGGTACACCAGCAAACTAGAAGAGAAACAGTGCAGGATACGCAAACAGTATCGTCGGAATTACAGGACGGCAGCCGCACGACAAAGGAGAAATCTTTCATCTATAAGGGGGTTCGTTGAGGGGGAGGGGAAAGAAATGTCCGTTGTCGATATGGAGACGCAAACGTCCGTGCGGCAGGTCGGCTCATTCCACAGGTAAGGTGACCGCGCCGGGTTACCAAAGGTAGGATCGCCCGACAGGCGAGGAATATATTGCAGTCGTCAAGTGGAAACCAAGCGGGTGTAGGATTGGCTTTTTGCGCGTTCGTTAAGAGGTCCGGAAAGTAGGGCGTGTCATGGTTGATTGGCTCGTTTCAGTTCAGTAGTAACGGTTCTGCTGCGCGGGAGCCTAAAAGACGAGGAGGACGCAAGGTATTTCAGTAGCTGCCCGTCTCTCGAGGTAGATTGACCATGCCACTCACTGCTGCACCAGGGGGGAGACCGCTGCTACCGCTAGGCGGTGAAGCGAAACCGTATCCTTGGGATGAGCTTCGCTTTGGTCCCTTGGCGACTCTCCTTACACCGGTCGTATGGGAATCTACCGACGAGCCGATGGGGCCATTGTCGACCAGCGAGATCCTTCGGTAATGCGAAGGATTTTGCTGTACCGGCGGGGGCGATCGAGAACTGTTCGATCGGTAGTTGTCATCTAAAGAAGGCGAACCAATCAATATTGGCACAGAGTTTCGGCTTGATGCAAAGATACTCACCATCGGGGTATCGTTGGCTTGCAGCCATACCGGTACGTGGCGGGAACGACTCGTCCATGGGCGAAGTGGGGCCATAGTTCGAGCTGAGGATAGGCGCACTCTCGTCACGAACGTCTCCGGAGTACGACCTGTACCTCTCGGCATAGTGATCAGCCGATTCCGACGAAGCCGGGGACGAGTCTCGACCACCTCGGAAAGGTCCACGAGGAGGCGCGGGAGAAGCGTCCAACTGAGGCTGATAGTGTTCGCCCGGCGACCCTTGCATGCTCATGGAAGCATAGCTCTGACTGGGTCGACCCAAGAAGGCCGCTTCCGAACCAGCAAAATTGCTAAAGTTGGTCTCGTGGGTCGAGGCCATGGAGTAACGGTCACGAGTCATGCCACCCTCGCTACATTGATGACGAAAGCGGACATGATCAGCTAGACTCGCCGAACCCGGCATTTTATTCGAAACTTACCGCCTGAAGATGACATCCGAGTACGAGTCTCGCGACTGCTGGCCATTCTTCCATCGACGTTCACGCTCGAATTCGACCCATCGCTTCATCACGATGTGAGACGAATCGAAGACACCATCCTTGTCACCGTGACCCTTTTCAGCAACCGCTCCTTCTCCTTCAACCTTTCGAGTCTCTCCCCAACTGCAAAGCGAAGGCAAGTCTACGGTTCAGCAATAATCTCAGCGAAACAAGTCCGACCGAAACATACCTAAAGTCGTCAAAGTGCCAGAAAGCGTAGGCCGGAAGCACAAAGTTCCAGATGGGAAGCGACAACAGGTAGATGAACATCCACCCGACGTAGACAAACTTTCGCGAGGTAATGACGATCAAGGCACCGGGAAGACCCAGGATGAACGCCAGCAAAATGAGCGAGAGGATGGGCTTGACGGTTCCAGGGATGATGGCGACAATGATGAGGTAGATCGTGAACGAGATGGCGGCGGGCAAGACCAAGGTACCGACGAGTTCCATTCCGACGACGAACTGCATGGAAAAGCAGAACGTTCCACAGAGATCCCGGACGAGAACGAGTTCGAACAAGTTGTGAACGGTCGAGTTGATCCATCGTCGACGCTGCGAAAGGAGGACTCGGAAGGTGTCGGGTACAATAGTCTTGCAGACAGCTTGAGGACAGAAGACCATCTTTCGCTTGGGGAAGGTCTTCAGCATCAAGGTGGTGAGGTAACGATCTTCTCCGAGCAAGAGCAAGTTCTTCTTGTGCAAGGTGTCGACAATGTTCTCGGCGTAATGCTCGCAGATGTCTGGGTTTGCCAAGATAGGAACCCAGTAACCGGTCTCTCCCTTGGGCGCCTTGATACGGTAGATACTGAAACATCCGGGAAGACAGGTCACACCACCAAACATCGACTCGAAGGCCTTGGTCAAGTGGTGAGAAATGTAGTACTCGAAGACTATCGACGAAGTGTCAGTTGAAAGGTCAGGTGTAAGAGGCGATAGCATGCTGGCCCACCTTGAATCATGGTCACCCAGGTCTCGGTCTTGTTGGCGATCTTGGTCTCTCCACAGAGACCCATGATCTCAGGGTCGTGTACCATACAAGCGTTCATCCTAGTCAAGGAATCCGGGAAGACCTTGGTATCTGCGTCGACACACAAGACCGTCTCGTACCGGTCCGGACTGACGCCCGTGACACGCCAGAGCGCGTTGAAGAATTCGTAGTCAAAAGTAGTCATTCGCTCGTCAAACATGACCTTTTGCAAGAACGACATGAGGACGATTTGCGAGTCACGTTTCCCTCGGTTACCGGGCTTGGCTTCGTTGACCTCGAGCGGATTTCCGACCTTGGCGACGAGGACGATGGGGACCTTTTGCTGCTTGGAGAGTTCGACCGTGTTGTTGTCATAGTCGTAGTATCCGGCATAAACCTTAGCCATGTTGTGTCGCTTGTGACCGTCAGCGATGGCGACGTATGAGTGGGCCTCGACTTCGTGTTCGGGCGTGACGAGGTCCTTCATCATTCCGAGCACAATGTCGGGCGTAGTGAGCTTGGATCCGGAACCCTTGACCATACCATCACAGATGACCAGGATGACCTTGTGACTGTTGGGATAATCCGTGGTGGCCAACGAGTCGATGGTAGTTCGGAGACCTTCGATCGATTCGGAGTAGGCGGTGACGAGACAGATGCTTTGTACAAGGGGGAAGCCGAAGGGTTGGTAATCGACAGGAGGTTGGGGGACGATGTCGCCAAGCGGGAACGGGCAGCCGCTGGATCCGCCAGCAGTGTCGGCCAAAGACATGCCCGACTCGTCTCTACCGAACGCGAGCGAGGTCGAGCTCCTGGACGAACGCAACATCGGGGAGCCAGGCGGGGTAACCTTGGGTAGCTTGCCCCCGTAGGTACTGGCCTGCCTAGGCCTGTAGGCGTTATCGTTGACCTGACCGTACGCGGTACCAGGACGAGAGTTTCCAACGACAAGATGATCGGCCCGACTAAATCGACTGGTCGTAGGCAAGAACCTGCCCTTCTTGGGCGCCTTTTCGCCACCCATCGCAGCGTTGGGCCTGTAACGGCTAGGTGCCGGGCGGTAGATATCGTCCGTCCAGTTTTCAATCTCGGCCGCACGAGCCATTCGCTGCTGATATGTCTCTTGCTTGAAGTTTCCGAGCCTCCAGGAGAGGAACCAACCGAAGGCGACGGCCATGGCGAACTTGATCAGGACGACTCCGAGAATGAAGATCAACGAGAGGTACAGCAAGACGTCCGAGGCAACACAGCCGATCGACTTGACGTCGATGAAACCGACCCGGATCGTGTCGACCATGCACTTGGCGACGTCCTTCATTCCACCACGGTACATGTGCATGGTGATATCCTTGCCCTGGAAGGTCGCGTTAGGCGTCTTGATCTCGTCGAAAATCTCTGGGTATCGGACTTGACTGGGCTCGAGCCACTGCAGGAGGTTCAAATCAAGGACGGAGCTGCAGCCGAGGTCGACCAAGTCAGCAAGTGGTCTCGCGAACCGCCACACTTCTGCGGCTGGACTTACTTTTCGTAGACGACTAGGTTCCTCGTCGCATTCTTGACCTGATGCCACTTATAGTAGACCTGCCCAGCGGGATGCTCGTCGTAGAACGAAGACCTGGCCGCCATCGACGTATGACAATTCAACGGCGAATCATATCCGGTGATGTTCTTGGGAGTCATCCCGAACTGATCGTGCAGGTTGCAAGGGAAATACCAACCCAATCTCCCATCCGAAGCCTGGGTGATGGCGCTTCCGGGAGCAGCGGTGATCAGCCCCCGACAATTCTCGTTGACCCGTTGAAAGAGGAAACTAGCGTCCTTTCCTCCGGCCTGCCAAGCGTCGGAGAACAACGGGTTCGTAGATCCGTTGAACGAGTTCCCAGCGGCAGGATGGGACCAGTTGGCAAACTCGTAAGCGTATCCGTTGATAAGGAGGTATCCCTCGTTCGCTTCCCCAGCCTTGATACGGAGTCCCTGGGCACCGCAGACGGCCTGAGTGAATCCGAAAGTGACGAAACCGACGACACCCATGAGGAGAAGGACGAGCGAGACGAGCCCGATCTTTTCCCTCCAGGCTCGTTGGGCTTCACGAGTGTGCTTGCCTGCCAGTCCAGGAGTAACGACCGTTCCTCAAGGTCAGCCAGCTATTTACGATATCATCGACGCAATCTCGATCTCGGCACTCACCAAAGACTCCTCGGAGTACGAAGCCAGGCACGCAGACGGTCAACAAGTAACAATAGACCATCCAAGCGTCCTTTGGTCCCGGTGCAAAGTCTCCCAAACACCCGAGCTTCTCCTGTTTAGTGTAATTCGTCGCGCTCCTTCCCGCTCCCGAACCGGTCGTCGCCCCGTTAGGCGGGCCCGGGTTACGGCTAGAAGTAACGTTCTGGCTGGATTTCCTTCGGAGAGTAGCCCCGCGCTTGAAAATGTTCAAACCGGATTCCTGAGAATCGGTAGGTTCTCTCGCCAGCAAGGACTTTCCGCGTCGGAGGCCTGGAGGAGCGTTCCCGGTGGTAGAGGGCAAGACGGCCATTCCCCCCTGTCCACCTTGCCCGCCAGGCCCACCCCCAGGTCCTCCACCCCCGTACTGGTCGTGAGCGAGCACATGCTCACGGTAATGATACAATCGATGGTTGGGATCGATTCTCTCCCTATCCGGCTTGACCAACGACTTCTTCCTCCTAACGTCGCTCGCTCCGCCTCCTAACCCACCGGAATGTCCTACTCCGAACATGCCTCCCAAACCTCCAGCGGAGGGGGTAGAAGCCGGTCCGTAAGTGTTAGGCGCGGTACCTTGTCCAGCACTGTATTGAAGATGAGGTTCCTGTGAGAACCCGGCAGACGAAGTGGAAGGGTGACTGGTGAACTTGGGCGGGACCGGAGGGACCGCTCCATTGCCTCCATAGCCTTTACCAGACTTATCGGAGAGGTCGGTGTCCCTCCTCACAGGGTGACGAGGGTGTTGAGACTCCTGAAAAGACACGTTGCCCGGTCGGGATGTGGTACGAACGGGCTGGAGGCGGTCGTCGTCCGTAGTTTGAGATTGAGCCGAGGGATCGGCGTAGGGATCTCGTGGGACAGACATGGTGCGTTATGTTCCTGTTGCTTATCGGTGGCGTGACGTGTGTGTTGTGCTGTGTAGTTCGTGTGAAGCTGAGAGTTCGAGAAAGTCTGGCGTAGATGATACTCGATGATGTTGCAGAAATGTTGAATGTAGGAACGCGATTTGATGTGATTGTGATCTGATCGACGATATGAACCAAGGGCGGCCGATGAAAAGACGAGGTTCAAGAAGGAAAGGGTAACGAGCGTGAAAGAGCGTGGGTCGTCCTCTGAGTTAGGCTGGATTGCCAATGGACTACAGAAAGTCGGAATTATCGAAGAGGTCGGAAATGGGCGCTGCGGTGTACGGTGATCTAGAAGGAGTCGTTCGTCTTTTTGCAGCGAGGTTGCGTTCCGATCGTCGTGAATGAGACGCCGTTTCGATCTTCGGCAGGATCCCTATTCCGACTTTGTGGTAGAGAAGAGTCGTACGAATCCTATTTAGACATCCGTATGATCCAGGTCGATAGAAGTGGGTAGAGCGGAACGAGTGGTTGTCGAGTCGGGAATCGTGTGTTTGTTTTGGATGACCCGCTCGCGGTACGCTATTCGTCGAGGGCGAAAAGGGGGAAGGGCGAGGGTTCCTTTCTTTTCTCCTCTCTGTGGTCGGAACCGCAGGATACGACAAACGTAGGCGAAGAGAGAGGTGAAGAGAGGTAGATTGAGAGAGGCGAATGAAGATGTCCAAATGCATCAGGCCTAGGAGGCTGACGAGAGGGAGTGAGCGAGGTCGCAGAATTCCAAAGAGGAAGAGCGAAGAGAGCGAGCGAAAGGGAAACACACACACACGCACTGCCTCTGCCTCTGCCGCCCTGCCCGCCGTGTGCCGTCGCTCTTGGCCCTCCTCGTCGTCCCGCACGCGCGTCTCATTTCATTCCCTTTCGCCACGCTAGCCCGCGCACCAGAAAAAACACATACCCCGGATTTGCATACAAGAAACAACAAAATCGTGTCCTCGATAATACCCAACATCAAGGACATACGACCAGCTATCGCTATGTCAGTTCACCTGGACATGCTGCACACCACCTCACATTAATTGATCTCTTTGTTTTTTCACCATGCCATCTGGAACAGATACCAGATCTGACTGTGCAATTCCGCCGGCCTGAGGGCAGACGATACAAGGTCAGGCGGCCGCCGGCGACGCTAGATTTTGCTGATTTCGCTATTTTCTCTGACATCCTCGTTGATGGCTGACGTGAGTTGGTTCGGAAAGTCTAGCGGCTTTCTGCTTTTTCTACTTCGTATTTCTACGCCCAGGTCCGCTCTCGCGTGGGCGATGTGAATTCCCCGAGGTCCCCCTCCCTCCCTCCTTCCCCTGCCTTTGGCTCGGCTCGGCTCTAACGCACAGCCACTCGAAGCCACTGCGCTCATCGAATGGAAAACGCGATTCACCATAGAACAAAGACTTCGGTCGTTTCATGTTTCATGTTTCGATACGGATCATCACGACGTCATCGACACCTTTCGCACGGCGGGACAGTAACACTGAAACGCTTCGACCACATTCAAGCATCTAGAGACTGGCTTGATTGCCCGCGCCACCTCGTTGCTCCAGCGATATCGCATTTCTTGTCCGTTGTCCGCGATGTTTCGATATGATGCACGCCTCAGGGATACCAGGAAGGCAAATCTGACGGACTAAAAGAAAGTGACATTAGGACAAGTACTTGGATCACCCACTCAGATCGCGGTGGTGAAGTAAAATACAGCTGCGTCTATTGCAGACTGAACTACGCGTAGCGAGATCGATATCGTCCCGTCCCGTCATGTTCTGAATCTCACTTTGGATACAACGAAGCTATTGGCTTGAGCGGCCCAAACGCCGTCTCCGAACATCTCGTTGATCACCAGAGCTCGAGGTTTCATGGCATCCCCGCAGCGACGTTGATGTGTCGATGTGAGGACTCCTCTGGTCCGAGTGGTTTCGCATTTCGACAGTTTCATATGTGTGATAGCAGATTCTTTGTGAATTCTACAACAGTCTCGTCTGTCTCCCCATCTCCCAATCTTCTCGTCCGCATTCGAAAACAAACGCCTAGCAACACCCTTTCCACACGCCCGCTCCAGCCCCAGCGGAAGCTCGAGCTCCAGACCCGATCTCGCTCTGGTTCTCTCCAAGCTTGTCCCGCTGCACTGCCTTGCCCACGATCCCTGCTCCAACGAACCCTCTGGCCAGACTCGTCACGGTACTCCGCGCCATCTCGAGCACGCCTACAACGCGATGACGGAGCGTGGCGTTCTCGCATGTTACAACCTGTCGTCAACAGAAAAGCAAGCAGTGATTGGCCCAAACAGCGGAACGGAGCAAGGAAAGAATTAACGGGATAGTCAGCCAGAACTTTATGCAATCAGGGGGGATATACTATACTGACCATAGTCATCAAGTCGATCCTCGCGACGACACCATCGACGTCAACTCGGATGACAAGCAGCTCGTCCTCCATTCCCTCCTTCTCTTGCATGAGCGGCACCGAAACGTCACCAAAGTGAGCGAGCAAGAAGAGACGCAGGCGGTGGATGTCACTGGTCAGTCGGGAAGCCGAGGTCGATGAGAAAGCTTCCGGAACGTCTTTCGGGGCTGCAGCATCGGACTTGTGGTCGTGATCATGGTCGTGGGCGTGTCCATGTAGCCGCGAAGTCACTAACGAGCAATCAAGCCGATCAGCTTTCCTGACACTTCGTCGGGCTTCCGATCATTCGACTCACGCTTGGCAGTGGCAAGGTTTGAATCCATCCCGGACAACAAGGCTAGTGCGCTATCCGCAATCATATCGTTGCTCCCGCTCGAGGACCATTCGAGCGACAACTCCTGTTCAGACACTTGTACAATCGAGATAGCGTTCATTACCTACGTCGCAATAGCCGGTCCGAGAAATATCAGCGAGGGAACGATGCCGGGAGGCGTCCTTGCAGGTAAACCGTGTTTGGTGACTGAACTCACCACAAACACCGGTCGACTGTCCACAACGTCCTCTTCCACCTCGCCGTACATCCCCTCAAGATGCCACTTCACCACATCCCAACCAACCCCGATTCTAACCCGCTGTCTCTGCGTAATCTCACTCGTGCCTAGTCCGGTAAAGTCTTTCAAGTCTTTCGGGTCGAGGAGGGTATACGAGAAATCTTTCGAGACGAGCAAACCGGACAACGGGTCCTTGTCCTGCGGGGGCTTCGACGCTAGCGAACCGATGACCTGTGGCGTAAACGAGCGACATGAGACGAGATGGTATGGGATTCGCTTTAGCTTGAATGCGGAGTGTGCGGGCTTGCCCTTCAGTGAGAGGACAGAACCAACCTTGACAACCCGTTCCATAGTGAAGCTCAGTTCGAGCGGCTCGCAATTCCGGGGCATATGAACCTTTGTATCCGAATCCGCAAACTGGCTCATCAAAGCCGCCCTTAATCGGCCCATCAACGATTGTTCTCCGTGCACCAGGACCTGATGATCGCAAACACGTAATCGATTCGTTCTTAGTTCGATCGCTTCCTGTGTGGTTTTAGCAAGTCTTAGAATCGAGACTGACGATATGTTTAGGGTTGACCTCCCTGATAAAGCTCGAATTTTGTTGGAAATCCACATGGGCGCTGAAGGAGATCTCGTCCACCGTCATCTTCCTCTGAATCTTGTTCCCGTGTATGCCGATAAAGTCGTCGGGCTGCTTCAGTAGGTTCTGCACAATGTCGAATCGATGCAGGCGCAAATACACGGGCAGACATCAGTGACTATACGTATGTTGGAGATCAGATACACTTGGATAGGGAGAAGACTGGTCGAGAAGGTGTGAACGGCATCTAAAGGGTATCTGCCTTTCTCGTCGATGATTCATATTCGTCATCGGGGGATTACCATATCGTACAGCCCACGCCCCGATTCTCCTACGCTGGCCACCGCCCTGCAGCCCAACGACCACACCAAAGCTCGAGCTCACCTTGGCCATGGTCCCCTCGATCGAATACCCGGTGATGACCAACCCGTTCTTCCTGTCCGGTGCCCAATTCTCCAGCAGCTCTCGACTATGGTACCCTTGCAACATCTGCGGGGTGGCCATCATCACACAAGGACCGGAATCTTTCCATTTCCTGAAGTCCTTGACGTTCCTCACATACTTGAATGCAAAGGGGTTGTCGTTCCTGTCCCTTGAGAAGCGTGACTTAACGTGATCGTTCATCGTGTGTATGTAGGTCCGGTAGACCTGCATCCCACGAAAGGCAAGCCCCGAGGCGTAGTAGATGGGGATGTTATGCAATTCCGGATGATTGGACCAATGTTCATCCAGGATCAAGAGGAGTTCTTGAACGTTCCCAAAGGCAGAGATTGGCATGAGGCAACGTCCTCCACGCCGTACGATGTTCGTGACCAGTGCTGTCCGAGCCAAGCCAGTCAAGTTTAGTCTTGACGTCAAAACTCCCTATGCTATGACCATCCACATCCATAGACGATACTCACTCGTAAACTGCTCCTCCTTTTCCTTTCTCGGCTGCAACGTATGTACCCCAAACGTACTCTCCGCAATCATCACATCAGGTCTGATCGGCGGGACTTCGGCCATGACCAAATGCCGATCTTCTTCCCTCGAATAGTCCCCCGTATAGAGCACGTTGACTCCAGCGATCTCTACCATGAACATTGCGGCACCTAGCACGTGACCGGCGTGATAGGGTGTGAAACGGAGCCCACCGGAGATGACGATGTCTTGGTGATAGTCGACGGCGATGATGTCTTGCCAGCACGAGTCGAGGTCGGCTTCGTTGTACAGCTTGTCACCCTGGTCCGAGTTGTCACTAGAGGTGCGAGATGAAAAGATTATGACAACTTCTGATAAGTGGCGAGCCCATGGGGCGGTGCTGCAAACGAAAGGATGAGGGGACTTGCCCTATTCGCACGGCGTCTTGCATGGTGAGCCTGAAGATCGCCTTGGTCGGATGCGTCATGTAAACTTTCCCCTTTCCCTCCCTAAAGTTGGTCTATGTCGATGAACGACGATTTAGCTAACGATTCAACCCTCAGGCTGGAGAAGGATACAGGCCAGCTTACCTTTTCGGTGACATATGGCAGACCAGCTGCATGGTCGACGTGAAAGCTATCATCATACGACCGTGTCAGCACGTCTATCAGACCTACATCCAGAGCTATACTCACTGAGTGATCAAGATGGCATCGACCGTGCTCCAATCCACTTCATCGATAAAAGGTAGTGCCGAGATCCCATTGTTGGCAGGGTGCAACCCGACGTCGCATACGACCGTCTTTCCTCGATGTTTGATCACGCAGCAAGACCGGCCGACCTCCTGACCCGCGCCTAGCATGCATATCGAGAGTGACGGTTGATCTTCGTCTACTTCCATGGCTGCAGTGTCGTGTCTGGTGTCTGATGTAGAAGGTGGCCAAGTTGGGACAAGTCGTATCGATTGCTTGACATTTATTACCATCGACTTGCTATGACCCCTGGGTTGAGGGGTACAGTACTCGGTCAGGGTCAGAGACGGACATCAACAGGTTTTTTCTGGTGTAATGTACATGTCCGTCCTCCCCTTCCCCCTTCGCGTTCAACCGAACCCTGACATCTTGGAATTATCTCAAACACACCGGCGCCGAAGTTTGATACCTCCTTACTAGAATTACCAGATCCCTGTACTGAACTGTCCAACAGCTCAAGAGGAGGCCGCGACGGCTCGACATCGGTACAAGGGAATAGCGGGAAGAGAGGAATTCCTCCAGGAAGACGAGCCTACTTGGGCCGAACCTCGTAGCTTACGTTCCTCCTCGCCTGTTTCGAAATCCCCGAAATCATGTCGAACGCCATGGCTTCGAGGCTCACGCCTCTGGAGAACGAGCTATGGAAGAAGCTCAAGGGTGCGAGGGATTCGGTGAGCTCTTGACTCTATGGGAAGTTTTGTGGTACTCGGACCTGATGAAATACAAATCGCCTGTATTCTACGTTAGACGTTGTCGGCGACCGACCTGCAGCGAGGTCTCACGCCTCAAGCAGCGCTCGGAGCGCTCAACGGTCTCATGTCCAAGGTGAGCACCCGCTCTAACCATACTTTCCACCTTATATGCTAACTTGGGTTTTGTACCTCTCGCTACGATAGAGCTTGATTATCACGAAACAGAATGAAAAGGGAGAACCGTTCTTCATGGCCGTCAACAAGGACGAGGCGAAAAAGCAAGTGTCTCGCATAATCTACTAGCCCCAATCTCTCAGCATCATCTCGACTGACTAAACGTTTCATTTTCTTCAGGACCGGAGCTTTGGATCAGAACGAACAGATCGCTTACAACTGTATCAAATCGGCCGGCAACATGGGTACGTTGATTACACTCCTGTACACAATCTGGAGACAAGCATATCTTGGTTCAACAGATTCTTGTATGCTCACTCCACTCTACGGGTCCGCGATCTAGGTATCTGGATCCGGAGCATCAAGACCGAGACCAACTTACCTCAGACGGTCTTGATGAAGGTGATGAGGTCGCTAGAGAAGAGGGATCTGGTGAAGACGATCAAGAGCATCAAGGTGGGTTTCGATTCGGGCTTCGAGTTCCACCTGTCTCTATGTCGTCTTCCTCGTCAAATGAGTCTATCGCTGACCCAATTCGACCAACATCTACGATAGGCGCCGACGAAGAAACTCTACATGTGTGTTGGGATGACGCCGTCAGCCGAGTTGACAGGAGGACCATTTTACGATGGGCATAATATCGACGTCGGGTTGATTTCGGACTTGTCCTCTGTGGCTTTGCGTTTCGTCCAGGAAAAGGTGAGGATGCCGGACTCATCATGGGATTAAGGGTTGCTTACGATAATCTGATTTGGCCTCGTTGCGTCTCCAGAGCTTTCCTCGAAAAATTCCCAAGCGGAGCAACATTCCAGACGAGATCTACGTTCCCAATCCCATCTATGCCCCCTCGCACACTTCGAAACTCCCCGGTCCCCAAGCGATCTTGACGTATTTCGAGAAGCACGATATCTGCAAGATCAAACTCGGCGTCGAACACATCATCCAAATCATGAGCATGTTGGTGTACGAAGGAAAGGTGGAGATCATCAAGCCGATCAAGAAGATGCACGAGGAAGGATGGAATTCGGATTTGGAGCAGGATGGAGGAGCTGCAGACGAGGACGAGGTGGCTAGGATCAAAGCGGAGCGGGCTAAAGTGGGGAAGAAACGACCGAGACCGGTGGATCAGGATAGCGATGCGGAGAGTGATGTGGATAGCGACTCGGATTCGGAGTCCGGGGGAGAACGGGATCGAAAGAGGAGGAAGAAGGACAAGGAGAAGGAGAGGGAGAAGAGCAAGGATAAGAAGCGTAAGGAGAAGGAGAGAGAAAAGGAAAAGAAGCAGAAGAAGAAGATGGCCAAGCTCAAGAAGGAGCTCAAAAAGACCAAGAAGCTGGAAAGGGAGAGGAGAAAGAAGGAAAAGGAAAAGGAGAGGAAGCGGAAGCGCAAAGAGAAGGAGAAGGCGAAGAAGGTGAGCGTGATTGCGTGCATGTTGGAGTACTGAGTTCTCCAGGCACGGGCTGATACTTATCTCTGCCTTTTTCGACTGCACAGAAATCGAAAGGCAAGGGAGACGATTCCGACGTGGATATGGACGGCAACGACAGTGATGAACTCGTATCGGTCAAGGACACCGACAAGAAGAAAAAGAGAAAGAAGAAGTCTTCCTCCTCGTCTTCTGAATCGGACAGCGACAGCTCATCCGACTCTTCCTCGAGCTCGTCTGATTCGGACTCCTCGGATTCAGACAGCGATAGCGATAGCGATTCTAGCTCGGGCTCGTCGTCCGACTCTAGCAACAGTTCAAGCTCGAGTAGCAAAGAGAAGAACAAACGGAAAGCCAAGAGCGAGCTTCCTCCCGGGAGTTACCTGGACGGGAGCGACCCCTTGGTCAACCTGGCGGACGGGATGGGCGGACGGTTCAATTTTCACGACAACTACGATCCTTTCCTCGACAAGGACGTCGTCTACCGAGCGGTCCGGACTTCCAACTTCAACTGGCCCGTCAACGAAGCTCCTTGTGGGCTGTGCCCCATTCAAGGGTTTTGTTCCGAGTCTGGACCAGTCAACCCGATCGGATGCGAGTACTACGGGAACTGGGACCCGAACGATTCGTTCAAGCTCAAGCTCGATATGCAGGGTCTGCTCGAGATCTGAGAGCGAGATCGACGCATCGAGCACTATGGCTCTGCCTTTCTGTATAATCTCTTTTCTATAAACGATGTCTAACGAGCTCTTGGAGAGCAGCCCCAACGATATGATACATGGTACATGCATGACTTTGCTCGAACTTGGTCCAGCAATTTCGAGATGGAGACTAACTGGGCACAAAGTAAACAAAGCGATTTACTTCCGAACACTCGTCTCTCTCGAGCTCTCGAGCTCTCTCCCGGGATCTCGCTTTTGGGACAATTAAAGTTCCATCTATCTTCTCAGGTGTCAGACCCTTGAGACCCTCGCCGGCCCTTCTACACACATTGAGACAGCGGTTTTTCCTCAGCCCATGGCCCAACAACTTCAAAGTATGTTTCCTGGGGGCGACTGAGGTCTGGACCTGCCGACTGAAACGGGCTTCTGTTACTTCGCTGCTCAGATCCGTTCGCTCAGGACTACCCAGAGACGATCGACCATACGTATGAGACTACCGCTCAGAGGTGCCGCTTCAACAATGTTCAAGGACCTTGGGCTGGAAATCTTCTCGCCACGGGCGGTTCCGATGGGATCGTGGAGATCTGGGATATGGAGATGACGAATGGAGCCTTGGTCCGAGCTTTCGACGGGCACGTCAAGGCGGTGGAGAGCTTGAGGTAAGTCCAATCGGATAACGAGCTACCCTACGCCGGTATCTAAAGCGCTAATGTCATCTCTGCTGATCAGCTGGTCGAGAAACGGGAGATATCTGGCTACATCGTCGAAAGACTGGAAAGTGAATATCTGGGACCTCGGCTATACCTTTTCAAACATGCCCGACATCCGGTCGCAACCTGAAGCGGGATCATCGAAAACTACCGTCACTACAGCACATCCAGTCTCTGAGCTACATTATAGCTTTATACTGGATTGTCCTCTCACCAATGCCGAGTTTCATCCGCAAACGTCTCGGGTGCTTCTGGTTACGAGTACGGTCAACGAGGTGGTGCTTGTCAGGCTTCACAACAAGCTGCAAGGATCAGAAGACGCTCCCTCGATAGTGAACGGGATCGATGCGGTTGAGAAAAGCGAATCAACCTCATCGGAAAGACCTAGGAAGCGACGGAAGCTATCAAGGGGGCACGAGGTTCTTCATCTACAAGCTTACACTAGGGAGGAAGCGATACAAATGGCTCGAGAGACGGCTGCGTCATCTCGATCTCAGCCTTCTGAGCAGGAGGAACAAGGGGACGGTGAGGAAGCTGCTACCGAAGGACCGTCAAACCCGCTACCGGACATAGATTTGAGCCTATTCGATGAGGCGCCGTCCCATAGGGAATCCGCCTCGTAAGTACGATCTGACCATATAGATCGTGATAGTGTCGAGTTAACATGAAGCGTGGATCTTTCGGGAAAGCACGAACCTGACATTTGCGACTTTCGATCCGAGCGGGGATCGAATCTATGCTGGTACGAGGGACGGGATGCTCTGGATCTACGACGCCAGATCGAGGTGGATCATCTGGAAACAACAAGTAGCGACCTCGCTCATCAAGCAGATCGCCTTTGACCGTACGGGTCGGTACATGGTTGTCAACTCCAGCGATCGGGCCGTACGGGTCTTGGCCATCACTCCTCGGATGGTAGATCCTGATCAACCAGAAGACCCGTTTCCGATCACCATACATCCTCTTCATAGGTTCCAAGACAAGATCGGCAAGACGCCTTGGAACAGGGTCGCTTTCAGTGGGGATGGAGAGTATGTGATGGGAGGCGCGGGGATCAAGACGTCTCATCACATTTACGTGTGGGATCGGTCGACGGGTGTCTTGATCAAAGTGCTGGAAGGGCCCAAAGACGCTCTTGACGACTGTGATGTGAGTTTGATGCGATTCCAGTATCAAAACAACTCGCAATACAAGCTGAGCTTGACAAGATAAATCATCCATAGTGGAGTCCATCTCGACCGATGATCGCATCCTGTACTTCAGCGGGAGAGATCAATATCTGGCAAACCACGACTAATGAAGCATGGAGCGCTTTTGCGCCCGGTTTCGAAGAGCTGGAAGAGAACCGAGAATACGTCGAGAGGGAAGACGAATTCGACTTGGTATGTCGAACAACTTGAATGTTCCCACAGTCTAATTGCTAATATAAGGGGATTTCTCTTCGATGATACAGGAAGACGAAGACGAAGTGACAAGAAGAAAGCAGGCAGAGGAGGACCAAGAGGTAGATTTCTTCACACCCAGGTTAGGTCTGGGAATGCTCGACTCGATAGCTCGAGAAGGGGACTATTGGCGGACAGAATGGGCAGACGAAGACAATGACCCGAGATTCTGGCCTCATGATGATTTGGCCCATCCGAACGATGAGACTGGCCTGGGCGAACACGGAGATGACGGATCCATGTAGTCTGCTTGTAGAGTTGTAAACGACACGAAAGGAACACCCTGGCTGCCTAGTGATCTAGTGATCTAGTGATCTAGTGATTGATATGTTTAACCGGATCCGAGGCCGCGCTTGTCCTCGACGCGCTTTCTCGGTCACTGAACACCGAGCATACCGCTCGGTCCGCTCTGTCAGCTATCAGACATGATCCAGGTCACTTTCACTCCTGCAAGCCGTCAGAGCGATCGACGAGTAGCGATCAGCGAGTAGTGTTGTACTTTTTAAATACGCACACCCCAAGTATATTCAGAGCTAGCTGCCTTTGGAAATCCTGATGTGAGTCTCGGCCGACGTGAGCATGATGGCGGCGTCATCATTCCTCTTGATCACGAGCTGACGGTATATCACCTGCATCGTGACATCGTGGCATCCTTTGGTAGGTGGAACGATTGACGTATAAAGGCCATTCCTCGCAGAGACGCACGAACCATCTACCCAGGCCGATGAGCACGAGCTATATTCACTCGATTCGACATCAAGATGGGAACAACGTTCAGCCGACCGAATAACTCTCAGCCGCAGGCAAATGAAACTGAACCTGCCTTTCCCGAAGAGGATGACGGGGTCGTCCATCATACCGACCGTACTGCGGGTCAATTGGGGAGGTCTGGAGAAGAACCACAGACAGCAATCGAGACGAACGGATCTCGTCTTCCAGGCTTCACGGATGAGGCTGTGACTGCAGGACAGGATCAATATGTCGAAGCTGGGCCTTCATCTCCCGCTTTCGACGGAGCAGATATCACATCGCCACATAGTACGACCGGCAAACGCAAGAAGAAATCCAAGGCGAAGAGCAAGGCCAAGAGGGTACATTCCGCTACTCAGGAACGTTTCTCTGATCAGGACGAGCCTTCAGCAAGCAAGGTTGCTAGAACCATTGAAGCCGATGTCAAATCAGAGGCAGCGGCTATCAGATCCCTTGGTTCCATCCGCCGCCTCAGGACCACTACGGAAGGGTCCGTGTCGAGTCTCCCAGCCGTTTCAAGCACCGCGCAAGCTGTACAACCTAGCTCTGCTCGAGAGGATGGTGAATTATCAGATGAAGAGCAGACCCCTGTCATACCCGCACCCACACTCGCGTCGGTACCAGTATCGACCCTACCGCTGCCAGTTGTCTCTACGAACATCCCTGCCGCCCCCAGAGCTACGACAAACAGACCGCATAGGGGTGGTCATGGTTGGAAGCACAAAGAATACAAGGACCGCGATGCTTTATCGACGGGACATTCGGTTCCCTGGCCGACCATGCCTCCTTACCTAGCATCTTCCAGGTCCTTTGTTCCTGAAACGAGCAGCAGGTCTCGACCTAAGGACACGCAGTCCGGTCTCAATTACGAGGACGAGTATACGGCGTCCATTGCTCCCGTCGCGTCTGGCAGCCAACCTCAACCGGTAACCACACCGCAATCTGATCCTCCTTGGCCCGTCTCCTCTCACGCGGGTAATCGTTCCACGCAAGTCAGTGGATACGGGAGGCGGTCTCATTTTACATCTCCTACCAGCAACACTGCGGTACCTCAGAACTTTCCCGTTCCTCCTGCCTTTTTCCGGCAATACAATGCAGAGACCTCTCGTCGGTTTGGTCCGGTTCCTCCAGACTCCACTCAAACCGCAGGAGCCGGTCCATCAACCGTCAATATGCCTCGTAACAAGAACCGGACAGCAGAGTGGGACGATGATGTAGATATGGAAGACCGAGGTACGTCTCGTCAGCGGATTCGTTGTAGGGCAAGACTTGATCGTGTCATCGATCGTCCAACAGATGCCGAACGTGCTTTGGAAGAGAACGACGCGATCAGACTAGAGCAAGCGAGAAGGTGGGCTGAAGAGCAATCGATGCGGATGAACCAAACACGTAAGGAGCCATACCTCAGTCTTCCTTGTACAAAAAGCTAGGGAGAGTATTAACGCAATCTACGTTTTGCGCGTCTTGCAGTCGACGCAGCGGGCTTACGTGAACTGATACGGCTGTTGCTACAACTTACCTCTTGGGGAGTGTCTACCACAGACTTTACTGAACGAGGTGTCCGACGGGACTTGCTTCGCGCTGTTCACGATGTCGCTTCTGTGACCAACCCTCTCCAACGTCCCGTCTCCCCTCCTCCTCCTCCTCCGCCTGTCGATTCGCTTCCGACGCCCCCGCCTCCGCCCCCTTCACCTCCAGCACAGGCTTCGCGCAGACAATCGATTGCATCATCAGTCGAGATGGACATCGCAACTCCATCGCCCGAGGTCCAACCCATCACAGTCAACCCATCACCTAGCGTAGAACCTATAGCTTTGCCATCAGTGCCGGACTCGTTGGAAGCAGGACCGCCTACCGCTCTTGCACCCGAAATGGCAGCGACTTCCGCCAAACGCCTCGATAACCAAAACGGGCTGGACACGGTTCAGGCAGCCCTCGAGCTTGTACAAGTACCCACGCCGAGCTCTGAAACGGTATCAGAACCGAGACCGGCCAGCGATGTTACTTTGATGCGGGCCAAGTTGTTGGCACATAAGCTGCGCAAGCAGAAGGAGATCAAGGATCGGTTGCGAAAGCTGCAAGCTGGTGAGCCCGAACATTTATGTTGCCTGCGTGCATGCCGAACTAAGCCTGTTGTTCATCCATCAATAGCCTCCACGCCGACCGAGATCTCACCCGAACCTCTGCCTAACACGAATCTTCCTGTGCCCCAGCCTCCATCTTCGGAAACTTCAGCCTCCGAAGCAGGTTCCAGCTTCCCCTCGGGTGAACGCCAAGCCAATTCCGTCGACGTCTCTCCCGTTCAACCTCTGAATGTCATGCTCCCGAAGACACCTGATCTCGATAACCAAACTCCCATCGTCACCGATTCCTCCCAATTCTTTCCGGTTCGGGCCAAGGCCTTTGGCCGTGGTCGCAAAGCTCTGGCGCCAGCTCACCCTAAGTCATTCATCATCGATCTCGATAGCGACTCGGATGACGACGACGCTGCAGCCGAGCAGGATCGTGCGGTTGCAGTTCATCAGGAAGCCGAAAGGCTTCATGCGGAACATCTGAAGAGGGAGATCGAGAAGAAGGAAGCGGATCGGGCGGCTCTGGAGGCCAAGATCGCCCTGATGGAGGCCCGGCGACAAGCCAAGAAGGCACAGGCTGCCCTCCCTCCCCTCCGCCAAAACAAGTCTGTATACCATCAGACAGTCACCATTACCGCCACTCTCCCTGAGCCTGCCGCACTGCCTCGAGGAGAGGCTATTGTTCAGGACCTGACTCCCAGTAACATCACACCTTCAGAGCGACATGAGCTGGATAAACCAGCACTGGTAGAAAAGATGACACCGGCTGCGAGCAATGTCTTGGATTCGCATGCCGCCATGACGCCACTGGAAGAGACTGCTGCTGCCATAGCAGGTAAGCCGGTAGTGACTGGCCTTGATATATACCGGTCCGATCCTGATCGGAAAGTATCTGTCACACTTGCCTTTCGTCACACAAGGTGGCTCACATGACCCCGCCTCGCATACGACGTCGGACATGAACATTGATCATGAGCACCGCTCGGACGAAATCAAAGACATGGATAAGGTTGTCATCTCCTCGAGCCCCCTGGTCGCTTCGATCCCCCTCTTTCCAGGTCGGACACACTTAGATAACCTTGGTAGTGAGACGGCACTTACCTTTGCGTATGCATTTGCGTGCTTTACATTTTTAGATGAGACCGACCTCGGAGCACCGGCAGCGTTGAAACCAGAAGTGAGTGCGGGTAAGAATCGTTTCCAGACGCAACCGACATTGAGTAGTTGATCTCTCAGTCGGAGCAGAATATCTCTCATGGTCAAGCCATAGAACGCAATGACCGGTCGATGCTCAAGTTGGCTCGAGACGCTTTCGACCCTGTTATGCTGAGTGAAGGAGAGAAGGCGCCGAGGTTTGCCCCCTACACACCCCTTCTAAACATGATACCCGTAGCCACCCAACAGCCCGTGAAGATGAAGACCCGTCGTAGCATCGCGGCTCCTCCCATCTCGTTCTCGGACGCTACCGGACGCCTCGACCGATCCGTTCTGGACAGCATTATTTGGACAAGGATCGCGCAATCCAAACCCGACGCGATAGTATGCGTGTACGAAACCGAAGGAGGAACCTGCTCGGACACAAGCTGTGAACACATACACCTTTCGCGGGACATCATCCCGACTCGTGAGAACCTTTCTGTCGGATGACGAGGGCGGAGCGGCATAATCCAAAGACGACGTGCCGGTCTTTGCGACGACTGGCTCGTCCGTCGATGTGCGATTAGTCACAAAACTTCGCCGTCTACGGAAGCCATCTCCCGCCCCGTGACTGTCGAGAGGCTAACATCGTTGCCTTTTTTGTGTTTCGGCGACAGATGAGGATCTCCTTCAATTGGTCAGCATCGTTGTTCCGGCATCATCTCCTGCTCATCCGACGCTTCAAACGGCTGCCTCGAGCATCTTCGTGGGGCCGAACGTGAAATCCAAGAAGGTAGCTTCGGTAAAGAAGAGAAAGGGTACTTCCACCATCAAGCAGAAGAAGATCAAGGCCAGCAGTAAACCGGGCGAGACGGCTACCGAGAACGATGTAGCTGGTTCATCGAGCACACCAGCGTCCGACCCTGCTTCTGCAAGTGCTCGGACGGTAGCGGTGGAAGATTTCCTGCAGGACGTGCAGCGAGCGATCTCTGTCGCCGCAGAAGCAGCCTAACTTTACTTGATACTTTGCAGCCGAGCCGAACCGCTTGGCGAACGAGAAGAAACTCAACACGACGGCCCACGCAACATGATGAGATGGGGACACGAGGTATAGTATTATGAACCGACTCCGATTTTTTACGACAAGCCCCATGAACAATTCTGGTCTCCGAAATACACGACCGACGATGGCCACCGACAAGAACCAATATAGACTTAGTCCCGAGCGGATAGCTCCGTCGACAGCTGGTCAACGATAACACGATGACGAGCCGTTAATGGTTGCCGGTTCTCCTCTATCGAATCTTCGGAGATCACGTGGGGAAGACACGATTCTGTTTCCCGACCCGTGGACTGGTATTCTGGGCTCTATTTGTAGAGAGACACGTTTCTGTGGAGTGTATACTGTTTTATTGCATGTCACATGCCGTTCCACCTGCAAGTCCTCGATGAGCATTCGCTGAGACCACCAACACCAACACCGACCAGTACCACCACACACCCCTCTATTCACTGATCACGTGATCTTGTGATCGTCGAGACGCGACTTGGAGGGTTCGGCGACGACGGGTGGATGGTAAGTCGATGAACTTGCAAACCTGTCAAGTGATCGGATAGTCATCGAGAATCAGGAGACATCTTTCTGTTCAGTATATCATCATCTGTACGGTCGGAGATTCCCTCTCCAATCTCCGGCCGTCCGATCAGATCAACCCGATCTCACGATGAACGATTTTGACATGGGTACGGAAGAGCAGGAGGCTGGACGAATCATCTGGTGTCCACCAGAAGATGAGAATGTACGATTAGCTTTATTGGCTGCTAGAGCACGAGGTAAGTTCGGCCATTTTGAATATCGTCGGGAGGTCTGCATGCTCACACCCGCTGCAACGAAGTTCACGACATTCCCGCCCCTCCCACACAATCAACAACATCAGCAAAAGCTCTTGTAACTAGAGCTCAGCAAGTCGAAGGATCATCTGGCTCGAGCTCTAGTCTCGGAATCTGCAGAAGGAACGCAAGGCGGCATCGATCATTGTCTTCCGCTACCTCTGGGCGAACATCCGCCTCGCCACGGCTAGGTCCTTCAAGATCTCTAGCAGAACCGTATCCGAGTTTGAACTCGACGCACGCTGGACAAGCACTGGCTACGAGCGCTACGAATCAGGATTCTCCGGATCGTTCTACACTCAGTACTTCCACTTCGACCTCCTCTACAGCCGGCTCGAGCCGCTTGGAGATCCTGCTGAACCTCGTACAAGCGAATTCGGTTTCACGTGTGGAGAGACGCGCTCAGCGGCAGAGAAGCATGGAGGTCGCTCAGAAGGCGAACGAGCAGATGAGACGGCAAGCTTTTGAGAAAGGCCTTTTACAGCGACGAGAGGATCATGTACGGCGGCCATATCATGACGAGGATGATCCTCGGACCGGCTTCGAGGTTGCCGCTCGAGGCAGTTCCGAAGAACCCCGGTCAAGAACACCGACCAATATCGACGCCCGGAAGACCACCTTGCAGCCGACGCGATCCCTTCCTATCATCTCTGAACTCCCGTCGATCGTTACCAAACCCCCAATACACCAGCCACCACCTGCCATCAGGTCGCCGGAGAACCGGTCTTCGCAGCAATCATGGGCCGGAGGAGTCAAGCCTTGCGGGCTGAGGGGAGGCGGGATCCCGCGCGGCCGCAGTGTAGGAGCTGTATCATCTGGAGGAGATGGGGTTGGACAAAGAGCCGGTAAAGATAGCGCAGAGTCGAGCCCTGCAGCTCCTCGTTTGTGCAGGCCTTTCAAAGCTCCCACGATGATGAACCGAAGACCGATAGTCCAGGATCAAAACTCGATGGAGGTCGAACCAGATCGAAAACGATCGAATACGTGCTCGGTCCGAGGCGTTGCTGCGGCGGTCATAACAAAGAGCGCTGCCGAAGCTCGATTTCCTCAAAGACCTCCACCTCAGCCTCTCGCTGATCGATCCCGCCATCTCAATTCGAACAATACATCCACTTCCACATCGACCTCTACATTAGCAAGCACCACGTGCGAAGCAACGGACACGGGAAACGATTCTTTTGACGATGATACTGCCGATATGGAGGGCTTGCTGATGGAAGGCGGGGAAGAAGTCGAAGCCCTGTTACGAGCGTGTGACGGAGCCTTATCATGAGCTTGGACGGGAATGTGATATATAACGACTTTGTTGCATGTATGCATTTCTTGACCGCATTGTGTATTTCTCGGATGGTCGGACATCCTATATATCTTGTAATTCTTAGCGACGTCGCTAGCATATGATATAGCTTTTTAGATTTCACTGCGAGCTGATCTTGCATTTCAGTACACATAGGGGATACTGTTATCAACGTGGTATAAGGTTAGCCGATGTCTGTGGCCCAGACGCGAGATTGACAAGCGGCTCACTGTCTGTGGACATCGGTGGCTCGAGACGCTAAGCGTCTGTTGGCGTGAATGTAATAAACTCGCATACCGATGAATAGTGCAATTTCTGCTCCTATGATGGCGCTGCAAGCTATGACTGCTGGGAGGTAAGTTGGCGCGTCTTTTGCTCTTGGGATCTGGGAGCCGACTGTTCGTGTGAAGACGTCAGGTTCATATCGAGCTATCGGTGATGGTGTGTGGCCCTACTGATGCTGCCAGCTGAATGATGGAACGGATGATCAGTCCCAATGATTTCTAGGTATGGCGCCCAGCTTAGAGCTTACCGCAAAGGGCTATAAACGTCAACGAGCTGGTAACTGTCTTCCTCGTTGGATTTGTGACATTCGATGGGATCAGAGTCCATACCAAGAAGCTGCTAGGAACCGTTGTCACTGATATCATCAAGCCCACCCATTTGGGCCACTGATTGGAAGGCGTGGCTGGCAACAGTCCGACGACAAGCAAACCAGCAAAACCAGGCACTAGCCTATGTTGGAGATGTGAGACATCGGTTACACGACGAGAAGGAAATTTGTCAAGATGCGCTTTGCTTACCCTGCGATGGCCATGACGAGACGGAAGTTCTTCTTCTTGTGACAAATCAGCCCGACGATGACAAACCAGAAGATGGACAGGACGTGCCGAGGAATAGTACCTTTGTCCAGCACCTGAAGCATGATAGAACGATGTTTAGCTAGGGCCGCTATGCGTATGAAACGGTTGCATCTGGAATCGCCAGATTCACCTCCAATGAAGAGAACCCGAACGATTTGTATATCAGACCTAAAAAGGCGGTATAGCGTGAATCTTAAGTGCTCATACTGGGTCGGAGCGAAGACATACGGCCGAAAGTTGTGATGACGGTAGACGGCATGGCGCTCAACATTGTCGCCAGCCAAAAGAAGTGAGTTTGAGGATCTCTCAAAGCCCTCGTCGCCTCTTCTTTGTCCCAGTTTCGGTGGCGATCTTGACCTACTAGCTTTTCAGCCTCGAGTCTGTCCTTGATCATCGCCTTCTCGTCTGGAGTGAGCCAGTGCAGCTCATTCGAAGTCCCTAGGGTGAAGTAGACGACTAGTGAAAGGAGGATTGTAAATCCCCCAAGGAAAAACGCAATACTGTATATAGCGCAGTCGTCACATCAGTTTGAAGCTTTTTGACGGTAGTGCTGTTCATTTGGCTCACCCCTTCCACGCAGCGAGGCCGTTGGGATGAGCGTCCGCGGCCTTTCCGATTCCGTACCTGCTCGCCATAGAAGATCGTTGAATACAGTACTGATGACGACAGCATCATGAACCTAGCACAGTCGTTACTCACATGACCCAATCGACAAAGATGTTGAAGCTTGCATTGGCGGATCCCCAAACCAAACTCCGAGTGACATGCTGGACACAAGACTCGTCTAAGTGGTCAGGAGGCTGTTCGATCGGGCCAATCTACGTACCATCTGCCTTGTATACAGGCTTCCGATGACAAGTACTGCCGTGGTAGGTGAGTATCTGCTTGGCGAAGTGTAGCGGGTCGAAAACCGAAACTCACGGATACCGGGTCTGATTCCCGGGTGATGCGTTTAGGTCAGCGTGGTCATTCAATCCATGACAATATGCGAGGGCTTTAAGCCTACTGGATAGCGCATTCAATACCGTCTTGAACCGCCCTGATGACCTATGGACGACGAAAGGTCGGCGACAACTTTCGCCGGACAAGAGAAGGGCTCTCTTGCTTACCATCAAACCGGCCCAATTTCGAGCGAACGCAACACACATCACGATGATACCCGTTCCCAAAACCGCCAGTGTCAGAACGATTCGCGGCGATCCTCTCTGTAACAGATATTGAGCGGGCTATCTTATGCTGATGAGTACGTACAGCGAAGATTTGTTGATTGAGGATAGGCAGGCTCACCCATTGACAGACGAGGAACGCGATAAACTGAAGGCTTAGTTGTGTCCATCTAAGCTATGATTGCGGTCGGTAGCCGGGATTTGAAACGCACAAAAATGGTATTCAAGTATGCAAATTGTTGTCCAACCAGGTGAGTGTCTTTTCGCAATCCCATACTGATGAGGAGGATGCCGATGAACAACGTTTCATATGGAAAGGTCGATGGCGATGGCGACTCACGTTGCCTGCGTCGCAAGACCCAGCTTGTCTGCTTGTTGAACCCCCTGACATAGCCAAATCACAGGTAGGATGACCATATCGACCTTGCGATACAGGCGACGCAAGTCACCCTCGTTCAAAGCCCGAGTACCAGCTTCGCAATTGTCTTCGGGAGCCTGTTTTTTGTCGTCGTCGTCGTATGCAGGTTGTAGCGAACAGTCTTGAGGGAGAGAGGCCATGTTGGAAAGCTGCGTCGCGCTGTACTTTTCGTTCGTGTCATTGTCTGAGGTATAGTTTGCTATCTGATTGCGAGGCCTTTATCTGATAGAGCCGGGTGTGGAGTTTTTTTCTTCGGCAAGGTTTACGTCTTCCTCGAACTGCGCGATTTGTTGCTATTTTCGCGCCTGAAACTGCGAAACGCGAACTGTTTCCACTTAGCGCACATCTTGGCGTATTTGGACGCAGTCATTTTCTACAGTAGGTTCGCAATGTGCTCTCTCTCTCTCTACCTCGGGTTGGTCGCAGCCTTCCTGCCGTGACGCAGGGTTCATTTCGTGAGGGTCACTTTACTGTGGGAAAATGTGTTGTTCGGGTCCCCTAGGCATTAGGTTTGCGTTGGCTGAACGTTTCGCGTTCGGCGAACACCTTCCACCGCTACTGCCGTTGCCGCACAACTATCGTTGTCCACCCAAGGAAAATTTCAGAGCGTCGCGTCGCCCTCCGCTTGTACCGATCAGAAAGAGTACTCTCTTTGATAAAATCGTCGCCGGGGAAAGGGGGGGGGGGGGGGCGGCAACGCGCTGGTCTTTCAGGTATATTGAAGCCACATTCAAGGGAGAGAAGTCAAGGAGGAGTCGCGATTGGGCTGCAGCCTTGCAGAGGAGGCGAGCCGCGCGAATGCATCTGATCGAGTCGCGCCTCGAGGTTGACAGCGGCACCATGTGCAAACGGGTCCAAGTCCCTTATTGTTTTCGAATGAGCAGGACGTAGTGCTTGCAAGTTCCGGTAACGAGGCTAGGTACGTATGCATATAGAATGAGGACAGAAATGGGTAAGACATGCTTAACTGTTTACCGCAGCCAGCCTCACTTTTACGCGCGTCTCGAGTGCCGCTTGTAGAGGCAAAGGCTTGCGGGCAAAAATGATATCGCGTCTAGAACATGATGAGCCGCAAAAGAGGCAAAAAGGAAACGTCCTCAAACCATTATATCGTCAAATATGCTCCCAAAAGGGTCAAAAAGGTAATGTCACTTGCCTGGATCGAACAAGCGACCGCACGAAAGCGAATAAAAGAACTTCAGTCGTGCGCTCTCCCAACTGAGCTAAAGTGACGGATGTGTTGAGGGATTATTGCAAACACATAAACAGTAAACCAAATACACCCAGCGACATATATACCGATATAGGGCTCGGCTGGCTTGACGGCATGAAACCCTCTGGGCCGAAGACAACCACCATATACGTGATCACTCAGGCACAAGAGGAAAGCCACCCCTCGGCGAGACATCTTAGGCGATTCGCAACTTGCGTTGCGACACTGCATGTGGCTGGAAGAAGGCTTGCGCCTGTTCCCGCCCTCGAGTGCCAAAGCTCAAGGGTCACACCTCATCGATGCTCTATAAGTAATCCACATCCAGACGACGCGCCTAGCATTACCGACCATCACTCGGCTGCCTACATGAGCTCAAGGGTCCATGCCGTGGCACTACAGTGGGGTTGAAGCCAGGAAGCTACCCCAGAACATCGAGAGGTCGTCCGTTGTCAAGTCAAATCAAATATCTTGATCCCCACTAATGTTACAAGGAGAGCTCGTCGTGGTCGCATCGTCAAGACATTAACTAGAAAGAAGCCCGAAACGAATATACCATCGAAAACCGATCGAATTGTCGAGGAGAGGGAAAGCAAGGGAAACAACATCATAATCATCACTCTAGAGCGCCACCGTCTCGTATTTGTCGTCCTTCATCGTAGACGACGTCTTCAACAGCGTCGCATCGTCATCCTTCTTGGCGTCCAGCTCGACCGACCCTCTTGCCTCGTCATCCTTCTTGAGCTCGGCGCCTGCACCGCTCGACACCCGTCGAAGCGCGTTCTCGTCCTTGTCCATCTCTTCCTCTGGAGTCTGCTTGAGCTTTTCCAACTCGGCCGACTCTTCCGCCTCCCTCTTGACATCATCCACGGCGACATCCTTCTGCTTTGACCCGAAGAACGAGAATCCTCGTTTAGCCAACGCGGGCATGGCAGAGACCGGGGTGGCCGACTCTGGCTGGGGCTGCGGACTCGTCGCGCTGGCGGGTGTGGGTGCTCCGCCCGTGATCCCTCGACTCCAACTGGCGACAAAGTTGGATAGAGGCGTCGTGGACGAGGCAGACGTCTTCATCCCCGAGTTCTCGGATTGTCCGCCGATCCGGAGAGGTTCGAGCTGGACGTTCCTGACGCTCGAATCCGCGCTGGGGATATCCCCCGCTTCCGACCTGATCGACGTGGCGAGCGAGTTGGCCCTGGACATCCGGTGGATGCTCGGTACCGTCGTCGTTGTCGAAGGGGCAGGCTGGGCTCCCCACATGTTGAAACCCCACCCAGACTTCTTTGCTGATGCTGCTGACTTGGCCGCTTCCTGTTGCGCTAGGTCCTCGTCCGTCTCCCTATCCGTCGGCAAAGGGGGCAACTTGATTCCCTGCACGCTCGACCCTTCCGCATCCGCTCCTGTACTACCCCCGTTCTGAAGTGCGATAAACTCTCGAAGCGCCTTGAGGCAATCTTCACTAGCCGTCCTCGCCTCGTGCGCTTCGGCCAATTGGCTTTTGAGCGAAGTCACTTGTGCCATCAACGTCATCGTCATATTGTCGTCGTCGTTGAGATTGACGAATTGACCCTGCGGCGAGGTACCACGCCCGTTCCCGCCCGAGACGCTCGACAGGTCCGAGACCGAGGTCAACGAGCTGAGCCTTTCTGCGATACCCGGTCGAGGTCGGGAAGAGGTCGAGGCTGCTGAGAGTGGAATATCGCCGTACGGATCGGAAAGGCGATAAGAGGGTTGACCGGATGGACTCAGGGTGAGGTTGTGAGACTGTGATCGCTGACGAGGGTCTTTGGGAGTCAATTCTGGGTTCTCGGCAAAGTCGTGCGTAGCGTTGGTAGGCGTGCTGATCGCGGCCTGGGTCATCTTGGGGGAAGAAGAGGGGGATACCGAACTGGCAATCGTCCCGAGCTTGAGCTCTCGCAGGCCTGTACGAGGGTTAGACGGGGCAACCGTCGCCTCGCCGCTCTCTGCGGGCGGACCAGTGCTGACCCTCCTCGCTCCCTGGTTGAAGAGCAAGCTCGCCCGCTTGACCCTTTTCCCGGTGGGCTCTTCCTGTGAGCCTAGTTCGGGGGAAAGAAGTCCATCCGCGCTCGATCCTCCCAGACCGAGCCCGAGCCCCTGACCGTACCCTGCCGAGCTAATCCTTTTATCCTCTCCTCCCATTCTCATCGTCCCGATCGCTTTCCTCGCATCTTCGACCTTGCCACGTAACATCTCGACGTTCTCCTCGGCCGCTTCTCTCTTCCTCTTTTCCTCCTTCAATTCGGTCTCGACGGCCTCTTTGGCAGCGGAGAGGAACGTCCTTTGGGTCTCGACGTCGGTGAGCTTGGAACTCGTCTCGGCGAGTTCATCTTCGAGCTCGGCATTGCGGGATTGAAGGCGAGACGTCTCGGCTTGGGCGGCGACGAGGGAGTTGCGGAGTTGGGCGAGATTCTCGGGGGAAATCGAGGCGGGGTCAACGGATTGAGATTTGTTGTCGATAGGTGCTTCCATGCTGCCAGGTTCCTCCTTGGATACGGGTTGCGAGTCGGCCAGCTTTACTTCGTCGTCGACCTTTTTATCCTCCTCCATATGCTTGTCCTGCTCGTTCATTTCAGCGACGAGGGACGATTGTTGAACCTCTGGACTGGTCGGAATGGCCTCATCAGCCGTGACGGCCGACATGATGGTCGATCAGTGAAAAGATAACCTCCGAACGAGCGGAATGTCTGATTATCTCGAGCGGTAATGGCTCTATCTCGCCGCGAACAAGTATGTTCGACGCGCAATGTCGTAAAGACTAAGTCTGGGTGTTGGTAGGAGTAGATGTGACGGTGTCTGTGAGGTCATACGAGGTTGACATGAGGATGAAGAAAGAAGAATCAGATTACTCGTTCTCATCAAGTGTCGATAGCGAGCGATCCCATCTGATTCCATTTTTTTGTTTCCGAAACGCGTCGAGACGCACGCGAAGTCGCAGCAGTTTCAGATCATTATTGCTCGGCGATGGGGGCTATGATCGTCATCATCATCATCATCATTATATAGTCGTCGGGGTCATGGTCATGTCCTACTCGAGGTCCATCGTACTCCCTTCTCCGACTCTGGACCTGGACCGACTCGGCTCCTCCGCGCTCAGGCTCCCGTCTTCATCACCATCCTCCTCCTCCATACTGACGCTCATGTTCATGCTCACGCTCATGGCCGTATTATTGTCCTCGTCGGCCTCGTCATAATCTGCTGAATTGTCCCCCGCCCTCTCCTCACTCCTGTCTTCATCCTCCTCCTCTTCTCCGTCCTCGCCCTCGTCCGTGCTCGTAGACCCATCCCCGTGCTCGCGACCCTCGCCGTCGAATGGTCCCGACCCATAGGCTTCGTCGAAGAGTGCGTCGATCCTCGCATTCGCGATCTCCCGCTGGGCCGCCATTTTGCCATAATTAGGGAAAGGAGGAAGGTCCAACAACCTGTTCTGCCCCATCGCCTGATGCCCCGGGTAGTCCATCCCGGTGAGCATCCCACCTCTAGCCTCCTCCCCAAACGCGAACGGGTCGAGGTCCAGATCAGTCAATCCGACGGGCAAGCCGTCGAACCGACAGGCGCCCTCCTCGACCTGTTCCTTCAAGGCCTTTTCCAGCAAGAAGGTCGCGATCGGGTCCGTCGTCTCGATCGCCAGGGCCTGATGGTACCGCTCGATCGCCGTCGTCACGTCGCCTTCTTCGTGCGCCAACATGCCCAGACTCGTCAGGGCGGAGATGTTGAGCGCGTTCAGTTTGATGGCGTCAGAGTATGCTCGTGCCGCATTCGACGGTTGACTGGGGTGAGTAAAGGTCAATAAACAGCTTAGGAGATTGGAGCCGAGAATGATTCAATTAGAGCTCACTCTAATCGACGATAAGCATGGCCGAGGTTGTTGTACGTCACGGCCCAGTCGGAAGCGACGCCTTGCATCTTCTTGCTTCCCTGGATTGCGGCTTCGTAATGCTTGACGGCGGCTTCGTAACTGCGGAGAAGCGTGGTTGGCGAAAGTTGTTACCCTGATAACTGCTCTCTCGAGCCCAGGAAGACTCACTCTCCACGGTTGTAGGCACAGACTCCCAATTCGTTCAACAGCAATGGATCCGAAGGGTTCATCTTCTGGGCCAACTCGAAACTCTCTTTCGCGAGTTCGAGATTGTTCAGATGGAGATGTTCCATTCCGATGCAAACGTGAGGGAAATATGACCTAGTGTACGACCGGGACCGAGCAAGAACTGATGAGCGATCGTGTGCTGGTACTGTCAAGATCGCAAAGTCTCACCCAGGGAACAGTCGAGCAGTGGTAGAGTAAGCGGTGATGGCGTGCTCGTGTTCGTTTTCGTATGCGAAACAATGCGCAAACGCGATCCAGGCGGGAGCGAACCGTGTATCCTCGTCGTGCGTCGCGCTGCAAAGAGGCACCGTTCGATCAACTTTCAGTTGACAACAGCTAGTGACAAAGTACCTTTGTTGCACTCACGCAAAGTATCGTCTCGCCTCGGCATATCGCTCACCAAGAAAGTACCACAAGCCGACGGCGTACCACGAGATGGGCGATGTAGGCTCCTGTTCGACCAATTTGTGCGCTAGCATGAACAAGGACGAAGACAATCGCGGAATCTGTGCGAGACAGGCGAGATGCAGGGGTAGACCTTGCGCGTGTCCGGGTTCGTTGACAATGATGCGGCTTGTGATCAGGTAACACTCTTCGTACTTGTACTTGGCAAAGAGGTCCTCGGCGGCGGCGACCCAGATGTCCGAATTGGTGCTCAAGTTGTACTCGTCGGCCAACTTGCGCCGTGCTATCCGAATTTGCTTGCCATACATGGTCTGACGGCGTGGCGACATTAGACCAAAGCTGGCTAGATCTGCAGACATGAACATCGCTTACCTTGTTCAGGCGCGATGTATAGACCAGCTTGACAAATGCCGCGTCCTCCTCTTCCAACTGTTCCCGATACGACAGGCTCTGTATAAAGTCCCATTCTGCCCAATTCGAATTGTTATAAGCGCAACACCGACGCTGATCACTTTTATGACCGCCGACTGACCTTCTTCGGGCGACATCATCTCGTTGACCAACTCGTTGAACACGTCGTAATTCCTGACATCAAGCGAGAGCGCTTCCATATAACATTCCTTGGCCATCTGTAGCGAGTTGAGCCGGAGGTACAGTACGCCCCGAAGTCTACACAAAGAGGCTTCCATCTTGAGATCGCCCGTCTCGCTTCGGATCTTGTTTCCGTTGAGTCCTGCAGATGAGTGGCAGGACAATCAGCGATTTGACATATAGAGGAGAAAGACTCAGGCCACGTGAGACTTGCCAGTGGCAGAAAAGGGGTTCGATTCGCCAATCAACTCGAGCGCGTCGGTGAATCGTTCTTGATGTACCTGAAATGGATGATCCGGACCGTCAACTCCAGCTTCAAGCACTCTACTATTCCCGCTTCAACTCACCATACATAGCGCCGCAAGGTATTTACATGGCATGCTCCATTCTGTCAACGCCTCGCCTGCACCTCTCTGTCCGAACCCTGTCCTCCTGACCTGCCCAGCCCGACCGACGCTATTAAGCGCACCCCATAGGCCTCCTTTGGTATTCCTCATCAAGTCCCCTATCCACGTCTGATCCTCGTCTTGTGCTTCATCCTCCTCCTCCTCGTCCACATCCTCGTCATCTTCAGGGATCCCGGCTCCACGGGGGAAAGGACCTATCATACTGAAATCTCTCAGACCAGCTCGACCTTTCCCCTTGCCCTTGCTTTTGAGGTCGGTAGCAGCATCCTCTCCATCCCTGTCATTCTTGCCGAGCCGAGGCATACGGGAAGGCGGTAATGGGCCGGTAAGGATCTTTTCAGCCCGGAGGTAATGTCCCATGAGGAAATGCGCTTGAGCCAGCCAAAAGGCGTCGTTTGGTTCGCCTGTCCTCAAGAAACGGGCACGGAATTAGAAACAACCGAAAGTAGAAGCAGATGCATTCCCTTATCGAGTTCTGGAAATCAATCAAGCTCACCTGTCCATGTAAAGATCTTGTCACCCCAAAAGGCGGCCGTCTCGTACAGATGCTGATGGATCGCATCGTGTCTCCATGTCCTCATCCTAGCGATCATCTCCCAACTCGGATCCACCGGTTCCATACCACCGTCCTCGTCGTAAAGGTCGTCATCATCTAGATTCATCATCTCCTCGGCATCGCCAAAGAGCTCGTCGGCGTTGACATTGAGCCGGGAGAATGAGTCCGGGTCTGTATTTTGGGTCTGCGGGGTCGAAGGGTGCGGACGTCGGATAGGCGTGGATTCTGGTATAAAGCTCGGTCCAGCGTTCCTGTTCTGTTTTGGAGAGGAAGAAGTGCCTCCCGCGGTGTCTCCTAAGTTCATCTCGCTGCCTGCCGAATCCATCCGCCCACCCATCCCTGGTCTTCCCAAGTTTCTCCCCGTCGCCAACCTCAACAGGTCATTACCCCGCTCGCTATTCCTCTCGCCGCTTCCCTTTCGATCCCTCAGACGACCGGTCAACATGTTCATATTCCCCGATCCGGATTTCATATTGTGCGTCGGCAAGGGAGATTCTCCGGTTCCCGTACTGGACATTCCGCTAGAGGCATCGCTGTATCGAGGTCGTTTCAGGTTTCGAGGAAACGCGGCTAAGTGACCCGGACGGCCTCCCACACCCATACCCATACCCATAGGAGATGATGGAGAGCCGTTCCTCGGCGATGCCCCGGTGCCCGTCGCTGCCGACGACGAGGGGAAAGGAATGTACGGGCCGAGGAGTTTGGGAGAGACGGACAAGAGTCCCGAATTCCCTTGTCCCGCAGCGAGGTTCAGCAGTACAGCTTGCTCCCTGTTCATTCCCCCGTAACTTCTTCGTGGAGAAGCGTTCGATCCTCCACCTATTCCTGGTCGCACTCCTGCTCCGATACCTCTCGCAGGCGTGCGCTCATCTAGAGACATGTCCTCCGCTACACCCGTATCCCCCGCCTGTTCCTGGTTCGCCATGGCCTCGTTGGCGATGACCTGTAATCTGGCGAGAGACAAGTCCGCAACGAGATCATGAGGACTCGAGTTGCCCGGCCCAAAGGAGAAGCGTGATGCTGTGGAAGGGCGGTGTGACCTCAGGCGATAAGGTCGAGAGTCGGTGTTGGATCCGTTTGATGAGCCGGTCGGCGGTACGAAACGGTTGTAGTCCGGGTGGATTGCAGGCGGAGGGGTCTGCATGATCGCTGATCTTCCCGTTTCCGGGCAATTTAAACTCTCGAGCGGACGATGACGAACGGTACCGAGGACGATGATGACGGTATGATCGAGATCTCGCTGCAAAGAGATTGATGATGCTTGCTCTTGACGGTGTTGAGGATGTTTGTTGTGTTTGTTATGAATCGCTAGAAATATAGCTGCATGCCGTCATGGATGCCATAATAAACGCTAGTTTCCATGTAGACCATGCGCAGAAATCTAGCGAAATATATTTGATTACGTAACCAAAAGCGAAACTCGCACCGACGTTAGGAATATCGAAACAACCTCCAGACCCTCAGGTTGACGAGACGAACCGTCTACCTTTTTCAGTCTCACATTCCTGCTGCAAGTCGTTGTATTTCGATACCATTCAGCCCAAGCTAGTCATCCATTTCTACGTAGTTCAAGCAAACACATCTGCTTGCTTTGGTCCTTGGGATGGACGAGGAAATCGAGAGCATCTTCGAGGATGGACTCTTGAGCCTGTTCGATCACCATCCCGTCGCATTCTCCACTCCTTCGCCTTCTCATCCTTACATCTATCGCCCCTCCTCCGTACCAACGCCACCAATCGGATCATCCGGGACTCACGATGGTCTAGCATTGGACTTGGAGATCCCCGTCTACCTTCCCGTAGCCCCCTCGGCGCTGCACTCGACCTTGCAGTTGACCCACATCTGGCTCAGCTCCATCTTCATGGCCGACCTCATCTTCTCCTCGCATATCGACGTGAGATCTCTTCGGATCTGTGAGCTGGGCGCTGGAGCTGGGCTTCCGAGTGTGTCTGCTCTGCTGAACGTCGGTGCAGAGGCTGGCTCGGTCGTCTCGACGGATTATGCCGTACCGGAGCAGGACCTCCAAGCCGAAGACGGGAGAGCTCAACCGGAAGACGTCCTGGGTGTCCTTCGAGGAAATTTGAAGAAAGCTTCGGAGATGCCGAATCTGAAGAATGACTACGGCAAGGGCAACGGCGTGAACGGTAGATGGGCGGTCGTAGGTCACACATGGGGAGAACCCGTAACGCAGATCCTCAATTCTGCACTCTCAACCGCAACCTCTGGGTCGGCGTCATCGTCAATTCCATCGTCCAAATCCGCATCAATCGCATCTGAACAATTCGACCTCCTCCTCCTAGCCGATCTCCTCTGGTCGTCCTCCTCACACATAGACCTCCTCACTTCCGTCCACTCGCTCCTCAAACCCGAAACCGGGATCGCTCACGTGATCGCCGGCCTGCATCAAGGTCGTGGGGCCACCGAGCGTTTCAAGGCTTGCTGGAAAGCACAGGGAGGTTGGGTGGAAGAAGTCCTCGAAGTCAGGTGGGGAAGAGAAGGCTGGGAAACGTTCGAGAGGAGGAAAGACGGGCAGGTGATCGGGGATGAAGAGAGGGGTGTGATCGTCTGGTTCATGATCGGACGATGAAGGGTTGAGCAGTCGATCGTTGCTTCCTGCTCCAGTCTCGACGTTCGCGGCATGCCTGCAATAGACCGAGGCGGTCTCAACGATCAGATTGATCGACTCCCGCAAAACCTCTCCATGTAGGACACGTTGCTCTCGAGGGGTATTTTCTGTACTCTGAGACCCGGCCGTCGCCCTGATAGGCAGCGCCAATCTTCTCCTGCGGGGCCTCGCAATCTGCATTGGCTTGGTACTCAAAATACCTCTCGAACACCTGGCTGGACTATCATCTTGATAGAAGATCGATCTACTGGGAGATTTTCGATGTCCTACTTCCACTTGGAAGGGTACATGCAGCATAGGTCCGGTCCGCCGATACACCCTGCGTGTATCGCAAAAGAACACATTAGATGTTGACCATGGGACGCTTGGCGATTCGCCGGAGACGGAACGGACTGTAGTGTTATGTCATCCTCGCATATGGAAAGCATCAGGAGAATTTCGTATGCAAAAGACACCGGTCGCATGTTTGCGCTGTATCGCGTTTCAAACCACCTTGTACGCTATATAGTAGCTCGCTCTGCTAACATGACTACTATCGGCCTCCGACCTCACTCCTCGACAGAAGTTGCCAGTCAATCGCGCATGATGCTCATATTCGGGTCAGCACATCTACGCCGTTCTCGGTAACGAGCAACTGATGCTCAAACTGCGCAGACCGAGCGTTCGACTCGGTGGCATACGTCCATCCGTCGATCCAGCCGTACCCTCGGCTTTGGTCGCCTTGGACCAAACACGGTTCTATGGTGAAACAGTGCCCGGGTTGCATCAGGCCTGGGAGGTCATTCTCTATGCACCGTTCGATCATATGAGCTTCAATTCACCATGCAGTGGGAAGGCTACCGCAGCTGGCTTACTGTGATGTACGATCCAGGGGGCAGTATGAAAGCGTTCGCCGATCCCATGCCTGAGCGACAGGAAGTTGAGCGACTATACCAGCCCTTGAAAGGCGCGCGCGCAGCTTACCCCGTGAATTGCCGGTTGACCGAAAATCCATGCTTTGTCGCAAAAGCTCTGCAGTTGAGCCAGAGTTAGTCTCGGGGGCCGAATGTCAAAGAGCGAGACAGGCCAAGCGATACCTACTCTATCGCCGTGCCAATCTCGCTAAAGGGCAATCCTGGTCCGCATTTCCGGATGCCGACCTCCAGAGCCTCTCTTGTACACTCGATGAGCTCTTTGCCCAGCGTATCTATTGCCGGCAGGGCGAAAGTCCTCGACGTGTCCCCATGCATCCAGACGGGAATCGTGTCATCGTCATCTTCCTCTTCGGGAAGCGCAGAGTAAATGGTCACGTCGACGTTGACCAGGTCGCTTTCTTCCAGAGACCGTCTATGGCGAGAAGATCGGATCTATGGGGTCAGACCCCCACGGCCGGTGTATGGTTCGGAAGGAAGGGCGTACATACTCGTCCGGTATTCCATCTGGCTCGATATGCCAAGTCAGCGCCAGCTGACGCAACGAACATCAGAGGTATGCTCACGACATATGACGTTGTTCACGCTTGTTGTTACACTCTTCGGAAAGCCTTGATACCCAAGAGGTGATGGGTATGCGTCTCTCGCCAGGATCATACCATGTATCGTTCGATCCAGGTCAGTCGTCTTTGCGCCTGGCTGACTTGTCGTGTCGAATGTCAGCTCAAGAGTATTACGCTACATGCCTCACCTGAGGGCTCACCTGAATGAGCGTCTCCACGTCTCGGAGCACTTCGCTCGCTATCCGAGCGACATGCCGTATCGTCCGTTCCTCCACTCCTCCAAGAGGTATCATTCCGATACCCAGCGAACTCTCCCCGATCCCGCTATCCCCCTTCCAGCCTTCCAGATCTTCGAACTCGTCGTCAATTACGAGCTTCTCATCATCCGAGTTCCGGCTCCAAAAGTTGACGGGCACGTAAGACGGTCGGATGATGGACAGGGGTACAGGAAGGGGTCGTGTGAAGCTCGCAGGTTTTCGACCCGCTCTGCTTCGTAGCGGCCGCAAGACGTCATATTTCCCGTAGGCTGTATCTCGAAGAGGTCGCAGTAGGCTCGTAGATGCCTTCATCTTGATCCGTGTCAATATCAGCCCAAACACGAAAGTCGAGGTCGATGCCATGGGTTGTGTAACTTTGATAATCTCGAAAGTCGACCCCGGGAGCCGACCTCTCGACGATTTGCTTCCGACAGAGGAACGAGATGACGACAGCGAGCGCCCAGCAGCGGGTTTCATGTAGATTCGCTCAAGAGGGTTGAGAATTTACAACTTTGATAGAACTTTACAAAGGTGGAGTTAAGATGAGGAGGATGTGGCGATCGCTCGCCATGTCGGTCATGAAAAGGGGCGTGGTTCTGTCGAATTGGCTACATGAGGGGGCTCGATGTCTTTCAAGGGACCAGGTCAAGATCGGCCCGTCAGGCGGTCCCAGAAGGATGGTTGCGCTGATTGAGCATTTTGCAGCGTATTGGATTGGGTGTTACTGGTGAACAAGAACGGGTCAGACCAGTATCGATGTGATAAGGTAAGAGGCAGGCTGGGCTCACTCTTCAAACGCTCTAGAGATGATGTCGGCCGGCAAGTCGGTAGGTACGCCATCAGCATAGCCTAAGCCCGTAAGAAGAGGAAAGCATCAGTTGCAATCGATGATCAGACAGGCGCATCTCCTTTGAATACTCACGGTACGGATCCAACGGCGCATATCCGGGTGGAGGCACATCGCTCGAACCTGGACCCATTGCTCCGGAGACCAGCGCATGTAGCCTCGCTTGCAGACCGTCCTGGCCGACAGAAGCCAACTGCGCCGATCGCCTGGCATCCCGTCTCTGCCTCCTCCTCTCCCTCCTCGCCACCTCGTCCTCTTGTCTGGCCGTCTCATCGCTAGACCCGCTCTCCCCACTCGCTTCCTCGCTGGCTCGACCGCCGAAAAAGTCGTTGGAATTCGAATGGCCGTGGAAAGAGTGGAGCGAAATGTCGAGATGATTGGGTGTAGGCGGGTTGTGCGGCAAGGGCGAACCACCAGGTGACGATGGACGACGCAATCCACCGGGCACAAGTCCTCTCGAACTGGACGCCGTACTGCTTGTCTCGTCCTCGGTATCGGATGCCACCGACGTCGAGGCCTCGACATCAACCTCGTCCGCCCGACCTTCCTCGAGTACGCTCGCATCGGGGAAAGTCCTATTTAATCTCGGCTGATCCGTCGGCGAGTGATACCTGCCCGCTACCGCCTCGTTGCCCCGTCGTCTCCCTGTCCTCGGGTTGATGCTGGCACTTTCCCCTCCTAGGTGATTACGGGCGGGTAGGGACCCTTCCCTCAGAGGCGAAGGGACTACCGGCTGAGACATACCCCTCCGGTGTCCCTGCTGCCACGCGGCAGCTCCACTAGGAATAGGTCGACCGATCGAGTTTGACATGGATGACGACGAAGCAGCCGCCCCCGCCTGCTCGTTCCCCGCCCCCGACTGATTCTCATCGATCAACCTCCTAGCCGCGCTCAAGACCTCTGGCGTGATGCTTCTCGCCCCCGGAGTTCCGTATCCGGCATCCAAGAGGATACTCCCCCTCTCGCTGCCGTAAGCGGGCGGAGGCGCCAGGGTGCCCATCATCGGTGCCAACCCCCACTTCTTGACGTTGGCCTCGATAAAGACGAACCCGGCCTGGCCGAGGTTAACGTGGACCGTTGCGGGACCGTTCGCACCGATGGCGGGGAAGAGGTTGAGAGCGGCGAGTCCAGTGTAACAGTCTTCCAGCTTTTTCCCGTTTCGCGTGAAGAACATTGTGCCCGTCCTGGGTCTGTACCCGACCCCAAGCACGTCCCCCTCGGCCAATGGGGGTCCATACGAGGTCGATGTGAACGGGTAGTTATGGCACCTAAAGCCGTCTGAAGAATGATATCCCATCGACACCTTGGCATGCCCGGGCATCCTGAAACTCGGGAAAGGTCTTGTGGCCAGCCCGACGACCACCTCGGTCGAGCTCGGTTTCTCGTACATCTTGGCTTCCCAGTAATATACCTCGTTGAGCTTGGGAACGGGCAGGTTGGCGAGGACCGTGTTTCCACCACCTTCGCGGGTGGCCATGCCAGGTCCGTCAGAGAGAAAGGTGATCTCGGTGCGTGATTCGACGTAGAGGGACGGGTTGGATTCGTAGTCGGGTTCGAAACACCAGGCAGAGACGCCCTTTTCCTGGATGGAGAGGAATTGTGAGAGGGTAATGTCGGTGGCGATCGACGAAGGTGGGTATTGTTGTTGATATTCTACGATTTGTCCAACATGTCGAGGCACGTAATTAGCCTCGCTGATTCTGCCTGTGACCTATCGGCGCTCGACGACTCACCCTTGGCCCTCCTATACCCCTGTCTCTCATCCTCGGAAGCTTCTTCCAACCACCTCGACTCTACGCCTGCTACCCCTCCTTCACCGATGACTCCGTCGTTCCTCATCACGTCCAGAGGACCGCCGTCGTCAACCAACCTATAACATCGCGAGGACAACCTTATTAGCAACCGGTACCTTCAACCCAGATGATCCATATCGAGCGACATGATCACCGCATGCCTACCAAAACCCCATCGAAGACTCACTTGACGCGGCTCTTTCTCCTGAGCACGATCAACCCGATCAAGAAGGCCAACAACATGAACAACAACGTGCTCAGTACGATCAAGATCGGGAGTAGGATGTAGAGGACCGGGGAGCCCGAGTTGGGTCGATTCCCCCCGTTTCCATTATTGCTATCGTAGCCATTGTAGCCATCGTAATTGCCGTTATCATAGGGGGAACCGAAGATCCCAGTGACGGAGGGGGAGTTGAAGAAGACGTTTGTGGACATGTTGGAAGAGGTGTAGGTCGATAGATCAGAGTAGGGTCGGGTTGTGGTTACTGCTATTCTCGGGTGCGTCGAATGTGGTCCAGATCGGTCGACTAGATCAATCCGAGACGTATCCAGATGTGCGTATCAAGACTGTATGTAAGCCTTGCCGTACACGACGTCCGTTTTACTACGAAGGAGCTCGTTCTGTTCTGTGGCAATCACGTCGATCCTTCGTAATATACCATCCACTCGGCTCAGACCGTGTCGATATCCGTACGTGCCGATCCTCGTTTCGTCCCAGAAATGCCAACCGGATGATCTAGTGAGTGAATGTATCGCTTGTGAAGTTGTTGGAACCCTGCGATATTGTTGGATGGAAGGTCCAGGTAGACAAGGGGCAAGGGGGAGGGTGGAGGATGAAAGGAAGACGAGCGTATGTGTTCGAAGTTGGAGACGTCGAGAGATCAGGGCCCGAACTGAGGCGAGGTGTTGCTGCGTAATCCCCGCGCGATTAGGTCGGATTTGGATCGTAGTCGACGAGGATATACGGTAAGAGCCGGAGTCACGGAGTAGTAGCTCAGTAGCTATGAGGGAGGTTACCGATTGGCAAGAGTATGTTTAGTCACGAGCATAAGCATGTTGGCATATCCTCGGCGCTGATGCTACATCATCCCCGTCTGCCGTCTGGCCCATTCCTCGCACCTAGAGCCTGCCTCAGTGCCGGATCAGGCCGCGCTTCATATCAGACGCATCGCGAGGACCGACCTCATCAAAGTTCTTCCCAGTTACAAATCTACAGATGCTACATATCTACAGGGCGTACGAGTGCTACTCGACTGGATCAATCGGAGAATGCATCATTCTCTGAATGCGGGCACCAACAGTAATTTGCGCAGAGAAGGAGGAATATGCACGACTAGCGGGTGATGAGCGGCAAGATTACTACGATGAAAATCTCAGCCGACCTGCCGGCTAGCCTCCATATCGACCATGCGTAAAGGGAGAGCGCACGACTTATTCCCACATACCAGATACTTCAGATCTGTCATGCCTGTTAAGCTCTGATCACCTTGCAACTTGATCGAGCTCAAGACATGCGATCTTGCGACAACCGTGCACTTGACTCCGGACATCCCCGGCCGCCTAAGGGACCTCTGGGCTGATTTGATTGATAACCTGATCCGTGTCTGACGACCATGACGTGTCATTTTCGCTTTCTGGTGGTTCGTTTTATCCCGCGGTTCATTGGACGAAGATGCATCGAGATCATCAAGGTTCCCCGATCCGAGATCACAAAGTATACCCCCTGATAGCCACTCCGCTTGGAAAAGGACGCATTACAATCTAGCTCCCATAACCTTATACCCCCTTCGAAAATGGCCTTCCGATCTGTCCTCCCCGCGCTGTCCCGACGAGCGTTCGCTCAGCCCACCGTCGCCGGAGCAGCGGCGAGGAGCATCTCGAGCTCGACCGCTAGGCAGAGCGAGAACTTGTTCGTCGTAAGTGTCGACTCGAGGTTTCGACGCAGAACTTGAGTCTGGAAGCTGGAAGCTTTACGGCGAAACGCCAGGTAACGTGGGAGATGATGATGTACTGACCCGATGGCTTGTGTTTGCGTCGATTTGGGGAATATAGCACCGGGATACCGATTACAACAACCCCAACGTCAGTCCCATACCTCTCCGCCTCTTTCCACCGCTCTAGCTAATCTCAAACCCGTTCATTCTGTTGTTGCCCCGCTACAAAATTCCCGCTTCACACATAACAACCATAATACCGTTCGACAAACACAGATCCCCTTCAAGTTCAACGAAGAATACGCCAAAAAGGTGCAGACCATCATCTCCCGCTACCCGGCCCAGTACAAGAAGGCCGCCGTCATCCCCGTACTCGATCTCGGGCAGAGGCAAAACGGATGGACTTCTCTGGCGGTGATGAACCATGTGGCCGAGGTCTTGGAGATGCCGAGGTGAGTCGTCCGGAGGGGGTGTTTCGTATGGGGGAAGAAGGTACAGGGGGCTAATACGATAATGGGGTGTTTGTCGCTTGACGTTTCGGATAGAATGCGGTATGTCGATTCAACCACCCCTCTTCAGGGGCGATTCCCGGACATCCGACTGACCCTTACCTCTGCCTTGTTTTCCGCTTTCTTATCGGCCGCCCAAACAGAGTTTACGAGGTGAGCCTTCTTCCCCTCCTTCTTTTATATGCTTGCATTCTCGGCGTTTGGAGAAAAGGCAAGATCACAGTGCTGATTTTCGTATTTGCTATGTTTCTGATATCGACAGGTCGCCACTTTCTACACTGTACGTTTTGTCGAAAAGATACAGAGCAAGAGAGAGGGAGAGAGATAGCAAGAAGCAGGCAAGCTGATCATTTGATGTTCTATCGTCACCCCTCACAAATATAGATGTTCAACCGGTAAGCTTGTCCTTATACGCTCATCCTCAGCTTGAAAGAATTCCGACTGATCCGACCTCGATTCGATTCGTCACGACGTCTGTAGAGAACCGGTCGGTAAACACTTGATCTCGTTTTGCGGGACGACACCGTGTCAACTCGGAGGCGTCGGTGCCAAGAAGATCTGGGATTGTCAGTGACAAGCGTCTCTGCAAATTTGTTGGCGCAACAACGTCGAGAGCTGACTTATTTCGTGTCACAATTCGCCGTTGCTTCATGTAGCCATCTCGGGACATCTGGGCGGATTGAAGAACGGAGAGACCACCAAGGATGGCAAGTTCACCCTGATCGAGGTCGAGTGTCTCGGTGCCTGTAGCAATGCCCCAAGTAAGCCCTCGAGCGACTTGCCATCAATCCAAATGACATGACCTCGCGCACATCCCATGCCTCAAACGTTGACACCGGTCTCCGATTTCGAACCCGTAGTGATCCAGATCAACGACGACTTTTACGAGGACTTGACCCCGGAGACGACGATCAAGATTCTCGACGCGCTCGCCCGTGGCGAGACCCCCAAGCCGGGTCCTCAGAGCAGCAGGAAGACGAGTGAGAACGCTCAGGGAATGACCACGTGAGTGTCTCTTTGGTGATTTCGGCTTGTCCTGTCTTGCCCGGTCAGATGTTCGTGGAGGTAACGAACGACGTCGCTGATCATCGTTTGCTTGGCGGGGTACAGTTTGACGAGCGCTCCTTATGGACCCGGGGAGCACTGTCAGCCCGAGTTCCAGTAGATGGAGCTCGTGAGACTTTTGACGCATGTCTTTTTCTGTACCAAATGATGATCTTAATGCAAGCGGAGCGAACATTGGCACTTCTGCTTTTCTCGTCGGCCCTCTCGATTCCTTCTCGATCAGCTTGGTCTGGCTCGTTTCCTTCTATTTCAAGTGTCGAAACCAGCACCCGCGCGACCCTTTCTTGTGTTTCGGGTTTCATGACTCAGGTCACCTTGCAACCCTTCTTCTACGGTCCAACTGAATGGTGTCAGGTCGATCGTCACTTGCGCGTGTTTCTGGAACTGTGAATTTTTCAAGGGATCTCCAGAGGCCAGAGGAGATTTGACTCTTTCTCCGGGTCAAGCATGATTCCCGCGCGCTTCATCGTCACTCGCCACTTACCACTCATCGCTACTGATCAGCTCGACATGTCTTCTTTGATAGCCATCCTTCGACAGTTCCCGCTTACGCACTGTTCATTAGGCTTTCATAAGGGATAGCCTAGTCAGCAGACGAGCGGTGCAGCAAGGATTTTACGCCTTTCGGCTTGTAACGAGTACCGCACTCAGCTAGTTCGGTCCAGGACAACGAGACGCATTTCCGGCCCTTTCGACAGCAGTGACGAAAGCTTGTCTCTCCTTCCATTATCGATCATACCAGCTGCACCGCCTGCGAGGCATGTCATAGCGACAGCATGAGCCACAGTGGTCTCGCCCAGACCAATCCGTCAGATTGATAATTTTAGCACGCTCTGGGCCCATCCACTCGTGGGCGCACCGGCCCTTTACGCTTTACCCGCCTCCACATACTCCATTCTTACGACATCACACGTTGCTTCTGCATAGTCAACTACCTTGTCCAGTGACCTGATTTCTTCCCTCATTCTTCATATTGAGCGCCCATCTCAGAAAGCGTTGTAATCTCTTGTCATTCTGGGCAGATAAGGTGAGGTCCGTAAACGGAGCGCACTGGGCCATCACTCTACACTTCGTCGCGAAGCCCTCAGGTCAAGCAAATATGGAAACTTTACGGACCGGGAGTCGCGTGATGATCCTCATGTCCGCTGCTGTTCATGGTACCAGTATGTGGTCTATATGCGCATAAGGATCCTCTATGCATGAGGCTGAATACAACTGTTTGTTTGGATGAGTCCCCTTGGTAGCCACTTTCTATTTCCGGCTTGATCCGGTTTATGTCTGCTCTTCGGTAAAAGTGCCCGCTACGAGGCACAGGTTTCGAGGGGTAAAGTGGGTGGTCGTGATTGGCGTTCTCTTCGTGTGATATGTCGTTAGTAGATCCGATCTACAACCAGATTGCAGAGTGGTTAGCGGTGTCCGAATCTTAAAAGCCGATGGCAAGACTCACGTCTGGGTGGTGTCATGTATTCCCGGTCCCGTCTTTTTGCCTCCCATCGTCTTCGCATCCCAAACCCGTACGGTGCAATCCGAACTTCCGCTAATGATCACCGACGATTCGGCGCTGAAGGAGAGCGAATGGATGGGCTGCGTGTGGCCCGTCATCGACTTGATCATCCGGCCGTAGAACAAGTCCCACAGCTTGATAGTCTTGTCTTGTCCTATAGCAGGGCGACAACTATGTCCAGCTGCTGAAGTCTAGATAGCGCATTCAATGGTACTCACCAGCACTGGCCAAATATCGACCATCAGGACTGATGGCGAGGCAGTTGACCGCTTCGTCGTGGCCCATAAAGACCCTCACGCACTCCCCACGCTGGATATCCCATAATCGACAAGTCTTGTCAGAGGATCCGGTTGCAAGGTACAGGGAATTCGGGTGGAACTTCAAACACTATGTGGAGTTGTGTATGTCGTCAGTGTTCTGTACACGAGTCGAACCAGTACCCCGACCATACTCACGTCTACATCTGATAAGTGACCGGCAAACATTCGTACGGGGGCAACACGATCTGTGATCCATAGCCTTGCCGTTCGATCCCTGCTCGCTGTCGCAAACTGGGCTCCGTACGGTCCCCACTCGACAGCCCACACCGGATCCGCGTGACCCTTGTATACAGCCAGATTCTTGAAGGTATCTGTCGACCAAAGACGGACCGTGCCGTCCTGTGATGACGATAACAGATGTGACGGAGCGTATGCAGACCCGGCAATAGGATCAAAGGCCAAGGAATATACCGGTCCTGAATGACCGACGAGCTTTCGTACGGGTGTACCTGGATCACTGCTAGGTGTCGGTTCTAAAAATGACAAGTACCATCAGCTCGTGCCAATACCGCGATTGCACATATCCAGCCGGACCTACCTCCACCCTGTGCGATCTTGGTAGCGTATCCATATTCCCGCGTCTTCAAGGTTTCCCCCTTCAACGACCATAACCGGATCACGCTCTCGGCAGAACCAGCAGCCAAGTATGACGCGTCTTCCGATATCGCCGTCGCCGTCGTCCTATCAAGATGTGGAGGATCATAATTCACCAAAGCGTGAGCAGAGTTGCTTAGATGCCCAGAACCGCCAGCTCGCTGCACGTACCCCTCGCCCCCGTCAAACACAGTGTAGCAACAGGCGCTCGGTAAACTAGGTTGCCGCACATAACTCCCCGTTGCCCCGGCGACCATCGCCTTGTCACCCAACTTGATCCTCTTTCTCGCATCCGTAACCGCCTTGACCTCTTTTGCCAGATCAATACTAGCAAAGTTCCCCGCAGACCCGAACCCCAGCACTTCTCCACGTCCGATCGGTTCGAGGGCAGTGACGAGAAGCTCGTCCTTGTCCTTGTTGGTGTCCCCGTTAGGAACTGCCGCTGACTTTTCCCCACCCTCGTCCGCGTCTTCTTCCGTCGTCGTCGGTTGATCCTTCATCTCGACATCACCATCGCCATCTCCCAAGGCCCGCTCGGGCGCTTCCTTTTCCTGCTTGTTATCCTTTTTGAGCTTGTCCACCTCCATCTCGGTATGTTTTGCCAATGACGGTCCAGGCGCCGGAAGACCGAGCTTGACGGGTCCACTCGAGTTGAAAGCTTCGACGCCTCTCGGTCCGTCAACAATTCCACCGACGAGTCCGTTCTTGGAGATTGTCTCGAGCAGAGGCAACGGGGTCGAGCTCTCCGTAACTGGCATGAAGCAAATATCTTGATCAGCGCGTGACTCGCGTTCATTTGACTGCCCACGTGCCGATACTCACTCTGTAGCTGCAATCTCGTATGGATGATATGCCTCACTGCCTCCTTGTATCGCCCGGTATCTTTCGTGACGTCCCATAACGACTCTAGCCCGATGTCTGACAACCACCCCAATAACAGGCCGAACGCCGACCTGGACAAGTTGACCGTATACCGTTCCTTACTACAATAGAACAAGCCTCGCCTTGTAAGCGAAACACGACGCCTGATTGTTTCCATGACACGGGACATACCGAAGTCGAAGCACGAACGGGTTGATTAAAGCGTGTGCGGGTGAGCTGATGTTTTTTAGCAGCTCCAGTTCTGGTCGATGTAGGACCAGGTGATGTTCCGCCTGGTCAAGAAAGAATTTCCGAGCTGAAAATGTGCATCGCATCACAATTTATCAGAATGTTGCTTATATTGATAGAGCCGATTGTGAGCGAGCTTACCGGCATCCCGGGCAGTCTCTACCAGGTCGAGGAATGTATGCACGAAGACGGGGAACAAGACTTCCCGTAGCTCGGGCTATTTCCCTCGAAAGGCATCGATCAATCACCCATATGCTAGACGAAGCTATGAAGATGACCGGCCGACTAACCTTCCAGCCTTCTAACCCCGATTCGACCCATTCTCTCAGTTTCGTATAACCTCTTGACCGTTCCGTCGAGTCCAAAAGGATGATCTCCGACTTGCCCGCACCGGCCGCGTTGCTCTGATTCCGCTGAACCTTTTCCAGATGCATGGCCACGACGTTCTCGGCCTGCTGCATAAATTCGGGGGTGATGTTGTAGCTGACGGTGGAAGAGCTCGCCGAGAACGCTTGGGGGATGTTGCGTTTGAGCATCTCGTCGAGCGAAGCGTTGTCTGGTAAGGGATGTGTTCGAATCGATTGAGCTTGAGCTTGACTTTGAGCTTGAGCTTGCTGTTGTTGTTGCTGCTGCTGCGTCTGAGGAAGTTCCTTCTTGACGTTTTGAGGCTGTGGTGGTGCTTGAGACGGCTGTCCTGCTGCTGCTGCTGCTGTTGCTTCATAATCTGCCCGCTCGGCCATCTTCTGCTGTATGATGGACGCCTTGAGCGTATCTGCTCCTTTCCTATGACCATTCCGTTCGAGAAGTTGGAGAGCCTGCTCGTTGGCGGATAGAGGTTTGGCCTCGAGTTGAGCTTGTTGCTGCAGTTGCTGCATCTGTTGTTGCTGCAGCTGTAGCTGTTGCTGCTGCTGCTGCTGAGCGTTGTTGGCTTGAGCGGGGCCTCCTGGTCCATTCGACCCATTGGCAGGAGGGTTCTGAGCGCCGGACATGATGTCACCGGATTACGCCAACACTGACTCGAGGATTGAGCTAAGATGACGAGGAAATATGCAGAAGACCCTCGATCGATATGAAGTATGGACTGTCATGTTCACGCATGGTCATGTTCCCCTGAATGAAGCCCCGGAGATGGACGTCGAGCGCGGACATCGATCGGTGTCATGATCACCCTGAGCAAATAGTGAGATGTCCGTTTCAAGTACACCGAGGTCGTCTGATCTTGAGAACACATGATGCCCAGTTGATCGGAATCATCCTTGTCGTCCAGCTCCTCTTCGATCATCGATAACTCTACACTACGTCAATCGCGATTCAAGTAAACAGTGCTTCGACATGGCATTCGTGAGTCGATGGAGCTCGTTGCGAACAACACATGTCTTCGAGGCCCGAGAGCTGACTTTGTATCGCCACCTGACCCTTTGTTTCGCCTCCCTTACCGCAGCTTATCCCTTCATTGCCATCTTGGCTAGCATCTCCCGGCCCATCAAGTCCGAACACTGTCTTGTCTGAAAAGATGTCAACCACTCCGCAAGATGATGTCAACGCCGACGAGGATGCACCTCCTCAGTTCCCTCTTCCCGATTCGGCCCAACGGTCCAGAGCGTCGGGGACGACCGAAACCCCCGTACCGACGTTCGAGATCGAGGTCGACGAGCCCGAGGACGAAGAAGACGAGTACGATGGACCCCCTACACCTCGTGCGGGTGCCAAATCGCTCCCTGCCACATCCGTCGCTGCAGTACCGGCTTCCCTTCCACTTCCACCATCAACAACGACAAAACCCAATCCGGCCATCAAGAAGCGTCAAAAAGTCGCCCTCGCCCCAGGTTGTTCCCCCTTGGACTGGGCAAAACTGAAATCTAGCGGAAAAGATCTTCGAGGCCCGTGCGCCGCTCCCGGATTCGGATACTTGAGGGTGACAATGGACGAACTGAAGAAGCATAATACCAAGGGAGACGCTTGGTCCGCTTTCAATGGCAAGGTGTACAACATGTCGGAGTATGCGAGGTTCCATCCGGGTGGAGAAAAGGAGATGATGAGGGTCGCGGGGAGGGATGGGACGAGATTATTCAGTGAGCATCCGGCTGAGGATTCAAGATGAAATCGAGGATCGTCGACTAACCACATCTCCTGCGTCTCTCGTCAGTGCTCACACACGCCTGGGTCAATGTCGATTTCATGCTCGACAACTGCATGGTCGGGTTCCTCGTGCCCGGTTAGAGCGATCGCAGGGAATCTCACAGATATAGATGACTTTACGACGCTTTCACGACCCGTAACGACAATATACCATTTCTGAACATTATAGAATAGTGTGTATGCATGCATGCGCGACACGCCGATACAATGCGTATGCTGTGTCTCGTGATAGGCAGCACCTCTGATCACTGCACGAACAAAATCTTCTTCTCGCTCTTGCCTATCCCCAAGACGCAAAACTTGCCTGATATTAGGTCGTCCTTCCTGAGGCACGTCTGCGAATCGGTAACTTTCTTGCCATTCATGTAGAAACCTCCGGATGCCATGGCTCGGTTCGCTTCGCCTAGAGCAGTGATCCACAGGATGAGCCAATGTCTCAGTTCGCAGTATTGCGGAATCTTACTTACCTCGGCTTCTGACCAGTTTGACCTGGACTGCTAGTCGGCTCATAGGTTGGCCAAGATCGTCGTTGCCGATCTTTACTAACCGCTTGTCCCCCTCGAAAGCGGTCAGGACGTCCTCAGGTTCGAGTCGGCTTAGGTCGGAATCGAACAAGACTGATGTTGCGGTCTGTGCCTTTGCCAGGTTCTCAGCTGAACGCAAATAGGTTCTAAGGTGAGCTAAATTATCACGCTTCTGTTTGGAACAGATGCGTACCTCCGTGAACGAGTTCTGTAACTTCTGCAGCTAGCCGTCTCTGTCCTAACCGGTCAGCCGGGTTTTGCTGAGTGATCGACAGAGTGGTTCTGAGTCAGCTGCAAGGTGATTCGGAAACCGGTATTTGTGACACACCTCGTGCTCTTGCACAACCTGTTCTATCTCCTCGAGCGAGAGGAACGTGAACAATCGTAAAAGCTTGGGCACGTCTGCGTCAGTCGATCGCAAAAAGTACTGAGTACGAAGGAAAACGAGGTTCAGCTTTTTCGGCTCCACATCAAGGCGCGATTGACGTGAGGGATGGCTTAGCTTCTCACCTGGTAGAAATCGAACACGCTCGTCATCTTTTCATCTAGCCAGACCGCGTTTCCTGCGCTCTTGCCGAACTTTTCACCCGAACTCGTCGTCAACAACGGGATCGTCAACCCGAAGGCTAGCTCTTCCTTGAGCCGATGAGGATCCGCATCTATCCCCGTCTCATCGCCGGTGGAATTGTCCTGTTCGGCATTCTTCATTCGCCGGATCATGTCGATCCCGGAGACGATGTTTCCCCACTGATCAGACCCTCCGAGCTGGAGTTTACAGTTGTAACGATCGTTCAGGATCTTGAAGTCGTGCGCCTGGAGGAGTTGGTAGCTGAACTCGGTGAACGAGATGCCTTGTTCGGACGATAACCGGTTCTTGACGCTAAGCAAGTCGGCCGCCGGCGTGCAAAATCATCCGTCAGCGAATTTGGAGGTCTAGAAGATATCTTTAGATGGAACCTACCTATCTCTAGCCAGCATCGCATTCACCTTCGACCTCTTCCCTACACCCTTCAGAAAGTCCAGTAACGTAATCTGACCGGTCCAATCGAGGTTGTTCAAGATGTCCAGCTTGCCCCTGTCTGTCTGGCCTCTTCGATGCTTGCTCGCATACGTCTGACCTCGTTCAAAGAAGCGGTTCACTTGGTAAGTGATGCCCTGGACGTTATGAGCCAGTTGGTCGGGGTCTAGGGCTTTCCGTTCGGTTGAGCGACCTGAAGGGTCTCCGATGAACCCTGTAGCTCCTCCTATCTAGCCATTCACGAAAGTCAAATCAGACCTTTACTACTGGAGGCGAATGGATATAGCACTTACTAGGGCCAAGGCATGATGTCCAGCTTGCTTGAAGTGTAGCAAGCACAGAAGTGGTAATAGGTTGCCGACATGCAACGAGTTAGCTGAAGGGTCGAATCCGACGTAGACCCCAGTCGAGCTTCCATCTAGCTGTTTCGTCAGACTTGGACTGTAAAACAGGACCAGATTATGTCAGTGGGGTGTCATCGTCAACCTGGCGATGCTTGGCTGACCTCGTTGTAGCAGCGACGAAACCTCTGCTCTCGAGCTCTTTCAAAAGACCGGTGGATACTGTTGATGCGAAACGCCGTCGAATGAGGTGCCTGCAACCGCAGGGAGCGATTTTAGATGCAGTAGTTCTCAGATTCATCTTCTCCTCTGCTATTTCTGGTGGTTGACAGTGAGAATGAGACACTGTGACCTTCAAATAAAACCTACTTGCACTTGAATCTTGCTTAATCTTGCATACTTGACCTTCACCCGACTTTCTCGAGGATCAGCGATGGATTGCAGCAATTTCGAATATTCATTCTCACATCGTCAACAAACCTTACGTGATCGCCGGACGAGGTGAGCCGAGCTTGAACCCCGAGCGACGACAACCTCTTCCTCTAGATCCTCTTGCTCTTCGATCTCCTTGTATCGACGTCGTTGGCTCTCTGTCTGTATATAAGAGTCCCGACTGTCCATATCCAGAGCTACAAGCCAAGGGGAAAGCCATGAGTACCTCAACAGGAGACGACCTCGAGCAGATCCAGGACCAGCTGCAAGATCGCATGATCAAGAGCGGAGAGTGGTCCCGGTCAGTCCAGGCTGATCAGACGTTCTTACAAGGGTTCGTCCGTCTTACAAAGCGGATGATCATGATCATTTTAGGATACAGCGGTCATTACAGGTCAAGTTGAACGAGATGGGATGGGCGGACCAGGTGTTAAGTCATGCCAAAGGTGAGCGAGCCGTCCCGACCGATTGTGCGGGAGCGAGCAATAGAGTACTGATCACCCGAGCCATCTCCTGGCACTTTTGTCAGAAACGGCCAGCACGCAGAACCCCTTGAACTTCGACAGTCTGCAGGACAACGTTCAGGAATTTGCCTCCAGTAAGCCGTCAGGACGTAACATAACCATTTCGTTTAAGCTGACCTTGACTGCCGATCATGGAACGCTCCAGACACCCTTCCAGCGGACGTCCGACAAGCCGTCCTGAAGGAAATTCAAGCATACGTTAGATCTCAGCTGCAACAATAAACTTCTCCTCCCTGTCCACAATCATATACGCCTTGCGCGCCTTGTCGACCAATTGACGGATCCTAGGACAAGTAATAAACGAGGCAAACAAATCAGGACCCATACATCTCTTCTGTCCACTTTACGAACTTTTTGGCACCCGGAACGATCCGTTCTGGGGACGCCGATGTAACACTACTATTCTATCTGTATATTTAACGACACCCGCGCGAAGAATTCATCTTGGGCTAGGCCTGGACAAATTTGCTTCTGCCTACCTGCTCCAATTGCCCCCCGTTCATCATCGGCTCAGGTAGCAGGTAGTGAACTTGTACATATCAAGTCTTGCTTCACCGTAGGGAATCCTAGTATGCCCTGCAGCATATCGGGTCCATCAGGGCGGATGGGAAGGGCGCCGAAAAGTACCACGGGATTTCTTGAGATCGAGCTGGTTGAAGTGATTCGGGAGTCACCGCTGCCTTGACCTCCTCTATTCTGCGACTAAAGGCTAACGGTGAGCGGATCGAAGATCCCTTGGTAAGATCGCAGACGACGTAACGATTGTATATACAGCACGAGCGTATTGCAGCGCATCGATGCCGAGGAGCATACCCCGCAAAACACGACAAAACAGTGTAACAGAAAGGAGAACCGACCAGAGGCCGTCGTATAGATAGTGTAGTAGTAAAGATCGTCGAGCGGATTTGTGAAGAAGGAAAGGGAAAGGAAACAGTAAATGTCCGGAAAGAGATTTCGTCAACACTAGCCTATCGCCTGTCGCGCCATTGTCCCGCGTTTTGTCGATCACACGTCCAGAATTCCAAGTCGACTGAGAAGAGAAAGAGACAAGCCCCGATGATCCCAAAGAACAAGTTCGCCGTCCGCTATGGAGTGATGGACCCGCAGAGCGAACCCGAGTCCACGAGCGGAAGCTGTTTCAAGAAGACCACGGGTACGTCTAGAGCCGATATTTCTGCTGCAAGAAGTAGGCCTCCTCGGAGAAGACGCAGTCGCCGACCGAGTTGAGCTTGAAGCCGGGAAGACAGGTTTGGACCTGGCATTGCCCAGCGACGCAGCTGACGTCGGCCGCATTGGGCTATTGTGGAACACGTAGCGCAGCTTTGTTAGCAGTGTTAGACTTCTGGCAGGGAAGACGAAGTCAGCGACCCACGATGCTGGTACAGTCTTCACCGACGTTCTGGATTCCGGCGCCAATTGACCTGAGGCATCCACCGCCTGTAACAAGCCTACATCAGCGGTTTTCAGGCATACCGAGCTTTCGATAATGATCACTCACAGCTTTCGACGTCCTTGTTGACGTCCAAGCATTCGAAGCCGTTTCCGTTGACAACAGGACAAGCGCTCAAACCTATCATCATGAAATACAAAAGTATGAGTTTATATACCGTGACGACGGTTGCGAGGTCTGAATATGACGTACCGGCAGCACACTGAAGGTTACGCCTGTCGTAGTGGTTGTAACCGTATCCGCCGCCGTAGCCACCGCCGTGACCGCTGTGACCACCGTCTCCGCCAGCGCCAGCGGTCGGGCAATCCTTGTTCTTCTTGACACACTTGTTACCGCAGTCTTTGAAGTTCTTCTTGCACTCTGCGAGAGGCATGGACAAACGGGAGAATCATGGGTCAGCTAGAGCCTCCGAGACGCGCGCTTGATGAGGACGTCGACGCGATACTGACTGTAAATGCAGCATCCTTTCTTGAAGTCGGGTTTGGCGTGTTCAGGCAGGTAACAGAGTTTGGATTCGCCTTCGAGCTGTGTAAAACCAGAAGAAAAATTGAGCCGGTTTCAGCACCTAAAGGAGGGTCAGGAACCCGACGAGGGCGCGATCAAACAAACCTCTCGAATGACAGTGCTGATCAACCCATCGTCCTCGACAATATTGTCCTCGTTGTCAGAATCGGCACGGTAACAGGTGTCCTCTCCGAGATCGTAACAAGCGCAGATGTACTTGTACTTGTTGACCTTGATGGTACCGCAGACGACGTTGTTCTTCTTGCCGGGCGCTTTACTTCCGAGGTTGGTACGGGCGTAGAGGATGTTTTCGGCACGAGAGACCAAGCTGGATGAGTTGGTTACGGGCGAAGGGATGGCCAAAGCCAAGGGGAGGGCGAAGATGGCGAGAGAGAAACGCATTTCGGATTCGAAAGGAGTGTATTCGAACGGGTTTTGGTAGAGAAAGGAGGATGAAGGGACGGGCTCGTCTATAGTCTATGAGCGCTATCCAGGATGAGGAAGAGTTAAGTTGGTGGTCGACAACTCGATTCGATAGCAAGAGCGATCCTTACGATCTTACGATTCTAGAGAAGTAGAGAAGCGATGGAGAATGGAGTGGGTGAGGGTGTTTATCGGTCTGAAGAGATTTTGATAGGACGTGGACTTGATGAACAATCGAGTGAAAAACTGAGATAGCCAAAGGATCCTTCCGACATCCGACACAACCAGTACGTGATCATCACGGGTGGAACCGCTCGATTCTTCTTGGCTCTTGCTTCCTCATGCCCCGAGGTTCGAGAGCGAGAGCAACAGGGAACGGAAAGAAGTGGAACCGAAAGAAACAGAAACAGGGTTCCGATGGCTGTTGCTGTGCAAACCCGATAAGCCGGGTGGATCGCGACCCCGAAAAAGCTTCTATCGCATTCCCATCAGCTCGTCTCATCAATTTACGTGATCGATCGATTTCTGATTTTCTTTCGCAGGCGTATTCGCAGGCCGTCTTAACCATACACAATTGTGACAATAGGTGTGGGTGCTTCGTTACAACTCAACGGCAAAGATAACGCAGGAATGAGCAGAATGTCGACGGCCATCAGATCAAGCCGATCAAGAAGCACGGACCAGACCCGCGCGCGTCCGACGTGAAACAAGAACTTCCTCCTTCTCGCGCTTGAACCCTAAAACGACGATCATTGATGACGTGCTTCTACCCGCTGCGTAGAATCGGGGTCATGCCGAGGAATCGACCCTCCTTTGATTTGTTTGTGGGGCACACGGTCTTTTTTTTTATATGACGTAGTAGAGAGTGAGACGAGATGAAACCTGTAGGCCTGTAGACTGTAGATTTGATAAGCACGTTCGTAACGTGGGCCATGATCGGCCATGTGGCCTGTGGCCATAACCCATACGCCATACAAATCTTCTAAATCTACGTTCTACCTCTGTTATCTTTCATCTACTCACAAGTCAACCGAAACATATCTGATCGTCTGACGGACTGAGAAGTTGACAACAGGGATTCGAAGGGTCGATGATCCGGCCTCTTGCTTCGCGATCTGTGTCCTCCTTGTTGAACGCTTCGGCAAGCAACACGCAACACGGGGCGAACGGGACCTCGTTGTATCGGTACGAGCTAGTCTATCGGCTGGCCCAGAGAGGTCTCAGCCAGAGAGAAGCTTTCAATATTTCAGTTTAACAATCATCGAATCTTCGATGCAGAGCTCATTTTGGTTTGTTCGTTGACAAACAATCTAGAACCATCTGACTCCGTGGCGGAAAGCCCAAAGCGATTGACTGGCGGTGACCGCGTGCGGTCGATCGTATCATTTGGGTTCCAATATTGTTATTTGCATTTACAACAAAGGCTTCGCCGCAGACCCGCGCTCTCTAATCCGTCTGCATAGCCTCAGTAGCCGCAGCAGGCGCGGCAGTCCCGTTCATCATCTTGGTCCCGAACATCATCAAATCCTGCTGTTCCTCGATGAACTGCAGCGATCTCTGTGTGTCTGCAAACAACCTGAATGCATTCCGTACGTCTTCGACCGCAACTGCCGTAGCCTTTCTTCGTGTTGCCGAGAGCGAACTAGGGGCGATCAGGTTGAGCGCATATCGTAGCGAAGCGGTGGCTCCGATCGTTGTCAGCGAGTCCAGAGCGTCGTCTTCAAACGTCACATCCTCCTCGACCGCACTTCATCAGGTTGGAAAGGTAAGGGTTTTGATGTGAGCCTTAGTGAGTCTGGAGACGACGATAGAGATGATTCGCTCACCGGACTCGGATAATCTCCTTGATATCCTCATCCGAGTACTTTTGCGTGCTGATGATCAGAACCCGATCCAACAGGTCCAGGGGGATACCGTGTGGCGATTGGTACTTGGTACCCCTGATCTGCGTCATTCCGCGGTTCGAGGCCATCACGACCAAGGGTGCAAGCTCCGATTCCAGAGCACGGTTCAAGAACGAGAAACACTCGATATCGAGCATGTGAACCTCGTCGATGAATAGCACCTGCATGATCGAAACGGATAGCGTTAGGTACTGATAGTGGACACATGCGCCGCTTGAAACTTGCCCCTGGTACAATCTCGGCCTTGCCCTCTTCTCGCCACTCTGACACCTTTCCGTTGATCTGTTCACGAAGCTCAGGCTTGATCTCCCCAGTATCACCTGGAGAAGAAGCAATGCTGCTTAGCTCCCGGTACCGAAATGTTCAGCATGATATATGCGAACTTACCAGCAAAGAGGGCGAGGAATCCCTGACTCTTGCTGTTGATCACGTCTATCTCGTGTAACGAGACTGTATGCTGCACTTCCTTCCTCGTCTGCAACTCTCCATCGGGACATTGAACGAATTTGGTCTAGTCCCAAGCACTTGGTATTAGTACCTGAACACGCAAGTCGACCGGTCGCCGTTGACTGCTCACATCCGCGCCCAAAGCATCGTAATCCCTCGCTCGTCCATAACTTCGTCCCAACTTAATGATCCTTCCCGAAGCCTTGTCGATCTGGACGACGTCCCCGGCCAGGACCTTTTCTTTTGTCAGCTGATCAATCATCTTGGTTCCAAGGTCGTATACAGTCTCCATATCCGTCGTCTTGAGCGTTAGTCGACCGGTCTTGGTGGCCTGTACAATCGACAATATGTGTTAGAGGAATCTTTCTACTCGAAACGTCGCTCAGCACTCACCCCTGTCACCGATCGGTCCACCTGAATCTCAACGACCTCTCCCTCAATGATCTCGGTCTCCTCCTTTATTCGCACACCGATGGCTCTTCGGAATGCTTGCGTCAGGGACTCGGTCTTAGACATCTGCACATTCCCGATCAAACAGGTACTTCAGCGTTCGTTTCTTCAGCCGGAATTCCTGCAGCGTCCGGCTTACCTCCAAACTGTAAATCTCACTCGCAGCGAGAGAGACGAACGGCACATCCTTGCCCAAAGTCTGTGCCATGCCCATGGCGATGGCAGTCTTTCCCGTCGAAGGTGGTCCGGCCATCAAGATGGATCGACCGGCGATCTTCCCCTCTTGCACCATCCTCAAGATAATCCCGGCAGCTCGTCGAGCGGGACCCTGACCGATCATCCCCTGAGAGGACATTCGAGGTTCGAGGTTGTCGTCCAGACCGAGCCCGTGAATGTGAGAGTGGGCACCTGTGATAAGATCGTCAGTCTATGGATGTTCCTGTATCCTTCGACAGATGATACTGACCGATCCTCTCCATTTTGGTGATCTCCCTCACGGAAGATTGAGTTGTAATGTTGATAGACTGTATGGGTGTATTGACTTAGCTAATCTTCTTCAGGTCCCCGAGACTGACCCGCCGCTGGCTTCGCTCACCATATCGATGATGTATTTTCCGTATGATTCCTTCCTGGCTGTACACCTACTGGAGTTTGAGACTGTTGGTGTGGTAAGTGATCTCACAAAGGGTTGTGACGAAGTGTATGACTTCTTGGGTACGAGATGCTCGACCGGCCTCGACTTCGGGATCACGTGAAAGTTCTGCCCTCGGTCTCATCCTAGCAGGTGTAGCAAGCAGCCAGGTTCAAAGTAACATCTACCTACTTCCAGAACATGGCTGTCTTCCAATTCCAAACATCTACTGGGCTACTGGACACTGTCTGTCCTGCTCGCTTCAGCTGACCGTCTCGGAGCGGTACACAGGAAAGCAGTGCTTTTGCCATCATGGATTCTAACGACATCGACATGCAGGATGTTAGTGGAAGCAACCGCTTGACCCCTGGCGTGGTGAACGACGTGACGCTTGCGCCGGCCATCGGGACGGTGTATACAAAAGACCTCTTTCAAGAGGTGACCTACAGTACTACGGCGGAAGGGACTTCCCCTCATGCACCCTTGTTCAACCAGAACTCGCTAGTCATCAATCCCAACAACGGTCTGCAAGCCGATACTCGGTCGCTGTCAGACTATCCCAAATCCAAGAGGACCGGATTGGTGTACAATGTGCAGATGATGTTGCATGCTCCGATCAACTACAGTCGCGATGGGGAACATGACTCGTCGATTCAGGACGACTTGGACGACTTTAGGAGCTCGCATCCTGAGGAGCCGAGGCGTATCTCGCACATCTACGCCAAGCTCAAGGGCGCGAACTTGGTCACCCAGATGGTTCATCTGCCTTGTCCGGAAGCGACACCGGAGCAGGCGTTGTTGGTCCATTCCGACCATGTCTGGCAGGAGCTGCAGAAGACGCTGTGTGAGTCGATACGAACAGCAATAATTCATGTAATTCCGGACCGCAAGCATCGACTGAATGCCGTTCGTGCGGGCAGTCATGTCTCACGAGCAGATCAGGGAAGAATGGGCCGACTACGAACACAACTCGCTCTACGTCAACAATCAGACCGCTCTAGCCTCGAGACTGTCCTGTGGAGGTGTCATTTCGGCATGCGAGGCCGTCGTCCGAGGTGTCGTCAGGAACGCGATCGCCGTCGTTCGACCACCGGGACATCATGCGGAACCTGACAAGAGTCTCGGGTTCTGTTTTCTGAACAATGTGGCGGTCGCTACCAAGGTCATTCAGCGGGACCATGGCGTGAAGAAGATCATGATTGTCGATTGGTGAGACCGCCTTGCGCGTATCTTTGATCCTGACATCTGCTCAACAATACCCTCCAACGCATAGGGACGTCCATCATGGTAACGGTACTCAAAGAGCCTTCTTCGACGATCCAAACGTCCTGTACGTGTCCATCCACCGACACGATGGTGGTCGATTCTACCCTTGTTCCGACTTTGGAGCCCTCGATGTCACTGGGGTAGGCGCAGGGGAGGGAAAGTACGTCGCGCTGCGCTTTAGAACCCGAGTTCAGGCCAGCCGGTACTTCGAAGCTCACTGTGGAGCCTTTGCAGGACCGTCAACATTCCGTGGCCTCAGGCTGGATTCGGGGACGGAGACTATTTTTATGCATTCCAAGAAGTCGTCATGCCTATTGGATACGAATTCGCTCCTGATCTGGTTATCAGTATGTCTGCCTTGCCGTGTCACTCTTCGCAGATTGTGATCGTTACCGACCAATTTGTCCCTGTCCCAATGTCAATTCTTAGTCTCTGCTGGGTTTGATGCCGCAGAAGGTGACGAGCTTGGGGAATGCAAGGTTACGCCCGGTGCATACGCTCAGATGACGCACATGTTGATGGGTCTCGCTGGAGGCAAGGTTGTGGTCGCCCTCGAGGTACGGACGTCCCGCGTACGTGCATAATCGAACGGACTAGCGCTTACATGATAGCGATTTAGGGAGGATACAACCTCGATGCCATCTCCAACTCGGCTGAAGCCGTAGCTCGGGCGCTGACGGGGGATGTCCTCGACCTCATGCCGCCCATGAGACCCTCCCAGTTGGGGAACGAGGTGATATACCAGGTCGTCAAGATGCAGGCGCAGTATTGGCATTGTCTCAGAGGCAAGAGAAGCGCGCCCCTGGATGGTTAGTCTCGCCGCAGAGTTCGCCACCCGTGAGCAAGCTATTCATCGATCCTTCGCCGTTACCTCTATAGTGTTAAAGGAGACGGAAGAGGATGCTGTGGATCTGCGAGGTCAGTCTACAATCGGACACCAGGCCCTGATACTGCGCTGACGACTGCTCAACTCTAGATGTTCTCAAACATTACCGGGCTCATCGAATGTGCGAGAAGCACAAGTTGTTTGTCGTACCCTTGGCGAATCCAGATTTGGATAGGCTCTTCCCGGACCAAGTCCTGACAGAGTGAGTGCGAGCGGCAGCGAGAACCTATGGAAGCTACTGAGATGTACATCCGATGACAGCCGGAATCTATTTACCGCCAAGACAGTAGTGCTGTTCGTGCACGACTTGTGAGTCCATTTATAGCAAGAAATGTAGCGATCTTCGAAGATTGATTTTTCTCTTCGTTTTTTCAGCGGGAACTTCTGGCACGAGCCTCGAAATACCTCTATCATGGACGGTGACCTGGAGAAATCCCGTCTCGTCAGTCGGCCCAGATACAACGACGCGAAGACCATGAGAGGCTGATTTGGTGTCAATTGCGTCTTGAACAGGTCGAGCAAAGTAACCAGGTGATCGAATGGATCAAGGAAAAGGATTTCAGCTTGATCGATGTCAACACCACTGTTGCTTTCCCCGTCTATCGTTCGGTAAGCCTTTGCTGCTAATCCTGACCGCGCCAGTTGAAGCAATATTAGCGATTCGACTGACTAGCTTGAACTTTTCCCGCAGGCGATGCCGGCCACCAAGGAAAAGTGGGTGACTAAACAGGCTCCTCGACCTTGGATCCAGTTGATGAGGTATATCTGGGACAATTACCTCTCGTGAGTACCCGACCAGGACCCGTCGTCGACAATTACATGAAGAGACTTATCGAGCACTCCACGCCTAGCCTGTTGGACTGCGAGAACATCATCTTGTTCGGATTCGGGACAGGGTGCGATTCGATCATGTCCTTGGTCAATAACAGAGGTACGACCATCTTCGGTTTGCATGAATTTCAGAGCTCAATAGTTCTCTCATTTTCACCCACAGAAATTGAAGAGAAGGTGACCACGGTGATCCAGGTCGGGGGCATGAACACCCTTGTGCGACCTGATCCGACACAGGACGAGAAGAGGGAATGGTTCCGCAGTGTGAGCTTGCCATCAATCATGATGATGTATCAGACCTGGAGCTGATACGAAGCCTTGTTGGTCGGGGTCATTCAGCACTCGCGGTTGTACCTGCCTGAGGATCACCCGGTCTTGGATGACCGCAAACTCAGGATGCGGCTGAGAACACAGATCATGGTTACCGGTAAGTCGACTTCAAGCTGCATACCCTTCAAGTCGCGGACTGACGGTACGTGCATACCACATTACCAGATGGGGTATCTCCTCTCGACGTCTTGCCCGCCGCCCTGTCCGGGATCAAGACGTACGTCGATCAATGTCTGCAAGACCGTGCTGCACCCGTCGTTGCTCCTGCTGGCCTTGGTGTTCCGCGGTGATAGGAGATCAGCGGCTTCGACGTTTTGTGATTTTGGGATTCCGAAGGTTCTTTCCGGGTTGTATGGTTTAGAATAAAATAAGATCGGCGATATCCAGGCCGTGGGTAAATTGTAGATATCATATGAGCAATGCGGTTTGTAATCCTTCCGCGGTGCGTGCGTGGTCATTTCCGTGGTTTGTTGTTGTCATCATCGTGATCGTCATGATTAAGTTTGCACCGGATCGACCTGAAACGCGGGGGGAACCCGAGATCGGAGACTCGACGCGGATGCATCCGAGATTGAGTGATGATGATGATCGTCTCTCCCTTTGGACTTTTTGGATCATCCATCCCATCATCGAGAGCCTCGACGTTGTCCTTTCACTTAAGTCGTCGAATCGCCACCAGGTAGTTGGTCATCTCCTCAGATAGCATTGAAAATACGAGCTAGATCGCTCCCGTTATAATAGACAGGTGGTGCTCGAGGTCATCAAGTCATGGTTCATCTCGTCAGGATATCAGGGATCATCACCTTATGTGCAGGAGTCCAAGCTAGTCTCTTGGACCCTCGCCAGGACATTCAAACGGCAGCGACGACCACGACAGATGGCACGCCGACCATCACGTCATTAGCAGACCTACCGGATATCTCGGCTCCTGCTCAGATCGGTCTGATCATGCCGAATCCGGACAATCCAGTGTATGTCGGTGAGTTCAACATCAAAGTCTAGCTATCGGCTCCCCCGTCGTTGCTGCACCTCAATAGATGAACGCTCGTTGTTCTAGGCGTGATATACACGTTCGGATTTGTCGACCCCACTCCCGGACCGCCTGAAGCTCAGGATGGCGTCCTGCGTCAAGTCACCCCTCTCATAAATTTTCCCAATTATACCACCTCGGTCTTTCCTCCTTACTCTTCCTTATCTACGGACCCTGCCGACCATGTGAACGATACGCAGCTGGAAGATACGCCGGGAGCAGGGTGGTGCAGCGTGGATCTGGCCCCGAGGGTACGGACATTCGACTTCGAGTTCGTCATGACCGGATGGCATATGTTTGTGGTCAACACTACCTGGGCGAGACCGACTATCGTGAGTAGCAAGGTTCAGGCATTTCTTACCAATATAATGGCTGACCCGTGACCTCGTACATGGACTTGACAGAACGGTGCTGACCCATCCCAGAACTGCACATTACCTTACCTCGGCCTGTACTCTTTCTTCGCGACCCAGACCCTCAAGGTGCTTGCCGTGCCTGAAGGCCAATCTCCTACAGCTCCGACACCAGCTTTCACGTTGCTGAAAGACCTGGATTGGAGGACACCTGGAGAGTTGCCTCTTGAAAAGAAGGAGAGTACGAGCCAGAAGGTAAGCACTAGGAGAGGGGGGTTTGATCCCGTTTCGGAAAGTGTTTCGCTAGACTGAAACTTCTTACGCGTGGGGAACGAACGAGCAGAAGACGATCGCTGTGTTAGCGGCACTGGGGGCATTCGCTTTGGTCGGAGCTATGGCGACATTCATCTGGCTAGAAAGGCGGAAGAAGAAAGCCGAGATCGAGGTCAGTCTTGAGGGTCTCCGCATAATAATAGTGATTGCAAATCAGTAGGCTCACTGACTGATACCGCTCGCGTTCCAATACGTACTATACAGGCCATCGCCATTTCCCGTCTACCTCCCGAAGAACGAGCCGCCTTCCTCACTCCCCAAGACTATACCAATGCCGATCCGAGGAACGTCTTTCCAGCCGAGATGAGGTATGCTGGGGTAGCTCGTGATCCGGTACATCCGTCCCACCTCATCCCGGTGGGACAAGTACGGAGGCAAGAGTTTGGGTATGATCCGAGGACTGGATCGGGTGGTGGAGTTCCCATGGGTTCGGTTGGCTGGAGAGGGGCTTGGGATCGGGCAATGGGTCGGGGTGGTTACTGAGTCTTGCGGAAGTTGGGGAAGAACAGGATTGTAATGGACTAGGTTTGGACGGGAAGGTATAGTAGCATCGAGGTGTATTGATAGCTTTTGAACACGTGCATATAGATACAACGGGTACAAGTGAATGAAACGGCAGGCGAAACATCTGAAGATTATAGTAGACTCAAGCTTTCAGTCTCGTCCTCATCGTCGCCCTCCAGTCCAGCCGACCGATAAGGAGCAGCGGCTTTATGGTACCCGGTCCAGTCCTGCATATATTTGCTATGCTCAAAGACGTAAGAGGATCCCTTTCGTTCCAAGAGCATGGTCTCGAGCTGAGTCGCCGTCGTACTGGTGCTTCGGACCGAGTTCTGAGACGACTGGCGTTCGAGCTGTTTCGCGCTCAAATCCATCGGAGAAGCTCGGCGAGACGGGTTGCTATGCAACTTTCCAGGAGACTGGCCAAGCCGCTCAACCGGACCATAGTCTTGGTACCGAGATGTAGAGCGAGGTGACATGTGGACTGGCGACCTGGCGAAACGACCGGATCCGGTGATCGACTTGTTGGGCGAACCTTCCACTGGCGAAGCGGTAGGGACCTCGGGGATCGTCACTGTTAAACGTTCAGGATTTTGAGGCATGGGTTCCTCTGCGGTCGAGGGGTACCTGGGTCGGTAAGGCGATTTAGGAGAGATGCTAGGCTTTTCACGAGGACCGCTCGGGATCCGCAGACGTTTAGGGCTCTTCAAAGAGTGCCGAGGGTTGCTCGTGGTGGCCGAAGAGTTTGAGTCCCTCCAGATGCGAACCTCAAGACCCTCACGAGCCGTCTCTTGCGTTGGTGTCAATGGGCCGCTGGAATCGCGAGCAAAGGGCGTCGGTCTGGACTGAGTGGGAGTAGTAGCTCTTTCGTCCTCGTGCGAGTGAGAGGACGCAGAGTCGCTTGCGACTGAGGGAGCGAGGCCAGGGGCAGGCTCGTCGGCCTCTAGAGGAGGGGCTAGGCTAGGAGGACGAGGTGCATCGTATCCCGACGATTGGCTAGCTTGACGGGCGTTACGAGGTGACTGGTCGTAGGACATCGTCTGTCTAAGGGATCCAACAGGGCTTTGAGCTTGCAAGGAGGGTGCGGTCTGCTGCCTGAGCGGAGAAACGCTACGCTCGATAACGGTTCCCTGACCATTAGACACCTGTCGGTAGGGCGAGTTCAGCCAGACGCCACCGTAGGGTTCCGCCTGGGGTGCGCGATCCGTTGCCGAGAGACCGGACCAATTTGAGGGCCTGCGAGTGGCGATTGCAGGAGCTGACGGTCTCCTACCTAGAGCTTCAGGGGTCTCTGGCAAGACGCCAAGAGAATTACTCCGGGGTACGTCGAGGTAGCGCCTCAAGTTTGGCAATACTTCAGGTAGCGTGTCCACGCTCCTGGCTTCTCCACCAGGGCTATCCGCTCTCGTGGGCGAATTTCTCATGGTCAGATTCCGGCGAATCGCTTCGACAACCTGACCGATCTCTGATTCTTGTCCGCTAGCTACGCTGACAGCCGAGGCCGCAAAGGACCCATACATCGATCGAGTCGCACCGATGTGCGCTTGACGCGTGCGATCGGACAGCGGCATCAACATGGGCTGAGACTGGTTGTGTTGTTCCAGGCTTTCGGTGGACAAGGTGGTCGAGCGCTCGCGGCCGCTGTGCTCCGGTGCTTCCCCGTCCCCTTCCTCTTCGCTATCATCGTATACGCTGTGACTCATGGCCGATTGGGCGACTTGATGGAGAGGAGAACGCAGTATCGCGGCTGGTGCAGGAGCGTTGTTCTCCAGATTGTCATCGTTCTCGGTCTGTGCGGTAGGGAACCTGCTTCGGTAAGCATGCTCGTCCTGGAGATCCTCTTCCAAGTACCGCGACTCGGAATCTCGCGACGAAGGGTCTGCCGACACCTGGGCGGGCGAGGGAAAGCCGTAACGAGTGTCTGCTTGGGGCGTCGATGTCGCCTTGACAAAGTCGAGATCTTCTTGCGCTTCAGACAACTCTCGGTCATCCGGAGATCCCTCCACAGATTGCGTTGCTGTCTGAGGGGCAAACGTGCCGGTCGAAGGGGTCACATTGACCTCTTCCTCGTCCACCATGACCTCTTGATCGTCGTTATCACGCCCGTACATAATGGCCGCCAGGCTCGCTTGCCGTCCAGCACGGCGACGTGCTTCGACCTGATGCAAATCCCCTTCATCCAGAGATGCGACCGCAGAGAGATATGATAAAGTAGTATCCCTCCTGCTAGCACCCGGACGCAAGACGGGCGTCGACTGTGCTCGCCCCATCGAATACATCGAGTTGGGTCGGGACCTCAAGCTGCCCATCTGGCCGGGAAGGGGGGGCAATGTGGGTACAAACGAGACTTTGGTGTTTTGAGAGTGCATCCCACTTTCCATTGATAGCGGTCGGCGTCGCTCCGCTATTGTCTCTGGCATCTTCAAGGGGGGTCCGAGCGGAAAGTGAGGAGGTCGTGGAGGATGGTTCAATCCGAGATCGGCGTATTCGTCCTGAGGGTAAGCTGCCGGCCCAGAGTTGATCAGTCTACGGTTGTTGACTGGAGTGGGCATTGGCATGGACATCGGATACGGTTCCGATTCGGCAAAGCCGTCCTGCTCGACCGGTAACTCGTAGGACCGAGGTAGGCCGGCAGAAAAGGCGCACGTGGGAGGAGGATCGATCGATTGGTAGTTGAGGATGGACACTGGGACATCGAGATGCACCGAACCGTTAAGCGTCAGTCGAATGGCGTATGAAACATCGATGAGGCGCGATCGGACGATCGTCAGACATTCAGCCTGGTACGATGATCAGATAATCAGCTTGTTGTCGACAGTCTCTTGTATTGGATGAAACAACTCACCGGAAGAGTAAGACTCGATTGCCATCTGACCCGTTCACCAGGCTGTACACCAGTCCACCATCCGGTCGAGCCGACGTATCCCGAACCAGGACCCGCGCTCGCCTCGGTCGTGTGCTCGAAAAGCTTCTTCCTGTTGCTCTTTCCGGAATACTTGGCAAGATCCGGGGACAGGACCGTCTGCTTGCTGTTCGTGGCCGGCGGACTGAACAAGGTAACCGTCCTCAACAAAGCGAGCGTCATGGTCTTGATTTTCCTGGCGCTCTTGTTGTTGACGGTAATATCCAACCAGACTTGCTGTCCGGCGATCCAATTCGGTCGAGGCAGCTTGATGCTGACCTGAACTTGCCCCTTGTCGCCGGACAAGGACCATCCCAGGCCTTGTTCCGTGTGTACTTCAGCTGCTCCCGCGCTGCTGTTAAAGACGAATCCAGGCTCAATATAGGGGTAGATGGTGCATGGTCGGTAAAAGTGCGCGATGGCCCTCTTTTTGGTCTCGGGCGTGTGCAGCTTGATGGAACTGACGAGGCGGAAGTGCAGCGTCCCGAGATTAGACAAGAGCCTTTTATCTAAGAACAAGGCGAGACTCACCCGACGACAACGTATCGGACTCCAGAGTGCACACTGCCGGACCACCCACCCTTGGCACCTCCGCCCAAGGGCAACCTGACTGAGAACGGGATAATATGCACACCCTCCCTTGCCAATCTGCGAAGCGCCTACAATCAAAACTCCGACACCACAAGAGCGAGTATCATACCCTCCCGCGCATGGCCACTCACCTATAGCCATCTTCATTAGGTGGGGAAGCGAAGATCGGATGATACTCGTCGTTTCCGGGCGCGAAAATAGGTAGCTGGTGAGGATAATGGTAAAAGATGTGTCGGGTGGCCGTATGTGCGTGTTCTACGTCCAAGTTCGACGGAAAGATACCTCGTCAGCTCCGCCGACTTCCCGACCCGATTGGATCGGATCTTGTCAAGATATTCGACCGACTCACCTTCATACCCACACACCCTGACCTTTCCTCCCCCGATCCACAGGTTCTCTCCCTTTTTGCCTCTTCTGATGCGGACCTCCAACCTCCCCCTCAATTCGCCTCCTTCGACAAACGTCTCGCTCTCGAGTACGACGTCCACCTCGACCCTCGCCCTCCTTCCGCGTCTCGCCTCCAACCCGACCTGATCCAATTTGGCCAGCTTTTCCTCGATCGGCAGCTCTCCCTGGGGTAACAACTTCCGCTTGTTGGCCTTCTGATTCGAATTGCCAAGCATCACGCCCAATTCCGCACTGGCCCGTTTGGAACCTGCGTGGGGGGTCAAGAGGGTACCCTGGCGGACGAGCTGACATTCTCCCTCGCTCAGAGCTCGTTTTCGAGGGCCTTCGGCACGGGGTGGGAAGACGGCGGAACCGTAAGTGACGGTCGAGAAGGATGGCTCCATGACGGGAATATAGGGGGTGTTGTTCCCTCCAGTAGAAGCAGCGGCGATCCCAGGTCCGAGCGGTCGGCGAGGATACTCGTTGGTGCTGTGGCTGTTATTGCCATATCCTCCGGATTGCTGATACGCCGACGACGAAGACGGTCCGGCGTGGTCCCCTTGACGTGAACCTTGGTTCGGGTTGGGCGTATGTACGGGCCCAGCTTTCCAAGGCAACCCGGCTGTCAACTGGTACCTCCCTCCACCCGGGTTGGGGTTGACATAACCCAATTGTCTGTTCGGGTTGTTTCCAGCCTCGACTGAGGGGGTAGGGGGTGAAAATCTAGACAAGGGCGGGTAGTCGGATCGAAGCCTGTTGAAGTCGGGTCGCATCGATCCCGAAGGCCCCGCTCTCGGTCCTGCTTGATGGTGTGCGAAGTCGTCAACGTCCTCCGTCAGAGGCTGGTAGCTTCCACCGGCTTGTCCGAGCCTGCTCTTCTGGCTCGCCCGGGATCCGAACGAGTTGCCCAGCTCGTTGGTGCTCTTTGGACGTCTCAGCCGGGTTCGAGGGCTAGGGTTCCCGTTGGCGGGTCGATAGTCGCTGAAGGACAAGGAAGAGGTAGAAGGGGTTTCCGATCGATTCGGACCTGGACCTGCCCCTACATTGTTGTTGGAGGTCGAGTTCATATTGGTAGAGATGTTGTGATTGTGATGGCTGCTCCCCGAGTGGGACGATTTGGAAGGCAGGTCAATGTTGGCGATTCCCAGCCCGGACGCTGCAGAGCCTGCCGAGTCTCTGTCTTTATATCTGTCTTCGGACGATGTTGTCCTGGACATCGCTGGTGGTCGAGAGTTCAAGACGATGCCAGGGTCGAGGTCGGCTTGAGCTGGACTGGATCGAAGAGGAGACCAGGTGAGGTCGTTGACGGTTGTGCAAGTCCCGAGTTGCTCAGGTTAGGTGTGTACGTGTGTACAGTTGTGTCGATCCGCACGGTAGACGATATGAGAGGAGGACGTCGCAGAAGAGAAGATGGTAGTTCAATGGCAAAGGATAGAGACGGGATGAACTGTCGATCGAAAGAGGCATCTCTGAACTCGAACCAACTGTCGAGATGGCTGGTCCGGTCAATCTTGTCTGCGTGTGTGTTGCGCCAAGGTTTGGTTCATCGATCATCTACTCCCGGGCGAAGGCGGCGGCGGCGATCGACGCGAGGCACGGGACCGGTAGGCGAGCTTACGTACTCGTAGAAAGCTTCCGATGCCCGGGACCCGAAGCAACAGGGGAAAGGGCGACGCGTATCGTACAAACCCTTGAAATTTGAGTTACGCGCGTCCAACAGGGAAGACGCACTGGTACAGTGGTCGAAAGGGGCGTAATGAGGAAGGGCCTTCAATGTCCACCTTCTTGGCCGGCCTTGACTGGCGGCGAAGCGGGGTGAACAGTAAGTCGTGGTAATCAGCGTAGCTGGTAATCCCGCAGCCACAAGGATACGAGGGGAAAGCGATCCGCAAGGGTGCTTTTTGCGATCAGAAGGGTCTGTGTATGGCCTCTCTTTTTAGAGGTCACGGTAAGTAGGTCGGGGCCATGAAAGGTCGTCCGGTCGAATGCGCAGGTCGTCCGGTCGAATGCGCAGGTCGTCATACTTCTGACCTTTTTTGCCCGATTTGCGCGCGCGTCGCCTTTTGCTAATCACGCCGTCTGAAATGTCAACAAACACCTCGGATCGCAAGGTTGAACCTCGACTGTGATGTTTGATGTCTGATCAGTTCATACGATCGACTACCTATCTTGCTTCCTTCCTCATTCAGTACGACCGGCGCTGTCTCAGTTCGAGTGTTTAGTCCTAGTTAGACTCGCCCGGGATGTCTCGTCCGTCCTCATCCGCGAGCTCTCATCGCCCGCCAACCTCTACCTCGAGCCGGGCTCCTCCACCAATCCATACACAAACGCAAACGACCGTCACCGTCCCCTTCACCCCTCGACCGAAACATCAATCCCGTGACAAGCTACAGGGAGAACACGAGTTTGCGCAGATCGTACAAAACCTGGCTAGCGTACGAAAGATCCCTAAGGAGGTGGTGAGGGCCGAGTTGGAAGCAGGGGGTACCGGCTTGGATCTTGGACACGGGGAGGACGAGGTGGACCCGGACGTCTCGTACAATAGGGAAGAAGCGACATTCAAATCAAGACCGCTCGGATCTCGTGTCAATTCGGGCGTCGGGATTCGTAAACCTGTACCTCCCAAAGAGCCCAAGGCTCAGGATCTGGCGGAAGGGAGACAATCGAGGAATGTCTCGTCTACATCGACTATCACCTCGGAAAAGATTCAACGAGAGCGAGAACGTCCCCGAGAACTTCGAGAGGTAATCACTCAGGAAGGCGTCAGGACGACGGGAAGCACTACAACCACGGTGATAGTGGGTCCGGAAGGAAAGGAGTCGAAGAGGCACGCTTCGTCTTCTTCGGCTACGAGCGCGACGTTTCCCCTTGCTCGGGCGAACGGTACGGGCTCCGGAGCCAACACTTCAGCAGCAGGCAGGGAGAAGGAGAAAGAAGATGGAACGGTACCTTCAACGTCGGGGGTTAGGAACGTCGGTCCCTCGTCATCTCGACCGACTTCCCGAGCAGAGAGACATTTGCCTGCCGCATCGAGCTCGACGGCAGACAAGGGCAAACAACGAGCGGATGCCCCGGACAGATATTCGTCGGTTCACGCTCGAGCTCAAGGGCATGGGCAGCATCCTCGGACGGGATCGACCGAGATCGATGACCAAGACGACGTCGGAAGTGGTGGTGCACCACCGCTCACGGGACACGGTAGATATGGGAGGAACATCAATGGACACGGAGCGAGACCAGGATCAGGATTGGGATCGGGAGCAGTAGTGGCGATGGAAGAACGGAAGTTGGATGGAGTCCCGCTTGTCGTCCAGGAAGCCTGGGTATGCGAGGATCTACGGTTCGTTCTCCAGGTAAGTCTCGTCTCAGCTGTCGCCTGCACCTGTCTGGTGCAGGGGCTGGAAGTCCCCGAGCTATTTTACTGATCACATAGAATGGAAAAACAGGGAGTCCAGGGCGAGTTGATCACCTTTGCACCAGATTACGATCATACGGACGAGGTTCAGCGCCTGAGGGGGGTCAGGTGGAAGATCGATCCGTCACTCGGTGAGCTGCATTTCGTCCAGAGACCTTGATTAGTTTCGGTTCAGGACGTGTCGCTGACACGATAACGACATGATTCGACCGTGTTGAAACCGTTTTCGGTGTAGATCGCTCGCTCAGGAATATGGTCGAAAAGATCTTGCCTTTAGCGACGTTTTTCACGGCGGTCACCGCGTTTTTGGACCTGCGGTAGGTGCTGCGACTCTCTTCGTATCTTGCCATACTGCCCCGAAGCTAATTGTGATACTACTTATGGGCTTGGCAGGAACGACACAGCATATGGGATGGTGAACCATGCTCTTGCGAGCGGAATCCGTGGGGTCTTGCGAGTGAGCCGGCAAGACCGTTATATCCTACAAAAAGTTTGCTAATCGCATCCCGGCGACGGACACTAGGACTACCACATCCTTACGGCCAAGCTCGAATCTCTCTATCTGACCTCGCCTGACTTCACTCTTCAATCCGCCTTCCGCCATCTCCACCCGACCTTGCACATCCTCTCCCTATTGTACGCGCTATGTCTCGCGCTGGACAACGATCCCTTTCCCGAATTTCCAGACTCTGGTGACGAGGAGAGCGAGCAAGGTGATGGCAATGAGGATATGCGGGACTTGGCTGCCGAGCTAGGATTGGATCTACAACAGTTGGGAATGGCTAGCAAGAAACAGTTGGCGAGAGAGGCGGCCAGTGGGAACATCATGGGCGGAGAGGTTTTGGGCGTGATCTTGGAACGCGCGGCGGCGACGAGCGGGTGGGTCAGACGTTTGTTTCCTATTAGTAAATTCTCTTCGGCGGCTGATTCCCTTTGCCAATCTCAGAGACCCCGCAGCGCACTCGCTGTACTCATCGGTCCTGCTGCACGCTTCGCAGCCTTACGCGCGGATCTTGATCAAGTGGATCACGACAGGGACGCTCAAAGACCCTTATGGCGAGTTTCTCATCAAGGAGGATCCGCGAATAAACAAGGGTCAACTTGTGTACGACTATTCAGAGGACTATTGGGAACAGAGGTATACTGTTAGTATCGAGGCCTCAGGTTTCTCGTATGGATTGATGACTGATCTGATGTATACCGCCATTTTCCAGCTTCGTGATGGCTCGAGTTTAGCGAATTTGGTGAAGTCGTACAGCGACGCTCCGGCGCAAGCTTTCGTACCGGTTTGTCGACCAGGAACGAATCGACTTCCCGGCGGGGAATGCATACCTCCCTTCTTGGAACCATGGAAATTCAAGATATTGCTAGCTGGGAAATACCTGAACGTAATCAAGGAATGTGGGATCGAAATTGCGGACTGGGAGGCGCAGGACAATATCGTGGCGGCTCATGCGGAAGGCGCCTTGATCAGAATGGATCAACCCAAGTACGTGCGGTCGATCATCGGCCTGCTTGTTATCGTCGAGATACTGAGATCTCTTCCCGCGCAGATTCTACCAACGGATAGAAACGGCGTACTTCCATTCAAACAAGACATTGCTCGATCTAATACTGCGTGATAAGCAACTAATCACCAATCTCAAGTCAGTTCCGCTCCCCTCGAACAAAATCTCGATCGTGCTCTGACAGGTCTTATCAATACCAGATCGATGAAGCACTTTTTCTTCCTGGACCAGTCAGAATTTCTCAATCAATTCTTCGACAACGCCCACGCCGAGCTAAAAAAGACCGCGAGTCATGCATCAATGACCAAAATCCAGTCATTGCTATACATGGCCGTTAGCAACCCGGGCAGTGCCAGCTCGACGGATCCTCATAAAGAACAGTTGCGCGCAGTCCTATCAGACCAACGATTATACGACCATCTGTTAGGGATCGCTTCGAAAAAAGCTGGCGAGGGAATCCTCGCCGCCATCAATGTGCCTACAGAGAACAAGGTCGACAAGATCAAAGAGAAGGACAAGCCGATTACCAGTATGTCGACTGTAAGCGCTAGGATATCCTTGTGGCCGAGCTGACTTGTCCCTAATTTCACAGCGATCGAGGCCTTGTCCTTAGATTTCGATGTCCAGTTCCCCTTGTCCTTGGTCATTTCCCGCAAGACCATCACTCGGTATCAGTTCATCTTCCGCTTCCTTCTGAACCTCCGGTACCTTGAATTCTCGCTCGCCAACCTCTGGTCAGAACACAAGACTCCGATCTGGCGAAAGTCCACCGGATCGTCCGACATAGAACGGTACAAGCGACGTATCTTCGTACTGCGCGCCCAAATGATGCAATGGGTACAGCACATGCTTGCGTACGTCACAGGAGACGTCCTCGAGACTAGATGGAAAAAGCTCGAGGACAAATTATCAAAGGTGTCCACCATCGATCAACTGCTTCGGGACCACGTCGAATATCTGGACACTTGTCTAAAAGAATGCACATTGACGGAAGGAAAGTTGATTTCTGTACGTCACTTCGACTCATTACGACCCGGTTGCGCGGATTTTACTTGAGGGACTGACTTAACCTGACTCCGTTCTTGCAGGGCACACTGAAAATCGTCGATATCATATCCGGCTTTATTACCCATCATACCTTCTTCACAAAGATCTTGAACTTGTTCAATGCGGACCCGAGCGAAGAGTCGACCGAGGGAAGAATTGCCCAACGATGGGCTCTATTCAATCAATTCGATCGCCATTTCCGGCACTTCAGTTCAGCACATCTGGACATTGTGACATTGTAAGTCTCGAATGGCTTGGGAACCGGACTTTCGAGCCTGTACTGAGTTCCGGTATCCTTCACAGTATGGCGAGCTCGGAGCAACCCGCCCTCCTGGCTCTGGTTGTTAGACTAACCCCATTACACGATCAAGACGGCAAATAGACTTTCCCTGTCCCGACCTCAGTTTCGATTTCAGCTCCCAGGTTTGGCTTTGACTTTGTACTTTTGATATAGCCAAAATGTCTGCCTCCCCATCGAGGGCTAACGAAGGCTTGCTGCTTGCCCGCCGATATTCCGAGGGTATAATGATTATGCTATTGACGTTGTTTCGCTCTGTGGCTTGCTATTCAGATCAGACGCGATTACATGCTGAGATTCCGACGACAAGAGATTGTTCGTTGCGGGTGCCTTCGGTGTGGTCTCCCATGCCGTCAGGTCGAGCACCGGCAATGTCCGTGTGATGGACTGTTTCGACGAGTTCCCGTTGTCGACCCCATCACCGGATCCTACTGTCAAATGTCCGGCCAACCATCCGTTCCGTGTTCCGGCATCAACGACTGCTTGAATGATGCTCTGAAGTTCCGCGTTCCTGTCAAGGCAGTTCGCGGCAACGTGAGTCAGACCATGTATCAAGCCGGACACAAGACGACATGTTTTTTGACTCACCTCTTTTCAGCCTCATTAGCTCTCCGCTCGAGCTCGATCTCTTCCTCTTGCCAACGCTTCTGCAGACGTTCTATGTCTTCCCGCAAGTCATCCAGTTTGTCATCTACCGTGTCTCGTCTATTGGCGACTTTTCTTGATCCTCGATATCTGGTCGGCGTCCGGGCGTCTGGTCAACGAACATTGCTCGCAGACAAAGATAAGAGGGGAGACTCACGTCTCTCCCAAGATCAAGGTTGCTGCTACCCCAAAGAGGAAGACCTCTGCTAGATTATTTGCTCCGTTTTGTATGGCGCTATAGTCAGAAGTCTAGGGTTGAGCTTGCAGCGGGGATGAACGAGAAGACGAGCAGTGATCCAGTGATACATACCGAGTCTCATTCAACGGTTTGATATCCCCCAGAGGGGCGTTGTATAGTCCCAAGCGCATCCGAGCTTCCATTCGGTGCATCCTCTGTTTACGCCGACCGATTCATCAGCTCTGAGAAACCTCCGGTTGACAATAAGATATAGCGAACTTGCCTGAGCCCAATTAATACAGAATGTCCGAAACCGTTCATGCCTAAGAATACCCGCATGATAGAACAGCTCAGAACAGTCTAGTAGATTCAGCTTGTAAGATCCAGAACTCACTGAGTAGCTTGTGATTTGAGCCAGCTGGCTACGGGTTTGGCGGCCGTCTGCTCGCGACAATCACCTGAAGGTCAGACTACAATTCATACCTCTACCTCGGTGTTCGACTTACTCGGATGGCCAGCGAAGCCAGCTTGACGGTGGCCATGATCGGAAGAAATAGTTCTATGCGTCAGAATCCCTCGGTCTATATTTTTCTGTTCTAATTAGTATCTTCGGGTCAAGCTTTGACAGGTCGGAAATGAGACCTCGAGGCCGAGTTGATCCTGACCTTGTGCCGACGACGACCAACGACTTCGGCAACAAAGGAGAATGACGCGAGCACCGGCGGCACACAACGAGGGGAACATTCCGGTCATAGCCGTCGATCGATATCGTCCCTAGCGAGCGATTCACATCGTTCTCTATACGTTCCATGTTGGATGGATATGCTAGTCTTACAAAAGGAATGTTGAATACAACTTGCTGCTTTTCGTCTTGTATGTATATGTATCGATCCCTTAGCCCTTGGGCTTTCGTCTCATCCCCCCTGTTATGCCCGAAAATCCAACCCGCATCTAGTCGGCCTTGACCGTCTTTTGCGCAGCGTCCAACGCTCGCAAAAAGGCCGCCTTGAGCCCCTCGATCTCCTCCAACCCGACGCTCACCCTGACGAGACCTGATTCCACGCCGAAATCGTTGGCCCAATCGAGCTCGAGGTAGTGCGCCAAAAGGGTGTACGGGCAGGCCAGAGTAAAGTTGGTACCCAAACTCGGTCCCTTGTGGCATTCGAGCGCGTCGAAGAACGCCTTGGAGGCCTCCTGAGTGGTAAACGTCAGGGAAAACAGACCCCCGTAACCACCCTTGCCGGTGGTGGGGAGTCGCTGGGCGATTCCATAGTTTTCCGGGGTAACATATCGAGGGTAATACACCCGTTTGAGTACGCTATTCGACGAACTGGTAGCGTCCATCTGGGACTTGCTGACGAGCAACTCGGTCAGGTCGTAAGCGTTGTCGTTGATTATCGAGATTCGATGACGGAAGTCTCTCGAATTTCGTTCCATGTAGATGGCGTCTTCGGGGAAATAGTGGTCCTCGTACCTGTCCTCCTGGGTAGACTTGAGGTCGGCGTAAAACTTGGAATGCGGCGTCAACACCAGGCTGCGGAGTGAGGGGTTTCGTCAGCACGACCCGACCATCTCGGCCGGCGATGCGACATGAACTCACCTTCCACCCATGACATTGGTCTCCCCGCTGAACACCTTGGTCAAACTGCTAACCACGATGTCCGTCCAACTGGCCACCTCGACATTGACAAAGTTCCCCACGGTCTCATCCACGACGATCACAAACTCGTGCTCGTCCGCCAACCTCCTCAACTCTTTCAGATCAGCCGACCTGAGCAGCGGGTTCGAAGGGAACTCGCAGAACAAGGCCGTGATCGGGTGTTGTTCCTCTGGGGTACCTTTGGAAGCCCGAATGTTGTCCAAAAGGTCAGACAGGGCGTGCAGATCGGGCGTAGTCCCGTGTCCGAAGAAATGACACCCAGGACCCCATTTCTGCAAGATCTTGAGCGTGTCCGTGTAAGGGAATCTGAAGCAAGATGATATCAGCGATCCGACGGCTACCACTAGCTTTACAAGAAACGCCCTCCGACTCACCCGAAACAGACGCTCTTTCCCGGTGCCCCATCTTTCCTCTCCTTCCACGCCATGGCCAACTGATGAGCATGCCAAATCGCGCTCATCCCCGTCGGGTACAGATAGACATCGTCCTCGTCCACCTTGTTTCCCGAATCGATCACCTTTCCATCGCTCATCCCGGAACCACGGGGCACTTCGTTCAAAGCTCCCGCACCGCTCTTGGCGGGCTTTTCGTGAGGCAAGAGGGTACCCGCGATTCGACGACGGAGAGCGAGCTTGGCCAGCTTCGAAGATGCCAGAGGGAGGTTTCGGCCGTATCGTTCTTCCAAAAATGTAGAGTGGTCCAACGACAGATCGTCCAGGTCCTCAGCGAGGTCGTCGTCCTTCGCATTCGGTCGACGGGCAGAACCGGTTGTAGAGCTGGCGCTGTTGGGGGCGACTCCGGGAGTGATAGGCGTCGACGGGGTCAAGGATGTCGTCCCCGTCCTGGTCGTCCCGCTCGTCGAAGCCGGTCTTGACAAGGCCAACGGCAAGGCGCTCTTGCTCCGAGAATAATGTCGGTTCCTCGAGTACGATTGTTTCCCCGTACCAGGCAAGATGGCCGAACTGGACGTTGGGGAGACGCTCGGATCGTCCGCACTACCGTTGTTGGTGTTCTCAAGGACCTCCTTTTCTACCGGTGCAGGGGGTCCGAGCGGTCCAGCAGGTCCTTCACCAAGGAAAGCCAATCCCCTCTCTGCCGTCCTTGACGAGATCCCATCTCCCGAATGTTGCCAGAACTGCTTAGCCACCGGCTGGAATTGTTTGTTGTAGAGCAAGATCTGAAGCTCGATGCAGTCTACGCCACCGACGGCGTCTTCTTCGCCCGGCTGAACTAGAGAGGCGGTAGATGGGCAGATGACGAACTCGACGATCCGGGATGGAGCTGGAGGTTCACGAGACAGGAGGAAAGACCGAGCTGCTTGAGCGACTTTGGGTGTGGGGAGGAGGGTGCAGAGTTCGTCTGGAAGACCGAATTTCTGGAGACAGATTCCTGCGAGCTGTCATCAAGTTTCAGATATTTGGTGTCAGCTGTCAGGCGACCACCAGTTGCAAACTAGCTCGAAAGACCTACCTTTTGGATGCTACGATGCACGAAGAACCTGGGGTACCCCGTCTGCATGGTCTCGACGACCCGTTTCTCGCCTTCCTCGTAACCGATCACGTCTTGCCAGGTCGGCAGCGAGACCGAGATGGCGTGGGGGACCATGGCCGGGATGGCGCTGCCCAAGGGACATGATGGAGCAGTAGCCGTGGCTATCATGATGGTGGTGTCTAGGGATCGACTCTAGGGTCTTTGATGTTGTGATGAAAACGACTCTTTCCAACCTTCTTATGAGATAGTCGTGCGCACTCGTATGACTTGCCACACAACGACTCGCGACTCGCCCGACCCGATCGACCACCTCGGCTACCGGGGAGATGAACACGGACATCAGATAATTGCATTGTGTCCGTGAAATGGCTTGGCCCGGAATTAATCACGTAAATGCACCGAAATGCTTCCGAAGTCAGGAGTTGACCGACGTTCGAACACTTCATATTCCAAGCATCTCCCCTCTCATAATCCTCATCACCCCCTTTCCATCCTGCCTGTAGAGTTCACTATTCACTACTACCTTTTTAAGCCCTTGACATTACTTCTCAGCTCGTCGATCTGGTTGTAAGATCACCCTGGTCATAAAAAGCCGAGGATCCGCCTAGATATGGCACCTGCCAAACGGGGTCCTAGCGTACCTCGTCCTGGAGCGGACTGGACGTGGACGCCCGAGATAGACTCGCTCGACAGGGATCTCACGCAGGAACACCTCGAACGGGCGTTGGGACTGAGGAGCGGGAGGAGGTGTGAGAACAAGGTCGCAGTGGCTTTGGAGTTGGAAAGAGCTCGGAGGGGGGATGACGACGAAGATGAGGATGAGATCGAGGATGACGAGGATGAACAAGAAAAGGGGAAGAAGGAAGACGGGAAGGCCCAGGAAGTGGAAGTGATCGACATCGATGCGGAAGACGGTGAACTGAAAGTACGATTCCAAACCACGAGGAAACGAACAGCATTCTCTTCCCGAGGTCGAGGCGGAGCTAGCCGAGGTGGAACACGGAAGTCCCCCACCACCAATGCCACCACTACCAACTCTGCACCTGCTCTTACGGCATCATCGTTGAGAAAGAGGACCAAAATCAACTCCGCCTCGAAGAACGGAGCAGTAGGGCCCCCTTGTACGACCAATTGGTGCAAAGGAAACTTGTTGTGCTTGAATTCTGTTGGAGGAAAACAGGCAAGTCCAGCTGAGGTCGGGCTGGACAAGGACGAGGACAAGATGACGGAATCTGATCCTCCTTGGTCCTCTATGATTCTTTTCTTTTCGGTGTTCACTGTAGTGGTTAGATCCCGGCAAGTCCTCCCTTATGAACAGAGCTACACGACCACCAACATCCCAAGCTGATCTTCTTTTTCGCTTTACGCCTTGTCATACTGATTCGCAGCTGCCAAAGAAACCTTCTTCCGGCTTCATAAACTCGGTCCAAACCCGGGACTGGAACAGCGGGATCCGGTTTTGCCGGTTGGATTGAGAGTGAGTTCGGCCTCTTGAGCTGGTGATGATGAGGTATGATGCAATGTCCTTTGTATGTAAAGCTGATGTTCGCAAATATCATGTTTCTTTTCGTCCACCATCTCCTTTCGGATCTCCTTTCTGAATTCGATAGAATTTGGGGGCGACTTGTTACGTGAGTAATCTAAGCAGTTCAGTTTCGAGGCCAGGCCATCAAGCCATATCGAAATTGCACTTTGGCTGATCAATGCCTGCTTTGCTTCGGAAATGCCATTCTGTATAGGCGAACGCTTTCCTTCAGGTAAGCCTTGAATTTGGCGGTCCAGTGAGGACGGGTCTAGTTCCGGATGATGGCTGAACAGAACACCAATGGATGCAGCTATGGTACAGGATCTTGCCGTTCAGAGCGGCCGTCTATGCATGTGCCACGGACCCGAAAATGCCTAGCGTGAGTCTTCACTTATCTCCTGCCCGTTTGAGGAAACGCAATTCGCTGACACCGCTTTCGCCTCTTGAAACGCATACAGACTAGCCCTTGCTTTCAACTCGCACTCACCTTCACGGGCTTGCAGAAATCCGCTCGGTCTGTGTTCGACCCAGCTGGGCTGGTCGAGGCTTTGAGGTTGGAAAAGGGGGATCAACAAGATGCTAGCGAGTGAGTTCGGGGTATGGGAAAGAGCATATCTGCTTTCCCTCCATGGTCGTCTAGTCGAAAGCGTTCTGACGGCATGTGCGTGTGGACAGGTTTTCGAAATTGTTCATGGCATTGTTGCAAACCGAGTTTAGCAAGAATGAAGATGCAAAAGTCAAGTCTGTCATCAATGACCAGGTATGTCGATCTGTAGTGTCCTATCTACCGGAGAGACATTGCTGAGCGGAGTTGGACGGAGATTGTTGTAGTTTGAGGGCAAGTTGAAGTATAGGACAGAGTGTATGACTTGTGGCTATGTCAGTGAACGACCGGGTAAGTCGGGGGGAATGATCTTGTTGTGTGTGGAGCGTGAGATCTGATGACGTTTGATTATGCAGAGAACTTCCTTGAGCTGGAGATCAGCATGGAGGTAAGTACTACTCTGCTTTCCCTGTCGATACAACGCTGTAAGTGACGGCTAAGATTGTGTGCGACTACACAGGGTTCCGAATCAAGCCTGATCAACCGCTTGCAAAAGTCACTGGAGGCCGAAACGCTAGACGGAGACAACCAATACCGATGTTCGCGTTGCGACCAACTTCGGGACGCCCGACGATCCGTTCAGATCGACTCGGTACCGCCTACCTTGAATTTTAGCTTGCTACGCTTCGCCTTCGATCCCAAGACGTTTGATAGGAAGAAGAGCAAGACGACGATCAAATTCCCGCCGAGAATCAATATGAGACCGTATATGAGCGATACGGAGGGGAAAGAGCTTTGGTACGAGCTGAAAGGTGTGATTGAACACAAGGGAACGAGCGTGAGTATCAATCGGGGTTCGGTGGATGTCGTCTCGATTCTGACTGTCAATCATGCAGGCGCACCATGGTCACTTTGTGGCCAAGGTTTACGATAGCGAGTGAGCCGAAGCCGGACTGACACCTATATGTGAATGCCTTGCCTAACCTCTCACGCGCCTCAGAGCACAACAATGGATTCTTTGTGACGACGAGACGACTACCAAGATACGACCGATGACGACTCTTCCAGTAATGCAAGGCAACGGCACGACTAGTAACGAAGCGATCCTGATTGACGATCCGATCGAGGATGACGATGACGCGGACGAGCTCAATCTGAAGAGGTCAGCCAAGCTTATGGCGTTTGAGTATTGCGATTCTAACAATGTGTGAGCATGATAGCGGCGCAACAAACGGCAAACGCCCTCTTCCAAAGAACCACGCTCGCAGGAGCAAAAGTCGAGATGACGAAGTGATCGTGATCGGGAGCCGATCAAGACAAAAGAGCACGACAGCCGAGGTTCCAGCTCAGTGAGTCGGCGCATGCTCGGCCCAAAGCAGGATTCTTGCTGAATCATAAACTCTCAGATTACATAAAAGCCAACAGGCATATATGCTTGTTTATGGCCTGGCAAGCGATGATGATACGGAACACAATCCTGTCTCAATACCAGCGAAGCGGACTGTTGAACAGATTGAAGCTCAGAACCTCGCTTGGGAGGCTGACGGAGAGGCATTCGAGAAAAAGTGTGTCTGGCAGGTCGACTAGTGCCGGTACACCTTACCCGTCCAGCTGACAATTATACTACAGACAGGCAGCGCTTGCCGCCGAATTCGACCGCATCAAACAAGCTAAGATTGATATTGTATCTACTTGGGATGTTGAGGCAGAAGAGGTAGGTGTCGAGCTTCGGATCACTGTTTCTCGCCATGTGGCTAAACTTTTGTTCGAAAGGACGGCCGCTTCGTCTACCTCAAAACTTTAGTCAATTGGGTTGAACGAGGATTGATCGAGAGACCAGACGTGATACCAAAAGCATCGCAACAGCGGGTAGATTCGCGGATTGATCTGGTTATGAACGAAGAAGAGCAGATCAACGGAAAACCGGTTGGTATGGCAAGTGGCGACGCAGAGGTTACCAATGGACAGAAGGAGGTACCACCCCCAGAAAGGAGCGCGAACTCAGACGTGAAAGATGAAACGGTACAAGTAGACGATGGCGAAGTTGAGATGAAACCTCCAGCTATGGAGACGATTGATGGAGCCAAGGAGAACGATAAAACGCCCCCAGTCACCGAGCCTAGCGACGACTCGGATCCTCTGCGGTGTGCCCTGTCAAATAGGAGGATTCGCTGTGTCCACCACAAACTGAACCCGGATAAGGGCTATGACATGCGTTACATTTCAAAGGTAAGTGTTGTTGCGACACGAAAGACTCACTGCCCCGTGTGCTGAACCGTAACATCTTCTTATCAAGGAGGCCCATGATAGGATGAAGGCCTTGGGAGCGATATTCGATTATGACTTTGGCAAAGAAGACATCTGCAAAATCTGTGTAACCGAAGAGTACAATCGTATGTGGTGCAATTGCTTCCCGATGTGATACAGGAAACTGAACCCGCATGGGGTGAACAGGGCTTGACGACGATGATGTGCATTGGGACGCAGTTCAGGAGTTCAAAGCAGCACGCGAAATGAAACCGTCGCAGACGGACGTCGCTTTTTTGGTTTCTTCACAGTGGCTGAAAGGTCAGTCAGGCTGGTCGATGATTGGATAGCACAGTCGGCGCTGATACCCGCTATCGACAGCTTGGCGTAAGGAGATATGGCGAGATCTTAAAGACGAAAAGGGAAAAGATTGGTGGGATCGGTGTAAAGCCGAAATCTATTGCCTGCATCAAGCTGCCAAAACCCCCGATCAGCGTGGATCATGTGAGATGGTCAATAGCATGGTAAGCCGAGGACAGAAAGTCTACCCCTGATAAGCGCTCTAAAAGTTCTCCCTCCATGATCAGGCTCATGCCATTCTGCTAAGCGATGATCCAGACGCGATCGCAGTGTCGTCAGCCGATGAGTGTAGACAATGTGGTGAAGAAGAAGAGAAACTCAAAATTGCCAAATCTGGCGACATCCGTCAAGCCGAGACCGAGCAGGTGAGCATTTTGAAGAACACATTTCAAGTGATCCGACTAACTATACCAATGATGCGTGTGCCAGGCTCTTCTCAAGACGGTGCTGCGAAAAAAAGACGGCGACGGGATCGTCCTAGTGGACGACGTTGATAATTACATCATCCCTACGTCCTTCTTCCGCAATTGGCAGAGTTACGTCAAAGATCCGGTGCACAACCCTCGACCGTCTCTGTCCAACGAGCCCTTCTTATGCGCGCATGGTCAAATTAATGTCGACTTTGGCTACAACCCGGACAAAAGATCGACCATACTATATACCCTCTTACCGTCTGACTGGCAACAATTGCAAAGCTTGTAGGTATCCGAAATGTTGGCATGTGGGTCAGTTCGGGTCAGCTGATCTTGTTGCTGCAGGTATACCATGAAGGACAACGAAATCATCACGGTTCACCCTTCTCGAAGCGGGAAGTTTGGGGCGCTTCCCGTGGTCAACAAGGAACTCTGCAAGCCTTGTTGGCAAGAACGGTAAGCGCCGCAGCGCTCGTCTCACGGGTTGTCTCGACTAAACGGCGTTATGAATCGATGATCTTGTGCAGGATCACGGGAAATGCCGAAAAGATCAGACTCTGGGTCAGGCTGGCGGAGGATGGGTTAAAAGTTCCAGGGGAACCGAGTGCTCCAGAAGAGAACGCGATGGAAGTGGAAGAGCCCCGACAAGACGTCAAGAAGCAGTCAAACGGGTCGGGGCGGAGGAAATCGCCCATCGAGATCGACGCAAACGAATCATCGGCGGCAACGCGCCGCTCGAACAGGTTGATCGATCGAGGTAGCAAGGTGAAAGAGGAGGCGTTTACTTTGCGCAAGCACGAGACTTTGCTCGACCTGAAAAAGGAGGTGAGTTGCGGTCATCGATTCCCTGGTAGCGCCAGCGACTGAACGATGTGACTTTTGGCCCTCAGATCGAATACGCCTGGCATATTCCAGCTTTTTACCAACGACTTCATCACGATGGCCACGATATTGACGATAACACGATGACGATCACCGGCGCTAGTCTCGTGTTTGACGCTGTTGTCTATGTCAAGAACTGTGCCGAGGAGATGCACGGAGACATGGACGACATCGAGCATGTACCTTCGACACGAGCGGAGCGAGCTGCTGGCGGATTTCACAATACTCTCTTACATGGCTTGCCCGTTGACGAATCGAGCAGCGAAGAACCAACGGAGGCTGCACCCGAGGTGGAGATGGACGAGACCGTGCCCGAATCGAAAGGTAGGTGGCAACAGGCATGGTGAACTTGCGAAATCGCCACTGATCCAATCGCCACTTCAGCATGTCCTGCATGCACTTTTATCAACCAGCCCGGATTTCTGATCTGTGAAATCTGCGAAGCGCAGCTCTAACGACACGACTCATACTACCTACCACACCTGATCTCCCATATTCTAACTCCGAGGGACTTTCATGTCTCTAATCTACACTGCCCTCGAGGATTCGGTAACCCTGCCAACACTTTGTATCGATTCATCACGCATGTCAAATACCACCGTCCGACCGTAAACGTCGGGGTACGATGTGAAGAAGAGACTATGTACACAAAACACGCAGACGAGAAGAAGAGTACAAACTATTGATGATGGCTCTACCTGTCCCTCTTGGACTCCCTCTCCCTGTCCCTCTCTCGATCACGGTCCGAACGACGGTAATCCCGATCATCATCTCGTCGGCTCCTGCATCACAGCAATCGATACCATGTCCATATCAGCTCTCAAGCTCGTTGTGTGGGAACGACAATCCCAATTGACATACCTCTCACGGCTTCGATCACGATGACGCCTCTCTCGGTCGTATCGATCGTCACCACCACCACGGTCGCTCCCACGGGACTCGTACCTGTCCCGCTCGCTCCTCTCCCTCGATCGGTGTCGCTTCCTGTCCCTGATTACCGAAACCGAACCCTCATCAGCGACAAGTTTCCATAAAACACGTGTTCACCGTTCTCGATCCTCTTGGAGACTCTCCTCTTGGAGACTCACCTCTCTTCGTTCTCCCGGATAGCATCCGACAATTCGTGAGCCTCTCGTTTCCTCTTGTCCCCGTGGCCAGGTACGATCGAGTCTCCATCGTAGGGCAACTCGGCCTTGACAGCGCTAGCTGATCCGTGAGAATGCGGCGTGGGGGTATGCGGTTGTTGATCGTAGCCTCGAGGACCGGACGGTCCGGAAGGCGGGGCGAGATTGTTGTGGCTGGGAGGAGGTGGTCCTCCGGGGCCGGGGGCGATAGGAGGAGGTCCGTACCGGGCGGCTTGACCTTGACGACGTTGCTCGTTGAACTGGTCGATGAGTTTTCGGAGTTCGTGGTAACCCAAGTGCATCTAGGGATCGACGAAAAAATTAGATATTGAAGAGTCAGCTGACGATCATGAAGATGACATCGAATGGACCGCTCCCAAACTGACCTTTCCACCGAAATGATCGGCCAACCTTCGATCGGAATCCAGGACGGACAGATAAGCACCACACGTCTCGCACACCCTCAATTTCTGGTGTCCCGACGCTCCTCCCGTCTCGGTCAACCTCTGCAACTCTCGCTCCTTGTCCGTCTTTTCCTGCTTGAGAGCTTCGACCGCTTCGAGCTTGGCCATCGATTCTTCGATCTTCCCGGCCTCTCCCAACGCTTCCACCTCGTCCGTGCTTCCCTGGATGGCGAGCTCGATCTCTCCGACTTCCTTCATCAGGTCCACCGTCCGCTTGTTCTCCTCGGGAGTCTTTTCCAACCTCTTCTGCGAGATTCGGATCTTGCGATCACAGTCGTCGATGAAGTTGTAGATGCTGTTCTGGTATTCCTGTTCAAAGGCTGCGAAACGGGGGTCGAGGGGGTCCGCGAGCTTGGCTTCTTTGTAGGATTTGGCTACCTTTTCGCTGTGCAGTCGGGGACAGGGACCGAGGTCCATTTTCTACATCGGTCACAGATATTAACCGAGTCAGCACAGAATCGCTGTATAATCAAGCACGAAAGTTGAACGCAGGGATTACTAACGGTGTTACCGAAAATGTCGTGAGGACACGTCCCGCAGATGAAATTCTTGCAGACTTTCGGATCCCACCAATCGACATTGATCGGTTGAACTCCCATAGCCTCGGGACCCATCATTTGCTGCAGTCCCGGAGACGAAGAGTAAGTTATGATAGTGATGATACAGGCAGACGAGTACGGGAGATTGTGAGTAGAGGTAGACGCTAGCGGGACGATACTGGACGTGTCCGCTTGAACTCACTTCGAGCAGCTTTCGCTGCATCTCTGCCATTCGACCCATGTTTGCTGGATAGTTTTATGTGATCTGATGGTATACGTTTTACTTGGTAGTAGTCTGTTATGTGGTTGAATAGTCTGTCGAAGTGAAGTTGAGGATATGGTGACGGGGGGAGGTGAGTTGTATGTGAACGGACATCGACGAGATCTCATGTGTGTCCGCGGGTGGAAACAGCACAATGTCCGCTTTCATCACCCCATCCACCTACCTGGAGCATGTCATCGCTCGAAACGGGAACATGAACTGCTACTATTCCTCTATCAACTCTGTTCATATCATCTCTCATCTCCATCCACTCTTCCTCCCGATCACTCCCTCTCGCCGTCATGTACAGGCAAGCTCGGTTGATCAGCGCTCGTCCGCTCGCCGTCCAGCGTCAGGCAATCAGGGCGAGTCCTCGTCCTCTGTCTCTCTGTCTCGTCCGACCATGTCCGAACAACCGCAAGCTGACATGACTTCTTTTGCTCTTCTACACGGGCAATACTACACATCACATCTGGCTGCAATTCTGATACGACGTTGACTCCGCAGCGCTTCGCCATCGAGACCCCGACAGGACCTACCTCGACCGGACTTCCCCCCAAACCCCCTACCCCTCTCTCGGCAGGAAACGCTCGACCCGTCGTTGTCTCCACCACCACCGCCACGCCAAACTCGGCCACCGTCGGCTCAGGAGTAGCTCCTATCCCTGCCAAACCGGTCGTCGTCGTCGACACCAAGACGAACCCCCGATTGTCCAACTCGTCTTCCGAGATCCCTCCCCCTCCTCCTCCACCCCCGGCTGGAAAGCCTAAATCCAGATGGGCCAGAAAGTTCCTCATCTACCTCACCCTGGGAACATTGGTGTTCTACCCTACCTCGGCGCTCATCTCGACCCACTCGGACAGGTACAGGGATTTCTTCACGTCGACCTTCCCGCTCGCCGAGTCGCTGGTCGAGTTTGCGGATGAGAACGATTGGGACGAGCTGTCCTTGGGATCGATCACGAGCGGGGCCAAGGGGTTGTCGGACAAGGTGACCGGTAGCGGTTCGAACGCCGGCGTGCCTACGATTTCGACGGCTGAGGGTGCCGGACGCAAGGTCTCGCAACGAGCTCAGGAAGCCAAGGAGGTCGCTGCGGACAAGACCAAGGAGGCTGGCCATGCCTTGAGCGACAAGATCGAGCAGGTTCAGGCCAAGGCCGCTCGACAGCTCGAACAGGCCAAGGCCGCGTTGACCCCCTCGTCTTCCCCGTCAGCGTCGCCAGTGTCGACCAAGGTGGACAAGGTGGAAGCCGAAGCCAAGTCCAAGTCTGCCGAACTGAAACGGGACGCCAAACGAGCGGCCGAAAAGACGTCCGATTCGGCTCACCGGGTCGTAGAGAACGTCAAGGCTGAAGTTGGCAAGGCGGCCGAGGCGGTCAAGAGCAAGACGGACGAGCTGGTCGCCAAGTTGCCCACCGTCCCTGCCTTTTCAGAGGGTGTGACCGAGCTCGTCAGCAAGGCCGAGGATGCGCTGAGCTCGGCTGAGCACAAGGCTGGTGATGCATTGAACAGGGCCGAGACCAAGGCTGGCGATGCGTTGCACCGGGCGGAGAGCAAGGCTGGAGAGGCGTTGCACAAGGTGGAGGACAAGGTCGAAAGCGAGGTTGACAAGGCCGAACGTGCTGTCAAGGCACTTGCTAGGAACAAGGGAGGACCCGTCGTTGACCCTGCCGTCCAGGCCGAGATGGTCGACACGCAACGACCTAGGGACGTCAAGGCCTCTACCGGACCCAAGGACAAAGTCGTCGCTGCCGGTGGAAAGAAACCTTGGACGGGCGCTCCCTTGCCCCTCGGGTTCGAGCCTCCTGCAGGCTATTACATTCCCAAGACTGGGAACGAACGCAAGGACGTCTCGGCCATCCTCCCTGACGCCGCCGTTGCCACCCCTGCTGCCCCTGCCAACACCGCCGCGGATGCCGCCAAGGATCCTCTCGTCCGACCGGACCCCAAGACGGAAGGTACCCCTGTCAACAAGCCTACGCTTCCCCTCCTCGCGCCCCGAGTAGCGGAGTTCACCTCGGCCGAGCAGGAACCCATCATCGCCCAGTTGGCGAGCACGATCGACTCGCTCGCTTCCTCCCTCTCGCCCACCTCGTCCACCAAGGCTAGCATGACCAACGAGACCGATCCTCAACACGTCCTATCTCAAGCTCAGACGGACCTGTCGTCGTTGTCTTCGAGGATGCAAGCGCTCAAGGACAAGGAACAGGCGGCCTTGCAGGACCTGGCGGAGAAGAAGAAGAACGAGTTCGAGGCTGAGTTGAAGCGAAAAGAGAGCGAGTGGACCGTCAAAGAGGGTCAGATGGTGGATGGATGGAAGGAGGAGAGGGAAAAGCTGGTAGAGGGATGGAGAAAGGTCTTGGACCGCGAGTTGGAGGGTCAGCGGGTTGGGATCGAGCAGAGGTGAGCGACAGGTCGGTCGAACGTGCTTGTCGAAATGTTTGAGGCTGACCCAGATCTACCATGAACGGCTGCTCAGACTCCGTGAAGAGGTCATCGCTCAGGGCATTGAGCTCCAGCGACGATGGTTGAGGTCGATCAAAGCTCAGGTCGAGGAGGAGCGCGGCGGCCGATTGTCCAAGTTGGACAACCTGACCACATCGTTCAAGCAGCTCGAGAGGATCACGCTCGACAACTCGTCCCAGCTCGACGCCAACGTTTCCCTGCACACCCTGTGGTCTGCACTCCGTGCCGTTCAGGCCAAGGTGGACAAGGGCGGCGTCGCGTTTGACGATGAGCTTCGGGTGCTCAAGACGGCCGCTACCGCCGCTGCCTCTTCCGCCTCAGATGAACAAAGCAGGCAACTCGTTTCTGCCATGATCGAGTCGATCGAGCAGAGCCACGCCGCGACCGAGGGAATCAAGTCGTTCCCTGCTCTTTCGTCTTGGTTCAGCACTACCTTGGCACCCAAGATCCAGTCCGTCTCGCTTGTTCCCGCCGAGCACGAGGCTGGTGTCCTGTCACACCTCGCTTCGGCCGGTTTGAGCAAGGTCTTGTTCCGACCCCGAGCCGGTTGGGTTGAGGGAGACGATGTCGGTGCCGTCTTGGCCAGGGCTGAATATCTGTTGAACGAAAAGGACCTAGATGGGGCCGCCAGGCAGGTCAACCAGTTGCAAGGCTGGGCTGGCAAGTTGGCTGGCGATTGGTTGAGGGAGGCCAGGAAGCGATTGGAGGTCGAGCAGGCGCTTCAGGTGAGTCAAGATTATTGATTCAAACCCCTCCGAGACGAGCTGACCCAAGTCCCATTACCACCCGCGCAGGTCATGGCTACGGAAGCCACTTTGGCATCGCTGTTGCTGGTGTAAGTGCACGACGGGACGAATCAGAAGAATGTTCTACATTTGCGACCCTGAGGATGTTGTAAACGGGGCGTCGAGTCGGAACAGGGAGAAGGACCAAAAGCCATAGAGAATCGTAAAGCAAGAGTCGAGAGGAATTCCGAAACCGATATGCGCATATATACATACATGGATCGCGAGCGGGAAGACTTGAACGACCGTGATCTATTGAGCGAGAATTAGCCCTCGCCTGGATGGTCCTGGCAATGAGGCCGCCTGTAAATCAACGGCTTGCCCTTTCTCGAGACAGGTGTAGAGAGCTGCTGAATATAAGACATGGTACATGGGTGCGGCCTCGTTGACATTGAGCTACAAATCGATACATGAACAATGACGATAACGACGTCTATACAAACCGTTACTTCTGCGATTCGACTGCCATAATGTAAAACATACAAGAATCCGTAAATATGCGTAAGTCGTTCATCGTTCAGACAAAAAGGTTCGAAGATCGAAAGACTGCTTAGCGGCGACCATCTGAGTTGTTCAGATTGATTCAAGTGAGTCAAAGTTGCCACGCAATTCGAAATGGTGTAATGGTACTCACATTGGCAAGCGAAGCCATCGCGATACCCTCTTTGTCCACCTTCCACGGCGGGGACACGTCGAAATCTCTAGATTTGCAGGTCGAGACAACGACACTGGTCTGCCGCGCGATCGTCTCCAGCCTCGATCGGGAGTATTGTCGATCCGGATTTGATCGGGCTGAACATGGGGGCCGCGCATGAGTGCGATGCTTCACATATAGAAAACGACATGGCTCGGCACCGACACCACTCACCCAAGATCGCAGAGTTGACCGTTTCGGCCAGCGTGAACCTCCTCTTGGTATCCAGCCAACATTTGAGCGGACTCGAGGCCATGTCCGTATAAGCGAGCAGCGCGGTGACGCTCTCGATCGTATTGATGAAGGGCTCAGCGGCATCCTCTGACATGTAGTTGGTCGCCTCGGCGTACAGCTTTTGAGCCTGAGCGACGCAAGCGAGCGTCCGGCTCGATTTGCTGCTCGAGCCTCCCAAAACATCTCCATTATGTGGCCGTGCGCTCAAGTCGGGGCTGGACGTCGAGTCTCTCGAAGGTGCAAAGGACGACAAGGCGGTCTTGCCGTTCTTGAGTCCGTCTGCGGCCGCCATCTCCGAGTGCATCGATGAAGCCATGCTTGAAAAGTCCATCTCAGCGTCGGATGACGCCTCGAGCTGGCGAACGTTTTCGATGAATGACTGGATCTCGAGGTTCAGGTAGAGAGAAGCGGGAGTGACACCCGTCTTGATTCCAGGGAACGCGACCGAGGTCATGCTCGCCATCTCGTCGTGCCTGGGCACCCGGTACGTCTCTTCCTCGTCGACGTCGCTTTCCTCCCTATCGCTAGCACTCTCACCAGACCCGTCCGAATCGTTCGATTCCGACCCGTCATCAAAGCTCGAAGCGTGACTGTCGGTCTCATCGGCTTCGTCTGCTGAGAGGGTCTTGTACTCGGCCTTCGATCCTGTCGAACCATAATTCTGGAGGACAGATGGGAAATACCGTCGAAGCAGGTCCATACCGCGAACGATGTCGCCCGATCGTATGCCATCCCGAATCTCTGTGTTTCAACCCGGAGAAGGCCGGGTAAGCAGCCCGCGAGACAGTTCGCACCTGTGTGCCAGGGGGGAAAGACTAACCCTTTCTCCATTCAATGTTCATGATCCATGCTTCTCTGTTCTTCTTTCGGGTGATATCGTTCATAGAAGGGTGTTTACGGCTCAACTCGGGTCGAGCGGGTCGAGCGCCATCCAAGTCCATATCCACGTCGACGTCCGCCTCGTGTCCCCCTGCCTTTGTCTTGCCATTCCCATTCGTCACCGTCGACCCCGCCGACTGCGGCCCGGGCCATCCATTGACCGAGGGCACGATCGTCGATTCTCTCATGCTATCCGCAGCTGTCCCCGGTGTCGTCATGGTCATGGTCGTAGCGATGATAGACGGGTCGATGATGCTAGCCAGTTCAGAGATCGATGACGACATCATCGTGACATCCGTATCGATCTCGAGCGGTCTAGACTGAGCTGCCGGTGCGGCTGAGCCGTTCGTTCCATTCAGAGGTGGTTCTTTGGGAGTCGAGCTCGAGGTATTGGAAGAGGAGGCGGTGGAGAGGCCTTCAGAGAGGATCCGGGCTGTGGCTGGAAAACATCGGTCGGAAAGGTACTCAAGAACGAGGTTGTGCTGATTAGCCATGCGTCCTGAATCAGCCTTCGCAAATGGCGATCTCAGCAAGAGAAACTCGGCTACACACCATGATATCATCCTCGCGAGACTTCAGGAGTTCGGGGTCGAGCCTGGTCGGCTTGTAAGTCCGATCTTTGCGATGCATATGGCCGTACTTGGGATCCGCCATGGTTCGCGAAGAGGTATCGTTGAGATCGGTAGACGGCGATGTGTCTGGTCCTGATATTTGCAAAGCGGCAATGGTCCGAATGACACCTGTCGCAGTCTCTACGTTATCAGTCTGTCTTGAGGTAACGACCGGGAGGGAATCGTTTCCAGGTCGTGCGGGAGGTGCGGCGTCGGTGCTGATGATGTGGTCAGGTTCTTGAACGGAACGCCGGACGTGGCCGGGACGAGCTCGATTGGGGTGATTGGGATGATCTCCCGTGTAAAAGACGGTATTACCGACGACCCTTTGACCTCCGAGGATGTCTTCTATCTCGATCTGAGGTGCTCGACGTCGATTGCTTGTGGACGGAGACGAGTTGTCGATCGTGATGGTATAATTGCTTCTGTCGATGCTGGTAGGCGAGATGGGTCGTTCGTTATCGGAAGGTCGATCGATGTGCATAAGTTACGGGATCGACCTCGACCAGATCCGCACAATCGTAGCCAGGTGAAGTCGCTCGTGACTCGTGATCAGTTCCAGTCGGGCGGTATATGCTCCGAGTTGAACGTCATCCAGCATTTGCACATGCGTCGACTTTATCATCATCGAGGTCGTTCATGCCATCGACCCTTCCTCGTCGCCGTCGTCGGGTCTCCCCGTCAGCATCATCCCTCGCGAGACGACGGGACCTAACCTTACCAGCTACCAGCTACCAGCTACCAGCTACTAGACATTTGGTATATCGATCGACACATCTACCGTCACCGAATCCTTACAACAAGCACGATACATTCCCCTATTCTTTGTATGCTTACATGCGTCTTGACGCTAACAAGAGGAGTCGTGTTTATTCAAATTCTACTAACCAACAGAACCGCTCAGTTTTCGAATGGACTCCTGTCAAGCCCGCACCAAATGTCGGAGTGAAAAGCGGTCAGCTTTGATCCTGCGTCATCTCGGTCTCTTGACCTCCGGCTAGCATTTAGGCACTCACTTGGTATACTCTTCCTCTCCATCCAAATCATCCTTGGCGTCTCGCTTGTCCGTACTGGCGGGCTGGATCTGTTTGTGCACCGATTCGGTCGTCGCCGAAGGAGAAGTGCCCAGGAGCGAGACTTGTCGTTTGGGTAGCATCCCGATCTTGGCTACACGTAGACATATCCTTGACGTCAGCACTTCGAATTTCGGATCATCACGAGACGAGGCCGGAAAAGGATTTGAGGAGCTTACCGAGGTCGATCTTCTGAGCGGCAGGTTTCTCCTCTCCACCTAATCCACCAGACCCACTACCCCCAGCTCCCCCCACTCCAGCTGACCCTGCGCCGAACCTCTTATTGAGATCAGATTCTGGCTTGGGTGTGTTGTCCTCCAAAAAGTCGTCCGACGTGGAAGGGATCGACGAGGCCGAGGACGCCGAAGATCCGGGTTGATACACCTTGATCGTCCTGCTCTGATGCTGATTGGCGGGTTCGTCCAGATCATCTGCAGAGCCAGAAAAATGGTCAGCTCGACTCGAGGTCGACTTGTGAGCTGAAAAGTGCATTCGGCCGAGACTCACCGTAAATGTCCGTAGGCTGCCATCTCCGTCCAGCATTCTGATATTGCTGTGACGTCTGACCTCCCGCACCTGATCGGCTGTTGAACGCCCCTCCGCCACCGCCCATCGATCGAGGCTGGGCGTTGGATCCCCAGGACGATCCCGCCCCACCCTGTCCTCCCTGTTCAGCCTGACCCGCTCCCCTGCCTCCGAACAACCCTGACAGGCCTGATAGGGCCGACCCCACCCCAGCTCCGAGCGCTGCCAACCCTTGACCTTGCCCCTGTCCTCCTGGTCCCTGGCTACCATCGCGTCGACCGGTAGCGACCGCCTTGGCATCGTTGAAGATCCCACCCAAGGTGCTCGTGATCCCAGCGGGTTGCATGCCCGTCGCCTGTCGTTGAGTCTGGAGCTGTTCGAATTCGTTGACTTTGGTCCGAGCGGTATTCAGGAACAAGTCGAATTTCTGTTTGCCGACTGCGATCGCGAGCACAACCGAGGTTTGTCAGGTTTTCAGTGGGTAACTCGCGAAAAGTTTGAGAGGGCACGCAAACACGGACCTTCTGCGTATTTCCCAATCTTTTCCTCGATCGCTGGTCCTAGCGGACCACCCCCACCAGCCGCTTGACCCCCCTGTTCATCCCCCCACATTCCCCCCGTTCTCCCCGAGGCAGATCCACCCCGGTAATTGTAATCCTGCTGCTGCAACGGCCGACCGTAGGAATCATATCCCGTCGTGCTTCCCCCGCTGACATGATGCTGCTGCTGGTCGTCCCCGAACGGGTTATCGTTCCGGCGGGTACCCCTCGAAGCGCCATCGGAAGAGAGGCTGGAACCCGTCTCCCGCTGAGCACGAGCTTGGACTTGCGCCTGACGTTCTTCTGCGATCTGTAAGGAACGAGCAAACTCTTCGTCCAGGTTGGTTTGAGGATGAGTGGTCCGGGGAGCCGTGGTGGCGGGGTCAGGCTGCGAAAATATCGGGTTGTTCAATTGAGAGAATAGATTGGAATTTCGGTCAACACAGGACGGGCTCACCTTGTAATCAGGATCCGTGAGCTGCAACAAGTCTCCGAGAGCTTTCTCGAACCTCTCGTCTGGAGAGCTACCGGCATGCGTCTCTAGGACGGCCTCGATGACGACAGGTTCGACCGTAGGGAACATGGCCTGCATCATCGTCAAGCTTTAGTCTCTTACGACTTGGGACTGTAGCGTGTACGACTGACCTTGAGTTCAGCGAGTTGGGGGTCGACGTTCGTCTCGGCCGATACCGGTGGCGCTGGAGCGGTCGTGGCAGGTGGCAGCGCAGTGGGAGCGGCTGTCGGAGGAGATGTGATGTGAGTGGACAAGGTCGGGGTGATCGAGCCCGCTCGATTAGCTGCCAGAGCTTCCGTCTTGGCCTGATGAAGGGCACATTTATCTTTCGTCAGCCTGGAAACGAAACGGAAATCGCCATCTGCAGACTCAACCCACATCGTTCGACCCAGCGTCCAGCTTGTACCCCGTGTCCTCTAGCTCCTCATCGCCCGTCATCTGCCTGATCTGTCGAAGAGCTTGCTCGACGTTTCCATCCGCTTGTTCGAGCATGTGTCGTAGTGTGCCGTCGTCGATATCGGTCGCTGGCATCTTGGCCTGCGTCAGAAGAAGGTGAGGTTTCAGTTCGGGAGCAAGGTAGATGTGCGAAGTGGAGCTGCGCATTGGGAGGTGACGGTTCTCACCTTGAGCTCTGCTATCTTGGTTTCCATCTCGCTCATAGTTATCGTTACAGTCGTGTGGCTTTGTAACGTCTTTGCTTAATTTGTAGAAGACACTGAAGCTTCCCAGTACTGACGATGATCTTCACTCTTGCTGCTTGTTGCTGTGCTGAACTGCCGCACCTGCTCATGAGCTCATGATCTCATGATGATGATATCGTCACTCCCTCTCGGAAGCTGATCCCCTACCATCCTACTGTGACTTGACAACGCATATCGCATTTCACCTCACATCGCATGCGTTATCAACGATCATCGAGCTTCTCAAGGTTCGGGCAACGCCCAGGTCCGAGATCGAGCTTCTCAAAATAATTGTCTGGGACAACAGTTGCATATCGAAAGATCGACCCATTCTCTGCCTTGACCTGATATCCATAGCCTAGACAAAGTACACAGTATACGATGATCACGTTATCAAGAAGAGAGGAACAGGATGTGCTCGATCGAGCCAAGGAACAGTCCTTGAAGCACTGCGAGGCGCTCGTCAAAGGTGCGTCTCGGATGATCGCTCACTACCTTCTCGTAGCCCCAACTTGAAGCTTACCTGCCGATCGCTCCTCATGTGAACACATTCATCTCGATGCGATCTTCAATCTAATCAATCGGAACTATGAGCTCGGACAGACTTTGCCGACTGCGCAAAGGGAAAGACGGTGACGGTCCTGTGGAACTGTGGCGGACAGTACAATACGATGCGTCAATGCATGAAAGACTAGTACGTCCGAGCCCGCTTCACCCTACAACCCCATCATCAAATATCTGCATTGCCCTCTCATGTCATATACTGATCCGCACCCCCGGGACTGTTTGTGTCGACCGCCACAGCCTGACATTAGAACGGATCGACGCGGCCAAAGCGGATCACATCGCAAATCGAGAGGAACGCAATGCCGAAGCGCTCGAAAAGGCTCAAAAGAAATTGACGCAACGACGGACATGATCAAGCATACCCCCCCTATGCAATTACCCTCTTTCGAATTGGCGTCCTTCCCGCCTCCCTATTGCATATCGATACCACTCTCGCACTTTTTCGGTTCTACCTGTCCTTACTCAGACATTGTACTCTGCACCACCGTCGATATCAGCATCATAGATCGTTATTGTCATTATGATCATCGCTTCATCATTATGTTGTATGGCATAGACCCTATCCTGCAGGCGATGGCGCGAGGAAGGGATCCTGTTATCTCGTCTTAAACCCCTCCTGTCCCGACCAACCTCTCCAATGCCTCCTTTTGTGCCCCTTCGTCCTTGACGACCCGTTCCAGCGCGTCCAACCAGTCCTCCACAGCGTATCCCGGTCGATTCGGTGCGCCCTCGTCGGCCTCGGGGTCGTCGAAAGCCGGGTGGGAAAGCGAGAGCGAGACCATGTACCGTGCATAGGAGAGGACGGGGAGTCGACGTAATGTCCGTCCCGACATGCCCTGCGAAAGAGTTTCTTGTGAACAATCATCCCCGAGCTGATTGACGCCGCACAGGGCATAAAAACTCGACTCACCTGACAAGCCTCCGAGATCATGGCTAGCCGGAGACTTGCTTGTCGGACGCGTTCCAAGTTGGACTGTTTGGCAGGCTTTTCCCGTACCTTGTCGCACGTCTTCCAGTCCAACAGGTTCTGCGAGAACGGATAATGTATCAGAGTCACAAGCAACAAGAAGACGGGACTCGAGCCAGGACGATGCTTTGCAGTTCAACTCACGATGTTCTCCATTAAACCGCGTTTCATCATCTCGTTCAAGCACCCGGTTAATATCCAATGATTTGCCTCGGGCGGTGGGAGTCCGATATACTGCTTGATATCCGCCCGATCGACGAACGCCGAGTCTGTCGTACCATCCATCGAGTACTGTTAGTGTCGCTCACAGGTGACTTCCGCTTTAGAAGGGGACCTGCGACGTACCGATCGCTTGTGCGATATTGGAGGTGGACATGACCAACACGTTTTTCCGGTGTTTCAGCTTGTCCAATTGAGTCAAGAGCGCATTGACCACCTGCGTGATTACAAGAGGGGCATGCGTAGAGGCCAAGGGTAGAGTTCAGCGTTGGTTATTCAGGTCTAACGAATCGGTAAGGTGGACTAACCCGTAATGCATCTGAAGGCTCAGTCCCGCTCATCGCGCCCGCTCTTGCTGCTGTCAAACTCTCCACCTCGTCTGCCCACCAAACAGCCAGATCAACATCCTGGATCCTCCACTTCCTACCTTCGCCTGAACTCACCGATTAAGACGACCACGAACCCACTCTCATCCTCTACCATCTCATTAACCCTAGCAAACAGCTTTTGCACCAACTTGCCCGATTCCGAGAACCATTTCGAGAACAAGCTGTGCGAGTTGATCTCTACCAACCTACCCCGAGCGTACCGTTCCGATAGCCGGATGGCCAGTTTCTGAGCGAGCGCTCGGCAGAGCGAGGTCTTGCCCGTCCCTGGTGGGCCGTGAAGGAGTACGACACGGTTCCAGGTGATGATGTTGAAATCCACGTCGGCGTCCGAGAAGAGCAGGGTGGTGTAGATGTAGTTTAATAGGCGAGGTTTGATGTCTTCTGTGTAGATCAGGCTGTTCGGAGGTGGACAATATAAGAAAAGGACGATAACGAGCTCTGCGGCTAGCGCAGACTGACCTTTCCCACAACCCGTCCAGTGAGCGGGAAGGCAATTCCTGCACAGTCGCCGCCATGACATTATCTTCATCATCGTCTTCGTCTGAAATCACGAATCGGATTGAAGCTGTCCCTGATTAGCCCTTGCTGACAAGATACTATTCAATGAAACTGAACTTGCCTCCGGTCGTCGCAGCAAACTCTTGGATGCCCGTATGATTTGACGGTTGGTAGACGTGTACGACGAGCTTGACCTCGGACAGCAACGGGAACGGGTCCGGAAGTGCTGCATGACAGGAAAACAGGATTGAGTTTCATGTCCTGCACTTCCGGCGGAGTAATTTGAAGAAAGGCTCAGGGACGTACTGCTCTCGGCAAAGACGATCCTCTCCGCACACCCTCTCAGCACCTCGACCTCTTCCCACCCTTCCACCTCGGCACCCGGTTCGGCGCGTTCAAAGTTCTCGGATATGTATTGTCTGACGATGGACCGGATCTGAGGGGTCTGAAGAGCCTGGTAGGGGTTCAGGCGGACTTCAACTGTGCGGGTCGGATTTGAGGTCCCGGTTGACAGGAACGTCAAAGGAGGAAGAGAGCGATGAGAGACAGGAGCAGGGAAAGGCTACACACTCAGCAAGGGACGTGTGTAAAAGCATAAGCTACAGGAGCTTACCGTGCACGATCCCTTTCGGCGCAGCTGTTCGACGAGGCAGCTGGAACCCGTTCGAATTCGCTCCTTTTAGGTGTCCGTTCCCCTTTCCATTGACGGCTCCGTACTCATTACCACCTAGATGATCGCTGCCGCGAGTATTTCGCTCTTGTTCAAACTCGTCATCAGCTTCTTCTTCTTCCCCCTCGCGTTCATCGTCGTCCTCGTTTTCGTCTTCGCGATCCACCCGTTCTCCCGAATACCTCGACCTCGACCCCGACCTCTCGCCCGACATCGGCATCCGCTCGTCGTCTTCCAGGGTCTCCAGTGACATGCCTGACTGCATCGATTCACTCTGTATCAATTGACGATGCGGTTGATGGTATCTCTGTTGCTGGTGGTGGTGAGCCGAGGGAGGACCGTTGGTGAGGGAGATCGAGTTGGATGTTTGGGAGATGGATAGCTGTGAGAATAGACCCGGCGTGGGGTCTTGCGGGGACATGATGTGCGAATGAATAGTATCGTCTACCAGTCCACGTTGATAGATATGAGCTGGTAGCTATACAGCTGAGGCTAGGTTAATGATCAATGATCGTGTGAGCACAAAAAGTCATGATCAATTGATCGATATCTCGAATCGATATCGACAAACCTCGCTGCTGCTCAAAGTGTAAACAAACCGCTCCGAGCGAGAGATGACGGCATTTCTCTCGTTATCTTACTTACGTCATCTGCAATGATGCGCTTTTAATTGGCGATCTATCTCCCTTCTTGCACTTGCCACTTGCACGCTGCATGATGGCTTGGCGGCGCGCTTACGGGAGACGAGCAGTTGTGACTCGGGCGAGCGGCTGAGGGGGAAAGTTGGCATCTTCGGGTCAGAGCATACACAACAGAGGCAACATCAAGTCCATACAACTGCATTCTACCCCTATCTCGCAAAACCACCAAAACAATCAAGCTAAACCAAAACGCAGCCTAACCAACCATGTGCGGTATCCTAGGTTGTCACCGAGCCAACGGCGACCCCGCCTCGATCCGAGCCAAATGCGTGAAAATGTCCAAGGAGCAGCGTTGTCGAGGACCCGATTGGTCGGGTGTCTGGGTCGGAAAGGATTCCGTCCTCTGTCACGAACGTCTCGCCATCGTCGGTGTCGGTGAGTGCTGCGAACCGTCGGGCAGGACCTGACCTTAGTGGGACGGCGGTGGCTAATTCAAGGTGGGCTCGACCCGGAACAGACTCGGGAGCTCAGCCCTTGGTCTATGCCGATGGAAAGAAGAACCTCACTTGTGCCGTCAACGGAGAGATCTACAACTGGAAGGACCTCATCAAGGGATTGAAGAACAGGGACGTCCCTCTCGTTACCGGAAGTGATTGCGAGGTCATCATGCACCTGGTGAGTGGGCCGTTCGGGTCGAGGTCGACATTGACCGAGGTGGGGATAGCAACGACTGATCGTTCTTGAATTTGGGCGACTCATCAGTACAAGGAGCACGGAACCGGCCTTTGTAACATGCTCGACGGCATGTTCTCCTTCATCCTCCTCGACGACAGCGTCTCCCCCTCGCGCATGGTCGTCGCCCGTGACCCTATCGGAATCACCACCCTCTACACCGGTCACAACTCGGCCAACCCTTCCACCCGGTGGTTCGCCTCCGAGTTGAAGTCGCTGCAGGAGGAATGCGACGTCATCCAGGCCTTCCCCCCTGGACACGTGTACGACTCTAACACGGGCGAGACGACGAGGTACTTCGACCCCGACTGGTGGAACGGCGATTCCGGCAACCCCGAGGATATCCCTCACGGAGAGGCCGACCTCAAGGCGTTGAGAGAGTCGTTGGAGATGGCTGTCAGGAAGCGACTCATGTCCGAGGTGCCGTTTGGTGTCTTGCTTTCCGGTGGACTCGACTCGAGTCTGGTCGCTGCGATCGCTTCGAGGGAGATGAACAAGATCGCCAAGGAACAACAGGCCGCCATGGAGGAGGTCCAGCGAAAGATGCAAGCCGGGGCCAGCGGAGCTCAGACTCCCGTCGGTGCGACCGACCCCTCGGCCATGGGCTTGGATACTACCCCGATCAGTTGGTCTGGCGGGGCTCTGCACTCGTATGCCATCGGACTCGAGGGGTCACCCGACTTGTTGGCTGCGCGAAAGGCTGCCAACTTTTTGGGAACGAGGCATTCGGAATACGTCTTCACGACGCACGAGGCGTGAGTTCAGTGTTCGCGGGCTTGTTTGCCAGCGAGTCTTGACGCTGAAGATAGGGTCGTGGTGTCAATTCTAGCTTGGACGCTCTGCCCGAATGTATTCACGCGTTGGAGACCTTTGATGTGACCACCATCCGAGCTTCGTTGCCCATGTACTTGATGAGGTGAGCACGGCGTTGTGCGTTCTCTTTCGAATCTACATCGATTATTGACAATCCTGCCGATCGCCTTTGCAGCCGAAAGATCAAGGCCGGAGGTGTCAAGATGGTCCTCTCCGGTGAAGGATCCGACGAGATCTTTGGAGGATACCTCTACTTCCACGCTGCCCCTACCCCGGAGATCTTCCACCAGGAATGTGTCAAGCGGGTCAAGAACCTGCACGTCAGCGACTGTCTTCGTGCTAACAAGTGTGAGTGCGCGCGAGTTGGCGATCGGCGCAGGGACGTATAGAGGTTGACCGGAGATCATCTTTGTGGGTGTGCAGCGACCATGGCTTTCGGTGTGGAAGCCCGTGTGCCTTTCTTGGACAAGGAGTTCTTGAGGATCTCGATGGGTATCGACGCCAAGCACAAGCTTCACAAGAAGGGAGAGACTGACTCGGATGGCAAGCCTTACATGGAGAAGGTGAGTCGCATTGTTTCTTGCAGAAAATCGCAGCGGGGTTGTTCGCTGATGTCCTTCATCCTCGCGCTCACGCAGTACATCATCCGAAAAGCCTTCGACTGCTCACCGGACGGCAAGAAGTACCTTCCCGACTCGATCCTCTGGCGTCAAAAGGAACAGTTCAGCGATGGTGTCGGATACGACCACATCAACAGCTTGAAGGACGCCGCCGAGAGGTCGGTCAGCGACGAGGCATTTGCGAAGCGATCGGAGAGGTGGCCTGAGGACAAGGGGTGCACGACCAAGGAGGCGTACTATTACCGCGACATCTTTGAGTGTGAGTCCGAGGTGTTGATATCCATGTGTTCTGGGCACAGAGCGGCGCGGCTGATGTTTTCGGCGTTTCTGCGTATGTAGCCATCTTCCCTGGCAAGGGTCCCGCTAGCACCGCCATCAGGTGGATCCCGAGGACCGACTGGAAGGGTGTCTCGAGCGACCCCAGTGGAAGGGTGAGCTCACGGCTTCTCCATGTTTCCTCGCTGGAAAACAGACCTTTAATGCTGACGAATCCGCTGGCCGTCTTCACAGGCCCAATCCGTCCATGTTGCCGCATACGCTACTCCTTCGGCCTAGATGGCTCTGAGAGAGGCGACTCTCGTGCATACCAAATACAAAAACGGCTAGTGACAAGGACATCTCATTTTGTACATGCGGAAAGACCATCGATGATGCAGCATAATATGGTTTTCGCCTGCCCTCGTGTTTCGATGCAAGTGATTGCCGATCCGCGTGTGTGCTCATCCACCATGCGCTCGTTTTCTAATGCATTTCACGGCGTGTAGATATCACCCCACAGGGACTCGACGCAGTGAATACGATCCGGAATGCTTGCAGGAGGTTTGGTCAATACCGGTAGATACATTGCGAACGTAAAAACCTTGATCTAAGGGATGTTTCACTTCGTCGTCGACGGTTAATGAAACGTTTCATCAGGCTTTCGAAGAGGGATCACGCGTCGAGGCGCCTTGCTCGGCTTTGATGAACGGCTGAAGGAGATGTCGTTCAGCGGTACCCAAAAACCTCTAGAATCATGGGGTATGACGAATAGTTTACCGTTTGCACAGATGTTCCTTTAGCGCAAGATAACAATACATGTTCATGATCTCCCAGTGAAGGTCGTGCAGGCGGAATCCCAACTTCTACAGATGATGGGACAGAGATTTGATGGGTGGCTAGTCGTTGTTGACCGATGCGGGTTGAGGTGAGGAGGCGGGTCGAGGCGGGGAGGCGGGTTTAGGTGAGGCGAAATCAAATCGGGAGGTCCGGACATTGTCGTTTTCGACCCCTGCGGTGGCTGAGGGAGGAATCTGCTCTAGACGGCAGTCGAATCCAGATCTTTTTAACTCTTCGGTGAAATGCGAGGTTTGGGTTCGCAGGATCTGACGCAGGATCTGATGGCGGTATCATCCTGTAAGCGACATCGAAAGTGGCCCATGCTATAGGAGTCCTGTTCTTAACTAATCCCCCTAGGAAGATGCTAAAGTATGAGGATGTGAGGAATTAGGGTGAAGTCCAAGAAAGTTTGGCACCAAATATTGCCAATTAGAATATTTTCCTGCCGGGCAGGCCGTGTTTATGCTACTCTGGTCTGCACGAGGCCACTTATATCCGGCTCATGGAGCACGCATGCTTGTACTCACGCGCTCTGATGATACTGAAGTTATGGTGGGTCACTCTACACCGCCCCAACCATATAGGCATCCGTTTTGGAGATCGATCGCATGTTCAGCAATGGATCCGGTGTTTGGCACCGGCAAGTACTTTGCGGCACGTCGAGTCTTGCTGGCAAAGCAAGAAAGTCATGTTCTTACTTCGTCTGCTGATCTGCTGAGGTTTAATGCAGCTCATCGTCTCAAGATTTCTCGCATATGCAGCTGCCCAACACCTTCGAGATCTCAAACCCTTAGTTGACGATTTCTGCGGATGATCAGAATCTTTGTCCGACCGACGCGAGAACTGGAGGGTACACAAATGGAGACGGTCGAATCCATGCTGCTGCTCTTATCTTCGGCATGAAGCCCTGATCATATGCTCCTGTCGATGTGGACAGCAGGACCTATATCATGAATCTCTCCAAGCGGCTTGAAGATCGTGGAGATCCACCTTGTTTCACGATCGTCCTCAAGCGCGAACGGAGAGGCGGACATGAACAAGTTTTCATTCTTACCAGTCGATCATCATTCACCTCGATGTCCGCGTTTCCCCCTTGGCCTGTCTATAAAATTTGGTGAAGATGCTTGTTGCTTGTTCATGTCGAAACCCTGTCCCCAATCCAAACACCATCAAACCTCCTGAAAAACTGACACGTTGCCGTTAAGCTCGGATATCCCGAACTGTGAGTGGCCTTGTTGTCAATCCTTTTCCCCTGCAGTTTCCTCCTCCAAACGTCGTCTTTTTTATGATGAAGTCCGCTACATGCGGGCTTTACGCACTGGGCAATGACTCTCCGGAGCGACACCTCTTTATAGGGTCGACTAACCGGGGTTGATTAGAAAGCCATCGTCCTTTAGCAGAGGACGGCGAGCCTAGAAAACTCGGGACTGACACGAAAAGAATACATCGACGTTCTCCACTCCTATATCCATCGCGCTGTGATCTGTTTGGCCGGCTATGAGATTGTATTGCTGATTTTGCAGCTTTCGATTCACAACGTCTAGACTCGCTGTTCATCTCGTCATGAGCGATATTGAACCCGATATGCCTTCGGGCGCTGAACTGGCGCAGCTATTCGAGACCATCGATACTTCAGTTATTGCTACTACAAAGACTCTCTCGTCCCTCTTCGAAAAGTGAGTTGGGATAGATATCTCGACAAGGGTCACCTTTTCGTCTTGTGCTGACCTGTGAATCCCTCGTCAGGGCAGAATCCGACCCCACTCATCCGGACCTCGATTATTCAGCCGGTCTGACGCTCTTGACCGTTAGACCTCAACTTCTGCTCGCCTCGTTACATCAGCTCGTCATTATGCTCGGTCTCCGACTGAGCACGTTGCTGGTCGCCGACGAGAGCGAAGAAGACGACGAAGAAGAACTCGACAATGATGCCTTCACGAGGACTTTTGTCGCACCGGCATCGAGGCCCACTCTCGACACCGTCGGCAAGGTCGAAAAAGCCATCGAAGAGGAACTGCGAGTCATCCGTGAAGTGATGGAAAAGACCAAGGCGCTCGAGAGCAAGGTCTCTTATCAGGTCAAGAAGCTCGTCGCGCTCGCTTCTTCTGCCGGATCAGCCACCCAGACCAAGGGCGAGTCGAGCGGTAATAAGAACGAAGATGACGAAGAGGAGGAACAGGATCAGTTGTCGTACAAGCCCAACATCGGGGCCATCTTGTCGTCAAAGGCGGCCGGCAAGGCCAGGGACGTTGATCAGGATGACGAGGACCGGGACGATGCTAGGGCCAAGAGGCGATCCAAGAACTCGAGGCGGTCACTTACGCCCTCGGATGAAGATGACGAGCAGACTGGCGATGGGATATATCGACCGCCCCGACTCGGTGCCATCCCATACAACGAGGGCCGCAGAGGTGAGCTATAGCGATACGTATATTCCATCGCACGAGACTGATCATTTCCTCTTCTCTCTCTCCCAGACTCGTCGAAGCGAGCAGACCGACGGGCTCCCGCCTTGTTGTCAGAATTCGCTGACTCGCTCACCAATGCACCTGGTCTCGAATCCACTTCGGGTCTTTCGGTCCGCCCCGTGGTGGCGAGCGATAACCTGCGATCCAACTCGACGTCTGCCAAGCGAATGGCCGAGTTGCAGCGTATGACCGAGTTTGAAGAGGAGAACATGACGAGATTGGTCATGCGAAAGCGAGACGCGAAGCGACGAGAGGAGGACGAGTCGGCCCTCTTGATGGGATACGGTGTCGGTGGAGAGCAACGGAGCCGTAGTCGACGACAAGGAGGGTTCGAGGCCGAGCTCGAGGGTGTGCTTGGTGACCGAGGGAACAGCAAGGGCATGTGGGACGACGTCGGCAAGGGCCTGGGCAAGCGTGATTCCATGCTCGAGCGTAGTCGGAAACGTACCGGGGACGACGTGGGAGGTGCTGGTGGACCCAAGAAGCGGAGATTCGAAAAGGCCGTCAAGAAGCACAAGCGATGATCATTCGCGGCTGTTGTCTCTCCGTTGTATCCCTCTAGTAACATTTGTCGTCCTTACTATCGTATAATACCGACGTCCATCTTGCTTCGTTCTTGACTGCACTCTTACTGACTGCTTTACAACTGGTGTCCCCAAGACCTATCGATACAACTGTAAATATGTTCCCGTGTGTCGTGAATCGATCAATCATCATCTCCACCTCGATTCTTTTTCCGGTTCCCACTCGGTCGTACGCTCTCTCCATCTCCGGTAGCCACGCTCTCTTCTCGCTCTCGCTTGCGTTTCTTCTGGCCCCCTGTCACTGGCTCATGTCCCGATGCTGCTAGAGCCGCTTCTCGAGCTTCAAGAGCTGCTTGTTTCTGTTCCGCTCGGCTGCATGTCGGGATGAATGTTGGTGAGATTGCGAACAACCTGTATAGGCGAGCCTTCCAAAGACTTACCGAGCTTCCTCATCGGCTTTGTTCTGTAAAAGCTGCATGGACTGGAACAAGGAAGCCAAAGTGAGGTGAGCTCGTTTGACAAAAGAGACACGTTCGTGGCCATTGCCGACTTACCAGCTCATACGTCGTGCTACTCCCGCTGAACAACCGATCATCGTCGTTGACCACCGGATGATTCCGTCGCTGAAGCTGAGCAGCTGTCGGTTTCAGGTAATTCTCGAAGCCCTGTATGATCCATCAAGTATACGGTCACGGTCCATCAGTTGCTGAGCGTCATACGATCCTGACTACTGCGCGGCTACCGACCTTGATGATGTTCCCCGTTCCGCTAGTCTCTCTCAGATAATTAGACTCCAGATTCGCTATCGAGAGCTCCATCTGCGCCTGAAATATCGGACCCCGAGATAAGGCCCTCTTAGCTATCGCTCTGGTCGGGACGTTCAGTTGAGTTGAAACGGACCAATGATTCATCTGCGAGTCTTTTCGCTTTGATAGCCGATTTGAGCCGGTCCAACGCCGTACGATTGGCCTCGGCCGGGTTCGACATTGTGATCTGCTAGTTCGGTGCGCGATCCTGATCACAAGCTGGTCTGGAATTCTGGAACGGTATGGCGAATCGCAATAACAGTTGGGCTGTAAGGTCTCTCACCTTGTCAAAGATCAAAGAGGTTCAGTCCCGGTCGGTTCGTGTCATGTGCGCGTCGCCTGTCTGGATCGTCGCGCAAGCTTGAACCCTCGGCTTTCGTGAATGGCCAAAATGGTAAATGATATCAAACTCGCTTGATCTGACGATCCCATTCACCCCAAGGTAGAGCCTGATGAGCGTCCCGCCGATGATAACCCGGCCTGGCCCGAGTGATCAGTAGGTATCGTCGGTATATAGATGTTCTTACAAGAAGAAAGTACAGTCCACGGCCCCAGTACACCATATAACAACGACCCAGATCAATCGAGTTTGTAATCAGAAACGTCCCAGCTAAGCTCGCCGCCTAAGGCCTGTCGAGCTTCCACCCTTCCAACTCTTTCTGGGTGAATTCCCACAGCTGAGCAGCCAACTTTTCATCCTTGGCATTCGCAAATTCCCTTCCGACCTCCCCGACGGGTTCATAGAACCCTCCATTCTTCAGCTCGGCGGTCGGCACCGTCGACGCCCATAGATGGTTCTTGGCCCCGTTCTCCAGGGTGATCATCATCATGCTCGAGGTGAGCCCGATGAACAGTCGGTGCCCTAGAGGTAGACCGTTGACGAGATCGGTCTGGATCACGCCCGGGTGGATGGAGACGCTCGTGATCTCGGGATGATGCAAGGCGAGTTGTTGAGAAAAGAGAATGTTGGCGAGCTTGCTCTGTCCGTACCTCCACCATCCGGCCCCGAGCCAGCCTTCCTGGGTCGTCTTGACCTGGTCGAACAGGATCCCCTTTCGAAAGGCGATCCCGGCGCCGAGACTGGAGACGTTGATGATCCTGCTCGAGGGGGTCGCCGAGAGGTAAGGCTGGACGAGCTGGACGAGGAGAGCGTGGCCCATATGGTTGGTCCCGAACTGGATCTCGTATCCGTCCTTGGTCAGACCAGGCGGGACGGCCATGATCCCGGCATTGTTGAGGACGACGTGCAACGAGACCTTGCCTCTCGTCCGTTCGCGTTCCTGGTCGACGAACGACTGTACGGCGGATTTGATCGACTCGAATGAGGTTAAGTCGGTAGGAAGGAACAGCAAGTCGCTCTTTTCCTTGTTGCTAGCTAACAATAACGACTTGTATTCGTCAATCAGGTCGGTAGCTCGACCGCGAGAAGACTCTCGACCGGTAAAGTAGATCCTGGCAGGAGGGTTGTCGAGTGGGGCCAGGGAGAGAATCGTCTGTTTACCGAGACCAGCGGTTCCTATGATAATGTCCGGCTCGATGTGAGTATGCAATCTGGCTGCATTCTCTATCATGAAATCGACTGACCGCCTGTCACGAGCCAGACTTGAGACGAGAGATCGCCGATACTCTCGGCGGGTTTATAGTCGTCGGGCGTCATCTCGGTCCGAATGCTAGGGTGTGAATTGAAAGTGCAAGTATAGGGAGATTGAGAGGCGATGAGATGGGATGTCGAAGAGGCAGTAGTAATACAGCTTCCTCACGAGTACTTTCATACTTGTACTCTTTTGCTTGAACGACTCGAAACCGCGCAATCGACTCGGCATCGTCCCCCGGCATCGACGCGGTCATTGTCGGAAGCTAATTCAAATTACGTCATCACACATCTCCCCTAGACTCTTGCGATCAATTCGCCATGCAACATCGACATCCACCCATCGACATCCCGACCCCAAGCTTCGAGACCTCGCAGCATCCCAGTCAGGTCCTCCTCGCTCGCTCCGCAGTCCTTCATCCGTCGTCGCGTATCCTCATTCTCCAGCCGCTTGGAATAGGTGTCGACGAACCAGTCTCGCTGTTGCCTCGTCGTGTATCCCTGAGAGCCTACCCCCTTTTGCATCTTTTCCGGGTCGAAACCCGCCTCCCTCGCCCACACGTGGAGCAGACTACCTCCCCGGTACGCCTTCGAGTGCGGAAGGTTCATAGGATGTTCCCGTCCGTCTTCGTTCCCGAAAATCGTGCTGTACAGGTACCTGTCCCATAGCTGTAATCCCCTATTGTAAGGGTACCAGTGGAAAGGCATATCGGCCTCTCGAGCGGCGATCATCCCGCCCGCTTTACACACTCGCCTCATCTCCTTCAAAGCCTTGATCGGGTCCGGGATATGGAGCAAGGTCTGATTACAGTAGACCACATCGAACGAGCCGTCCGGATAGCTCAAGCCGTCGAGGACGTTTCCGAGCTCGAACGTGACGTTCGACCCCGACCCGGACGTCGATACCCCCTCCCTGGCTTGAATCAAGACCTGCTTCGAGAGGTCGATCCCGGTAACATGCCCATCCTGGACGTATCGAGCCAGACCTCGGGTTATTGACCCGGGGCCGCAGCCGATATCGAGGATCCGATAATCCGGCTCGAGGTGAGGGAGCAGAAAGGCCGCTTCGACCTCGGCCGTACGAGCTGCGTGGGCCGAGGTAGTGCTCGTGTGGTGTGATTGTCGGTACGTGTGCTCTGACATGTTGATTCTGTATTTCGTGTTGAAGTTTCTGGATTGATCTTGCATACCTGCCTGCTCAGGGGTGCAACGATACCTTTGATTCGTGTTGCAAGTCAACTGGGGAGGTGAGGAGCGGGTTCTAGCGCGCGACGCCCTGCGCTTCTGTCGTGAACAGGCTCGGGATCTGCTGAAATGATTCTTTGGTTCGAGCTCGACAAACACCCGATCGTATGGCCTCCATATTATTCTTAAGCCTCCATCTGAAGCCACCCTCAGCCAGTCAACCGGATCAAATATGACGGGAGATACGCTCGAGAAGCCTGGTGAAGTGTCCACGACGGCATCACATGAGAGCGATGATATCACATACTACCTCGCTAACAATAAGAGCTATCATTGGCTCCGAATGAGATAGCCATACTTGCCAGAGGACCATATCCTGCTTGTGTGCCTTGGTATGATGTCGGTAAAGGCAAGGTTGAAGCCGTACCTTTCATAGCCAGGGGATAGCTTTTGCATATCAAAGATACTTGTATATAACCACTTGTATATACCCACTCGTATCTAGTTTAGCTGTCTAGACAAACCGACGAAGCGATGCCGTCAAGTATGTTTATGAGGAGGAAATGATGGCATCGGCACCTCTCAACCTTGACTTGGCTTTGGCAATGCTGTCATGGTCAAGAGCTTTACAATAAATGGTCATATTTCCGTTTGAGCAGAGAATCACTGTTGTTTCCGAATTCTGATGATGGTAACATCCTCGTCGCGAACGCTTCTCCTGTCCCCGTAGGATCGAGTGCGAGGACCATCGGTCAACTTCGCTTGAAAAAACCAAATCTTCTCGTACAGAAGTGTTTGCACAGCTTCTCCCGTACGTCAATGGTGTCGAGCTGAGGACTCTCAACCTTCCAGGACGAAGTAAACTCTCGCTGAACACATGGTATGGCCTCGTAGCTTAGGCGATGTCCAGCCCAAGGTGCAGGAGGCCCTATTGATTGATAGAATACCGACCAGAATAAAACTTGGGGCAAGAGCACACCGTCTCCTAGCATCGCATCGGTATCAATGTGCTCCTTGGTGTCCAGGTTGACGATTCGATAATGTTCCTTGCCAACGAGCATCGGTTTCCCGTCCAAGTGTTTCGCTGGAAGCTCACGCAACGCTGCCTGCCGATCTTGCCAATGGATTCCGGCCAGCCGCTCTTGGAACGCCCATTCAGACCGCCCATATAATCCCGGCATATCGTGTGTCTTTTGATACTCCCGCAATTCCGGGCTGGGATTCAGCTTTCGCTGCTTGAAATCGAGCTTGCTGTTTTCCAGTTTGTCTCGAGCCTCGATGACGCGGACGCACTTTTCTGGCTCCGTCAGCGTGTGTAGATCGTCTCCGATATGGTGTTCCCCGGGTTTGATGTGATTGTCGCAAGGCCAGTGCCACTTTGGCCATCTAAGGGCGTCTAGCCATCTGATGGAGGCGGCAACGTCGTCTTCTAGATTGTTCGCACGGCCCCGACGCTCTGCAGCAGCCATGATGTTTGCTTTCGCATTATCGATAAATCCTTGGTATGGCGTCTCATCAAGAGACTTTATGGCCAATACGCGCTTCAAACTCCAAGGTTCGTGTGGGTACCCTGCTTGCCCAAAGTCCTGCAACCAGTTCGTCCTGATTTGCGATATCTCTGGAGTCAGGATCCGCAGCAACCGTACGCACGTTGTCGCCAAGTTCAACACCACCTTCAGGTCGTCGATATGTCCGGCAATCTGATAGATCAACTCCGGCGGAAGATCCGTAAGGTTAACGGATCTAGCCTTAGCTTGAATAGCCTCGACACAGGTTGCGTCAACGGCGCTTTCGCCCTCGTCTGATGCCCCCACCGATACTGCTGGAGCGCCTCCAGGTTCCTCGCGAGCGGCGATGGCAACGAGAAATTGTTCTAGCTCAGGGATTGGACAGACTGGCCCTGCCAAGAGGTCGACAAGATTGACAACCCCTTTGAAACCCCGAATATTGCCGGATGGCAGTTCGCAGCCATAATACGCGTGATCAGTGAGATTGTGGAGGCCCAATGCATTGTAATCACGGCCCCAGAAGGTGCTTGGTTTGCCGGATGAGTGATAGGGCATGATTCGATGGCGCAAACGTTAAGACAAGCAGAAGATTACACAAGTTGCTTCGGAAGTGTGATTTCTGTCGACCAGCCCATTATATATTTGTATACAAGGGCGAACCGTCTGCGACGGACAAGGGTGATTCAACCGTCAACGCGAACAGTAGGTTTGATCCCGTCGACCTCATCGGTCCGCCGCCCTCCTCAAGCCGCATTAAGAGCGGCTTCTTCGTCGTCAACATCCATCTCCGTCGAGAACACAGCACCCTCTCGGTCTGCTTCCTCTTCATCACTGTCATCATCGTCGTCTGGCCGCATATGCTTGTGCTCTCCTCCTGAAGGTGAAGCTGTAGAGTCCCGCTCTTCCCACGCGCGCTTGTGACCGCGATTCGACATTGCCTTGCCTTCCGCCTTGAACTTTCGTTTGGGGATCACCGTCTCGAATGCCACGCGCCAGTCCTGGCATTCATTGTATTTCACCATGATGTCGAAGACCTGGTTGACTGTCAGGACTTTTCGCGTTGGCATCTCTGCGATGTAGGTCCCGATTGGCAGGCGAGCCGTTTTAATGCCGAGTCGGTCCGCCTTGTCCCGGCACAGGTTCTATTTGTCAGGGATCTCAGGTTCAGCACAGCATCCAGCCTATCGTCCCGTCGCTTTTGAATCACCTTGTATCGATTCTTGTCCACTATCCCCCCAATGATGTAGGTCTCATCCTCTTTCAGTGTCTCGAGCTCATAATCAGAATCAGCCGTCAAATAGACATAGGTCTGCCCTGGGAACGGATTGTTGATCACCCCTTCCTGCTGAACATCGCTTCCGCCGGGGAAACCGCCGACATCGTCTTGTCGCCATTCTGTCCGCGTCCAGACATTATAATGACCTTGAAGCGTTGTGTCCATCCTGTCCTTGAGCTGGCCGTGGAAACCGGAAAAGACAATTTTCAGGAAGGGCTTGGTTGTCAACCGGTTCGAGGAATGACAATAAGAGAGTTGTGAACCCATCGATTTGATTTCCTAACGAGAGCCAAATAGAGCCAGTCAATCTCGCTGCTCGTCAGCCCCCCAATGAAACTGCCAACACCTACACCAGGTTGCATTAGCTCATCGAACGCAAGATCGATGACGAGACCTCCTTTCCAAGCGTCCTTGTCCTTGGCACGACCTCCTCGCTGTCTAGCCCTCAATTTATCCGTCCTCTCTCTCTGCCTTTCAAGATACTCTGCCGCCTCTTCGGGCGTCATGTTCCCAGCCTTGTATTCGGCCTTTTGAGACGCCTTCCTCGCCTTGGCCTTTTGCTTTTCTTCCGCTCGTCGAGCCAGTTTGGTCTCTTCCATTCTTGCCAGTTTGGCTGCCTTCTTCATCGCATTCTGAGACAGAGGGTTAGGTGCATTCGGATCGACGGGCAAGGTGGAGGTGGACGCCTCCGACACTTTCAGCTCTTCGGTTTCCGGGATATTCAGATTCGATCGAAGGAACGCAGGCAGACGAAGCCGCCAGTCCTCCTCAACCTCCTCTTTCACTTTGACAATCGGTTTCTCCTCATTCGTAGCGGCCTCCTCGTCATCAGCGACGAGATCGGACGCCTTGATACTAAGATCAATAATCGTGGTCTTTGGAGGTTCCGGGCCCGCCTGAACCTGCTGCTCGGTGGTGACATTGTTTTGTTCCGATATCGGCAGGGCAAGACGTTTCGCATCCTCCTCTTTTTCGATGATGGGGCCTCGTTTCGGATCCCAGACGATACCCTCAATTGCCCAACGGTAGACCTATGGAGTCACGCAAGTTCTTCTTCAGCACGATTTCTGTTTAGAGACAACTTTGCAGCTTTCAGGCAAAAGATGACCCACCAAGTACCTGACTAACTCCTTATCTGCGATTCGATAAAGCCGTGTGGAAATTTCAGCTCGCATCCCAGTCCCATTCCGCCTTCCCACCGCCAACTTACCATTCGGCATCACCTTCCTCCACGCATCTCCCGAATCATCCCTACTCGATACATCCACCCTGGCCGCCTTCTTCCTGATCCTAGGTCGTTCCTTCCCCTCGGCCTCAGCCTCGTCTGCAGTCATCCCCTCTTCCAACCAATAAGCTTCATCTCTCGGTGCTCCACCGCCAGGTAGCAGAGGAGAGTAGATGGCAAAGCTGTCCATAGCGTATTGTCCGACTCCGGCGAACGGGTAGATGGATTCTCGGGTCAGTTCGGACAAGCTGGCAGGCATAGACTTTTTCGGTGACTTGGTGGGGGCGACGATGGGGGACCAAAGGGTCGAGGAAGAGTCAACATCTTCGGTCTTGACATCGTCGCCCTTGATGACGACGTTGTTGAAGATCGACTCGACATATTGACGCGAAAAGAGGATCAGGCGGGAAGATCGAGTGTCTCCAAGGCCTAGGATTGAGATCATCTCTTCTAGCTCGGCCTTGTCGGCTGAGATAGTAAGGGTTCTCTGGTCAGTATGTTACGGAAGCTCTCAGCGAGCGTACGAGAGTAAAACCTACCGGTTCCGAGGTCCCTCGGGGTCGGCCACTTTTCGAGGATCTGCCAGAATATCGGCCGAGCAGCTCGACCCGTGGTGACGTTCAGAAGACAGGTCTAAGGCAGCGAACAAGCGATTTCAACTGAGCCTGGTGCTGCTTCTCCTGGTGTACATGGACTTACGGCGACGAGCATCTTCCATAGGTCATGTCGCACTCGCTCTGTCGGTAGGTAGGATGGGCCCTCGTTCAGCTTTCTGTCGCGATATTCTAGTCTAACCGTACGTACCTTGAATCAGGAGCGGCTTGAGCAGCATGCCCTGAGCCTCTTCTTCCTTGGTCAAGACCCTGGTGACCTCCTTCTCCTGCACGCCCTTACCCTTCCCGACATCTCTCACGGATTCCTCCTTTGGTTCTACGACTTCCGCCTTGGCCAATCTCCTACTCCTCCTAGGCTGCGCGGGGACCTCTTCGATGAGCGCCTGAGAGGTCGAGCCGGGTAGGTCCGGGCTCTCGGTCTTGCTTTCGAGAAGAGCGGTGTCGACATCGTTCAAGGCGCTCGGGTCCATGATTTCCTCCTTCATCCTGTCCAAGATTCTGCAGCAAGAGAATACGCTAAGGTGAAGGATGTAGATGGTAGGAGCGATATGAGATTGCATGAAAAGTGTTTCGTTTGAATATGACGACTCTGATGTCGAGCGGGCCGAGCATGGTCACGTGACTCCAACTTGCATCCCTCCACCTCGTCGATCGAGCCAAGGGTTGACAAGTGAGCAAGTGATTGTTACTAGCTTTACAAGCTCACAAGTACTTGACTTACTCTTATCGACTCAGCTCTTACAACCTCTCAACAGTACCTCGACCTGAAGTTCGTTTAGATTCGTATTTTTTGATCGAGGACTTCACGCTATCATGTCTTTCGGCCGTCCACCAACAATAGGAGACACCTTCAAGCTCACGCCGCCTCAGCGGGGCTCGTTTCCTCTCGACCACGATGGTAGGTTCCCAAGGGATCCGAATTGCCCATGCTCGTAAACCTGACCAATCTTGATTGATCTCAGGTGAATGCAAAGAAGTGATGAAAGCATACCTCAAGTGCTTGAAAGAGAATGCGAGCAACAATGGGAAATGTCGAGCGTTGTCGAAAGATTACCTCGAGTGCAGGATGAGCAAGTGAGTTGACCCGACCCATCACGTCCCCACCGGTAAAGAAGGACGCTGATACTACCTTTGTGAGCTCCTAGTAATCTGATGGAAAGAGACGATTTCCACAACCTCGGCTTGGGCAACATTGGGCCAGGGGGTACCGCGACTCCGTCCTCAAGTCCGCTTGCAAATGCCGGCGCAGCAACAACAAATACACAGACACCGTCGTCTTCATCCACGGCTACATCGAGGGGAAGCCTACGATGATCTTCCCCAACACACCCCAATCTTAGCATATCTCATTGTATCCACTACCCACGCCACCACTTTCACTTGATCTGCAGGCAGCCAGCAGCCGAGCACCTTTGCTTTCCATCTATCGCACATATAAAATGTCTCAAGTTGTTTCGCTCAAGGTCCAGCGCGATCGTTGAGCAAAGGAGCAAGACGTTCTGCCTCGGACGAGCCCGCCTCACCTGATGTTCGAGGTGATCACCGATGTTGCGATGCAAGTGAAACATCACGCAAAATACATATTATGACATGATACGGAACGCTTCAATACCGACTCATCGTACCGGCTGTACACCTCCACCATGACCCGTAGCAGCCTCCGCGCCGTTCACACCAGCAGGGCCGTTCAACAGGCCCGTCTCCTCGTCCGCTTCTGCGTCTTCGTCTTCGCTCAAGTTGGGCACGGTTACGACCCTGCCCGATCGGGTACGTCGGTGTCGACGTCTTCGAGGCGGCTTGCCACCTGCCCATTCTTTTCCAGCCTCTGAGAACGAAGGTAGTAACGGGACGTCAATGCCTCTCCTTCGTGGTTCAAAGCGGAGCAATGAAAGTGGATATAATTGGACGTACGCGCTGCCAATCCGACCCACGTGAGGGCGATCACGATGGCGATACTGATCAGGGCCGAAGCGACTCCCAAATCCGCCGCCGTGTCTAACCGCCAGACGAAAGGCGCGTCGTCTAAGTCTTTCGCTCGTATGATGGATCAGAGAAACGGCACAGAACTCACCAAGATGACTCCCGACAGAGAACCTGACGTCGGTCCGGTAGACGTGCAAGATAATAGCGATCGCCACGATCTGGAGCACGCTATGGATGCTCATGAGGCCCGAGACGATCTTCCAGCCTCCTCGACGACGTTGGGCTCGAGTCTTTTTTGACCCTATTATTCCGAGGTCACGTCTTATCAGCAAAACAGATTCGAAGACCAGGCGGGGAAAGCGGGACTTGCCGACGCCGATGGTGATCAACAACAGTGTGATCAACGAGACCAGACACGGGAACAAGGATAGCTGAGCAGCATACCCTGCCGTGGCCCACATGATACCTGTGTTAACAAGAGGCAACGCGACCGCTTCAAGTCAGAATTTGGTACACCTTCGATGCGGTTGCACCGCAGGATAGACTTGCAGAATCCTTGGCCGAGGGTCTTGCATTCGGACCTGCGGATCAGACCCGGATAGACGATCCAAAAATTAGCTTCTCCCAGTCCTTCTCAGTCTAAGTTTCGGCCCTCTCAGACCATCGAAGCAACTCTAAGCGCAACTTACGATTGTGGGAAAGGTTGACAGGTCCATCCATCCCCCTCTCCGATCGGGATATCACCCGGTCCCGGTGCCGCCCTCACCCTTAAACTGTCTTCTCCATCCAGTATCGACCTTGCAGTCGTGGCATTCGAGACTGATCGCCGACCGGTGAGCGTATTTAGTCGGTCCAGATTGGAGGGTAAAGAGATGTCGGAAGGATGTGCGCGTTCTAGGAGAAGGAGGTCGGATTCTGGGATTCGGCGGACGCATCTGTGAGATAGAGCATGAGCGGGAGTCTAGTCTTGAAGTTTCGATGGGACTGACCGCCTATACAGTCCATATCTTTGTCGGCGAACATCAGACCACGAGTATCCATGTGAGCTTTGTGAAAGGAGACCACCCCCTTCAATTCAAAGGCTGGACTCACTTGACTTCGTGGTGTAACGGCCCGGGAGCCGGTTGAACCACATGGATCAAGCTCGGTAAGAGTGTGGAGAGGAGCGTAAACGACACGGCCGTCAAGACTATTCTCGATCGCCATCACCAGCGAGACTAGTCAGTATGGGCGACAAAGGTGGTATTGGGTAGAGGCGAGGGAGGAACTCACGTAGGACGAGCGCGATGGGGAAGGGAGCCTTTCTCACTGAGCAACCGGGACGAATGCATTAGTTTTTCCCCCTCAATGGGCAGTCGGAGCAGAATGTATAGCTACTCTTGGAAGATGCTTCTTTCCTAACGCCTTAGCTATCGGCGTGCTGGTGGCCTGTGGATGTTTCGACGTTGATGAGCCGAGAATCTCATGTCGATAACCATTCCATGATATACATGATAGCATGCATTTCCGAGGTCAGCCTGTCGTCATCATGGCGTGAGGACGACTATCCACGCGGACATCCTGAACAAGGAAGAAATGTCCGGTTTTGATGCAAAATGCCCTGAATCTAGACAACAAGCATGGAAGCCCCCCTTTTTTCTCTTACAGGGTCAATCACAAGGTCAAAATGAACATTTTGTTGCATTTCCAGTTTCACCAAAATCTTTCAATCTCCCTAGAGATCATCTCGAAAATTTCACCTCATCATATCTCACCACTTATAACTTTTGAGAAAACTGGAAATGCAACAAAATGACCCTTTTAGACCCCTGATCACATTTAACACATCAAAAATGGGGGTTCCCGTGCTCGTTGTTGAGATTCTGCTCACCTCTGGGTCACCACGATCTGTCATAGGTCCCACGCGAAAGCTGAGGCTTGCTGCTTAGGTTCGCCGGGCGCGCAGTCATATCTGCATCCGATGACCGATGAGAGATCGGATGTAAAATTCCGGAAGCAGAGGACAATAACTGAGAAGCGACCCAGAGTTGCCGAGTTGCTCTTTGTTCGATCGAGTCGTTCATCGAGCACCCTTCAGTCAGCTAGTGGTGTACTCGAATAGCATATTATATCTCTGCAGATCGATAGCATATCGTATACCAGCTGAACGATCTACCAATACCGTAACGCAGAAACGTCTTCGTAATGGCGAGTTACAGCGACCACCACGTCGATCGCCCGAGCTCGAGCTTACCATCCTGTGCATTCGCTCTGACAGTCTTCCCACACCCCTTACTCGGAACGCCAAAAATGGTCAGACGTGGTCCCACTTCCCCAGATGGAACCCGCCGACGGCCTAGTGCCTATCATGTATTCCGAAGAATGTAAGCAGCAGCGGAGGGTTCCATCTCACCGAGGTCCGCTCGCTGACCCCTCTATTCCACCAGATTCTGACGCCATGTCTTACTTTCGAGCGATCGTGACGGAAAACGAGAAATCAGCTCGGGTGCTCGAGTTGACGGAACACATCATTCGATTAAACCCTGCACATTATACCGTCTGGTGAGTGTCGCTTCGTTTCCTTGATACCTCCACTGCTCGGCTAAAGTCCTGAACTCGTGTTCCTGGTACTGTACCTATTCATCCCGTAGGCAATACCGCTTTTCCACCCTTCTCAACCTTGAATCGGACCTCCTCGCAGAACTTTCATTGATGAACGAGTTCGCCTCGCAAAATCTCAAATCATACCAAGTCTGGCATCACCGCCTGACTCTCCTCACCCACCTCAACCCGGACTTGGCGCTCTTGAAGAAAGAGATCGCCTTCATCCACGAGTCCCTGATCCCCGATGCCAAGAACTATCATACCTGGTCTTACTTGCACTGGGTGTATACGAGGTTTTCTTCCCTAGGGGATGAGATGGGAGGGAACAGGTTTGCTGAAAAGGATTGGGAGGCCGAGAGGGGTTGGTGTGATGGCATGTTGGACTCGGAGGGGGTGATCGGAAAGGAAGAGGGTGACGAAGGGGAGGACGTCTTGGTCAATGGGGATGGCAGGAATAACTCGGCTTGGGGGTGGAGGTGGTACTTGATGGTGTCCAGGGAGGGTGTCAGGGGAAAGACCGACGTCCAGGCAGAGATCGAGTGAGTGATCCTCTTCTCAATGTGATGGCAACCAAGCGGAATACAGGGCCGCTTACGATGCACCTATAGCTACACGTTGAAGCAGATCGAACAGATCCCTCACAACGCATCAGCCTGGAACTACCTACGAGGCCTACACACCCACTTCGCCATCCCTTTCTCCCAAACCTTCCCGCAGCTCGAGACATACACCTCGACAACGGAAACCCGGGCAAAACCCGTCCCGTTCGCTATCGAATGGGAATCTGACGCGTTGGCTCAGACAGGATCCGAGGAGGAGGTCAAGCGAGCGGCGGGGTTGTTGTTGGACTTGGCCGACAAATGGGATGTTATGCGTAGGACGTGAGCTGGCGTGGTGTGAAACGTTGACGTGCACTAAACAAGGACGTTTTGCTGATCCTGATTACATTTTGTCGGACATCACAGGTACTGGAGGTATCGCAGGAACGAGCTGCTCAAACAGGTCAGATCCTCCAAAGCTTCTGCCAATGTCGAACAAGCCGAGAAGCGCACCGCTACGGCGACAGCCTGATAAGATGTGTGGGCTCGTGCTGTTGTAATCCTTGTAGCAGACAATGCGCGTTTGTAACACCGTGTGAGATGGCGCATGCGTATTATGTATATCTTCTTCCGCAAATTTCAGCCTTCGAGGCCTCGTGCACGGGAAATGTCTGCAGCTCAAGGATACCTGAAAATGATAGCAGTTCGATCTGATTGACGGTTGTCCTTGAGCTGGCCGTGCGGTAGGCTCAGCGATGGGACGAGATGATAGTGTCATAGGATATGTGACTCTCGCGTCTCTCATCGTTAGCATGATGATCGCTGCTGAACAGCAAATCAACGTGCGATACGAGAGGCAACAGCGACCGGAAACGAAACGGATCGTATTCCTTGCGATGCTTGGAAGCGCTATCACATATGGTTGGTCTTCCCTTCCTTCAAACTCCTCCTTCTACGTGTAACTTCGATAAGATTTGCTTCAGAGGTATTGCCAATTTGAAATAACAGAGATGCTCGCTGATCTGCATTCGCCGAAGTTGAAACCTGTTCCCAGCTTCCTCCGCAGAAATGACAGTCTGAGGCGGATCTGTATGTTGATAGACTTTGGGAGTTATCATGCTGGAAGGCTCCACCACACTCGACCCCCTCCACACACGCAAGCGGCCTGTTCAACAGGTCAAGAATGCCGCGATATGGTGGTGGCTACGGCCCTCGTACTAGAGGCATGGTCATAGCGCTTCGCGTCGTACGACAGATGGTCCCCTCTCTTCCTCGAGCGTTGCACATTGTTCGGTTCCTTACAAATGAAGAAACCGTGGCGACCGGGGCAGCCAAGGAGAAGAGGCGTTGGTCTCGGGAAATACGCGTTTCAGACGTTTGCCATCTCACATCAGGCGTCAGAAGCCCCACAGAAGGCAAAAAGTTACGAGCTGCCCGGATTCGAACCGGAGTCGTTTGGACGAACTTTGACGCAATCAAAACCAAAAGTGATAACCAACTACACTACAGCTCGGTTTCTCTTCAGCGAAATCATGTATATATATCATTTGTATGAGTCACACGTATTCGCGGAAGTGACCGAATTCTCATAATTTCGTCGCCTAACAAAGATGCAGCCGCAAGATCACTCGATATCTTCTTATGATTCAACCCTTCCCTAATTCAACAATCTGATAGCTACAATGCTCAGGAATCAACTAGTATCAGGACTACGAGCTATCCCGAATGCTCGATCGGTGCCATGGCTCGCTGCCAATGACCAATTCCGGTGTAAAAGCAGCTCTGCAGATCGCCCATCTTCAGAACGCAGAGTCAAGGATGTCAAGAAGACGGTATCGAAAATCAAAGCCAGTACGTAAATCTCAAGGAACCGTGTCATAACATGCCAAAGATGTGTTGCTCACCCCATCGACTCCGCCGTTGCAGACTCCCCATTGGAACTGCGATCCATCCCGTTCGATTATGACCCATATCAGACGGCCATGTTCATGCGGTCCTACCTGAGCCGTCCAGTACCCAGGACTCCACAAGCGCATGAGGTTGAGCATCAACGATTCGAAAAGCTGGAGGGTATAATCAAGGCTGCTCCGAAATGGACCGTCAACGCTGTCGTCTGGAATATGCTTCTCAAACAAGCAGGAGCTTCGAAACGATACAACAAGATGTTTGACCTTTACAATGACGTGAGCCAAATGTCGACTGTGGATCTGTTCATGTCAGAGCGAGTCACTGAATGTATTTGCAGATGAAGAAAAGGGATATTAAGCCGACTACCAGAACCTGGGCCACTCTTCTCACCTACTTTCCTAAATCCCTGGAGCAGAACGCCGAGAAGGTGCTGTCTCGATATACGCTTATCTATGACGAGGCACAGACGAGGATTCAAAACAAGTTGAAGGCGAACAGTGATTCCGCAAAGGAGCCGGAAGATGGTCTGCAGGTCCTTGCTGATTCCGACACGCAGAGGGAGGTCACCGGATCGCGTTCGGTCGGAGTAATGAATAACGAGCCTGACGCATTCGAGGATCCTCAAATCGTCTCGACGCAATACATACAGATCTTGACGCATTTCGGAAAGTTTGACGAAGTTTTGAGGGTCTTGAAGAGCATGCCGGCGTCGGGTCAGCATGCACCAGATGCTGCTACTTTCGCTGTCGTCTTGAAAGCCCTTCTCGACCGTGCCAAGCGCTTCAAGACGACTCGAACGAGCCAGTCATTAGCAGCGGAGCTTGGACCGCGGATCATCATGGACGAGAGCGGCCAGTCTTGTGCCAGAGTCATTTGGGAACGACTTGTCCAGGGGCATCGAGGTGCGATGCAGACCAAGGGAACATATCGCACCCCGCTTGACAGCCAGAATGCTGTTCAAGCCATTCGTGCGTTGACTGAGGGGACAGAAGAAGATAAGACCCTCGCCTTCGAGCTCCTACCTGAGCTGTACGGCTTGTCGCGTCCTGGCGAATCTGCCGTCGCACGAGCGGACCAGAAAGACCAGACGAACCTACCGACATTGCAGCTGGACGATCGGGCCGCCGAAACCATCCTGAATCTCTGTCTCGGTACCAAGAAGAACCTCGATGCCGCACATTTCGCAAAGCAATTCCTCGATCGACCTGACGTCCTGGCCCGTTTCCGCCAACGACAGTGGCAGCTCATGATGGCTGCGTTTGCAAACGCCCACGATTCCCATACGTGTCAGCGACTGATGGAAGCTTTCGGACCGAAGAATAAACAACCCCGTTGGTCATATCAGACCTATGCGTACCTGTTGAAATCAGCGAGATGGACCAAGGACATGGACCGCTTCTTGGATCTCATGGAGGAATACGTTGATCTGCCCGAGGCGTACGTCACGAACAACGTCCGCGGTAGGGAGCCCGGTCAGTATCGCAGCTTTTTGGAAGAGAGGGAGCTTCGGAAGGCCAGGCCAGCGCGAGATATCCCTCAACGAGTCTATCCTACTCTGGAAGTCGCGACTCTTATGCTGGAGACGGCTATAGACGGTCAGCGACTTTCTGGCATGCGACAGGCGCTGAGGGTGTCCGAGCTCCTAAAAGAGGGCGCGTTGATGCAGGCACAGACGCGACAATTGATTGACGAGGAGGTCATCACGCATTCTATTGAGCGTTCCAGCGGCATGCGATCGGCCGAAGATGAGATCAAGCCTCGTAACCCAGAAAAGGTGGAGAGGCGTATAGAGTTCTGGCGGAGACGGCGGTATGAGCGACTAGAACAGGTCCTTAACGCCGTCCTGAACACGGGGCGCATGGCTGAGCCTGGAAGTACCCCTCAGGAGCAAAAAAAGTGGGAACAGATGGCTCGTCTGGTGAGGGCCAAGTTGAGCCCGGAGGCGAGAGCTTCCTTGCGACCCGTGGCGGAAGACTTGGCCCCACCTCGCAACAACAGAGAGTGGAAGAGCAATGTACAATCGGCTCGTCGATTTGCGCCGACATCCCCTAGGAGGGAGCAGTCGGAAAGGGACGACTCGACTCACCGCCAAGATCGGCCATACCGTTTGAGCAATCGCGCCACTGATGATCGTCGATCGAACCATAATTCGGACCGGCGATAGACCGATGGGGTCGACGGAAAAGACAAAGCATAGCACGACCCAGTACGAATCATGACGAACCTTGCTGTATATTCGCCTTTTGCATAATTTTTGCATCATACAACCGCGATCGAGCGTAGCCGATCTATCTATCTTGTACATGCGATGTACATCTCCACACCCTTCACTATGCATTCCTCAAGCCGAAAAGTCCACCCTCTGCCTATAGCGACGCCTTGATGAAACCCTCCAGACCCCCGTTGACCCAAAGCTCTTGCACGCTCTTGCCAATAGCTCCAGCCTTGTAGACCTTTTCGCTCGACTTGCCATCGGGTCCTTGGGTGGTGACGGTGATCTTGCCCGTCAAGCTGTCCACCCTCACATCCCAACCGGGCTGGACGGTGAGCTCCCTGTCTTTACCTCCCTTGCCTCGCTGACCGTCCTTGGCGTATCGCTCGGTCAAGTCGCTGACCAGCTCGGGGCACTCGACGCAGATGAGCCCGTTGTTAATGGCGTTTCGCTTGAAGATGTCACCAAACGATCCGCAGATGACGATCGGGATTCCCGAGTACTTGATCGCGGTGGCGGCTTGTTCTCGAGATGAACCGGTTCCGAAGTTGTAACCCGAAACGAGCACGGCACCGGGCTTGACCGAGGATGACGGGTCGATGTTACCGCTCGGTCGAAGACCTTTGGCGATGTTAGCGAATTCGGGGTCGTAGTTTTCTGTCAGACGCGAATCGAGAGCCAGCACGGCATCAGCCACGAACTTGACATCGGTTTTATAAAGCCAATAAGACACTCACCCATGACGACCTCGGCCTGCCTTTCCGGGGTGATATCATCCTGATAAGTGTACTTGCCCGGGTACATCCCGTCCGTCGTCAGGTTGTCCTGAGGGGCGAACAACAACGGTCCGCTAAACACCTCGGGGAACCCGGCCATCAACTCTTCCTTGACCGGTGCAGCGTCGCTCTGACTAGCAGACGCCCTCGTGCTCGAGGTCGCGCTGGATTCGATGGTCAAGACGGGCGTATCGTACTTGGGCAACGTCGACCTGTCCAGAGATTGAGGCCCGGCAATCTTTCCCGCAATCGCACTCGCCGCCACCACAGCAGGGCTAGCCAGATAGGCCACGGCCTCGGGCGAACCCATCCTTCCCTTGTAGTTCCTGTTCGTCGCGCTGATCCCGACTTGACCCTTTTCCAACAACCCGACGCCCAAGCCTATACAGGGCCCACAACCAGCAGGGAGCGTCTTGCATCCAGCGTCGATGAGGGCTTGCCAGTCCCCTGCCTGTTCAGCGTCTTTTTGTACCACGCTCGAGGCGGCGGCGATGTAAAACTCGACCCCCTCGGCGATCTTTTTGCCACGGACAACGTCGGCTGCGGCCTTGATGTCCGACGCACGCGAGTTGGTACACGAGACGAGGTAGGCCTTGTGGATCTTGATGTCCTGTTCTTCCAGCCTAGGGAGAGCGGTGGCGACCTTGACGCTGTTGGGTCCCGAGACGTAGGGGACCAAGGTGGACAGGTCCAAGGTCAAGTGGGACGAGTAGAGCGCTTCGGCGTCCGAGGCCAGTTTCTCAGCAAAAGTCTGTTCCAACCTCTGTTCGTTCAGACGAGGGTGGGACTCGTTGGCAGAAACTTTCCCTTGCCCAGGCTGCATGAACCCTCGGAGCTGGTTCTTCTTGATCATCCCGTCGTACCATTCCCTCAGTTTTTCGTCCCTGGGGAACACACCCGCTACGGCACCCCACTCGGTCGTCATGTTGGCGATCGTCAACCTCTCATCGATCGACAGATACTCGACCCCCTCGCCGACGAACTCGATGGCACAGTTCAACACCTCGTCCTTGTTAAAGTTCCCCGCCAGCGCGACGATGACGTCCTTTCCCGTCACTCCCGGTGCCAATTTGCCCTTGAGCTCGACCTTGACGATCTTGGGAATCTGCCACCAGAATTTCCCCGTCGCCCAGATACCCGCAGCGTCGGTCCTGACAATCGCCGTTCCTAGACACCCGACCCCACCGTAATGGTTCGAATGTGAATCGCTAGCGACGACCATCTTGCCCGGCCAGGCGTACCCTTCCTCGACCATGATCTGGTGTCCGATCCCACGTCCCGCGGGGAAAAAGTCTACGTCGTGAGATTGGGCAAACTTTTCGATCTTGGCGTATTTGGCGAGGTTGGTAGCGGATTTGTTTTGCACGTCGTGGTCGAGCGTAAAGACGGGTTGACGCGGGTTGAGGATCTTGGAGCATTGGAGGGAGGTAAATCTGAGCGGGGGGCGTTCGGTCAGTAAGCCTTGGACGACATGTCATGCAGTCGAAAGTCGAGATGGTAGACTCACTTGCTGATAACAGGCCCGGTGTTGTCATGTGTCATACTGGTAACCAGATCAATGGCGCAAATCGTCAGCACAAACTTCGCTCAACCCGACACCTATGTTTCGCCCCGCAACACCGGACTCACACGTGCTCCGGCCTGATCATCACATAATCCCCACTCTTGACCTTTTTTCCAGCAGGCAGATCGACCGCATAGTCTTGTACGATCTTTTCGATCAAGGTCTGCGGGATGGACGAGGGCGTGGCCATGCCTCGACGGAAGAGCAGGGTGGCGGCGCATGGTGATGATGATGATTGAAAGGTCGGGGTCGTCCGGGAGAGGGAACGGAGGAGCCCGCTCGATCTGAATAGGGCTGGCATGATGAGAGGTGGAATCGTTTGCCAGGGAGAGTCAGGTGGTGGATGACTAGAGATGTAGTGTAAGCAGGGTGTTCACCTCGAAAGTCGACCAATCGATTCGTCTTGATTTCATTTCTCGGCTCCTCCTCCTTCCCAACATTTCCCGTGTGTTTACCTTTTCGGGTCAGAGGCTCGCCCTGAGGGGAACGGACATCGGATGGGTGAGAAACTGCTCGATGTCCGTCTCATTTGGTTCGATGTTGCGCGCGACATCACCCACCCTGTAGCGACTTCGCCAGACCCTATGGAAAAGGCCAGCACTCAGAGATGACCAAGATCTCAACAACAAGCACGGTAACACCCATTTTCGACCTAGAGATCATGACGAGGGGTTCAAAAGGAACATTTTGTTGCATTTGCAATTTGTTACAATTATATTTTGAACGGACTGTAGCTGCTTGAGAATTTCGATCTACTCTCTAGCCTGCAAAATCAAAGTTGATGAAATTACAAATGCAAGAAAATGTTTGTTTCACCTTCCTCATGAACACCATGATGACAGACATGTGGGTTACCATGCTCGTTGTTGAAAATATGGCCACATTGTGCCAATCTTAAAGAGATCCGATGCCGTCATTTTGGCTTTCGGGAGTATATTTTCCTTCCGAGAACAAACATCAAATGTCAACAAAGAGAGATCTTGCGTCAACATCATCGCAAACATCACACACAACCATCGGCTTATATGTACAAGGTGGACCTATGACCTGACCCAGAAACACTGGTGGTACTGGGACAGGTAACACTTCTGACGAACGCCACGATGGAGCGCTCCGCATCTCCCACCAAACGGCCGGCGACACCTCAATCACACATCAAATCCCTCTTCACCGCCGCATCCTCCTGCACCTCGGCCTCGAGCATCCACATCACCCCTCCTTCCGCATCTCGTACGAACCTCTTCTTCGTGACCCGACCTTTTCCCGAAGAAGAAACTCAATACGCCAGTGAGGAAAGTCAGTCGGGATTGAGGCGGACCTTGTCCTCGCCCATTCGTAGAGCCAAGGACGCGTTATCTTCGGGCTCGCAGACGGATACCGAGAGCCAGGACGAGCACGCGAGTCCGTCCAAGTCTCATCATACTCTAGGCCTTCGAAAAAGTCCGAGCTGGAGTGCTTTATTCTCTCCTTCGAAATCGCACAAGTTTAGACATCGAAAGGAACCTGAACGGCAGGATGGGTTGACCACGGACGAGGACGAGAGGGAGGAAGAGGGGGACACGACGACGGGGACGAGACGCGCTCGGAGTCCGTTCAAAGGGCAAGGTCGAGCGAATAATCTGAAAGAACGGGCTCTGGGGCTCATCAGGGGAGGAAAACGAGGGAGTTTCAGCAGTCCGAGGGGAGACGGTGAGTTTCCAGCCTCTGGATCGGCCGCTGGTTTCGGTCAAGCATTTTATTGCGCATATTGATGCGAAGCTGTGACACCTTTACAGCTGCCTCACCCTCGAAAGACGTTGAACTCGGTCATGATACCACGACGGACCAGAACCTTTCGAACGAAACGGGGTCGACGACTCCAGCCGGTACTCCAATCGCTTCGCGCATGTACGCTCGGCCTTCGAACGGACCTCGATCTCGATCGACCCCTTCACCAACAGCAGCATCAACATCAGCCCCATCCACCTCGATACCCGTAGCGTTTCCCGATCCTTCTCCGAAAAAGTCAACAACGCCTTCCCCGAGAAGATCAACTACCCCGTCGCCTCGGAAATCTAGCGCAAACACGCCTTCCCCGATCCGACTACCTCAACGCCCAGCTTCCGCTCTTCCCGTCCTCGAACCAAATGTCTCGACGCCGAAACCTTTCGGAACGGCCACGGCGCTGGGAGATGGTACGCTGGGACCGGCTGGGTCGTTGAGACGTGGGATCTTGAAGCTTGCCGAGACGCCTGGAAGCGGGAGGAGCGGTGAGTCGTGCCGCTTGCTTGTTGATAACTGTCTGGATATGTTCTTACTTATCGTTACCTCTTGTCTGAAACGCGTTTAGTACGCTTCGGATCAAGGAACGCTTATAGGATTTTGACGCCTACTTCTCCTACTACCTCGTTCACCTCCAATGACCAGCTTGGGTCTAATCTCTTCTCGCTGCATAAAAAGGGTGGTACAGACGACGAAGACGACGATGGAAGTGGCGATGAGGATCGAGACGCATCTCGGAAGAGAGTCGGTCTTGAGAGTTCTGTGAGCGCCGTAGGAAGGGGTCGACCCCCGATCAACCGGATGGGTTCGGCTTCGTCTTCCTCGTCGACTGGGTCGACCGGTGGAAACAGCCTGAATTCGAAATCCAACTTGAGCGCGAAATCGAATCCCATCAACGAGTCGCCTTCGAGGAGGATGAGCAAGAAATCGTCCATCGAGGAAAAGCTCAAAGAGTTGTACCTCGTCGGGAAAAAGACGATCGAGTCGGCTTCCTCCAGTTCGTCCATAGCTGACAGCGACAACGACGAGCAAATGGGCGCCCAGGATCAGTGGTCAGGTTTGGGCACCACACTGGACCTACCTTCAGAGGGCGCCTTTGAGGGATCCGAGTACACCGATTTCTTACTGGAAGACAAGCGGATGGAGGGGCTGCTACCTGGAGAATCCCCAATGTCGTTACGTGAACAACCCAGTATATCGGAACGGACCGTCCAGGCCGAGGTGGTCGGTTCGTCCTCGACAACGTCCACGTCGAAGAGTACGTGTCGTCGAAGCGTCTCCCTCACCGCATCGGAGCGAGAGCGGAACCGGATCATGCTCAGTATCCACGAGAGACAGCGGGCGAGAGCCGAAGAGGAGTCGACCGTCCTGGGCCTGCTTGGCGATCGAACGGGGGACACGAGCACGTCCAGGCGATCCAGTGATACTTTTGGGTCGCGAGGCAGTCCCAGCAGTAGAAGAAATTCAGGTTTCCGGCATAACTCGAACGTTACTACGACGCCAAAGACGAGTCCTCCTGCTCGGAGGGCGTCGTCAGCTTCGAAAAGGAACATCTCGATGAGAAACGTTTCTACGACTAGCGACAGAAGCTCCTTTGACGTGCTATCCCATTATGGTGACGAGTCGATGGCGCCTGCTAACAGGCAGACGCGAATCAGTAGCGGAAATAGCGCGAATTTGACGGTGGACAGCCCGAACCTGAGCCGCTGGTCGCCTGATACGACCGGAGAAGATCCAAGTCGGTCCAGGTCCGTCTCGCTGCCAACCTCGGAGGCTCGGAACAGTCGCACAGAGGCTTCATTGGCGGACGAGAGTGATCGGAGCGTGGGCGTCATGATCGTGCACGAAGATCAGCCCTCAAATGCTTCTGGCGAGCTATATGAAGCCTTTCAAGATGGCAGCGAAAGTATGAAGGATGGAACGAGCATGGATGACAAGGCCTCTGTCAAGAGCTCGCCAATGCGCAGGCTAAGCGAAGCGAATAGTCTGGCCACAAGCTCCAGCTCGGGGACATCGGATCGATCAGGCAATATGGCCGTCGAGGTGTCTGTGCTACCTGCAACACCGGAGAAGGGAATCAATGCCGACAAGACGATGTTCTGGACCCCAGGTTCGGTATTCCAGGACCTTTCGCTCTCGCAACTAGCTTCTCCTCCTAGCGATTCTCCGGCGACCGGCGAAACCTTGACCCGGTCGATCGTTTCCCTAGGTCACGCGCTGATCGCAGCCGAAGACGAATTCATCGATCAACTAAAGGCGGAGATTCAGCGCTGGAAGGATATAGCCCAGCATCTACACAAAAAGGCCGAAGCAGCCGAGACTAAAAGCCGAAATGTGACCCAGACGCAGGTGTCCGCACAGGGTCAAAGGCCTCGTAGCGATTCGGCGCTGGATGCGAAGTGCTCACAGCTCGCAGCTGAACTTGGCAAGGTGAAGGACGAGAAGCGGGAGGCCGAGATCCAGCTGGAAGGTATGCAGCGTCATTATTCGGAAGCGAAAGAGCGCGAAGAGAGGTGGCAAGCGCGTTACGAACTCGTCAAGCACAGCTGGGAGGCCGAGAAGCAGGAAAAGGAGGAGCTCGCAGTCAGAATGCGAGACGAGGAGATCAAGCGGCAGGGTGTTGACACTGAAGGCGAGAGTACAGGTAAGCGATTCTCAGGAGCCTGTTGCCAATTATCGGCCGGTTCGAAGCTAACACTCAGACCTTCCGCTTTCAGTACCGGCTCTGCGGCTGGAAATTGAGAGGCTCAACAAGCAGAATGCCCAGCAAAAACAGGACCTACAGTCCATGGCAGCTCAACTAGAAGAGCAGAGACGGCAGCCTGGCGAGCAAGAGGCAGTGCTACGTGCTCACGCCCAGAGCCTCGAAACGCATCTGGAGGAACAACGGGTAGAGGCAAATACTAGGCTAAAGGCCTTGGCAAAGGACAACTCGACCTTGAAGAAGCAACGCGACGATCTGCATGAGCATCGTCTTGATCTTGAGACGGCGTTGGACGCATTGCGCGCAGAGCGATCGTCTGTGCAAAAGTTGCAAAAGCGACTGACCCGCAAGCAAGCCGATCTCGATACTGAGCGAAACAAGCTGGAATCCGACCTCGATACAGAGCGAGCCACGATGCAGCGCGAGCATCAACAGGCCATCAAGGAGCGCGACGACACGCTCGAGCGTTACCAGGCGGAGTGCAGGACCAGCGAGGAGAAATGTCGAAGTCTGATCGTGGAGCGAGACGCCAGCTTGAGCAAAGCCGACGAGTTGTCTAGGGAAATGGATCAGATCGTCAAACAGGCTACCGAAATTGAACAGCAGCATGCGCGACTTGCAGACGAGATGGATCTCACCCGCCAACGAATTGAAGCTTTACTCCGAGAGAAAGAGGATCTGCTTGTAGAGCGGGACAATGCCTGTAAGGCTCGTGAAGCCGCTCTGACAGACCGTGCGACCCTCCTTGAGGAACGTGACGACGCTCTAAAGCGGACCGGATTGGTATGTGCCGTGGTAGTGTGTAGGCCGCCTTTCTGATCTGACCATCACGGCTCTCGGCAGCTTGAAACACAACTCGAAGAACAGAAACAGTCGATGGGCGCTTCGAAATCTGCCCAGGAGGAGATGCTGGGAGCCGCCCAGAGAGAGCTTCAACAGCGACGCGCAGAGGAGAGTCATTATCAACGGCTCGTCGAGTCGCTAGAGGAAGACCTAGCTCGGTCTGAAGCTGCATTGGCCAAGATTAAGGCGGAAACTCAGACTGTGGCAGAAAAGAGCCGCTTAGTTGAACAACAGCTTGCTCAAACCCAGGAAGGGCACGAGCAGGAGCTGAAGGCCGCGAGAGAAAACTTCGGCATATTGGACAAGGAATATGATGGACTCAAGGAAGACAACGCCACCCTGATAATTGAGCTAGAAAAGATGCATTCGCTACTGGCAGATACCAAACGATCGGCAGCAGCTTCTACCGAAACCGAAACCGCTCTCCACGCTCGCATTCAGTCGCTTGAGACCGACATTGAAACCTTGAAAAAGAGCATCTCCAGTATGCGACAAGAAAATTCAACAAAGGACAACCAAATAGAGAGGCTTCAGAGAGCTAGGGAGCAACTCAAGGACGATAAAGAGATGTTGAACATCGCTTTGGACTCGAAGCAGCAAGAAGTCGAGCTGGTACGCAGGGATCTGATTGTCAGGGTGAAGACCGAGACTGATCAATACTCCTTGCTTTCCCTAGCTCCGCCGCAAGTATGGAGACGGCCGCCAATCGACTCACACCCCGATCGATCAGCTTGGAGAATCGATATCTACAACACCTGCAGCCAGTCGTCTCGCCGCTAGCGTCCGCCGACACACGGCCAATCGTCGTCCTTCCGCCACAAGCATGACCACTCCTTTACCTAACCAACGCGCTCTCGGCCGGGGGACCCCTTCTACCATCAACGCTACACGCCGTTTCCCCTCCATACCCAAATCGCTGAATACACCGGTCGACGTGAGCCATGTCTTGAACTCGTCCGTAAAGTTCAATCGCAAAGCATCGCTTGGTCTTGCTTCCGCTAGGCGTTCGACGTCGATGACCAGCAGCAAGAGATACGACCGCGCAGATCAAGAGAGCCAGTCTCGCACCACAGAAGCTGAATACCGCGCCATGTCTCTGGTGCCTAGCCTGGAAGCAGTATGAGTTTGACTAGGTACCTGAATGGACATTATCCAGCCTGATGACGATGATGTTGTATAACGAATCTTATAATGATGTCTTGTTACACGAGCCATGCAGTACTAGTCGGTACCCCAAGGGAGGTAATCTCTGCAGCTATTACATGATCAATAACCTTACGTATCAGCTCAACCCGGGTGGGGAGACGACAAGACCCCTCACTTTTGTGCTCCGCATAAACAGGGCTTGAGAATAGCTGGTGATGCCTCTGCAGACGTATAGATCTCCTCCTCAGAGTCACAAGACGCGTTTCCGTAATCCCAGGTCAACTCTTCCCCAGCTGATACCGCTTTTCTAGTCTGTTACCCAGATGTATCAGGGGGTGATGTCCACAGCAAGGTAAAGCTTCAGACATACGAATATAGCTGGCCGGGGGAATGCTCTCGGACCCCACCTGACAAGTTGGATCAGGCAATTTGGATCGCACGAGTGATTCAAAAAGCGTCTGGCGGGAACTTTCAAGGTCAATAGCAGCAGTGTCGTATAGTAGCCATGGGGTCCACTTACGCAACGTTTCCTGTATGGGTGGCATCTACTCGGCCCCAGACTTTATCGTTCTCCCTCAAGGCCAAAATATAATTGCCCCACGAGGGGTGCTCCTGCTGTCTTTTGGTCCTTCTTCTCTGAGCTGTTTTACCAGAGATCAATTCTCCGGCATAAAGTGCTACGAACGATCCAGCTTTTGCTGGTTCGAGCGTCCTGCATGCGAAACCTTTTTGCACAGAATCTCTTGCGAAGTAGACCTCAAGCTGGAGCCTAGCTGTGAACATCCATTAGCTTTCTAGATGTGGGCAACTCATTCATCTGTACCAACCTGGTAGGGCCTTGAGTGACACGGTTGTAACAATTCTCTACGGAACATAGGCAGAGTGGGCCGCATTCTACCAGAGGCAGGTTACGGGGCAGGACCGAAAGCTGTAATCGCCCGAACCTATCGTAAAAGTTGCCTGACGATAGGTAGCGTGAGCTCAGGCTATACGGACGATTCGATCTGCCCGGGACTTACCTGTTGTCTCTACACATTCACACTCGCTAGTTATGGCACAGCGCTTCGCATTCGCTGCCTCATCGCCGCAACAAGCTTCGTCATCCAGTTCCGCTAGGTATCCTAGCGTCAAACCTGTTGATGAGATCAGATCGGCAGTATACTGCGGAAAAAGTAAGTTGTCAGGGAAGGTCTCGGCCAATAAATAAATCGCAAGAACGCTTGCCGTTTGAAACATTCCCCCGAGAAGACTTCTCTCCTCTCGGGAGATACAGATCTGACATTGCTGGCTCAATTCTTCCATGTAGGATTCTCACAAACTTTGCAAGCTCGATGAGTTCTGGTTGGCAATACGGCGTGAAGCTAACTATTGCAGCCCTAGTCAGTAATTCAGAACCACAAGCCTACTAGTCAGTTATTTGTTGTCTTTGTCGGAAACAGATCACGGCATCGGGTCGAAGAAGCGCAGATCGCTCGCAGAAGGGTCATGGAACATGTATGGAAATCCTCCTGAAACACACAAGAAATGCTACATGCAAAAGGAACACATCTAGTGCAAATCGTTCCTGGACATCGTGGGCGCGTCGTAAAAATGCGAATCGACGGAACAGGATCAATGTCATCGTTAAAAAGCGTCTCCCCTCCAACCCCCTCTAAGGTGTCGTCGGGTAGTCCTTTACTCGACTTTTTCCTTGGAGACGGGTTCTAGATAAATACAACGTTGGATTTGTTAAAGTATGCTGATTATGAAAGTTTGAATATTTGTTCTTCTCACCTCGAAGGAGAGAGACGTATTTCAGCACCTCGTCTATCAGAAGAACAGGCGCCGAGATCCACAGTACCGCCTTCCATTCCTGCCAGTTCAACGGGGTGATTTGAAACAAGGACTGCGACGGGTCAAGGGCCAAAGGTCAGCTTCCCAGGTCTTCAAAGTCTTCACATAACGTCTTGGCCTGTTGTGACTCACGCTAAGGAAAGGGACGTAGAGAATGCAGAAGTGGAGAGCCATGGAGAGCGCGATCGACGCGACGAGGTACGGGTTGGACCAAAGAGGCAGAACCAAGAGGGATTCGTTCTCGCTCAGCGAGTTGCAGGCGTTGAGCATCTCGACGACTGCCAAAAGGCGATCGGGTCAGCATCGCCCCAAGAAATAGGTTCAGCACGTCATACTCACCGACAAGGATGGACAATGACATCGTGGTTGCCGTCTTCGAGTCGACGTTGGAGAACATCTGACAGCCAATCTCAGGGAACTTCGATGAACATTGATGGAAGTTGGTCTGATACCACACGAGGTTCCGTTAGCGGGACTACACCTTTTCCTACCGTAGCACACCTATCGAGAGACGCTGCGACTCACGAGCTGATGCCAAGTGATTTGAGGTCCACCTTCGTAAAACATGAACCACCAAGCGTAACCAAACACGGTCGCCACACCGACGTAGATTCCGATGACCATGTATCGGAAGAACAACCAAGGTCCGACCAGGGCTTCCCTTCCGTTTCGGGGAGGCGTCTTCATGATCATGTGGTCGGGAGGGTTGAAACCGAGCGCGGTGGCAGGAAGACCGCTAAGTAAACAGGCACGTTCCAGTTTCAGTATTCCGAGACAACATTCCAGCAAATAGGACCTGGTGCTCACTCGGTGACCAAGTTGACCCAAAGCAACTGCACGGGGATCAAGGCCTCGGGCATACCCAGCAAGACGGTCAAGAAGATCGAGACGACCTCTCCAATGTTCGACGAGATCAAGTACCGGATAAATTGCTTCGTGTTGTTGTAAATCGCTCGACCTTCTTCGACGGCCTTTTCGATCGTAGCAAAGTTGTCGGTGGCCAGAACCATATCGGCAGCGAGCTTGGCGACGTCTGTCCCGGAGCCCATGGCGATCCCGATATCGGCCTTTTTCAGTGCGGGAGCGTCATTCACTCCGTCTCCTGTCATGGCGACGACCATGCCGAGCCCTTGTAAGAGATCGACGAGCTGGCTCTTGTGATTGGGTTCGGTCCGGCTGAACAGGCTCGCCCGTTGAACAGCGAGAACCTTTTGATGATGTGAAAGATCGTCTAGTTCCCTCCCCGTATACGACTTGCCCGTCAAATCCTCGTTGGGTCCGAAGATCCCAATCTCCCTACAAATCGTCTCGGCGGTATTCTTGTTGTCCCCTGTAATAACGATCGTCCTGATTCCCGCGGCCTTGCACTTGGCAATGGCCGACCTGACTTCCGGACGAGGAGGATCGAGCATCCCCACGAGCCCTACGAACGTCATGTTCTGCTCGAAACCAACATAATCCGCCGAGCTCTCGGTCTTGTAATGATCCACGTTCGGGTCCGCCTCGTCCACAAACGCAAACGCCAGCGTCCTCAACCCACGTCGACCGTATTCCAACTGGGTCTGGGCCAACCGTTCTCGGAGCTGGTCCGACATGGGCAGGATCCCGTGGGGCGTATGAACCGAGGTACATCGCTCAATGACCGTCTCTGGCGCTCCCTTGACGAAGAGTACCGTCTGCCCAGCCCGCTTGACGAGCACCGACATGGACTTTCGATCCCTCGAAAACTCGAAAGTGAGCAGACGTTCGATCTGGTTCTCGTAATAGGTGTTGACAGCGTTGACTCGGCCGGAAGGATGCATAGCCCCGAGGGTGGAGTTGAAGGCTTCGTCGTTCGTAGCGAGCTTTTCCACGAGCACCTTGAGCGCAGCCTCGGTCGGTTCCCCGAGGTTGGTATACACCCTGCTCTCGTCGTTGTAAGCCACCTTGGCGTCGTTACAGATGGAACAAATCTCAACCAATCGATCGACCGGAGCCGTCCTCATCATGTGTTTCTCGGCGTGATGACCGTCGGGCGAGGTGACGGTCCCGTTCGGCGCAAATGTCGAGCCAGAGACGAGATATTCACGGAGAGGCGAGGAGGATTCGTCGACCGTCAAGAATCTGGCGACCGACATCTGGTTGGTCGTCAACGTTCCCGTCTTGTCCGAACAGATGACGTTGGTGCATCCGAGAGTCTCTACGCTAGGCAAGTTCCTGACGATGGCTCCCCGCTTGGCCATCTTTTTCGTACCCAACGCCAGACAGGCGGTGATGACGGCAGCGAGACCTTCCGGGATGGCGGCGACAGCGAGCGCGACGGCAATCTTCAAGTAATAGACGGCCCCTTTGATCCAGCCGTGATGAGCCGGATCGTTGAAATGCCGAATGTTGACCAGCCAGACGAGGATACAGATGACGCTGATGACCTTGGCGAGCGAGTCGCCGAAATCGTCGAGCTTCTTCTTCAAGGGGGTCTTTTCCACGACCTGGGAAGCGATGGAATCGTGAATGGCTCCGATGGCGGTGAGCGGACCGGTCAAGACGACGAGCGCGTGAGCGGCCCCGTTGACAACCGTGGTACCGGAGAACAACATGTTGGTCATATCCTGCCTGACAGCCTTTTCATCCTTGACCTTGCCGACGACCTTGCTGACACTCGCAGATTCTCCAGTGAGGATCGCCTGATCCACGCGGAACGAGCTGCTGGAAAAGCTCAAGACTCGACAGTCGGCAGGGACCTTGTCGCCGACATGAACCGAGACGATGTCGCCGGGAACGAGCTCCGAGGCGTGAATCTTGTAAGAACGACCTGATCGGATGACGGTGGCTTCATCGGGGGAGTATTCCTTGAGAGCCTGTGGAAGCGAGATGAATAGGGGTCAATATCGATCACTCGTCGCAGCGAGTAATCATGCGCGCGTGTTCGTCTTTTGATGACAGAGGACTCACGTCGATGGCCTTTTCCGCGTTCGATTCTTGTACGACTCCGACGGCGGCGTTGGCGATGAGGATCAAGAAGATGACGAGCGGTTCGACAAATGCCGTGGCCCAGCTCCCACCCGACTCGCCGCTATCCTCGAAACAGGCGAGCACGAACGAGACGACTGCGGAACCGAGGAGGATGAGGACGAGCTGATCTTGGAATTGAGCGAGGATCAGGGAGAACAGCGACGAGGACGGTTCTTCCGGGAGAACTGCATCGTACGAGAACAAGCGGGTTGAGTTTACGACTGACACGATGTATGACGGATACAGTTAGACTCACCGTTCTTGCCGTAGAGCTTTGCATTCTCCCTCGCACGGTATTCGTCCAGGCCGCTCTCTTCGCTCACGCCATAGTGAGCGAGCGCGTCCTGGACGGTATACGTCCAAGCGTTGGACAACATTCCGGGGCCGGCTTCTTAGACGATAACTAGTGTGCGGGTCGAGTTGCGATCGTTACTACGGTCAAGATCGATGATGATATTGACTTGCGACAATTTTGTTTGAATGGGGTTCGGCACACAAAGGGCAGCTGAACGGCGACGTGGAGGTCGCGCAGGGAGTGTGATGAGCGTGAGATTAGGTAATCACACTTGATTGTTTGACCATAGACTCCCCGTTGAACCAGTTTAGGAATCACATTTTGCATCCGACGAACGAGATTTCTCTTTCGGATCAACCTCCGAGCGAGCGAGAGCGAGCGAGCAAACCGGATCAGCTGGATTCGAGTGACATTCGATGGGTCGTCGGGTTGATTTGATCCTGCCAATCTAAATTGCTTGCAGTAATAGTATAACACCAGCTTTGCTAATCTCGAGGTTAACATCTCTCTCCAATCTGGAAACCGTGCTCGGAAGACCAGCCTCGAAAAGAGCTCGACAAGCACCCCCCGCTCGACCCTCACCCGAAAGTCGACCGACTTCTAGCTCTTTCACCTCTTTCGAGCAACTGCATCAGAAATGTGTGGTATCGCAGGAATCTTGTTGCACGACCCGGTAGCTACCGAGGGGACTTTGGCTGGGACGGAGATGTAAGCTCTCTAGCCATCTGGACTGAGAGGTCCAGACCGGGCAGCTTACTAACCAAAGCATGCCGTTTTGCCTACCTTCCGCACCACCGCTCCTCTATCGTAATGGTCATGCCAAAACCCCTCAACTTCCTCATTTTATCATCACCATCAATACTGCCGCCAAATGCTGTTGATCTGCCAGCGTCGAAGCCCTGTCCCTCCTGCAACACAGAGGCCAAGACGCCGCCGGTGTCGTCACGTGCGGATCCGGCGGTCGGTTTTACCAAGTGAAATCTAACGGGATGGTCAGGGACGTCTTTGATACCAAAGCTGTCGCTGGTTTGAAGGGGTGGATGGGAGTCGGGCATGGTGAGTCGCTGCGACCATCCGAGCCTGTGAGGCAATGGGATGAGACGGCTGATGCGCGACATCATTCTGGTAATGGTTCAGTGAGGTACCCTACGGCGGGGTCGTCGGCGCATTCGGAAGCACAGCCGTTCTACGTCAACAGTCCTTACGGGATCGTCTTTGCCCACGTGAGTCTCGCCTTTTTACGTCAATATCACAAGCCGGTACTGATCACGAAGCGACATCCCTCACCACCCGCCAGAACGGAAACCTGATCAACACCTCGGAGCTCCGTCAATTCTTGGATGCCGATGCGCACAGGCACATCAACACGGATTCGGACTCGGAGATGTTCTTGAACATTCTCGCCAACAACCTGCAACAGACTGGCAAGTTCCGGTGAGCACCGACATCCTGGACGGGTTGCTAAGAGCAAACGGGTGGCTGACCGTGCTGGGCATGGTAGAATCAACGAAGAGGACGTGTTTACTGCCATCGGAGACCTGATGGAGACCTGCAAAGGAGCCTATGCCTGTCTGGGCATGCTCGCTGGTTTCGGTCTCATCGGGTTCAGAGACCCCAACGGGATCCGACCTTTGGGCGTGGCCACCCGACCTTCGGCCACGAAACCCTCGGGCAAGGACTACCTCTTGGCTTCGGAATCGGTCGTCGCCGACGCTCTCGGATTCTCCGACTGGCAAGACGTTCAACCCGGTGAAGCCATCATCATCACGCGGACCGGGTTCAGCAAGCGGACCGTGGCCAAGCCGGCCACTTTCTCCCCCGACATCTTCGAGTACGTCTACTTTGCTCGACCCGACAGCACGATGGATGGGATCAGCGTGTACCGTAGCCGAATGGCCATGGGGGACGCTTTGGCCAAAGAGGCCCGTAAAGTCCTCACTGCCAAGGGGCTCGAAATCGACGTCGTCATCCCCGTACCCGATACCTCTCGTGTGGCCGCCCTCCAGTTGGCGCAGAACATGGGGATCCCGTACAGAGAGGGTTTCATCAAGAACAGGTACATCGGGAGGACGTTCATCATGCCCGGACAGGCGGTCAGGAGGAAGAATGTGCGGAGAAAGTTGAACGCGATGCCGCTCGAATTTGCGGGCAAGAACGTCATGCTCGTCGACGGTGAGTGTTGAGTCGCGAAATCGCCTTTTATCAAGCAAAAGGAGCTGATGGCGTTGTTATACGAATTCCTGTTCGGCAGACTCGATCGTCCGAGGTACGACGTCCCAAGAGATCGTCCAGATGGCCAAGGACGTCGGCGCCAAGTCGGTCGTCTTTGCCTCGTGCGCCCCTCCTATCCGTCACTGCAACGTCTACGGTATCGACATGCCCTCCCGTCACGAACTTGTCGCTCACGACCGTGACGAGGACGAGATCGCTCGCGTGATCGGCGCCGACCTGGTCATCTACCAGACTCTGGACGACCTGGTGGAATCGTGTCGACAGTTCAACCCCAAGATTCCCCAGTTCGACTGTTCGGTCTTTACCGGAGAGTACGTTACGGGCGGGATCAACGATGCGTACTTGGACAATGTGGAAAAGCTGAGGAACGACAAGGCCAAGGCGAAGAAGGGGTCGACGTGGCAGGCCGAGGCCGAGCAGGAGAACTTTGGATGCAGTGGACCGATGAGTGAGTAGCGGTCGCCCGTGTAGTCTCAACAATCGAAGCGAAACTGATCGTCGGTGGACGACCTTTGTAGACGGCGCCGACGCGATCATGGGACTGGCCAACCATTCTCCCAAGCTCGGGCCGATCAACGATTACTTGCCGGCAAACGACGAGGTCGGGCTGCACAACTCGCGGTTCGACGCCTAGGCGTGGGCAATCATAGCTTGCAGGAGGAAGAGGGGAAAGAGGAGGAGAGGACGCTGCGATACTGCGACGCACCATAGGATGGGACTGCTTTGAGGGGAAAGGTATTCAGGGTCGAACTTTATACAAACACAAATCACAAAATCGCCTGCTTGGCACGGCAAGACCCCGCGGTAGCATCTTGCCGTTTCTTCATCGCCTGCATACACAGGCAACGTTCGGTTGTATGATTTACGATTGATGATATAGATACATGATCTCTTGGTCGTCTAAGGGAAAGAGACATATTCGACTGCTGAGCTACCGAATTGCTGATCAGGGCTTCGTCGGAGCATTTCGCAAGATCGATTGAGAATTCAAGATTTCCAACCGATCCTGCCGGCGCCGCGAGCGTGTGAGCCTGACATTTATCTCGCGAGAGTGTGTTTATCTGCCTCGGGGTTGACCGACCGGTTGCCGGTTGTGAAGGATCGATCGAGTTAGCCGGAGAGCGCGGGGGGGGAGGCGGGGGGAGGGGACATTCATAAAAGGGGGAAGAGAACTCTCGACTCGTACTTTGATCGACATCCGACCCAATCATATACCATATACCACACTTTCTCTGGTCATACCAATAATATACAAACCTGCAGACCTCGACAATAACAAAATTGTCTTGACCAGTGCCGAAACGCGAACAAGTCTTCCATCAGCTCAGCTCGTATACCAAACACCCAAGATGTCGCTCCCCAACTCTGGTAACCCGTCTCCTGTAAGCATTCCCCCATCCACATTAAGTTCTGTTTACTCTGAAAGCTGACATTCGATGGGCACCCGTGTCAGATGGAGACGATGGCCAAGGAACGAGTCAACATCCCGTTCGACATCCGCAAGATGGGCGTCATCCTGCACGGCTCTGAAGAGTCGCTCGCCCTCAAAGAACGGTTCATGCTCGAAATGTCTCGTGACCCGGTCATGCAGCTCAGAGACGTGCACGACCTGAGCAAAGACGAATTGAGGGAGAGGACAATGGAGAAGATCGCCGAGATGAGGCATTATGTCAAGACCGAGGATAGCAAGACGTTTGCTAGGCGTTGTCAGGTGAGGCGTTGTCCGTGCGGGGCCATTGGCTGGCAATGGGAATGATGCAGCTGACTCCGGTTGGTACTCGTGCATAGACGGTTGGCTTGTCAGATGCAGGCTTTCAGACCAGGTTTGGAGTGTCAACCGGTCTGTTCCTGGGTGCGATTAGGAACGGTTCGACCAAGGAGCAGTGGGGTGAGCAGCCCGTTCCCTACACTTGATTTCGATTCGCAAATTCTAACGTCTTGTGCCTCCAGACTACTGGGTGAACAAGGGTGTGCTTCAGATGCCTGAGCGAATCATCGGTTGTTTCGGAATGACCGAACTCGAGCATGGATCGAACGTCGCCGGACTGTTGACCACGGCCACCCTCGACAAGAAGACGGACGAGTTCATCATCCACACCCCAAACCTGGGAGCGACCAAATGGTGGATCGGTGGTGCCGCTCAATCAGCGACGCACTGCTCCGTCTTTGCCCAGCTCATGGTGGACGGAAAGCGGTACGGTACCAAGACGTTTATCGTACCCATCCGGGATCCCAAGACGTTCAAGACGTTGCCTGGCATCTTGATCGGGGACATTGGCAGAAAGATGGGTCGGGACGGTGTCGATAACGGCTACCTCCAGTTCTCTTACGTCCGTGTGCCTCGAGACTACATGATGATGAAGTACACCCAGGTCTCCAAGTCAGGAGAGGTCACGGATACCGCCGCACCTCAGATGGCGTACGGGGCTCTGATCTCGGGCCGTGTGGGCATGGTCACCGATTCCGCCGTCATTGCCAAGAAGGGCCTCACCATCGCCATTCGATATGGTATCGTTCGTCGTCAATTCAGCGCAGGGAGCGACGACATCGAGACCCAGATCCTCGATTATCCGATTCACCAACGGCGACTCATGCCCCTCATGGCCCAGGCGATCGCCATCGGATTCGCGAGCATGACCTTGCAGAAAAAGTACGAAGACGTCATGGAATCCCGATCGCACCTCGGTCCCTCGCAACTCGACCCGGCCAACCATGCGGCAGAGATCAAGGAGCTGCACGTCATGGCAGCCGGTCTCAAGGCGTTTAGCACGTGGGCGTGTCTAGACATGCTGGAAAAGTCTCGACAGACCTGTGGAGGACACGGATATTCGGCCTACTCGACGTTCCCTCAATTGATCTCCGACTTTGCCGTCCAATGTACCTGGGAAGGAGATAATACCGTCCTCATGCTTCAATCCGGTCGAGCGCTCGTCTCTTACCTAGAAGACGTCAAGAAAGGCAAAAACGTACCGGATGGCGTGGCCTACCTCAAGACCGCTTCATCGTCGTCTGGAAGCAAGTCGGATGGATCCCTCAGCTTGAAGGACATCGAACGAGGGTTCGAAAAGGTCACGAGCGGGGCTGTGGAGGATGCGTACGCCGAGTACAGCTCGTTCTTGAAGAAGGGACAGAACAAGGAAAAGGCCTTGGAGAGCTGTTCGAATTTGCGATTTGTCGCGGCTCGTCTGCATTCAATCACTTGGGTGGGTTCATGGCTGCTGGAACCATTTTACATTCCGCAAGAACCTCCACTCACTGTCCGATCGCTTCATTCCCTCTGTCACAGCTATTCAAGAACTTTGTCACGGCACTCAACAAGACACCTGCCGGTCCCGAGCGCAAAGTCTTGGAGCAAGTATGCCGCTTGTACGGATTGTGGCAAGTCGAGCTCGAGGCCGCCCAGTTCTTGAGCTCGGGGTACTTTGGAAAGGAACACCTCGCCAAGATCCAGACCGAGGTGAGTGTCGGAAAGTGGTGCTCGACCTTGAAGAATCTAGACCGCTAATCGAGCGTTTCGTGGTGAAACAGATCAACGACCTATGTCTGGCCATGCGAAAATGCGCCATCCCATTGACCGACGCGTTCTTCAATACCGACTTCATCCTCAACAGTCCTCTGGGTCGATACGTGAGTTGACTGATCATGGAGTCTCCTGATTCTCGCTACCGTTCTAAGCTCATCTCCTCCACTCGATTTACAGGACGGAGACGTGTACAATGCCTACTTTGATACCGTACGACGAGCGAACCCAGCTGGACCCCACCCATACTTCGACCGGGTGATCAAGCCCTTGTTGGAAGCGCCGCCTGTGAACCTCAAAGGAAAGCTGTAGCCGTAGATTATGGAGAAGCGGGTAACCTGTACAAAGTAGAATCACAGGTCGATCATCAGGACAGACATCGTTGTATACCGAAATGTGAGCAATTCACACAGTGCCATGCGCAGAATTCATACAGTGCAATACGCAGAGTGTAGCGAGTCAGTCGAATGGATCGCGCCGCACTCGTGGTCCCGGCTGGCAAAGCGCCTGGCGCCTGCCAAACCGCCATCATTCTTGTCGCAATCTAGGGAAACGATACTGTCGTCGACATCGCACGATTTCATCGACTCCCAAGGCCAGCGTAGAGGACGTTGCGATCTCTTCGACCGAATCGGAGGGCGCGCAGCGAAACTTTTGCAGGAACTTCCATTCTCCTCTGGCACCTTACATCCGGGTTCCTCCCCCATTGAGCGGCTCCAGCTGGTACCCCGGCTGAAACAGGCATTCAAATCCCTTCAAGACGTCCTTGCCCCTCATTGGGGACCAGAAGGATTCTTCCATCTGGCCATCGACGAATACAGTGCATTGGGTCGTAACTTCCATTGTTCGATGATTGTCATATCATTTGCGTAGGCCACGTACATACATATCTTACAACTCTTGTTCTGTTTACAGCGTTGGATTCGAAACACTTCGGTTCATATACACTAGCGGTCTCGCTTATCTGTTCGCTACTAGTATCTGCTTTCGTCTCGGTCATAGCTGCACTTGTTTACTGATGGAGGATAGACACGGGCTCTTTCGCCTTCTCCTTAGCCTTCCGTTCAGTATCCTTGTGAACTATCATCCGGCCACCGTCATTCCGATCAGCACCGCTATCGAGGTCATGATCGGATTACGATATCTATTGAGCTTACTCTTCTGAAGCTGCTTCTTCCAGCCGAAACAGGTCGAACAGTGATCGGAAGAGTGTTTCTTGCATTGGATGGACCCATCCTTGGCATTCTTGGTGTACGCGGGTACCTGCAAAGGACGTCGTTCGATAGGGTCCAACTGTGCGATGATCAACAGAATGAGAATATTCTTGGTGAGTTGTCGCTTGGTAAAGAACAGGAACCGATCTTGAGCTCACACCGAAGAAGGAATCATTTTCTGCATCGTTGGAATGTGGACGTTAGCGATGGCGACCTGGAACTGTAGAGTCTCCATACGTACCTTCCCTCGCGTCAAAGGCACACGCGTCGCAGACTTCTTTTCCGTGCTCGCAGAAGATGGCATCGTTGATATCCAAGGAGGAGGTGGAACTTTGAGAAATATCAAGTTTGACGTTAGCGATAGGGTAATGCCCGCGTCTCAGAGACGAGGGCCGCAGCGACTTACTCGGCAGGAGAGATACTGAGTCCGGCAGAAGACATCGTTAAGGTTTCAGATAGTCGATGGGTCGTAGAGTGATAGTCGGAGGCTGTAACTGGTACTGTGGTCGGTCGACCTCAAGAGGACTTCCTAGTTGCAGAAAGGTAGCATAAGAAGGAATGTGGGACTGTCCAAGTGTATCGGGGACGGCCTGGTATATAAGTACGCCTGGGCCAGCGACAGCACACGACCGTTCGTCAAGTGATCAGATGCCATCCGGCCATCCGGAGCTTTGCGCTTGTGGTCAGGCATACCGGCCTCCGTCTTGCAATGGTCGTCTGCCGGCGATCTCACAATGAAATGACATTTGGGTCACGAGCCGATGCGTTTCCAAGGAGGCAAAACGCCAGATGGTCAGGTGCAATGTCGCATAGCGCGCGGAGTCAAAGCCTGAGATCAGGTTGATGTTGCGCTTTTTCGTTGCCGATTATGTATAACGATTTCCTGATAGAACGACAGCAGTGAGAGACAAAGACCTGGTAGGTCAACTCGTGATTCTTTTCATAACGATGCGTGATCTGAACAAATTAAAGCATCGCTCGCTATGGGTCAGGTTTGATATGAACGCCCTCGAGTTTCAAGTCAGGTGCCCAGAATTCGCGTCGATTACGTTATTCTCGTTCAGCCTGACACTTTTCTTTTACAAAGATGCTCGAGCCCTCCGACCTTGTCTTTTTGCCAGGAGATGACGACTGAGTGACATGAGTTGCATGAGTTGCATAGTCGAATGAGGAGTTCGAAATAGACACTTCCGGCACGATCAGACGCACAGAACGTCGAGACTGAGAGAATCTACCTAGCTCGAGAGAAAACGCCCGACCGAAAGACCTGCAAACATGTCTACGACCGTCGCAAAGATCAGCGCCATCCAGGATGAGATGGCCAAGACCCAAAAGAACAAGGCCACGTCGTACCATTTGGGTCAACTGAAAGGTCCGCATACCATTGCCTCTACTGGATAGGCGCTCTCTTGCTGATCGCTTTGACCGGCAATTCACAGCGAAGCTCGCCAAGCTCCGAAGAGAGCTGATCGAGCCCAAGTCGAGCGGGGGTGGACCCGGTATCGGTTTCGATGTCGCCAAGACCGGTGTGGCGAGTGTCGGTTTCGTTGGGTTCCCTTCAGTGGGAAAGAGTACTTTGATGTGAGCACGGTCTACCGACTTCCAACTCCTCAATCAAAGCATATCAGCTGACCGCTGGCTACGTAATGATTACAGGTCCAAGTTGACGTGCGTCGCAATCAGGCTGTCCTACTGCAGTATGCCCCGCTGATCAGCCCTTTTTTTGCGAACCGATCTTTCACCGCCTCTGAACAGTGGAACAGAGAGTGAAGCTGCAGCATACGAGTTCACAACGCTGACGACCGTACCAGGAAGTCTGAAGATGAACGGAGCTGCCATTCAGATTCTCGATCTTCGTGAGTATCTTACAGTGACAAGGGTTTGACACACCGGAACTCTTAACCAACCTTTTCCATTCACAGCCGGAATTATCGAGGGAGCCAAGGACGGAAAAGGTCGAGGTCGACAGGTCATTGCCGGTGAGTATAGCATAACATAATTGCGAAACATGATTCGGCTGCCAGGACCACCGCTCACTCGCGATGCTATGCCTTATTCAGTCGCAAGGACGTGTAACTTGATCTTCATCGTGCTCGACGTCTTGAAGCCCCTGAACGATCTGAAGGTCTTGACAAACGAATTGGAGGGTGTCGGGATCAGGTTGAACAAGAAACCTCCCAACATCACCATCAAGCAGCGAGAACGAGGAGGGGTGAGCCTTCTCCGCCCACCACCGATCGTTATGCGAGTCGCTGACAGTCTCCTACTGGATCTGTAGCTTTCGGTCACCCACACCGTACCTCTTACCAATATCGATCAGGACGAGATCCGAGCCGTCTGTTCGGAATACCGATTAAACAGCGCTACCATCTCCATCCACGAGCCCGATTGCACGATTGACCAGGTCTTGGACGTACTGGAAGGAAACCGTGTCTACATTCCTGCTGTCTTCGTCTTGAACAAGATTGATGCCATCTCTATCGAGGGTGAGTACGGCCTGCAGCGCGCCTCGATCGGAAACGCAAAGCCCAAAGCTAACGAATGCGGTTGCGGGTACTAGAGCTCGACCTCTTGTATAAGATTCCTCACTCGGTACCTATCAGTTCGAAGCAATGGTTGAACATTGATGAGCTGTTGGAGGTCATGTGGGACAAGCTGGCCTTGGTCCGAGTGTAAGCTATCTTTCCGCACCTCTTTGCACCGCCCGAGCTCACGCAGCCCATCGCCAACTCTATCCTGTCGGAATCTCCAGCTACACGAAGCCCAAGGGCAAAGCACCGGACTACACCGAGCCGGTCGTCTTGCGAACAGGGAAATCGACAGTCGGACACTTTGCCGAGTAAGCCGATCCTGCTTCGAAAGGAATCGACCACATGTTTACACGTAATTCTCGCCCTCGTACGCAGTGCTATCCACTCGACTATCAGGGAAGACTTCAAGCATGCTCAAGTCTGGGGAGTGAGTCGATCGCGGAGTTGTCGTGACGAACTGAATCCGCTCGTGTGCTGATCATCTACACCAAATACCAGACTTCCGTACGTCATCCTGGGCAGAAAGTGGGTCTGGACCATGTGCTGGAAGACGAGGATGTAGTCACGTTCTTCAGGCGATAGAGAGGATGGCCTACTTGTATATCAACTGTATCAAACGCATACTATTAATCACAGAAGACCATCCGCGGATTGGGGGGAAACGAGTGAAGCATAGAATAAATATCGACTGACACGTCATAGAAATACGAACGCTTAAATCGCACGGGAAGGGTTTTACGCGGCTAGGAAGAAGCGCGAGATCTGCGCTAGTCTTCCTCCCCCGGTTGGCCAAAAGTCCACGCTCTGTGGTCCCGGGCATTGTCCGTCATCCTGGGACCATGAAACACAGCTCTCATCAGAGGTCATCAGCTTTTCTTTGGTTGCGAGGATACTACCGTCTTGTATACTTGGGCACCATGTATTGCACATTTGAGTGTCCCCGTCTTCACTGCCGAGATTTCGGTGAAGCGTATTTTTTGCACGGCGGGAAGAGGCAGCGGATCCTACCGGTGAATGCGGTGGAGGGTAGGCCGAGCTGGAGATGCGTCGACTGCATAGCCTCATGACTACAAGTGTAATTGCGCAGTTGCGATCAATATCGAAAAATTGTCATACAGTTATCACGAACGACAAAATAATTTGGCTACAGTGAGACCTGGATTGCGCTTCGTTTGACGAAGGCGACGGTGTACGGTCGCGAGGGCGGTCAGAAGCGCACCCCTCGTCTTTTCGCGTACCTTGTGAGTTAGGCGGAACGAAGTGTTCTTTGCATGACAAGAGAGTTCTGAGCGGAGAGTTACCTGAAACGCACGCTCTTGAACGAGCACTCGTTTGCCATGTCCCTGCCCGAGGTCTCGGTCCGAGCGCACCGACCGTTGAATATCCAACAGGATCGATGAGATGAGGATGACCCGATGCGGTTTGACCATGGAAGCACGGCTGCGACGACCGATGAAGGCGGTTTGAGGCGTATTCAGGAGTTCCACATCGGTACATTCGTGCTGGTCCTCGAACCCGGGAGGAATTTTCGTATTCGCTCGCCACGTTGCAAGAAAGAGAAAACCTCCTTCCCGCCATGCGCGCAACTCACGATCGTTTGTTTCCGTGAGACCTCCCGGTTCGGCGCAGGGATTTCGTCCGCAAGAATCGGAAGAGAGAAGGGATCTCTCGATCTCCCGGGCCCATGCTCTGGGAGCGATCCATGCGCAAAAATGTGTAGTACCCGACTGGAGTTCCCGAGGGGGATGGGAGGCCTGGAGGAGAGTTTCTCCACACGAACTGCATGCATGCAAGGCATGGCAATACACGCTGCACTGCTAGAAACTAGCGTTTGCTGCGAGCGATCAAGAGTCGTGGTGTACAGACGCAGATCGTTTGAGCCTAGCTTCTAGCTTGATCCACATCCTGTTTTCGCATGGCAGAGGTCAGAAGACTCATAGATCATAGATATCGTAGCATAGTCTCGGCGGAGCACTTTAGAAGCAGCAGAAGCGGCGCAATCAAAGAATGATCGCCTAAAAGCTAGAAAGCGTGTGGTAGTAGTAGTGGGCACCCCCTCAGCCAAACACGTCCGTTAATTACGGTCTCGCCCTTCAACGCGCCGAGGTCTCTTCGCTCTTCTTTCGTCATTTTGGTCAAACTATCCCATTCAAAAGAGATTAAAGAGACGACTCGACATTCAATAGATCAACCGACATTCCTTGCAATCACGAATACACCATAGCCTCAAATTGGCCCTTCCTGTCGTCCATCATCATCTGCCGGACCTCTTTTACGCTGGATTCTGCTTCGGGAACCTCTCGGTTACTTTGGAAGGGAGAGAGAAAAGCAAGCCGAAGGGGAAAGAGAAAAGTTTAGCAACGATCACCGTTCGGTCGTTGCAAACTAGGATCAGGTGACGACTACGAACGTTTCGACCTCTGCCTGGACCGAGTCTCCGGTTTCGGAGTCCAGGTCTTTCGGCACGACCGCCAAACTTCGACAGGGGACGTCTTCGAGTCGATTAGAGCCTCTTAATCAGACCTAGAGCCGGCTTTCGACCATCTCGAAGCGTTCGCCAGCCGAGTTCAAAGCAACAGGCGATCGGACGGATCTGTCGTGAACTCGACATCTTCCACATGTTCAACGGTGCCAGTTTCGGTTATCCCAACGACTTTCGACCTGAACAAGAGGTCTCTAGGAAAGACGTCGTGCACCAAGATATTTCGGACATCTCGCTAGACATCTCAGAATTTGCGAAACACCTCGAAGCCAAGAACGGACACGGTGGAAGCGGACAAGACGACGAAGGTGCACGGGGAGGATTGTTTGATTTCGGTTTCAACGGAGACATCTTGTCTCCGCCCTCACCTGCAACGTGAGTGTCGAGGCTCTCGACATAGGCTGGTGTGCCTAGTGTGAAGCGCATGATGAGCAATGATTGATCCGTCTATGCTCCTTCGCTCTCTCACAGCATCGCAAGCACGACAGATATCTCGGGGGGCGATTACCTGCCCCCTGACTCCTCTCAACGTTCCTCTGCCTCGAACAACGACGTCAATCCTGGAGCCAACCAGATCCATCGAGCCCGTAGTGTCTCGCAACCTACTACCTTTGCTCAACGCAAGAGTAATCTTTCCCTTTCTATCCCCCAACTTCCTGTACAACAGGAATTCCAGCACCAGACTCAGCATCAGTGGGTCCCGTCCTTCGATGCGAGCACGTACCGCGTCAATGCCATGACGGGCTTCACCCCCGCTTTTCCGGACAGTCCGGCGGCGGGGATGATGAACCAGGACTATTTCAGCATGCCGCTGAACGACGGGAACGATGTGATGATGTCTTCTGACCAGGATCAGACCATCAACGCCAATCACCTCGCTTCCAAGTCGATGATGGATGTGCGGTACGGATACAGGTTACCCGCTTCGCAGCCTTCTTCACCGGTCAGAAGTGGGTATCCCCCGGGCCAGGCACCGTATGCTGGCCATCACCAGGCTCAGGGGAGACCAAGAGGGTTCACGACGAGCGATGTGCAAGGACACGCTTTCTTTGCGAATATGGGGCATTGGAGGACTCAGGACGATCATGGAAATGGGTACTTGCAGAACTTGCAGCAGCAGAATTTCCAGCAACAGCAGCAGCAGCAGCAGCAGCAGCAACAACAACAACAACAACATCAGACCCCTCAACCGCAGCAACTCCAGGCCTCCCAGGCCCAGCAACATCATACCCCTCAGCCCCAACAGCAGCAGCAGCAGCCGCAGCCGCAGCAACAGCAACAGCAACAGCCACCCCCATCGCCGTTTAATTACAGTCCTATTGAGCCTACCGGATACGGCATTCCGCAGCCCGCCTCAGTTGTCGGCACTCCGCAATCCGTCCAAATTGTCAATATGCCAGGATTGCAGAGCGGCACACATTCACCTTTTCCAGGGATCATGCCCGTCTCTACCGCCCAGCAGTCACCAATCAGTCCGGGACCGTCTTTGATGCAACAGCAGACGTCGTTGCAGGAAGCCGTCGCGCAGATGAAGGACGCCCACCAGAACGGCAACAATCCCATCAATGTTCACGCCAATCCGCAGAATCTGAATCTGCATTTCAATCAGCCAACTCCTATCAACTACCGAATGACGACTGAGCCAGTGTTGCGTAACCCGGTACCTCACCTCGAGAACCAAGCAATGTCCTACAACCTCGGTGGGCAGGAAATGCAGATGGAACCTCAATCCATGCCAGTACAAGCGCCGCAAGTTCCCTTCACCCCATCCGCTCCTCCTTCCGTGTCGGGGATGAGCAACTCGATGATGGAAGAATCGGGAATGGACGCTCAGACGCGCAGCCTCATCTTAGAGAGTCGGAGATCGTCGACCTCGGCCGCTCCTCAGAACATGACGGGGATGAATACGCCTGCACCAGCTCCGATTTCTGGGTTCGCGAAGACTAACAATGGGACAAGGACACCTGATATCACCAAGCAAGTCCAGGAGAAATTGACCTTCCTCGACAAGTAAGTTCTCCCGGTTCGAGAAATTTCATAAAAAATTTCAAAATAGGAGGTTTAGCTGACTCGTCCTTTTGGTTGCCAGTCTCGCCAATTCGGTAGCTCAAGCGAGGCAGGAGATCCTCCTCGGTCACGCGAACGCGGCGGATGAATACATTACCGATGTCGGCAACGCAATCATCGAGAAGGCCCTCTCACCCGAGAATATTGGAAACCCGACTCCCTCCCTCAATCTCCAGCTGCCAGGTTTAGGAAGCATCGTGCAAGCGCAACAGGCTCCTCAGCTTGCGCCCTCGCCGGCGACATCACTGGCAATGACGCCCATCCATCCTGGATCAACGCCCAACCCTCCTAGCTCGGACCCTCCGGCGCAACCCGTTCTAGCACCGCCCTTCGAATTGAAACGATCGCGCAGCGTCAAACGTTCCGCACCAGAGTCTCCGCTATTGGCCAATGCGCAAGCTATGAACAAGCATATCAAGCTGGACGATCTTGGTCCTAGCGAAGTAGCTTCTGCCCCAGTCAGCGCGGGACCGGGAACGCCAGTCCCTGGACAGATGGTTCATTCTCATTCCTTCCCTGACGGCCATCTGAACGCAATGAACAATCAGAATATCGGGATGAGTAACACTGCTCAGAACTCTAGCAACGCGGCTACCGCCACAAGCAACGCTATGCTCGCGGTGCAGACTGGCAGCCGACCGCCGACCGTACCCTCGCCTCTAGGGCATCCCGCCATGCAGATGAACGTAGACCCTCCTTTTGCGCATGCTCAAATGAGTACCTTCTCTACACCTCGTATGGAGACGGTTCCACCGAACTGGGAGTTCCAGCCTGATATGGCCGCGAACGAGATGATTTTATCTGCGCAGATGGCTGCATTCGGTCAAGCGTCGGGATTCAGCCAACCACAGCAGACTACGCCATCCCGTCGAGGATCGATTGTTGACGGCCGGCTCATCTCTAATCGACCCAGCCTATCCGTCTTGGGCCATGGTACCGAGGGTCAGACAACAAGTACACCCGTCGTTCCTACCTTGGCTAGTGCCGGGCACTTTAGCATGTCGGGGACGCTAGCGATGAGTACTGCAGGCGGTAGCTCTCAGCAGCAGGGCAACACCGATACTTCGCAATCGACAGGTATCGGTGGTCGGAGTGGCAATATTCAGGCTAGTTTTCCGAGTGGAGACGGGGCCGACAGTGATAGCGACTCAGACGACGACGGTCCACCTCGAAACCTCAAGCGAAGACGAAGCTCCGAGCACGTGACGTCGATCCCGGGGACATTGACCCAGCCTCCAGATTTGATTTCCCCCGAGATGCGAGCGCAATTGGACATCATCTTGTTCAAGTTCCTCAACCGTGTTTGCTCTGATCGTGAGTGTGGACTCGTAGATCATCGTAATGAACGCTGTTGACAGAATCTGCTATAAAGTGGATTTCCACGACGCCAAGGGAGAATTGCTACATCAGGCCTTGATGCCAAAGAAGATGGCAAAGCTGGACGAATCGCCGGACTTTCGCCCCTTCAAGTTTCGCATTCAAGCCTTCACCAATGCATTCGCTGAGGAGGTGAGGCCAAGTTTTGACTGCCGTAACCGTATAACGAATCTGATTAGTGCGCCCAATGATAGCTCCAAAGATTGGGAGTTCTGGAAGAGACCCTGTCCGCCAAGAAGATCAAGTCATATCTGTGGAACCAGAAATTGATTTCCAGATTCAATGAGGACGGGAAGAAGTCGAAAAGCAAAGGAAATCACATCTGGAACGTCGACGCCAAGAAAATGCCGGATGGCTCCTGGATATTCCGCGAATTCAAGAGGAAAATTGCGCCAACACCGTCGACACACGCCTATATCGGTATGACCTACAGCTGGACGCCGCGAGTCTGGGATCCTCAGGCATCGACTGCGGATCTCAATGTCACATTTAGCTCCTTACCCGGTACATTACCATCATGGCTATCATGGCGGGATAACGTATTGAGCGGTACCCCTTCCGAAGGGGCGACTTCTGCTCACATCACTGCCCTGGCGACAGTGAGTTCAGATATGAAGCAATGTAGAACAAGGATGCAACTGACGTAGGCTTGGTTTAGTTTGCTGATTCTACGGGCATAGATCACCAGCTCGCGCTGTCGTTTCCGATTCATATCGCTCGTCCTGGCGAAGAGTAAGTCGGCAGGTTCTCCCGTCGGTAGAGATCTCCGCCAAGCTCACTTTTGAAGCAGTTCCGCAGAGTCTTTGACAGCTCAGAGTTATGTTACTGCGCAACAACCTTTGCCAGTGACAGAAGCTCAACTTCCGCAACAGCCGTTCCTGAAGTGAGTGGTACTGACCGTTCGCGTGGCTACCAGAAGGATTCAACAAATTAACAAACGAATCATTGGACCACAGTCCTTCACAGTTTCCCCCTGGTTGGCCAATTCAGGAATTGCCAGTGGCCGAGTCCGAGATGTTCCTCTCGACATCACCGCGGCATGTCAACAGTCTCTTACAGCCGGTGCCGCCGCAGTCTTACGCTACCTTCAATCCTATGAGTATGCCCCAGGTCCCCATGCCAAATCACTTTCACCCAGGACCACCATCACAACAACACTAAAGTTAGACAAAAGTAGACGCCGAGTCGCGCAAAAGCCAACGTTGTACATGTTTTACGTCCGGACAAGGGACTATACCCACCAGCTGCCGATTTGTCTTGCGGGTCGTCAAAGCAGACACATGATCGCATCTACGCATATCAAATCAGCATGTTTGCCACTGTACAAAGCCCACAAGCGACATACCGTTTGCCGGGCGGAGGACCAGAATCGCACGAGGAGCTGTGTCACGCACTGTCTGAAATGGTATCAGCGCGCAAAGGCTTCGCGCAAGCGCGGGCAAAGTTGCCCGATAGTTGCCCGCTATCGGGCAAACTCGATGATGCGATTGCGCCAGGTGATGTGACTATAAAGATGTACTCGGAAATCGCCAGTAGAATAGTAGATATCGGGACACTACTAGCGAGCTCATCGGATAAGATTTCTGTCCTAATTCCCCTTAAAAAATAATCCCGCGCACCTTGCCCCTTTCACGGCCAATAATATGTCATCCCACCAAGATAAAGATCAACATCAACAGGAAGCCCTAGAACAGGCGGAAGCCGAATTCTGGAATACCGCCAACAACAAACTCATCCGGTACGGGGGGAAATGGACGCACAAAATCATTGTTGAAGCCGAAGGCACTGTGATGAAGGTGCGTTGGACAGATTCCGAATGGACAACCCGTCTGATACTTCGCTCGCACAGGACATCCGTGGCAACCGTATTCTCGACTGGACCTCGGGCCAGATGAGTTCTCTATTGGGACACGCCCATCCTGAGATTGTCGCCGTCGTCGAGCAATACGTCAAGCAGCTCGATCACGTCTTCTCCGGCATGGTCACTCAGCCCGTGATTGACCTCTGTGACAAGCTGACTGCATTGCTTCCACGTGGTCTCGACCGATGTATGTTCTTGAGCACGGGATCGGAGACCAACGAATGCGCCTTCAAGCTCGCGAAGATGTACACTGGTGGATTCGAAGTGGTTTCCTTTGCGGCTAGCTATCGTAAGCTGTACTGAATCCCGAAGCCCCCGGACACCTTGACAGTTCAGCGCTAACGATGCACTTCTCGACGCAGATGGTATGACCGCTGGAGCCGGAGCCGCTACCTTCTCGGTCGGGCGCAAGGGTTACGGGCCCCAGATGGCAGGCAACCTGGTACTTCCCGTTCCGTACGCTTACAGGAGCCCTTTTCGTTTCCCTGACGGATCATATGACTGGAAGTCAGAGCTTGACTACGGTTGGGATCTCATCGATCGTGAGTATAATATAATGACATTATTCGGCGCATCCGCTTCCGCTGAGGTGGTCTTGGTCGCGATGAAACAGGACAGTCGGTCGGCGCGCTAGCTTGTTGCGTCGTAGAGCCCATTTTGTCTACTGGTGGGATTATCGAGCTACCGGAAGGCTACCTCAAAGAGCTGAAGAGGCACTGCGAGAAGCGAGGCATGCTCCTCATCATCGACGAGGCTCAAACGGGAATGGGAAGAACAGGAGGTGAGCATGTGACGGACTTCGCCTCTTCTCAAACGCTCTTTTTGACTCGAACACGCTTCACAGATATGTTTGCCTTCGAACGCGATGGGGTTGCGCCCGACATCCTCACTTTATCCAAGACTCTTGGAGCTGGTTTACCCTTGGGGGCAACTGTCTGTACCCAGCGGATCGAGGAGGTCTGTCGAGAGAGGGGGTTTTTCTACTACACAACCCACCTCAACGACCCGCTCGTCTGCGCGGTTGGCGCCAAGGTCTGTGACATCGCCGTCGAGACGGATCTACCTGGCCAAGCGGCACACAAAGGAAAGATCCTGAAAGATGGACTTTTGCAGGTAAGCCGTCTTGCTGCTCAAAAGAGCCCCGCAGCAGGTGTTGATGCAAACCGTTTGCAGTTACAAACCAAGTACCCTTGCATCGGCGATGTTCGAGGTCGGGGCTTGCTCCTCGGAATCGAAATCGTGCTCGACGAAGCCAAGACTCCAGGAGATCAGCTCGGATCGGAAATCTCTGCGAGATGCCTTGAGACTGGACTGAGTTGTAACGTCGTTCAGCTTCCCGGTATGGGCGGCACTTTCCGCCTCGCGCCTCCCGTTACCATCAGTGAGGAGGAGATACGAGAAGGCTTGGAGATCATGGACGCTGCTTTTGCAGACTGTCTCGCAAAGCAGGAGCATCAGGGCGGCGTCGTTGGAGGGGCTTGATGGTCGCCACCACCCAAATTATGTGATCCCGCTATTCGTAGCAGCCCCGCACACGCCCAACTCGCTGTCAACCGCGATCATGTATATCGATGTCTCTAGATTTGTAAACGAACCAGCCATGAGGTATCCACTCGAGTGGTACTAGACGTGAACTGTACCACACAGCAATAGTACCGTTTTGGGCATTCTGCATAACGACATCCGACCTGTCCACTCGAATCATGCACAAGTCATGCAAGTCACGTGTCATCTCCCACTTGTCGGCTTCGCCCGATCGACCTCCCTATCACATTCGAGATCAGCTTCGAGATCATCGTCAAGGTTGTCTATCGCTGTCGCCTTCGTGACAATCTTGAGGATATAGCCTTTATACTCACAGAATGGCTGGTCCAGACCGGCAAGTCTAAGGACGATCGACGATGCACTCTGAATACTGATGAGCTCTCGACACTGCCAGGACAGCGTTGAGCGTAAGGCCACACAGATCCAGGCTTCAACGGCCATGCGATGCTTGTCGTAAGGCGAAGCAGGCTTGCGTGGTACCCGTTCAAGAGAATCCGTGCATACGGTGCACGGATCGGAACTCTTTGTGCACGTTCCGTCTACCATCTTCCAACCGGCATCGCAGGTGTGTACGCAATGTGGGGGTATCGAATGGGACCGATGAGAACGGTCGGATAGAGCACGTCCGCAACAATTCGCAAATACCGGAAGTGCCGGGAACCCACGTCTCACGAGGATCATCTGTATTCGCTGTGCACCAACGATCCCATGATGCAGACTCAGACGTGAGTAGGTAGACGACGTGTCACGATGAAGTCCTTCTTTTTGTTGATCTTCTGCTCCACGAACCAGTCAGGCGCTGAGCATGCAGCCTCTGCGTGTCCCGCGCGTATGGAAAGCCGGATATCTCACCAGTATCACCACGTCGGATCTTCTGCACTATCCCAGATTCATCTGGCGGCGAGTGATAGCGGATCGCAACTACAACAAATCTCGTTGGATTCCTCGAAACCTGTATTCTTCGCTTGGACACCAGAGTTCTTTGCAAAGTCACCAACAGTAAGGGGTGTTTCTACGTTTCAGAACATCAACAATATGTTGGAGGCGCGAGAGACCGGTCTTGCTCAAAAGCTGTACGAGATGTACGTCGAGTCAGTATCGTCTGTGGGTTTCGCTTGCAGACGTGCTGATCGTGCCGTCTTCCTGGTTCAACTGATAGCTACCTAGAGAGGACCTGTCCGACCATTCAAATCGTGAATAGCGCCCAGCTTGTACAAGCGACCGAAGTCACTCAGAAAGACGACGAGCAGCAACCGTTTGTCATCCTTAGTGGCATCCTCGCCCATTCTCTGGGCTACACGCGACGTCATCGAGACCTTCATACCTCCATCTGGGTCGCCATACAAGATCTGCTCGATGTGGAATATCGACGACCGACGATCAGTACATTGCAGCTGGCATTGCTCAATTTGACTTCGCGGCCGAGTCGCAATGTTGGCGGAAACGCTATCGAGATGGCTAGGGCAAGTGGTCTGATACATCCAGTTAGAGGGAAGGACTGGAGCTGATCGACACTCCTGGCACTCCGCTAGCTTATCGGTGCATCGCAATTGTTGGGATTACATATGGATAGCAGTGCATGGAATCTTCCTGAAGAAGAGCAGAAACTTAGGGATCGAATATGGTGGACAATAGTCATTGAGGATATCTTGTAAGCGATGTCATGCGGCGGCTAAGCTTCCAGAAGCTGAACACCGGCACTTGATACCCAAAGTCGTGCCATATTATACGGTCGTTCCAGCCAGTGCGTATCTCAAGGACTTCTCTTCTTTCATACAGTCGATACTTGAACGCCCCTCATGATAGTCTGGCGTCATCTTCCTGGACGACGAAAGTTCCGAAATTTATGCCAACCGGATTCGAATCGCAATCGCTTGTGGACAGCCAGGATGCTTTCACTGCGACCTGCGGGATGGCGATGGTTGCTCGGCATATCTATGAAGATTTTTACGCTCCCAAACCTACCTATGACATCTCATGTTGCAACCGTCACCTTCGCCCAGCGGTAATTAGACGGATGGAGACTCTACAGGTCGAGCTGGACGAGGTCCATGACAGCTGGAACGCTCGTCTGCGGAGCTACGATCGACAGATAATACCTTGCTCGGGAACTGGACTTCGTGAGACTCTCTTGACTGATACAGAAGACTTCTGGTCAGCTGATTGCCTGCCTGCGATGTTTCATATCATGTAGGAGCATCCCAATTGGCGTATCTTGGCCTGCGTGTGAATTTATCTCAAATTCGATTAGACACCTATAGAGAAAATCTGCCAGCTTCCGTCGTAGAAGCGGCCACGTCTGCTTGTGAAGCGGTTGTACTTCTTCTGGAAACGATCACTGAGGAGGAGACCGAGATGTTTTGGCCACCATGTAAGTGCCCTCATCTCACACGATGTATTGGTCAGACGATAATGACCATCGCTACTGCAAAGATGCCCATTGTCATATCGTCAACGCAGCGGCTACCCTGCTGAGATGTGCCATGCATCTTCAAGACCGTTCCCCAGGAGATCCGATGGTCAGCGGCGTGCCTGATCACATCTCTCGACACTATAATCTTGCCTCGCGCTTGTCTGGGACGCTGCGTATCAAACTAAGTTATGGCTGGGAGGTCGCCGAGTCATCCGCCGCCAGGATCAACCGGTTGTACCGCGCCATTGAATCGGTCCTTCCGATCTTTCGCACACTCAAAATCGATCTCGGACAAACGAACGATGTTCCTGCGGATCTCACGCATGTCCATCAGCTCGGCGCTGCTAACCAAGCTGGTCACGCTGGATCGGTTGTCAACGATCATCTGGCACCGACTCCGGATTACGGTGCGACAATGGATGAAACCATACCTTGGCTTGAAGAATGGTTGAGCTGGTGGAATGCAGATGAGGACGCAATTGGCCTGGATTAAACGGAACACACGCGATCGAGGTAATTTCAGTAGGCGATGTTGCGCCTCTATGGCATCTCCGATCACGTTCAAGGTAATTGCCTCTCGCAATACCCGATTCACTTTAACGGCATGATCATGTTTATTTATGGATACAGTAGATCTGATGCTTTTCGTTGCTGGCCGCTATGACCCCATCGAATGGTCAATCTCGCTCTCAACAATGAGAATCCGCTTAAGAACCGCCAACACAGCTCGCAAAGCTTTCGTCCAGGATTCTTCCGCTTCTGTGCTTTGTATGACGCTCGTTCCGGGAACCGTCCCAACAATTCCTAATGATGACATGCCCATGTTCGCCGACAACTTGATCGGGTGCCCCGCGATCTTGTCCTTGGTGATGCTTCGAGACGACCAACCGAATTGTCAGAGAACGGTACTCAGACAAGATCACGATTATACTCACTCGAGCCCACCCGATGCCCAACCCTTCTTCTTCGACCTTCCATACGAGATCAATTGTCTCAAGCAGTCGAGCATGCCTATCAAAGCATAGTTGAACCTTCTATTCTGGAGGAGACGAGCTGCTGAAAGGTCGGTTGAGGCATATCTAGTGTAAAACCGTTCAGCTTCGCTTCGAAATCTGCCAACCGGAAGGATCACCCACAATTCATACACGTTCTTAGAGGGTGGCAATTCCTCGATACGCGAGAATGATCCCATAGGCACGACCTTATACCTGTGAATGCCATATCAGCACCGCACACCGATCAACCCAAAACTTAGCAGACTTACGTTTCGAATCTGAAGCCGACCTTTTCTGATATGCGGTGAAGACACAGCGCTACCAGTCCTAGCGCGGCATTGATCTCAACCCATTCCACCCAGGGTCTTCCTCCCAAACGTAACCCATTGATCGTGCCCACCGTCTGACTCGTGCCACTTGAAACGGCAGAAGCCCACTTGTCCCCTGCAGAGCTCGAATGAGGCGCGTTAGGTCGATGGGACGAGTGAGAGTCTCCGAGAGGAACATGTCCGATCTGGAAAACGTCGTTGTAGACGTTCGTGCTTTCCAGTTTGCGGAGAGTTTGGGATGCCAATAGGTGTAGAGTCGTCTCTGTCCGTAACTGTGATTCCAGCTCGGCGGCTCGCGCTTGCATGAGCTGGCGGTTTTGTAGGAACCTTGACGAACGAAGTTAGGTAAGTCGGGTGATCCGTGATCAGGCGGTCTTGGAAGACTCACTCTATTTCCTGCCGTTCTAGCGCCTCCTCCTCTTGCTGGACTTTCAGTAGTTCGGCATCCAACAACCTCTCTTCGTTCTCTTCTTCTTTGAGCTCTTGTATCAACCGCAACGCATCCTCCTCGAGCTGTTTGTTCTTCTTTCCCAGCTTTGCACAGACCTCAGCGTCCGACTCCACTACGCCATCGGGAGCGGCTTCTTTCTCGGCCTTTTTCGTAGCCTGCCATTCCCGCTCAAAGGATATGTAGGCGTCTCGTTCCTTCTGCACGTCTTCCAATTTGTCCTGCAGGATTCGTTGAAGGACCGAAGCGCAGCTAGAACATAGGGGATGATCTATGCCTGTCGAAGACGAGAGGGCGTACAGCAGTCGCTCGACGGTTTCTGTTGACGAAACGTTGACAGATGAAGCTACTGGAACTGCAAAACAATGGAAATATGTTGAGCTTCCATAGGCTGCCGGTATCTTCCGGGACAGAATCTCACTGTGATGCTCCGAGGTCCCTGGATTTGGACGAGGAGCACTTCCTACCTGGCTCTGGCTGAGCAGTATGAACGATTCTGCAGGACCGATTCGAGCTCTGGGCGAGCTATCCGTAGACTTTTGCGCCTGCAGGTAGGCTTCTTTGCTTTCACGAGGACCAGGGATCCGGTCAAAGTCACGCCGAGTCGAAGAGATGGAAGATGTGCTAGCTCTCGATGCGTCTGTGATAAAAGGCTTTTCGAGTCAGCTACCATGATGATGGTGATGCGAGATTAGCAGGTTTCGAGGCTTACCAAGGAGAGCTTGCTTCTGCCCCGAGGTTACCTTCTCTAGGGAAGCATCGAGTATGAGCGGCTGGAATGAAGAACGGTTAACGACCTGTCTGACCCAAATTACCCTTTCTAAACCAAGACTGACCTGATGACAGCGCTGACAAGTAAAGCCGTTTGACGACATTATTGCAATTCGTCATGAAATGCGGCCGGATCACGGCGTTCTCCGTGATGATGTACTGAACGTCCTGTTGTCTCGCTGGACAGCTAGTACATCTCAGACAAGCAGCTCTAACCTTGGTATACCTAGACCAATTTCTTTGGAGAACGTGAAAGCTATCGATGATGATGATGATGATGATGATGCCGAACTAGGATGTCAAGTCCCGAGTTGAATCGTCAGGACCGTCAACGATATCCGAGCCTTAGGGGTTGTTCGAATCAGCTTCCGCTCGACCTAGAACCTCGAGATCCTTCTCCTGAACGGCAACGACCGAACGAAACGAATTCAAACGACCTTGCAACCTTCTTGGCGAGTAGCGAGTAGCTAGACAACTGTCCAACACAAAAAAAGAGGAGATCCAAGATCAAACTTCATTCAGCGTCATGTCCTACGTAACAATAGAAACCTCGGTCGGATCCTTGACGGTAGAGCTCTATACCGAGCACGCACCCAAAGTCCGTTCACCATGGTTGTAGACATCTCCGTTTCGCGGCAGCACTGACCTTTGCGACCCCTGTATTGCAGACATGCAAGAACTTTTCAGAACTTGCTAAGCGAGGCTACTACAACAATGTCATCTTCCACCGAGTGATCCAGGTGAGCGCGCAGAGAGCCTTTCACCGGTCAATACAAGCAGGCGTTCCTCATCCCTTTTCGCCGGCTCGCCTTGTGACAGGACTTTATGGTGCAAGGAGGTGATCCAACAGGTACCGGCCGAGGAGGAAGTTCAATTTATGGGGAAAAGTTGTGAGTCATCTGAAAACTAGCTACTATGGATGAGTTAGAGCTCATGATGGTCGATGTACAGCGCGGACGAGATCCACCCTGAACTGCGGTTCGTAGGAGCCGGTATCCTCGCCATGGCCAACTCGGGACCCAACACGAACGGTAAGCCTCTTGCCTCTCTTCCCTTCCACTTTCCCGATCACTGAATGAATCTCGATGTGGCCGAATGATACTGCAGGCAGCCAGTTCTTCCTGACGCTCGGCCCTACCCCGTGGCTCGACGGGAAACACACCATCTTCGGAAGAGTATCATCAGGCATGAAGACGGTACAAAGGCTAGCAGCCGTACGGACAGATTCGAATGACCGGTATGTCTGCCTTGAATACAAGAATAATGCATCCAATAAACTTTCTTGGCTGACCTTCCGGCTGCTTCAAACGATACTTCCCTTGTGCAGACCGGTCGAGGAGATCAAGATCCACCGTGCGAGACAAGGGGACGCTTCGGCATCGAGTACCGAAGTCTCCAAGATTGTAGTCTAGATGCAGGGTCACGCAACATGAATCGAACTGGTCACCAATCTCAGAGCGTAGCCCTGTGTACATATATCTGGTCGTGGATCGCTCCGCTTAGTCGACCGGCGGTAGGTCCGGTATATGGCGTCGAAAGACGGATACGTATAGTCGTTCATGGAGAAAAGAAATCGACAGAGTCTGACGACCACGTCTGCCCTATTACATTCTCTTGGTCATTAGCTAAGGGCTTCGAATTGAGAGGCCGGAAAAGGGCGAAAGCTTGTAAGAAAATCAAAAAAGGAGAGGACTAGCTGGGTGAGGGAGTAAAGAGGTCGTGGCGTGTATCGCAAGTATTAAAGAAAATCGCAGCGGTTGGAGAGGATGGCACGGCAAGGTGAAGGAGGATCGATCCGTCTTCATCCACCCTCTAGACGATCTGCAAATAGTTGGAAGGTGCAACTACAAACACAAAAGACCCGGTTCAGCCAAAATTTCCACCAGTGAAAAGTCGATTCCTGGATGCCAGGTCGACTCGAATCAACTCACTTCCCATGTTCCCTGCAGCAGTCTTGCATTGCCACCACTTGCCCGTGGCATCGGTAATTTCGAGGATCTCACCCTTGTTGAACGAGATCTCGGTAGGGTCGTCTGGTGAGGCGGTGTAAGCGTATAGAGCTCTGTAATTCCGGTCGGAAACGAGTAACCTATCAGCTGAAACAACGTCTCCCCTATAGGTCGGTCGATCGTAACTGACTTGGCACGCATGACATGGCCCATGTCGCCCATCATCCCAGACTCGGCACCAACAGGTGCAGACAAGACGACCGGTGCACCCCCGCCATTCCCACCTCCCATTCCCGTCGAAGTGACCTTAACGGTCGTAGCAGCGGGGGCGTATCCACCCGGGGCGTATCCGTTTCCGTTTCCATTGCTGGACAAGATGCCTCCACCGGTACCGGTACCGTTCATCATCCGGCTCGAAGGATAGTCTCCGCCCGTCTCAGCGCCGTGATACGTGTTGGACACCCCACCGGTAGGGCCATACCGATGAGCCGAGTAAGGGGTAAGGCCAGCGAGACCGGTAGGGTTGAGAAGGTGGTAGAAGAAAGTATCTTCCTCTGATGTCAGGTAGAGAATCCAAACGAGCTGTATTGAGCCGGTTCAGGTTTGCGCTCATGATCAGTCGTGTTCCACTGGAAGTGTGAGGAGGATATGATGATAAGACTCACGTCGGCCAAAGCACAGAGCAACCACCCAGCTCCGACTGCCTTTAGCGCTCCGCTCGAGCTCAGACCATCCCTAGCTTGTCCCTGATAGATCATCTCTACTCCGTTCTGATTGTCGCCGCCAAAATAGTAAAAACGAGGATGCGCAAAGGATATTCAGCCATCTCGTCCGCCTGGAATGCGTGATGAAGAGGATCGGACGAGGTGCTCACGATGGCAAAGACGACGACGACGGCGGTCACGATTGCGATCTGCCATCGATGCAAGGCCAGCGCGTTCCGTGCGAGTGCAATACTGTCGACGAGATTTCGGCATCAGCCTCGTGCGTGACAAGACGGAGAAGCGAGAAGGTGAGATCCCACAAAGGCAGACTCACAAGAGATGAACGATGATGGCGAATTGGAAGATGATCGCGAACCACAGCGTCCCCATCGAAGGTCCTCCATTCAAGTTATCTGCTCAGTCCGGATCGTTCAGCTTGACATTCGGTCCGGTCCTTTATCCAAACGGAATGTACTCACTCAGATCGGATTCGGCCACGCACATGCCGATAAAGGCGACGAACCATCCGATCAGGGCCAGGAGGAAAGTTACTAGGAACACCGGGTGACGGAAAACCACTCCTGCACTGGAACGAGAGAAAAGCAATGCGATAGAGGTCAGTCGAGGGGTCCGAAAGGTAGGGAATGGTCTGCAGGACCAGCCCGGTTTCATGCCGGAAGCTTCCCGAGCTAACTGTCCATAGCTCGACAGTACTGGATCCTTCTACACTCCACATATCCTGTTCTCTATCGTCACTCCGAGACCGAGAGTAAAGGAGGAGAGAGACACTGTTCTGGTATGACTCACTCAAAGGACCGGTTCCTCATGTTACTGCCTCCCATACTCATTCCGCCTCCGACCGGAGCCGGGCCTGCCTGACGTCGCTTGAACAAGGGCATAGAATGTTTTATTGAGATTCAGATGTGAAGTGTGTGAAGTATGGGGTTACGCTCGAGATTGGTGAGAAGATAGTTGAAGAGCTGAAGGATGGTGTTTATCGGCAGAGTGCACAGCTCCTTGACCTCACCTCACCCCCTTGATGATTTTGTGAGACTCGGGGAGGCGAGCGAAGCGCTAACTCGCAGCCTTGGCAGACCGAGGGGGGGGGGGGCGACGTGTATCTGTTACTGAGCACGTGAACAGAAGGGGGGAAAGGCTATTTCAAAGCGTCCCAGGGTATATGATACGACGCTCAAGTCAAGATGTACAACCAGCCTGGATCTACCTGCACATGCTACCTGATCCAAAGAGATCAAAACACCGTCCTACCAGGTTGGCCAGTTTCTCCGTCTCACCACTATAATCGATGACACCCCAGGACGAGCGAATCCTATCAGCCAGCCAGCCCGTTCCAAATCCGTCGGGCGCCAAATCCGTCGGACCGCGCCTCCAGGAAGACTCACATAAGTCACATCCCGATATTCCACCACTCCCAGACCCGCTTTCGCTCGTTTCTGCTTTTCAGCTTGCCATTTTTCAAACCTGGGAATACGAAAGGGAGAGCTCGTCGAGTTCAGCTGCCCGCCTGAACATGAAGCAAGGAGAGGAGAACGGGAACTGGACTGACCATCGCTTCATCTTGCCTCGACTGCCAAAATGAGAGTCGACAATCAGTCCCGCCGTCGCTAGAATCTGACAACTCGTATCTTCAGGTCAGGTCGATAGGCTTACCTCCTCTCATTCCCCACGTTGACCGTCGCGATCATCTTGACGTCCGGCCCAGGCACGGACAGGGCAAAACAGGTCAATTCGAAGAAACTAGAGTGTTCCGAGTAAGGAATCCCTATAGTGGCCAACGTCCGAACGACCATGAATATGACAGAGACAGCGTATGAGCGAGGAGTTCTGTGGTAGGCCCGAATGGTGTAACACCGGGATACTGACCGAAGATCATGAATTGACGACAGGATCCTCGCATAGGCCGCAAATATTCGGCAGTAAAAGTCCGGCTCTGATCGCGCCGGATGACATAATTGATGTCCGGCATGCTCTCCGTCCCGGCCGGCGGCGTGAATCTATAAAGGAGAGCGTAGCAAGATACATGCCTTGAGCCTCGACTATCGGACTGATTTGATGCTCGGAAGACTCACGTCCATCCAGTCGGACGAAAGGCTAAGACTCGCTCAAAGTGCTCCCTGAGCTTCTGGAGGTATGGTTCGAGTCGGTCTAGTTGAATCATCTGTAGCGGTACCAAGTGGATCGAAGCCTGTCACGTGCCATAAGGCCAGTGCCAACGATTGCTGTCAGTTTGCAAAGTCCGATCTCTTCACGATTATGCAACACCTACCTCGACTGGATCGCTTGTCAGCATGGAATGTAGCTCTTCATCCGCTTGACACATGAGAATCCCTCGTTTCCGAGCGTCGCAATAGATCTTGCTTCCGACCGCACGCGCGACCGCCTTGACGATACGTTCTTTGCCGATCGAATAGGTACTGCCCAGATACAATCTCCAGATCAACTAGGTTCCTAGCGGAGATGCCCGCCTGACCGCGTTCTACTCACCCAATGACGATCAGGGTCCTGCCCGTCTTCTTGGTCGTGATGTTATCCACTTCCTCTTTAGCATCCTCTTCTTCCTTGACTAGCCACGAGTTCATCAAGCGTCTTCCCCTTTCGGTCGTATCCATTCCTTCCAGGCCCTTGAGATACGGCTTGACGTCTTCGTCATCGGCGACATTCTCCTCCTTCTTGGCGCCAGCCCGAGCGGAATCTTCGGGCGGCTGACCCATGATCCCCTTGCCTCCCCCGGCGTCCGTTACGGCAGCGACATGCTGCCCAAAGATCGACCGCTTAGCCAGAGTAGCGCACGCATCGATGACTAGCGGCTGAGGAGGGAAACAATACTGGGGATTCAGGTAGGTCGTATCCAGGTAGCAGGTGTCGATCTTTTTGCCGACAATAGCAGGATGGAGGACCATCTGCGGGCAAGCACGGAAATCGCCGCAGTGTAGGTATCTCCATATTCGCTTCGAGCCTATGTAGGGGTTCTTGAATCCGACCGAGTCGCCCGCGTCCACCGTTTGACGGCCTTCGAAGAGGAACAGCGAGGACCCGGGACCTGTTGATGCACATCCGATGAATTCTAGATTCGATCATCATGTCGACCTCGGCGGAAAGTCTCACAGTGATTGGCATGGAGTACTGTAACCATGACTCCGCCCGTATTTGGGAGTTCGTAAGGGACATCCCATGGAAGACCATGCTGGATACATTCAGTATTCGTCAGCGGACAGAAGGAGGCGGCCTAAGAGATATGGTACTTACCACCCATTTGGCATCTACACCGAGCATCAACTTGATCAGGTTGGCCGTCGTTTCTGTTATAAGTCTTCAGCTATCAGCAAGCGAGAGATGGTGAAGCTATGCACCAGGACTGACCTGAACAATAGATAGGACCATGACGCCAGCTTCCCGAAAGATTCGTATAATGGTCCGAGTGCGCATGTCTTACCGAGCACGAGATCCAATGTCAGTCTCGGTTATGACGCCTCCTGGAAGTATGGCATGACAAGCTCACGTCAAAAAGTACGCCTTGACTTTGGGTATACTCCCGTACCGGAACGCATCGACCGCGATCGGCATTCCTGTCATGACCTTGTAAAATGGCGCCTTTCTCCTGCCGACGACCCGTTTGCCATCCCGTTTCAAATCCACCTCGGCCACCTTCCACTCGGCCTTTTCTTTATGTCCATTCATGAGCACAGCAAAGGCGTTGGGTTTGCCAGGGGTAGCGGACGGTTCGACGTCTTCCTCTTCTGCTTCTTGCGGTTCTCGAGGTGGGTTGGGGGGAAAGAAGGAAGAGAGGGGTCGTTTGGCTTTGGAAGGGGTCTTCTTTGGTCTCGGTCCGCCGTCCTCATCGTCCTCATCGATATCGATGATCGTACCACCACCTTCAACTTTCCTATCGCCCATCAAGGTTCCCAAACAAACACCCTTTGGCGGCTGCGCTGAGGGAAGCGGATCCTCTCCATCCGCATCAGATCCGTCATCCTCCGCTTCTTCGTCTCTGGGATCCTCCATTCCATACCCCTCCTCATCCCCTTCATCCCAGGCGTCTTCTTCCGCTTCCAAAGCCTGAGACAGCTTCTTGTGCTCTTCAGCGTCTTCTATAGGGGAAGGTGGCCTGTCGGTCGGTTTCGAAGGCCCAGCTACGGGTTGAGGAGGAGGATCGAGGTTGCGCAGAGGAAGAGAAACCTGTGACTTTCCCCTGCTTGCTTTGTGTGCTACAGCATCGGAGCCCGAAGTCTTTCGTTGGAGTGGTTTGGTAGGAGTAAAATCTCCCAACAAGCCATTACTCTCGAGCTTGCTAGCCTTTCTAGCGGGCGCAGGTGATTCATCCAGGATGGTGATCTCGTCGTCCTCGTCGCTGCTGATCACTACCGGCGTTTCATCGGTCTGTCCCACTTTGCTGCCGGAAGTCCTCCTATTTAGACCACTGGCCTTGACGGCTGAGCTGCCGATAAGGTCGCTCGACTTTCTCGCCCGGGGAGAGGGCGTGACCTTTCGCCGTTTCGAGACGGCATCCGAATCGTCCGCCGGCTGTTTGGAGAAGAAGTCGCGGAGGGTGTTTCCCTGAGCCGGGCTTGCTGAAGGCGCTCGTTTGACCGTCATATAGATACCTTCTACCTAATGAGCATGTATCGAGGGGTCCAGCTAGCCTCGTAGGAGTATTGGCAGCGAACGTAGTGATGCGATGCGATAGCGAGGATGTCGAAGATGTCGAAGTCGAACATCACGATTCCGATCGATCAGCTGCTACCGAGTCCGAGTCCGAGGCGTGATATTTCCACCTCAAAGGGCGAGGGAGGAGGATCGCCCAAGAAAGCTGATCAGCATCAGACGCAAACACATACGGTCACCCTCCTACATCCTCCGACCTCCTTTGCTATTGACAACTCGCTTTACATCTTGATCGCCCTCGATTCCATCACTCCATTATCAATAGTGAAGTGAATTGAAATCTTGCCATGTCCTTCCTCTTCAATTGGCTATGGGGAGCGACCCCTGACCCAAGAGAGTCTGCTCGGAACTCTATCGTTGCCCTTCGCGAGCAGCTTTTGGTTCTGGACAAGAGGGAGGAGCATCTGCAGCGAAAGATTGATGAAGAGTTGGCTAAAGCCAAAGCTAACGTCTCTACGAACAAAGCTCGTAAGCACGAAAAGTCACCGCTCAGCCAGTGCACGTACATAAGGCTAAGCGCAATGACATCGTCAATAGTCGCTTCTTCCGCACTACGACAGAAGAAGGCTTACGAGACCGAGTTGGAAAGGATCTTCAACACTCGACTGACTTTATCAGCTCAGGCAAGTCGGTCTTTCGCTATTCGGGGATCCCAGAGCTGACGTCGTAAGACTTCTTTTTCGCACAGGTGGACAGCCTGGAGACTGCCAACTTGAATGCGGAGACGATGAAGACGATGAAGCAAGCGTCAGATGCTATGAAAGGGATTCATGGGAAACTGTGAGCACCAACCCGCGTCTTATCTGCTTCGTGATCTCGCTAAAGAATGGCCTGTGGTCGCCGTATTTGTTTTCTGCAGCAACATCCAAGATGTCGACGCACAGATGGATTCCATCCGGGAACAGATGGAAGTCTCGAACCAGATCAGCGAGGCTATCAGCTCGCCACACAACTTGGGAATCGATATCGACGAGGACGAGCTCAAGGACGAGCTGGCAGAGCTGGAAGATCAGCAACTGCAGGAAAGACTGGCTGGCGCCGAAAGAGTCCCGGTGCATTCCCCTGTGTCGAACCGGGTCGCTGCCCCTCGACGTGAGTTACAGCTCGGTTCTGTCGTACTTTACACTATGAGGCTTATTCGGATGCATCACACTTCTTCCTGGTTGGACAGAGCGTGTTTCGGAGGAACAAGACGAGGAGGCCATGCTCCGTCAGCTTCAGGCCGAGATGGCTTCCTGAGTCATCTAAGACCCCGCACATTCCTTTCTCTCGCCCTGTCACAACCACCTGCCATGCGATCTCACTCGAGGTCGGATAGCGACGCCCTTTTGGGATATCTGTACTTTTACCGTTTCGTTGCTCACTCGTTGTAACAATCCGCTCACGAACGGCCGTATCTCTCATATGTATACATACCGATGTTCATCGCATAAGCATGATAAGGCAGAACTCTCCACGACTTCTGACCTCAAAGCACCAGCACACTACTGACCTAAACTTGATAGCGACAAGGTTGATCCATCTTCAAAGGTGTCGGTCACGTGACGAAGAATGTGCTTCAACAATAACAAACCCCCGGCTCTCGAACTTGATTGATATCGGTTGCATCTAGCATCTAGCGACCTTGATATGCTGCTATGACGCACAGTATCATCATACACATCCAAGATAGAATGATTTGACGATGAATTTGAATTCCTACCTCGAAGCGCAGATCCCGTACCTGCGGACCCTCCATAGCTCGCTCGGCCTCGCTTCTTCCGAGCTCGCCAACGACCTCCGTGGGATCGAAGAGGCCATCAAACAGGCTATCGATGCTAGGGTGGAAATCCGAAAAGATGCGGTAAAGGAGCTGGAAGAAAAGATCGCCAAGGTGAAGAAGAGGGTGGGCAAGATGAGGGAAGTGCTCGGTGAACAGGGGGAGAAGCGGGATCAAGAGGGTGGGGACGCCGATATGGTGAGCGGGAGATCAATCGGATGACGTCGATGCGCACAGCCTGATGTGCTGTTCTGGCTCTGTAGAGTCTACCCGCACGGTTGGGCAGCTTGGAGTCTGAAGAAGCTAGATTGAAGTCGGTGAGTCGCGTAGAGTCATGTGTGACCGATTACATGACTGACGTAGCGATATCGCCAACCGGATAGACCCATGAGGATAGGATGCTCAAAGTGAAAGGTTATTGACCTTTGAGCAGATATGTCTTGATTCAGAACTGAAGAAAAGACGTCGTTCTCTCGCAGCTCTCACCGGACAGATTAGCTCGATTTCAGCGATATTGGGGAAGACGTACAGTCTCCCTCCCGAGCTCACGGCAAAAGCAGGGCTCATCGAGACACATCGTGATTCACCAGCGGTAATGCTGCTGGGAGCCGTTGTGGACGTTTCGGTACATGAGGAGGATCTCATGGAGGACGGGAGCATGGCCAGGATTGCCGCACTGGAGGAAGCTCTCCGGCTGGTTCATCTCGAAAAGGTAAGTCGCAATCACCTTGCGAAGGCATGTTAGCTAATCATATCGTCTCTCTTTCAGATCAAGCGAGCTGAGGAACTAAACGATCTCTTCGACGACCTCCGGTTTCTGCACGGCGAACTCTGTCTTCCCACCGACGCTACGAGGTCCGGCTGGTATATCCCGGATTCGGCTGAAGTCGACACGCACCTTCCCCTCATCGAGGCTTCCATCGCATCCTCGGAGAACGACGTAAATCCGACCGAGACTCTGACAGACGTCTGTTTGGCGCTTCAAGAAGCCTGGGTCGGCGAGAAGACGAGGCGGGAAGCGAAGATACAGTCACTCTATGATGAGCTTGAGCCTATCTGGCTGCGACTACAGGTAGGTTAATGCGCGGACGGCGGCTAGCAAACCACTAACCAAGCGCTCCATTTCGCACAGGTCACTCAGGAAGAGATCCAAACCTTCATCGAGGCTCACTGCGGGTTGGCCGTGAGCACCATCGAAGCTTACAAAGTGGAACTTCAGCGGGTGAAAGTTCTGAGGAGTGCAAGTCTTGGAGGGTTTGTCCAAACGGTTCGGGAGGAAATACAAGGCCTCTGGGATAGGCTACTCTACGGACCCAGATCAACGGAACGTTTCCGCGCATTCTATGCGGGTGAGTCCACGAGCGCAGACGGGAGACGAACGATTGAAGCTGATCTGATTCCCGTTCGACAGAATCGATCTCCGAGGAGATACTCGCCGAGCACGAGAAGGAAGCTCAACGGCTGACGGACGAAGTTCTCGTCAAAGGGGCGTTGCTATCCAAGGCACAGGAATGGGTCGACCTCAAAGCGAAGGAAGAGGAGCTCGAGGCGAAGCGGAACGGTCCCGATCGATTCAACACGAGGGGAGGGGCGCTCCTGCAAGAAGAAAAGATGCGGAAGCGATTAGGGATATTGAAACCGAAGGTGAGTCTTCGCTTGCCTGCGACGACCGAATAACCGGTCGCTCATGATACGTTGTTGTATAATAGCTTGAAGCGGAGCTGATGCGAGAGGTCCCGTTGTGGGAAGAGGAACACAATATGGATTTCCTCGTTGATGATATCAGGATTGTGGAGATAATTCTGCTTGAACAGGAGGCAAAGGATGCCGAGAAAGAGGCAAAAAAGCGAACAAAGATCATGGGCAACAGCGCAGCTACGCCTGCAAGGCTCAACATGAGCACGCAACGGACACCTCTAGCGAGATCCACACACGAAACCACAACGCCGACTCCTTTCCAGCGAGGGCATCGTGCGACACGGAGCGTCAATCCGTTGGCCAGCAGCACCTCCTCGATCTCAAACGCTGGGCGTCGACAGCAAGCTCCTCCTCCGGTATACGGTTTACCCCGCCCGACAACTACCCGGAATTACACTTTGCCGCCAGCGATCAAACCGCTGGGATCGTCGGGCGCGCACAATGTCGCTCAACCACGAGTGGCGACGTACGGTTCGCTCAGTAGCGGGATCCCGAAAATCGCAGGCACTACCACTGCGTTGAGCCGAGATGGAACCAGGAGACCGCCACGAAGGGAGTCTTTCAAACCGAGACGCTCAATCGTGTCGAGGATCAATTCAGCGGCGTCGACGGAAACGCGGACGTGGAGGTTGGAGGATTTCGTCGAGGATTTATAGCATCAACCCTTTCGACCCGTTTCAATTCGCTTTCGCTCGAAGATTGTCCCCATACCCTCAAGTTGTACTGATACAGGCGCAGGCAAATCATAATGACGGGATGTCTGGCCCTATTCCCTCAGATAGAGCGCCCCTGGAGACCGCGAACGTTGTTGTTGTTGTGTTGTTGTTGATTTTGTGGTTGCGTGGTTGACTATAGTGAGCCGTTTGTTCCAAGCGCCTAGAAAAACAATAATCGGCGGTCGCCGTCGCCGCGCGAGATCTATAGTCCTTCCTCTGAGTAAAAGCTCCCAAAAAGGGATCATAATCTAAGTTCACTATCAAGATTATCTTTCATATTTCCATTTCATCTGGACCATTCAGTCTAAAGTTAGCCTAACTCGACTTAGCCTAAGCTTCCCTAACTCAGCCTCCTTACCCTACCAGCATGCCAGTCGATAACACCCTTGTGCTCCAAGCCGAAGTTGCTGCATACGTCGCCGACATACACAGCCCCGTTCAAGACTTCTTGAGCTGCGAGCCCAACGAGAGAGACCCCAGTGTCATACCAGGCTTTCTCCATGCCCTCGATGACTTAGTCACTTGGCTTACGAGTGAGGTCAAGGGAAAGTTACCGCTACAGGTGTACCTCGATCATACACATGGGTCTATAGCTCTCCGCGACGAGGTCTACGCCTGTCACCAAGGGTTCCTCCAACTACCTGTCGCCAACACCTCTCGTGCCACTCGCACTCTTCGGCCTGAAGGCGGCTTTGTACTTGATATCTCTCCCGATGCAATCAAAGAATATGAAGACATTGGGTTTACGGACAAAGAGATAGCAGGATTTCTTGGCTGTTCTCGAAGCACAGTCATTCGTAGACGGAACGCTGCACAACCCTATACCAAACGACAGGCAAAACACTTAGTCTCAGAGGACGATCTCCGACAGGCTATCAAGAATCATCTGAACCAACTCGATGGCGATATGCTCGGTTACCGTGCAGTTCAAGGCCATCTTGCCAGCATAGGCATGAAAGTCACCCGTGAACAAGTACGAGCTCTTCTTTGGGAAATCAACCCAGCCTCCGCAGCCCTAAGAAGAGCCGTTGTACGCAATCGACGGGTCTACAAGGTTCCCTTCCCTAATTCGCTATGGCATATCGACGGCCAGCACAAGCTTATCCGATGGAAGTTTGTTATACATGGGGGTGTAGATGGGTACAGCCGAGTGTGCGTCTTCATGAAAGCTAGCGACAACAACAGGGCCGAAACTGTTGAGCAGCTGTTCTTGACTGGAACTGAAGAGTGGGGATGGCCTCAACGAGTAAGAGTGGATTACGGTGGGGAAAACATGGGCATATGGAAGCAGATGATCGCAATTAGAAGTCAGTCAAGCACCGGTAATATGTCTACCTTATCCTGACTCTTTTACTTCGTGCTTTAGATACTGTAAAGGCCCCCTTCATCCGAGGAAAGTCAACACATAACACTCCGATCGAGAGACACTGGAAGAGTGTGGGGGAAAAGTTTACACAGAAGTACTCCAGGACCTTCGCCGAACTTGAACGACTACATGACCTCGACGTTGATGATCCAGTGGACATCTTCTGCCTACATCATTGCTTCCTTCCCCTCGTAAACCTTACAATCGCCTCCCATGTGGCCGCACATAATCACCACCCTAGCGCTACCAAGGGTACAAGAGGCTGGTCACCCCTACGTACATGGATCCACGGGAACGTTGAAGCAGCGAAGCGGGGTATGGATCTTGATTTATACCCCACAGATGGTTTGGTAGATGGCAACGGCTTCATCGATGAAGTTATAGAAGGGGAGGAGGACGAGGACGAGGACGAAGAACAAGCCGAGGTCAACCAGATGCGAGCTGCAAACTGGCCTTCCGAACAAGAACGAGCCGATCAAGACCGACCAGTTGGGGATACAGACCCATACGTCCAAGTCGAGCGGTATCATGAGTTACTACCACCACTGCTGAAGGAAGAAGACTTTCGACAGACCCTTTGTCATCATTTCCCTCCTCCCACTCAGCACAGTGCCGACGATGTTGCCGATGACACAGGGTTGTTCAGTACAGTGCAATACTTAGCCGTTAGATCATGGGTACACGATTCCCTATTAGCCAGGCAAACGGACGAGACGTTGTAATCGATGACGTCGTGCAGATCCATCGTATCTTAGGCTAAGCATGACTTAACTAGCCTAGCCAATCAGACAAGCAGTTGAACAAAAGAATTTGATGGGGTTTCATCGTCGTCGTCATACGTTCGTCTAAGCGAACAACAAAACAACAAACAACAAGATTACTCGCCTTCGTAGCTTCGTATATACCTACGATCTTCTCGCCTTCGTACAACTTGTTTGCTCTAACTTTGCCTATCATTAGTCTCGCATAACTTTCTCTTAATCCTACTCCTATATTACACGTACGCAACCTCTAGCTTCAAAATGCCTACTCCCGAAGAGATTGCTGGTAAGCTTCTACGCATACGTGTTGTCAGGGGTTGTCATACCTTTACCGACATGCCTTTACTCTGATAGACCTGACGAGGAAGATGGCTACGGCCACTTCTGCTGATCTGGGGGCTCTCTCCCAGACTTTGATCGGTAAGTATACTTTAGCTATGCCTTTCATCTTGTTGCTAATGCTACACATGTGTACGAACAGCCGAAGTCCAGAAGAGGTCGAAGCAGGAGGAGGAGGAGCGGGAGAAGGTGAAGAAGGCCGAGGAGGAAAGGGAAGCGGTCAAGCTTGTTGGCGTGGTAAGTAATCGTGCTAGACTATGACTAACTTATCCTAAGCTCACGGTTGGTGTTTCACTTGCAGGCCGAGACAATCCGGGAGTGGATCCCTCAACAAGGACCTCGAGGGTTGATGAGGGCGGCGTTGGCTCGGTGGGATGGTGAGTTGTAGTATACCTGCTACACTAAACCTCGACTGGACTATCGTTATACTAGTTATACTTGGGCTAATCTCGATTGCATGTACGGTATCTTTTCCTTAGCGCAACATCCCGAATACGCCACCACCACCACCGACGAGAAGGCTGAGAAGACGGTCGTTCCCCCCCTCCCCCAATCCCCTCCCCCCGCCGACTCCTCCTCCTCCGGCCCCAGTCGAGAACGCCGGGCCTCGACTCCCTTGAGGGAGGTCTTAAAGGCCTTCGTCAAGGCCGCCACCACCCCAAAGAAGAGGAGGGTTGCGGTTGAGGAGGATGACTCGGATGACGTCGAGTACCTCAGGGAGGACGGGCCTTCGCCCAAAAAGGCGATCAAGTTCGCCGCGAGGAGGAACGCAAGGTCGGCGAAGGGGAAGGGGAGGGCCAACCAGGTGGAAGAATGTAAGGCCCGGGAGCGACCCCCGACGGGGATCCCCCTGGACAGGCTGACGGGACGCAGGAATGAGGCAAGGTATGGGTAGACATCTAAATGTAATAACGGATGTAGAGCTATTACAAGGGTACTAGTTCTACATCAACATAACAATACCGAAAAGTACCCCCGGCGGGAGTCGCATACGGGAGTCGCGTACGGCGCGTCCGACGCGTCACGTGACCGCTATAACAGGATCCCCCTCCTAGATGCGGACTCCGAACGCATCAAGCGTCTGCGTACTCTTGTCGACCGGGCTGGGGTAGATGGGGGTAGCGCTTGTGGAACGCCGCAACGACTTTGTCGTCGTGGTCAAACTCAGCGGGGCTGACCCACTCGTTTGACTCGTCCCCGTACCCTTCGAACCGTACCAGGTATTGGGTCTTCTTCCCGGACCTTCCGGATCGTAACGCCTTCGAGTGTACGATCTCGGACACAACATACCCCAAGTCGCCGTTGTCGAGGACTTCGGGGGTAGGTGGCTCAACCACCTCTCTTCCTTCCAGCTCGTTGGCCCGATAGGGGATAAGCAACGACACGTGGAACACAGGGTGCACCCGGCGTAACTGCGCGGGGAGTTCCAGCCTCCTCGCCATCTTGCTCTGGCCGATGACTTCCGTGATTCGGAAGGGCCCCAGCGTCTTCATCGAGAGCTTCTGGCTGGGGCGCACCGATGTCAAGTTCTTGGTAGATAACATTACCAAGTCCCCTACGTTGTAACCCTCGTCAGGGACGGCGGTACGCTTCCGATTTGCGTACTTCGCCATGTCTTTCCGCGCCTGTTCCAGCGCCTCCTTCACCGACTTATAGATCCCGTCGAGCCGGTCTCGGTACTCCCCCGCCGACTCCACCGCCTCTTCCCTAGTGCCGGGCACTGGCAGGGAGAAGGTATGCTCCCTTCCCTCGGACGCCATAAATGGCGACATCCCGATGGCAGAGTGCTTCGCGTTGTTGTACGCAAACTCCGCCATGGAGAGTAACTCCGCCCAATCGTCCTGGAGGAAGTTGACGTACGACCGCAAGTATTGCTCCAAGGTGGAGTTACTTCGCTCGGTCTGACCGTCCGTCTCCGGGTGAAACGCCGTGGAGTAACTGTTCTCCACGTTCGCCATGCGGCACAAATCTTTCCAGAAGCGCGAGGTAAACAACGTACCTCGATCCGAAATGATCTGCTTCGGGAACCCATGCAAACACACCCATCGGTCAAGGAACAACCGCGCCAAGAATGTGGCGTCGTTATCCTTTCGACAAGCGACGAAGTGCGCTCGCTTGCTGAACCGATCGACGATCACCAGGATCGAGTTGGACCCCATAGACTCGGGCAGGTCCGTGATGTGATCCCAAGTGATCGATTCGTATGGTCCTGCCGGTACCGGTAGCGGCGCTAGTTCGCCGACAGGCTTCATCCGGGGCCGCCGATTGCGCTGGCATATGCTGCAGCTAGCGACGTACTCCCCGATCCACTTCGCCATCCCAGGCCAGTAGAAGTCCCTACTGGTCAGCTCCACAGTCTTGTCCCGCCCCCAATGGCCGGCGGCCTTCCCGTCATGTAGACGCTTCATCAGCTCTACCTTGATGTTCCCTGCGTTGGGGACATACACCAACCCGTTGTACAGAAGAACCCCAGTGGGGCTCAAGCTGTATCGCTCGTTCGCCAAGGTTCCCGCCTTGAGCTGCGCTACGAGCTCTTTCGCCACCGGGTCGTCCTGCGCCGCCGGTATCAGCGCTTTCACCATCCAATCGCCCAGTGCGGGGATGGTGCCATTCAACCGCAAAGGCGGTCGCTCAACCGGACTACACCCCTCAGAGGGTGCGTCTTCGACAGGCCGGAGCAGAGTCTCCGCTCGCTTCGGTTCTGTCTCCTCCATCAACTCTTCCCGCCGACTCAACGCGTCGGCCTTCCCGTTCTCCGTCCCCGGTTTGTACTCCAGGGTGTAGGAGATCTGGTTTAACAGCTGCGACCATCGCGCCTGCCGTTGAGACAATACCTTGTCCCTCTTGAAGTACTCCAAGTTCTTGTGATCCGTGAGGATCCGAACGGGGTACTTGTTGTCGAGATAATGTCGCCATATCCGACTGCAATAAACGATGGCCAGCAGCTCCCTGTCGTGCACATCGTAGTTCCTCTCGGCGGGCGTCAGACTCTTCGACATGAACGCCACCGGGTGGAGCTTCCCATCGTCCCCTACCTGGGACATCACCGCGCCGATCGCTCCAGAGGAAGCGTCGGTCTCGAGCACCACTTGGCGCTCCTCGTTGTAATGCGCCAATATAGGCGCTTGGGTGAAGGACTCCTTCAATTCCCGGAACGCAGCGTCAGCGGCTGCCGTCCAGGAGTACTTCACCCCTTTCTTCGTCAGGGCCGTCATTCCCTGAATCTTCTTGGAGTAGTTCTGAATGAATCTCCGATAGTAATTTGCAAATCCTAAAAAGGACTGCAGTCCCCGAATGTTCTTCGGGGGGGCCCAGTCCAGAACGGACTTGACCTTGGAGGGGTTCATACTGACCCCCGTCGGGGCAATATCGTACCCCAAGAATTCGGTAGCCACCGTATCGAACTCACACTTCTCCGCTTTCGCATACAGGCCATTTGCCTGCAGCCTCTTCATAACCTCCTTGACCTGACCATCATGGGTCTCCTGGTCGGAGGAGTAAATAAGTATGTCGTCGAGGTAAACGACGACGCACACATCCAAAAGGTCTTGGAAGACCTCGTTCATCCACCGCTGAAAGGTAGCGGGGGCGTTGGTCAGGCCGAACGGCATGACCAAACATTCGAACAGACCGAAACGTGTAGTAAACGCGGTCTTCCAAATGTCTTCTTCTTTTACGCGTAGCAGGTTGTACGCGCCTCGGAGGTCCATCTTCGTGTAGACCTTCGCGCCCTTCAACCTGTCTAGCGTCTCTGAGATGAGGGGTAGGGGCGTCCTATCCTTCACCGTAATGTCGTTAAGGCGACGGTAGTCGATGCACATACGCATCTCGCCGCCTTTCTTCGGTACGAACAGTACCGGGCTCGAGCAGGGCGACTTCGACGGCCTGATGAACCCCTTCTCCAGATTCTCCTTCAACCATTTCTTTAGCTCCTCACTCTCCCGCTGGGAGTGGTTATAGAGCTTCTGATACGTCGGCGACGTACCGGGCTTGAGTTCGATCGCATGGTCGATCGATCGCTTCGGGGGCAGTGTATCTGCCTTCGTCTTGGAGAACGCTCCAAGATGTTCATGATACTTCTCCGGTACCATGTCCCTCAGCTTCTCCATATACTCGGGAGGGTCCAGGTCATCCTGGAACGAGTCTGTAGGTTTGACGTCCCAATCCCACAGGTCCGGGCGCCTCGCCCGCTCGTCGTCCTCCCGGGTCATCTGCATTTGTGCGACGACCAAATCCTCCGTGATAGACCCCTTCATCTTCTTGAACGGGTCGATCCCTCGTGTCTCCACCTCTACTTCGTCCGGAGCATACACCGTCTCGGGCCTCTTGAGACATCCCGTGCTGATGCAGACATCCCCGAACGTCACCGCGTTGGAGTCCCATTGGATATGCGGATTGTGTCTCCGCAGCCAAGGGATACCTAGTACGACCGGGTACCCACTCAAATCGGTGAGGTGGAACTCGGTCAGCTCCAGGTGCACTCCCGTACGTACCAGCGTACGAGCCTTCTGGGTGATCCTTCCTCCCTGGATCTCCCGACCATCGATCACCGTTACTACCCGCGGTGTCTCGAGGTCCGTTACGTCGAATCCATGTAGCGACGCGAATGTCCGATCCATGAACATCCCGGTCGCTCCCGAATCCAACAACATGAGTGCTTGGACCGGCACTCCTTCCGGGTAGAACACTCCTACCAACGTCAGATGGCTATCTGGACCGTTGGGTACTCCGCTTGCACCCAACTGCAAGGGGATCCGGCTACCTCCCTGTGCTCCCCCATTCGGGGTCCTTTGATGATCCGTTATTCTGTAAGGCCCGGGAGCGACCCCCGACGGGGATCCCCCTGGACAGGCTGACGGGACGCAGGAATGAGGCAAGGTATGGGTAGACATCTAAATGTAATAACGGATGTAGAGCTATTACAAGGGTACTAGTTCTACATCAACATAACAATACCGAAAAGTACCCCCGGCGGGAGTCGCATACGGGAGTCGCGTACGGCGCGTCCGACGCGTCACGTGACCGCTATAACAAAGAAGCGGAGGACGAGTTCGGGGAGGGCGCCGACTTTGTCCTGCCTCTTACGAAGCCCAGGCATTGGAAAGAAGAGGCGTGGAGACGGGCCAACGTAAGCAAAGCTAAACCTAGTCGAGGCTAAGTTAGGCTAAGTTAGGCTAATAACCCTTGTACGAACGTCTTTGTAGAAGGCCTACGATATCATGTCCAACCCGGACGCAGTGGTGGTCCCCGACGATTGCTACTGCAAGACATGCAATGGGCGAACGCGAGCCGGTGCGTTCCCGGACGACAAGCTTCGGGTGGCTTGTGACAAGGCCTTCGACCATTGCGTGGTCATACCGGGGGAGAAGGAGGCCTGTGTAAGGTGTATCTGGAGGTACGGCGAGCCCTGCGACTTCGAGAAGAGACCATATGTGGTCAAAGAACGCAAGCCGATGATCGTCAGGATCACCAACCCCCTCCCCGCCACCCCCGTCACCCCCGTCACCCCCACTCCCGCCGGGCCCGCTAGTCAAGCTCTGGCCCAACTCCAGCCCGCCCTGATGGATCCGACCACGGGCAAGTTCTGGTTCCAGGCTGGAGGTTCTGGTAGTTAGGCTTTGTATCTTTTTTTTTGGGTAATACGGGTTCCTTTTTTTGTTGCTATCTTGCTCAGTTTTTATGCTACAGCAGATCTGAATACACTGTTGGGATGCTAGACATGACATTGGCTAAGCCAATTTTCGTCCCATCCAGTTTCGTTGAGTTGTTCATGAGGACCATGTGCTGCGAGACGGGGCAGCGAGCAAATGCTATCTTGCCCAGTTTTGATGCTACCGGAAATCTGAGGTCACCATCAGAACGCCAGACCCAACATCCGCTAAGCCATTTTTTTTCCCGTGTCATTTCGTCCAGCGGTTCAGGAGTTATTCATTGTCGAATTGCTATGATGTCCCCTACCTATGACGTCAAATTTGGAGCGCGCTCCAAAAATGACATCATAGCTGAGGGGTTAGTGCTATCTCACTCAGTTTTGACGCTACAGCAGATTTTAGACCACCATCTGAATGCTAGAGGCCACATTTTCTAAGCCAATTTTTTTCCCGTCCCGTTTCGTCCAACGGTTCAGGAGATATTCCACGTCGAAGGTCTGCCCGAGATTGACTGCCCGAGATTTCAAAATACGATATATGCACAATCAGCCTGAATAAAGTACAAGTTAGGCTAAGTAGTCTTGGTAAGCCTAACAGGCCTATCCGAACGTCTAAGAGGCCCAACATGAGGCGATCTCTTCCTCTTTTTCCCAACTTTCGACGATGACGCTGACGCAGCCGGTGCCTCAGCTGAATCATGTTGAACGACAGCAACGGAGTCGACAGGGACTGTGTTTTGCACCTATTCAGTATTCAGTAATCAGTTAAATGCAAAGACGTTGATCCTGATTGTACAAAACCCCAATAGTCTTACCGGATTCTCAACGTCTGTGCCTTGTAACACTATTGCTTCCCCTACATCCGAGTCATGTTCTGAATGAACATCGTTCCGACCATCCTCGCTTAACGGCCCTCCAGACATGGCAGGAGGACTGGGACTCTTGGCATTGTGATCCCAAGCAAACTCTTCGAACGACGGACCAGCAGCAGCACCAGGTTTAGGAGTAGATTGGGTGTCGAGTTCGTAGTCACGGTGTTGATCCAGAACTTGGGCGATGACGCCTAAAAACTGGGTGGTACCCATGCTCAAGAGCTGACGTTCGCATAGATTGTAGAAATCAGGGATTGTCATTGCCGATGGTAAGGCATCTGGGGTTGTTCCAGTCAAATCTAACACGATTCGATCAGTCATTGCCTGAGTGTAAGTGTCTAGCAAGAACGCTTACCCATGACTTTGACTTTGGTATTCCCAATGTTGGCCGGTTTCTCCGGGAGAGGGGATGTCTTAGCCTTAGCCTTAGCCTTAGCCTTTGGTTGTGGCCTTGTTGCTACTGGAGGCGAGGGATCAGGGGTATAGCCTTGAGGTACGTCGTGATTGTCCTCGTCGAAGCGATTTTGAAACCCAGCGCAAATTCTTAGGTGTGCGCCATGTCGGTCGGGGGGAAAGCGGCCTGGACACCAATTGCACTGCTTAGGTACGTTTGGATCGTCTAACTCGTTCTGTTCCTCGACATCAGAGTCCAACTCCTGCTTTGCCTTCCCTTTCCCTTTCGCCTTACTCGTAGGGGGAGCTTGAATCTCCACCTCGAGATCCCATGTGGCAGGATCACGGTCGAGGACGTCGGCCAGCTGTTCACGGAACGCTTTCTTGTCCTCCGATGCATCTGCCCATGTAGCCGGTACAATATAAGCCATAGCTTCGTCCTCAAAGATGTCGGCCAATTGGGTAATATCCAGATCCCATGGATTATACGTCAAGTCCGGTTGGAACTTCTTCGAACTGGCGGTAAGTTTGGCCCATCGCCAAAGATGAGGAAGGGGCTTGCTAGCAGCCTTGAAGACTCCCTCTACGTAAGAGGTAATCTGTACCGAATCCATGTTATCCAAGAGATGGAGTTTCTGGATGCACCGTAAGCCTTCCAAGCATTCGGTAAGTGCCGCAGTGCGACCCCTCTTGTTTGTCTCCAGTACGAGCTGCTCCCGTACAAACGAACCACAAGGAATGAAAGCAACCTGTAGTATGTTCTTGTCAGCAAAGGATCCCAGAGTTACAACGATATGCTTACTAACCTTGTTCTTTCGCCCAAGCTTCTTTGGCTTACCAGGCTTCACAGATGCGTGTATAACCTGTTGGCCAACGCTTCCCCTTATCTGAAACCTGTTATAGCGACGCGCGCGTACGCCGGACTCGAGTCGTACCAACTCCGGCGGAGTTGTTCAAGGAGCATATCGTATTGTACCACTTTGTATCAGCATTGTAGTATATAGTCTTTCATCTGTTATTACATCTATATACCCTAGTCCTACGTTCTACATTACTCCCGGATATGTCCTCGCAGGTATACATCGAGCCGGTCTTCCCTGGAGCCTTCTCGACGCCTAACAGAATAACAGATCATCCGAGTTCCCCGGGTAATGACTTGAACGTAGCAACTGGAGAACCGTTGGTGCTGAGCAGCATAGGTTCTCCCTCTCGACCGGAGGCTCATATTACGGTCACCGGCACCTTCTACCCGAATGGTACTCCGACGGAGACGGTCTTGATGATCGACTCAGGAGCGACCAGTTTGTTTATAGACACCGAATTCGTCGAGCAACACGGATTCGACCTCATTCCTTTAGAACGACCCCGACCACTCCTGGTCATTGATGGGAGAGAGATCTCTTCCGGTGCAGTTACACACCGGGTACAAGCTAGACTACGTATCGGTAGACATACCGAAACGGCGTACTTCTACGTATGTAGCCTCGGAACTTTCACAACGGTGCTCGGCCTACCATGGTTGAAGGAGCACAACCCCCGAATTGACTGGGAAATGAGCGCAGTAGCGTTCGAAGATAAGTGCGTCCAGAACGGATGTACACCAGCAAAAGAAATAGTATACTCCCCCGTGGATTACGAAGCGGAGGAGAAGGAGTTACGTTCGACGGACCGAATCAAAGGAGGGGTCACCGAAGAACTAGTAGTGGCCTACCTCAAGGCCAATGATGAAGAAGAAGAGAGGGTGAGGCGTCCCGACTTATGGGATTGGGACGACAAGCCAGCGGAGAGTTTCCCGGGAGACCTGGACCCTCCCGAATATATGGAGACGTTACGGAAGGTGGTACCGGAGAAGTATCACGCTTTCCTCGGAGCGTTCTCCAAGACCAAGGCCGACGAGTTGCCGGCACATAGAGACTTCGATCACTCGATCGACGTAGAGGAAGGGAAAGTACCCCCCTTCGGAAAACTCTACAACCACTCCGAAAAGGAGAGCGCCGAATTGAAGCGCTGGATCAAGGAGAACCTTGATAAAGGTTTTATCAGGGCTTCAACGTCACCCGCCGCAAGTCCCGTATTGTTTGTCCCGAAGAAGGGAGGAGAGCTCAGGCTCTGTATTGACTACCGGCGTTTGAACGCCATTACCACAAAGGATCGAACCCCGTTACCGCTGATTTCCGAGACGCTCGATAAGTTAACGACAGCGAAGGTCTATACCAAGTTGGACCTCCGAGGAGCGTACAACTTGTTACGAGTAAAGGAAGGGGACGAATGGAAGACAGCTTTCCGTACTAGATACGGACTGTTTGAGTGTCTGGTGATGCCGTTCGGGTTGACGAACGCTCCGGCGACGTTCCAAAGGTGGATGAACCATGTGTTCAGGGACCTTCTGGACGAGTCCGTCGTAGTGTACCTGGACGACATCCTCGTGTTCTCTCCCGACGAGACTACGCACGAGAGACACGTGAAGGAGGTGCTGCGAAGGCTACAAGAAAATGGGCTGTACGCCAAAGCAGAGAAGTGTGAGTTCCACACAACAGACACGGAGTTCCTTGGATACGACGTGTCTCCGGGAGGGGTAAAGATGAACCCCTCCAAGGTGTCGTCCATAGAACAATGGGCGGCGCCTCGAAACCTGAAGGGACTACAGTCGTTCCTAGGTTTCGCCAACTACTATCGGAGGTTCATCACGAACTACTCCCAGAAGATACAGGGGATGACAAAGCTCCTGAAGAAAGGAGTGCGGTTTCAATGGAACGAATCCGCAGAGACTGCGTTCGTAACGCTGAAGAAGGCGTTCACGCAGGCGCCTATACTGGCGCATTTCCAGGAAGATGCAGAGGTAACGTTGGAAACGGATGCCTCGGCCGGAGCGATTGGAGCAGTGATGTCGCAGAGAGGTTCGGACGGAAAACTCCGACCAGTAGCGTTCATGTCAAAATCGTTAACTCCCGCAGAGCGGAACTACGACGTTCACGACAGAGAGATGCTGGCCATCGTCTACGCCTGCAAGATATGGCGACACTACCTGGAGGGACCTCACCCTATTCGGATCTTTACCGATCACAAGAACCTCGAGTACTTCCGAACGGAGAAGTTACTGTCGAGGCGACAAGCAAGATGGTCCCAGCTGTTGAACAGTCTGAGCTACACCCTGGAGTACAAGCCGGGGGTGATGAACGGTAAGGCCGACGCCTTGAGTCGGAAAGAGGAGCTCCTAGAAGAGAGCGAACCAAGACAGACCGAGACGATGCTACGGCCCATGAATCTCTCGGCTACAGCGCGGGAGATTCCTCCGCATCTACAGATCAACGGTACCCTGCCAATTCCCGGCGAGGACCTCCGGAGAGACCTGTTGCAAGGTTACGAGGCGGACGAAGTAGTCAAAGCCATCTTGGAGAAGATGGAGAGGGAGCCCAACGAGCAGGGTCCCTACAAGAAGGATGGCGAGGGGTTCCTAATCTACAAGGGACTCCTGTACGTCCCTGATGTGGAGTCGGTAAGGGTCCGACTGATGAAGTACGTTCACGACGGCAAGCTCGCGGGGCACTACGGGCGAGACAAAACGGAGGACCTCCTCTCGAGAGACTTTTATTGGCCCCGAATGAGAGACTGGGTAGGCAACTACGTGGCCTCGTGCTTGACGTGCCAGAAGAACCGCCGTCCCCGACAAAAGCCGATCGGAGAATTGGCCCCTCTACCTGCGGCGAGGAAGCCGTGGTCGTCTATCACTTGGGACCACATCACGGACCTCCCCGAGTCATTGGGCCAGGATGCAATCCTGGTAATCGTCGACCGCTTCAGTAAGCGGGCACACTTCATCCCGTGTCGAAAGGATAACAACGCCTCGTACCTGGCGAAGTTATTCTTCTCCCACTACGTCAAGTTGCACGGGTTCCCTGATCAGATCATCTCGGACAGAGGAACATTGTTCATGTCTAGCTTCTGGCGGGATGTGTGTGCTTTTGCGGGTGTCGAGAGGAGGTTCTCGACGGCATACCACCCGGAGACTGACGGACAAACGGAGAGGAGCAACTCGACATTGGAACAGTACCTGCGGAGTTACGTGAACTTCCAGCAGGATGATTGGGCGGAGTTGTTGCCTCTGGCGGAGTTCGCCTACAACAACTCCAAGCATTCCGCCATAGGGATGTCGCCTTTCATGGCCTCCGAGGGGACTGACCACAAGTTCACCATCCGGATGGCCGAAGTGCCCAATGAAAGCGCGGATGAGTTCAGGGAGCGACTCTCGAACATCCACGAGTCGGTACTCCGGGCGTTGGAGCAAGCAAGGGTAGATATGGCGAAATACGCCAACAGAAAGAGGCGACCCGTTCCCGACGAGGGAATGGAGGTCGGGGATCAAGTGATGTTGTCTACGGACCACATCAAGACGGTTCGTCCAAACAAGAAGTTGGACTACAAGACCCTCGGACCTTTCAAGATCACCGAGGTCGTGGGAGATGCGAAGATGGCGCGAAGGTTGGAGCTTCCCGAGCAACTGCGGCGGGTACACCCCGTGTTCCATGTCTCGATGCTGATTCCGTACAAGCGGAATGAGCTGCCCTCGCGGGAACAGGTCCCGCCTCCTCCCCCAGAGGTGGTGGATAACGGTGACACCCAGTGGGTAGTATCTGAGATCGTAGATTCGCGGAGCAGGAAGCGGGGACGTCAGACGCGTACCCAATATCTGGTGCGGTGGGAAGGTTACGAGGATGAGTATAACGAGTGGGTACATCCGGAGGACTTCCACCATGACGACCAAGCGGTGCTGGATTATCATCGACGATACCCAAACAAGCCGAAACCTGCTTTCGAGGAGTACGGCGATGCCTAGGGCGTTCGGAGCTCGCCCGTAACGGGGGGATCCTGTTATAGCGACGCGCGCGTACGCCGGACTCGAGTCGTACCAACTCCGGCGGAGTTGTTCAAGGAGCATATCGTATTGTACCACTTTGTATCAGCATTGTAGTATATAGTCTTTCATCTGTTATTACATCTATATACCCTAGTCCTACGTTCTACATTACTCCCGGATATGTCCTCGCAGGTATACATCGAGCCGGTCTTCCCTGGAGCCTTCTCGACGCCTAACAAAACCCGCCTCGGCCCATCTTCTTGAAGCTGCCAATTCCAGATATCCCTCGCCCAGGCAGACTTTGCTGTGAGAACGTAGCAGGAGCCGAGCCAACCATCTGCTGAACCCTGCGAGCCTGGGTCAAATAAGGCGCAGGCGAGGCAACGGCTCTGGTTGCACCGGGTGTCGAGATCTCCGGAATGACTTCTTGAACATCGTCTTCAACAGTAACCGACAGAGATTGACGGATAGGGGGGGCTGAGGGAAGAGGGGCAGGACTAGGCTGTGTTGCACCAACTGGCTGGGTGTTAGGCGTCGAGAAGGCTCCAGGGAAGACCGGCTCGATGTATACCTGCGAGGACATATCCGGGAGTAATGTAGAACGTAGGGCTAGGGTATATAGATGTAATAACAGATGAAAGACTATATACTACAATGCTGATACAAAGTGGTACAATACGATATGCTCCTTGAACAACTCCGCCGGAGTTGGTACGACTCGAGTCCGGCGTACGCGCGCGTCGCTATAACAGGATCCCC